GGGGGTTTCTTTTTTGGCTAAATAGACGAAATTCGAACGGTTGGTAGCGATATCGATGCCCTGATCCAAATCTCCTACGCGTGTGTATTTTAAAATTTGGAGAAGCCCACAGCTTCCTGATAGTATCGCAATGCAACCCGTCCTCCAGAACGCCACGACGTCCCACGAGCAGGACAAGATGCTCGTACAAAAAGCTACGAAGCAGAATCGTTCCTCGCAACAAGCACACGGAGCACGGCCGAAGATCAAGCTCAGCATATACATACTGAACTGCAGGCCGCTCGAGCCCATGAAATTTGCCCTGGAAGACTGCCCTACGGTGCAAAGTCTCTTCCGGAGGGTTGATGACAACCTCTTACGTACACTGAGGGTTCGCCACAGACTCAACTTGCTGGCCGTCCTCCTCGGTGATCCCGCCGACCCGTGTCCCAGCATGGTCATGTTTGAGAAAGACGACGATGCCGCGTACGCCAATATGCTGAAGGAGGTGGGGAAGCTCGTTGAGGGGCTTGGAGCGAAGAAAGAGGAGGTGGTCATCCCGACGGTGTGCCATGCTGTTTCTCCTGATCGTATGACCGACCGCGAATGGCGCAGACAGAGTCACGGATACAACACGGTCTGGCACCTACGACAACTCTGAAGAATACATCTGAGAGCGGTGCTCTCAGGAAGAAGACTTGGGAGAGAGGATAGGGGAGTTGTCTTTGGACAAGAATTCTGAGGCGGTAAAAGAAATCTTTTTTATTGAGCGGCGATTCTCGAGGGAGCTCCGAGGGAACCAACTCTTTGAACGAGTAGCGTTTAGAGGAAACAGAAGACGTCTATAAAGAAGCATGGCTGAGAACAATCATGATCGATATTGATTAGATACTAGGTTGAGCTACAGGAGATCACCTGTATGTCGTTTTGTCACATTTGAGGGGGACATTTCAAAGACTTAGATGTTTCACGAGATACAGATAATGAATCAAATGCACAACAACAATTTTAGATGTTGTTCGTAGGCTTCACGAAAAGTTACTTGATTTGACCGCAACTTTAAGCCGGCTGCATCAACCTTGTGATTTTCTGAGCCTCCCGGAACTGGCTAGGCTTCCCGGCCCCGGGGAGAGAGTGAACGTCACGGGCACACGACGCAAAACGTGTCGCAATCGCCGCAAGACCCGTCCTTCAAGCCTACCGCAAAGGCTCCAGAGCCACTGTTATTCCAGGGTGTAGCGGCTGTGGCGGTGGCATTCAACTTCTCCAAGATTGGGCACAACGAGCTGCTGGGCGTCACTGCGATGGACAAAGCCACGTACGACCTTTTGCAGATGGGATTTAAGTAGTACATGGAAAGGGTGGACGCGGACTCCGATCTCGTTCAAACCAGATTCAGGGAGCACTTCAAAGAAAAGAGTTTTTGGAAGGTGATTCAGCCTGCGGAATCGGGGTTCTCTAGGGCAATCTGAACCACATCTGCTCCTTCCTTTCCTTTGAATTGATACATTGCAGAGAATTGTGCAATAGAGGCTGTCGTACGTCTGAAGCATGGTGAGAGGGGCTTCGGGATCGGTATAAGAAGCCCAAGTTAAAATTGTCTCCGTCCTGATTTAATAGCCGCATCAATTCTTGCACATTGTTTGGTAGGACCGAACCGAACCCAACCTTGCTTGAAATTTCAGCATATTCAACGGGTACACTAGAGCATCTACCTGCAAGACTTAAGGATGCCTCCTTTTCTTGAAGGGCCCCCCTTCATCTAGAGGATTAGCCTGCTTGTATCCGCCGAACGAGCATACCGAGAAGTTGTTCACCACTTACGCCGGCGTGATCGCGAAGCCGATCGATCGTTTAGCTCAAGAGATATGTGACTGGTGTAGAAGCAATTGCGTTGATCAGAAGTACGTATACGCGTCCACTCAAAGAGCCACTTACTTCAAATTCACAGGCAGCAGAAAGGGAGCAGGAAGGATTTCAGCATGAAAGAAGACATTCCTCATTCCTCATCCGAGATCAGGAACCTAAGGATGTACAAGACCGGAAAATTCCAGCAGCTGTATGATGGTATCGAAAGTATCCCTCAGCCCCATGCAACCCAACCGGCCCTCCCTACTCCCGTACATCTACTCAGCTGAGGTGTCGCAAAGGCAGCCGTATCGACATTATTAGGATCCGATTCGATCCGAGGATATCGAGGCGACGGCGAAAAAAACCAAACGTATCGAGAACCGCCGCCAAGAGAGTAACAATGAGACTTCAGCCACCTCATCTACCCATGGAAATGCTGGTCACGACGATATGGGTAATAAAGATGCTGCTGCTGCTGCTGCTGCTGCTGCTGCTGTTGTTGTTGTTGGTATTGTTGCGGCCACCACTCACCTTGCCCCAAAGCCTGTCCCTGCCCCTGTCTCTCACGACCATGACCATAACCACGACCACGTTGCCCCCCTCCACGTCGGCCCATCTCATCGCCGCCGCCGCCGCCGTCGCCACGGCCACCAGCAAAGCCCCTGTGCCTCCCTCCCATCTCGGCATCTCCCTCACCACCACCACCACCCCCGTCCACCATCCTGTACGACAGCCCGCCCGAAGACCCCTGCGCCGCCTGCATGCGGGCCTGCGGCTCGTAGTAAGCCACGAGGCGGTCAGCCTCGCGCGGCAACCGGGCCGCCGTATCGGATGGCGGCATGGAGGTAGTAGCACCGGCCGGGGCCGTTGTGGGTGGGCTGACGACGTGGGTGATGCGGGCATGCTCCGGGGGGAGGAGGCTGTGGTGATTGTGACGGAGATGGTCTGGGGGTTGTTGCCGGTGGTGGTGGTGGGGGTGGTATTGTGGCTGCTGTTGTTGCTGTTGTTGCTGGTCGTGACGATGTTGGCGGTGGTGGGTTGTGCTTTCTCGTGCTGCCGGCAGTGAGGAGAACATGGCGGCGGTGTCGAGACGCGACGACGGCAAAGGTGGCTCGGTATCGTGGGATGATGATGATGGTTGGGGTGCTGCTGTGTGTGTTGGGGATGCGGTCGTGACTCCACACTGGGCTGCAAGCTGCATGGCTGCCTCCTCGATTTGCATGATGGCGGCTGTGAGTTGACTGGCGCAGTGTGGGTCAATTGCAGCCTCGCGCATGTTGCATTGTTCCAGCAGCGCGAACGTCTGGCGGCGGGTGGCAGGGTCGCGACATTTGATGGCGGTGAAGTACAAAGGGCCGACCAGCTCCGTGTCGAAGGAAATGGTTCCGGAGGAAGCCCCGGTAGCGGGGGAACAGGATGAGGACGAGGTGGAGTAAAAGCCTGAGGATGACGACGCGTGCGATCTACGTCGCGACAGCAGGCCGTCAGAAAGAGCGTTAATCTGCTGGAACTCGGAGATGAAGGCGTCGAAGGCAGTCTCCTTCAAGGACAGGCAGCTGGAAAGCCAGATGTGCGCGACGTAGTAGAGCAGACGCAGGATGATCAGGCTGTCCTCTTCGGCTGTCCTTGCCTGTTGGGTGATCTGAATTTTCGGTCGGCGCGCAAGCTGCCCCTCGAACTCATCTAGTGCACGATGCCATTCTGCCAGCCTCATCTCTAACCGAACTTGCTCGAGTATTTCGGTCGTTGCAATGGCCCCCTGATACTTCTTCTCCATGGTGACCCACATGAAACGCAGTCCCGAATTTTGAATGTCGATGAGTGCGTCCCTCGCCTCATCCAGCGTCCGGAACGAGAACCCGCCTGGCTGAGAGGGCGGTTCGCTGCCGTCCATCGAAGGCGGTATTGCGTGGACAATCAGGGCTGGCTGCCCCAAAAGATTGAGATGACGCTGAGCCTGTAGAGATTGGGGCCAGGTTGTCGTCGACAAACTCTTCCTTACTCTGGCAGTCTGAGTAGCTCTTGGACTTGTGCGTTGCGACGTCAGCTTGCTAGGTGTTTAGTATGTTGAGGCCATTGAGCGTATGGGCCATGTGGTGTCGCCGCGCAGGAATTCGAGACACACGAAGAGGATGCACGTCAGCAGGAGCGTGCGGCTGGACTGGGGTGCGCCATATGCTTGCTCGGATAGGCGAGAAATGGCTTTGTTATACTGCCGTAGCGTAAACTGCCCACGAGAGCCATCCGACACCTCCAACACCTGGGCCTCCACCTCCCACTGCTCGTGAGCTGAGCTAACGGCCATGACAGCAGTCTGGAGGGCTGGCTCACGTTGTCCAAACTGTAGCACATGCCGGCCCCAGAAGATCGCATCGAAGTACCCCGAGAGCCGCGGTGCCGTGCGTACGAAGAAGTCAAGAGCTCGTCGCTCTTGGGGAGTGCCACCGCCATCGAAGAGCTGCCGTGAGATGGGCTCGATCGTTGCGCTAGCAAACTGCACAGGGGAAACAACCAGCCCCTCGCTTGCCCCATGAGAGGGAGCTGCATGACCAAAGCATATCCGACCACTGCTGATGCATCTGTGGAGAGACGAAGACCGAGCCGTCAGGCGGGTAGTTTAGGGATTGGGAAACAGGAGGCAGAGGAGCATTTTCGGGGATCCACTGGGGCTTTTGTGGTGCTGGCGTCTGCAGCAGCCGAAGAGGGCAAACCTTACCTTTCGCATTCTGGGCGCTGCTGATCGCACTTGATGCCCCGCTTTCTTGGCCATGATCAGTTACTTACTCTATCAGGCATGATCCAGGTCCGTTGATGACGAGGCCGGTGGTATCTTACCTGCAGGTGACACAAGCCGTGCGGGCTTTGGCTGGGCTGATACGCATCCGCCTGGGCGGCGCAGGCTTGGATCTGGCCATTGAAAATCGACGTTGGCGTCTCCGCAGGCCGGCGGTAGTCCGGCGAGGACATGCGACGGGCTGGCCATCTTAGGTGCTTGAACAGACCGTCGTTAGTAAAAAGCGATAGCTACCCGGATTGCCGTATTAGGATGGGCTTTGTATCGATGTGCAGCTCCCGGAGCGCCGGCCGGCTGCTGCCACCGTACCATACTGCTTTTAGCTGGCGGCGACGCTAGACGAGCTTCGTTTCAAGACTAGGGGGGGCACAGTTCGTCTCGGTCCTTTGCAAGCTTCAAGCCAACAATACAGTCGCAGGGTCTTCATGCTCATTGTTGGTGTGGACGTGTTGCTGTCTCTACCGCCGTTCTGCATGAGTCGAAATTGTCCCAATATCCGCCAGGACCTCACTGAACCCAAGCCACCGTTGTCTTGCTGCACCAGCGCGCCGGTCGATACCAGTACCATCAACTTCTCGAGAATCCATTAATTGAAACTTGCGCCCCTATACCGATCGAGTCTGGCTGGTGTTTCTCTGCGACTAGAGACCCATATAGAGGCGGCCTCGCTTCAGCGCGCCGACCGTGGAGGAACGGAAACGCCGCATTCTCACCAGCTCAGGCCATGGCTAGGACTCGCTTGAGAGCGGACAAGAACACCAGACGACTTTCTCTGAGGTTAATCAGGTCAAAGGGAGTAATGGAGGGTGACCGGCGCCCTTCATAAGGCTGTCCGAGATCTTCCAGAATGCGGTCGGGCCCGCTGGCCCTTCTGGGTTGTTGTCCCTGAGAAACGGTCAGCATATAGAGACTGACGATAGAACTAGGTTACCCACTTGTCGAACCACGTCCCCAGCATTCCGCGCGCGGACCGCAGCCCTCCTATCTGGACACACTCACTGCGCCACCGTTCCTCGCTGTGACGACTCGATTAGCCAACCCGGCGAACTCTGCATCTACAACTTGTTATCCTTACCCATGGAAGATGGAGAAAGATGTCCATCGGACGTAACCCTCGGGCGTTTGCCGCACGGTGCCTGCCGCCATGGTCAAATCGGTTACAACGGCGTGCGAAAGCTGCAGGACATACCTCTGATCTTCGAATTGGCGTTGGGATCCCATGAAGAGTGCATGGAGCGTGATGTGCCTACGAAATGCACAATTGGGAGCTCTTGTCCATCGCCAGGTCCAGGAGCCTCAATCCGCCTGACGCGGAGATTGAGTGTGATGAAACGAATTGCTTCTGGTGTTGTGATGGGTTCCCTTGGTTGATTGTCCGGGATGGGATGACCTTCAAAGTTAAAGTGGTACAACTCAGTGTAGTCTGGACAAGTCAGCATCGGCATATTGATCCCGTTAGCTCGCCTGTCTCGGATACTGACCCAGAAAGCAGACAATCTGGAATGACTCGTCAGCCTTGCTTCGGTTTGGTGAGTTCAGCTTTGGCTTACCCTCGCCCAGGTCCCAGTAACACCGTACGGATCTTGCTCATCCAGCAACGAATGCGTGTTGTTCAGGGGTGAATCTACGCGCTGAAAGTTAGGCGCATCTGTCGAAGTTGCCGGGGTGATCATGTGCATCGCTTCTAACATGCCGGAATCATCATCTGAAGGATCGTCTGCGAATCTGTACGGAGCCTTGCTGCGAAAACTGTTTGTGGGGACCCCCGTGAACGGAACATTCCAAAGGGGACGGAACCGGCCATAGGCCCGTTCGCAAAAGCGGTTGATGTTCCAGGACAAGACGATTAGAAGGCTCTCCAGATTTTCCCAGTCAACGCGCTGAGAACCATCGTCCATGAATGGACCCCACAAAGTCTCATCCGTGTACCGCCGGAGGTCGTAAACCCGGGATCTTGCGTAGCTATGAACGGGTTTCGTTTGTCTCCTGTCGGAAAGCTCCATCGGCACACCATGGAGGACAGCCAATTTCGCACTCATCTGGCGGTCACACTCGTCGTCAAAGGGCTTCTGGACCTCGCTACCAGCCCGATGGTACAAGGAAGAGCCTGATAATATTGCAGCCCTGTTCGTCGTACTGGATTCACCAAAGTGGCGGCGCAGGAAGCGAGCAGTCGCAGAAGACTGGCTGCACGAAGAAGAGAGTGCGACCAAATCGTCCACTGCCGAGGAAATGAAGGGAAAATTTGCTTTCTGGGATGGTCAGCGGTGGCGAAGGAGCTGGTGTCAGGATACCGACTTTGGATTCGACACTTTCTGAGGAAAGAAGCAAGTTCAGCTTCCACATCCGGGAGAAGTCAGCCTGCCAAGAAAACTTGACGTCTTGCCTTTGCAAACGGGGATCGTCCTAAGGGCAATTAGTAGAAATTGCATGGGAAGTTGGACGGGCGGCTCACAAAATTCCGGAGATAGAAGTCCTTCCAAAGGAGTTCGCTGTCGTTTATGAAGGTGCGTAATGAACGGCAGCACTGCGCCAGGCAGGCCAGGTCTCCCGGGTCCACGAGCAGAAGGATTTCATGGAGGATCTCATTTGACAACTCAAGCAAAGAAGGCATTATCTACGCACAACGTCAGCAAGTTGGTCGGCGAGGTTGCTGCAGGCGGAGCTGACGTGGAAGCTACAAGTGAATAAGAATGGCCGTAATTGGCAGCAGGCTTTTGCGAGATTCGACGAGACGGCGGGATAGAGCGGAATACGGGAGAAGGGGGAGAATTGGCTGGGCACAAGCGGCAGCGCAGAGCGGCAGCGGAGAAGAGGGACAGGATGCAATGGCGCCGGAGCAGCTGAGCGGAGCAGCGTATAAGGAGGAATGTGCAAGAGGGGCTCAACCGGCGCGGTCGGCGGCGGCCCGTGCGTGCAGGGCGGCGAAACTGGCGGCGAAAAGGGCGCGGCGGCCGGCAGGTGGTTCGGGCGAGCCGGAGAACAGAAGCTTGACGGTTGGGCGAGACAGAGGCTGGATGTAATCCGTAGAGGTGCGATCAACTTGGAGCGGGTCGAGGCGTCAGAAGGAGATAGGCGGGGCCTATGTCCGCATCCAGCCCTGCCGCTTTGGGGAGCGACCGGTGGCGCGTCTGTGCTGCTTCCCGCTGGGCGTCGCTCGCCTTGCCGATCCTTGGCTGGCACCCCTCCCCAGCCCGCACAACCAGCCCGCATAAGCAGCCTGCGATGGACCTGCCTCTGCTCCTCTCTGCCCCGCGGCAATAAAATGCTGCTGCAAATGGTCCCGGCTGCCCTTGCTGTCGTCATTGCCACCTCGGTGCACGCGTCTGCCCATTCCTCCCACAACATGAGGCGGGCTGCTCTCGTATGCATAGCTGGCAAGTGCGTTGTTCGGGGCCACTGTGTCTCAAGCGCCGCAGGCGCCAGCCGTCCGCGACGAGCCTCATTCCTCCGGTGTGAATCTGTTGAGATGCACGAATGGGACGACGGCCTCTCGACGTAAGGCCATGCGGGCCGCTCTCGCCGGCCAGCATCTGATTATTATTATTACACGACAAAATCAGTCGAGCCACATGCTCACTCTGCTTTACATCACCATGTCCCGGGAGACGCTGAACTTGCAGCTAGCGCGGGCATTCTCGGTACTCTAGGAACCCAGGGCCTGGCGGGGTAGAGCGTAGCATCTCAGACGTCGCGTTGCAGCAGCTTCAGAGTTGCTTCATGCCGCGCTGGGCTTGCTCGCGCACTGTCCTGCCGTAAGTTGCCAGCCGAGCAAACGCACGTAAGAGTGGTAAAGCAGCCGATGGGGTAGAGTGACCATGGACGCGTGACGCTGTTCGTCCCGGGGTTCGATGGCGCTAGGCGTCTGGAGGTAGAAAACCCGCCATCGCCGAGCCTGGTTCTGCCTACAACGTTCTCTTAGGTAGTCTCGACAGAAGTGCCCGCGGGCGTGACGATTTGGCATGTGATTTTCAGGGCAAGGCGGCAGGCTATGGGAAAAAGGGAAAGTCCGTCTTGAGTGGAAATGAATTGCTGCCTGAGGCATACGTGCTGATTTCTTGGCGCAGAACGTGCAGCAAGTGCAGCAAGACCTCGTATACATTCTACGAAACAGCGAGCGTGACAGAAGAAAAGTGCGCTGTAGCGCAATCTTACGCAATGGCACAATGGCCCAAAGCAGACAGCAGCATTGGGGATGCTGATGAGTGATGACGCCGTGTTGGTGCCTCAGGCAGCACATGAGGTGGGGCTGATTGTGTAATCGCGGCGGCAGCTTCCCAGCCCTGCGCTCGCCGCTGTGACACCGGTTGCAGCTCATCTGCTCCCCTCTCAACCTCAACACCAACAGCTCTCCCCACGCTCTCTACAGACCACTTGTCCGGACGCCGCCACCCTCCGTCCGCCCATCACCCCGCCTTTGCTCTCCCGACCACATCGTGCGCCCTGCTCCTCTCGTCACGATTCCGCCCCACCGCGATACAGCGTCATCATCCTCATCGCCACACCCCGCGACGCTGGACGCCAACACCAACGGAACAGCCAAGCTGGGGAAGAGAAAGCCATCATCCGAGGACCTTGGGAGTCCAGTCAAGAAAGCTATGACGGTAAGAAAGCCGCCCTCGCCATCGCCTCGTGCAGCTTACCCCGCTGCCTTCGCACAGTCGCCTACACTTTGACGTCTTCTGCAGTGCTACGTCAAGTCCGTGCTCACTCGTTTATTCAAGGACAAAATGCAGATCGACAACCCCGCTGCAGCGGCCGAGCAGCTCAAGGATGCTTCTGGTGAGATCGACGAGTCGCTGTACAGCAGGCAGCTCTACGTGCTGGGTCATGAGGCCATGAAGCGCATGGGTTCCTCCAACATCCTCATCGTCGGCCTGCGCGGCCTGGGCGTCGAAATCGCAAAGAACATCGCTCTTGCTGGCGTCAAGTCGCTCACACTCTACGACCCCAAGCCTGCCACGATCCAGGACCTGTCGGCGCAGTTCTTCCTCCACCCCGAAGATGTCGGCAAGCCGCGTGCTTCCGTGACTGTGCCCCGTGTATCCGAACTGAACCCTTACGTACCCGTCAATGAGTTCCTCGGCAAGGATCTCACCTCAGATCTGGCTCAGTTGAAGCAGTTCCAATGCGTTGTCCTAACCGACACGCCACTCCGCGACCAGATCACCATCGCCGACTATTGCCACGCGAACGGCATCTACGTCGTTATTACCGATACATACGGTCTGTTTGGAACCATCTTCACGGATTTCGGCAAGAACTTCACTGTTGGAGACCCCAATGGTGAGAACGTTCTGAGCGGCATTGTCGCAGGAGTCGATGACGAGGGCAACGTTTCGGCTTTGGACGAGACAAGGCACGGCCTCGAGGATGGCGATTTTGTAACTTTCTCCGAGATCGAGGGTATGGAAGGCCTCAACGATGCCGCCCCTCGCAAGATCAAGGTCACTGGCCCTTACACTTTCAGCATCGGCGATGTCTCCGGCCTGGGCCAATATAAGCGCGGCGGATTGTACACGCAGGTCAAGATGCCAAAGATTCTGGACTTTGAGCCTCTTAGCCAGCAGCTGAAGAAGCCTACCTTGATGATGTCGGACTTTGCCAAGTTCGACCGCCCTGCCCAACTCCACGTTGGTATCCAGGCTCTCCACGCATTTGCGGAACAGCACAACGGCGAATTCCCGCGCCCGCACCACGAAGCTGATGCTGCTGAGGTTTTGAAGGTTGCCCAAGCACTTGCTACCCAGGGCGAAGAGCAGGTGGAGTTGGATGAGAAAATCATCAAGGAGCTCAGCTACCAGGCTCGTGGTGACGTCAGCCCCATCGCTGCTTTCTACGGTGGCCTTGCAGCGCAGGAGGTCCTCAAGTCTGTCTCCGGAAAGTTCCATCCGATCGTGCAGTGGTTGCACTTTGACTCGCTCGAGTCACTCCCTACCTCCACCACCCGTTCCGAGGAAAACTGCAAACCTCTGGGCACCCGCTACGATGGCCAGATTGCTGTCTTCGGCAAGGAGTTCCAGGACAAGATCGCAAATGTCAAGGAGTTCTTGGTGGGCGCTGGTGCTATTGGATGCGAAATGCTTAAGAACTGGGCACTGATGGGTGTCGCAAGTGGTCCTGAGGGCAAGATCTGGGTGACGGATATGGATCAGATTGAAAAGAGCAACCTTAACCGCCAGTTCCTATTCAGACCCAAGGATGTTGGAAAGCTGAAGAGCGAGTGCGCAGCAGAGGCTGTCGAGGCCATGAACCCTGACTTGAAGGGCCACATTGTTACGATGAGGGAAAGAGTTGGTGCGGATACGGAGCATATCTTCAACGAGGACTTCTGGCAGAACTTGACTTCTGTCACGAATGCCCTCGACAACGTGGAGGCCCGCACTTACGTGGACCGTCGGTGCGTTTTCTTCCGCAAGTCTCTGCTGGACAGTGGCACTCTCGGAACCAAGGGTAACACCCAGGTTGTACTTCCGCACATCACCGAATCGTACTCCAGCTCTCAGGATCCGCCCGAGCAGTCGTTCCCCATGTGCACCTTGAAGAGTTTCCCCAACAGGATCGAGCACACCATCGCTTGGGCCAAGGATCTCTTCCACAGCTACTTTGCCCAGCCTGCGGAGGTGGTCAACATGTACCTTACGCAACCGAACTACCTAGGCAGTGCTCTGAAGCAGTCCGGTAATGAGAAGCAGACGTTGGAGACTCTCCGTGACTTCTTGGTTACGGACAAGCCTCTTACTTTCGAGGACTGCGTCATCTGGGCCAGGTACCAGTTCGAGAAGCAGTACAACAACAACATTGCCCAGCTTCTTTACAACTTCCCCAAGGACTCGAAGACGTCGAGCGGACAGCCTTTCTGGTCAGGGCCGAAGCGCGCTCCCGACCCGCTCAAGTTCGACCCTAGCAACCCCACTCATTTCAAGTTCATCGAGGCTGGTGCCAACTTGCACGCCTTCAACTACAAGATCAGCCCCAAGGGTTTCGCCAAAGAGCAATACTTGAAGGTTCTGGACGACATGATCGTTCCTGACTTCAAGCCTGATCCCGGCGTCAAGATTCAGGCCAGCGACAACGATCCCGACCCCAACGCCAGCAGCGGATCGGGTGATACTGATCTCTCCAAGATCGTCGATTCGCTACCGGCACCGAAGTCGCTCGCAGGCTTCAAGCTGGAGCCGGTCGAGTTCGAGAAGGATGACGACACCAACTTCCACATCGACTTCATCGCGGCGGCGAGCAACCTGCGTGCCGAGAACTACAAGATCCAGCCGGCTGATCGCCACAAGACCAAGTTCATCGCTGGTAAGATTATCCCGGCCATCGCGACGACGACGGCTCTCGTCACGGGCCTTGTGAACCTAGAGCTTTACAAGATCCTGGACGACAAGACGGACATTGAGCAGTACAAGAACGGTTTCGTCAACCTGGCGCTTCCTTTCTTCGGCTTCAGCGAACCCATTGCCAGCCCCAAGGGTACCTACAAGGGTCCGGACGGCGATGTGACGATCGACAAGCTCTGGGACAGGTTTGAGGTGGAGAACATTCCCTTGAAGGACTTCTTGGCCGACTTCGAGAAGAAGGGTCTTAGCATTACCATGATCAGCTCGGGCGTGAGTTTGTTGTATGCCAGCTTCTACCCGCCGAGCAAGCTGAAGGACAGGCTGCCTCTCAAGTAAGATATTTCGGTCTCCCGAATCCGTATCACGCTAACGTCGCCCCGCAGATTGAGCGAGCTCGTTGAGACTATTTCGAAGAAGAAGATTCCGGGACACCAGAAGAACGTCATTTTCGAGATAACGGCAGAAGACGCGACGGAGGAGGATGTTGAGGTCCCGTACGTGATGCTTAAGCTACACAAATAGCTTAGGAGTCCGTGACAGCGACGGGGAACAATTGGTTGCTTCAGCTTCTAGCGTCATTAGACACCACACTGCGTAGATTATGAGGAGAGCGAAAAGGCTGCTACCTATGATTTCATGAAGTTTTGGATGATCAACGATCGACGAATTGCACGTGATGCGGGGCACAAGGGTCCTATGAGAGCGGCATCGGATGGCATTACCAAGCAGCGGTGGGACATGACGCCGCCCTCGCCACCCGCAAGAATTCCGCCATACCACTCATCCACCTCTGCGCCCACCACAGCCCATTGTCCCCAACCAAAAAAAAATCCTGCGGCTCAACAGGCCGAAGCACAACTACGCCGACTCACTTTCCGCCACAACTCGCCACACACCCCTTCGCAACAGCGTCCTCGCGATCCCCCTCCCCACGCCGCATCCGCGCGCGCGCTCGTCCCCCCCAGACCATGGCGCCCACCCTCGAAGAACCGCCAACGCCCAGCGCCTCTGACGGCGCCGCCGCCGCCGCGGTGCTCGACGCCCCGCTCAAAGCCGCGCCCAAGCTCGTCGCGCCCGAGCCCGAACACTGCCCGGGCCCGGAGTCGCAAAGCGCGGGCAAAGCCGACTCGTGCGCGGGCTGCCCGAACCAAGCCATCTGCGCGTCGGCGCCCAAGGGGCCGGACCCGGACATTCCGCTGATCGCGGCGCGGCTGGCGGGGGTGCGGCACAAGCTGCTGGTGCTGTCGGGCAAGGGCGGGGTGGGCAAGAGCACGCTGTCGGCGATGCTGGCGCACGCGTTCGCGTCGCGGCCGGCGAGCGCGGTGGGGCTGATGGACACGGACATTTGCGGGCCGAGCATCCCCAAGATGATGGGCGTCGAGGAGGAGACGATACACGTGACGGGGACGGGCATGGAGCCCGTGTGGGTGGCGGATAACTTGGGCGTGATGAGCGTGCAGTTCATGCTGCCGAATCGCGACGACGCGGTCATTTGGCGGGGGCCGAAGAAGAATGGGCTGATCAAGACGTTTTTGAAGGATGTGGAGTGGGGGGAGCTGGATTTTCTGATCGTGGACACGCCGCCGGGGACGAGCGATGAGCATTTGAGCGTGAATTCGTTTTTGAAGGAGGCGGGGGTGGATGGGGCGGTGTTGGTGAGCACGCCGCAGGAGGTGAGCTTGTTGGATGTGAGGAAGGAGGTGGATTTCTGTCGGAAGGCGGGGATCAGGATCTTGGGGATCGTGGAGAACATGAGCGGGTTCGTGTGCCCGAACTGCAAGCACCAGAGCCAGATCTTCAGGGCGTCGACGGGCGGCGCGAGGAAGTTGGCCGAGGAGCAGGGCATCCCGTTCTTGGGGGCGGTGCCGCTGGATCCGAGGATCGGGATGGCGTGCGATTACGGAGAGAGCTTCCTCGACGCGTATCCGGACAGCCCGGCGTGCAAGGGGATCCGGGAGGTGGTGAAGAGGGTGGGACACGAGATGGGCTTGGCAGCTGATGAGGTGTTGCCCGAGGACGAGCTGGATGAGTAGATGTCTTCTCGTTTCTTTGAAAAGCCCCAGTGGGTGTTTCTTATTTTTTTTTCACGGCGCTACGACATTGCATGGCGTTCTGGGGTTATAGAATGGATTCACGGCGCGATATCCAGGTACATACAGTCACGAACTTTTCAGCTGAGAAGCTGACTGCTCAAAGAAATTGCTGTTTTAATTCGGTTCAACCTTTTTCGTTATCCTACGACACATATTGAGTACGACGTTGTGGTAAAGCCCTTGGCGTCTAGGTGTAAGTCTCTGCTGTCTTATTTTCCTGCATCACGTGTGCATGTTATGCTCAAACCTATGTCTGCGGCGCCCGCCTTCCACCTTTGGCTTCGCTTCTGCTACTATCCGGGCCCCCGCGTGCGCAAGTTGCTCTTTCCATGTTTGTCACGGCTGAGGCCCAAGATAAGAGGACCACCACCCGCGTCTTCTCTTCTCTCCAAACCTCATCCTCGACATCCACCCTGGCCATTGATTCTATATTCCTAAAGTACCACGCGGGCCATGGCGGGCACAAAACAACCGTCAACGCCCATCCCAAAGCGGACACTATCGACGGGGATCACGCCACACATCGCCCGAATGACCGCTCAGAACACAACTGCTGGCCCTTCATCATCAGCTCTTGGATACAGTCCCTCGTCAGCTCCAGCTGCAAGAGTCACTGCAGCCACGCACTTTGAAACGCGTGGCTCTGTATCTCACTCAGAGATGGGTCAGCAGGCGAGCTCTCCCCCCGCCGCTCACCCATCTCAGCGACCACGTACGGAACAGCGAGATGACGGCACGAGTCTTTTTTTGCCGCGAGAGCCTAAAGAGTCAACCTTGTCGGATAATCTCAACAAGAGAAGTGGCAACACTGCATACCGACATAAGCCACCGCCTGAGTCCGGTAATGGAGAGTCTTCGAGTCGGATGGCTCGTGTGACTGGCCAACGCCAGAAGGCTCGCTATTCTAGCCAGTTTATGCCTAAAGTGGCAAAGACTGGGTACTGGGAGGACCGTCACGGATATCCTGACGTCGGCGAGAACGCGGAAGGAGAAGGCATCCGGTGCGAGACCGAGACCGAGTCGGACTCAGATAAGGCGATCCAAAACAGTCCGGCGACCCACAGACCCAGCAAATCGCGCGGACGTAAAGGCGGTCCACGAGGGAAGTCTGATCGAACAAGGAGCAGTGACACGGTCGATTCCGACGTAGACGATGCTCCTGAATTCAAGAAAGCGAAAGCTATCTACGACTCCAAGGTAGCTTCTGGAAAAGCCACGACTGAGGATCTGATCTGGTTCTCGGGGCTCGCAGCCGAGGAAAAAGTAGGAGCGAGGAAGCTTGAGGAGGCTAAACGTCAGGAAATAAAGGACAAACAGCCAGTTACTCCGAAGAAGAGTCATGGAATGTTCAGGGAGGAAACTAGTTCGACCACCGACGGAAATGAAGAGGCCGAGGTACCGTATGCACACTCAGCTACGAGCACACCTAATCAAGGGCTGAGCTCGAAAAAATATGGCATGTTCTCTCAACCAGCACCTTGGATGACACCCAATCAACCTTCGTCTTCAAGTATAACCACAAACTCGGCCGCAGCGAGCGACATAGGGACAAGCAGCAGGGGTGCCCGGGACGCCAGTCCTCGCACCCCATCTCGTCGTCGCGCGTCACCGGACCTTTTATCCGTTCCACTCCCAACTCCTTCAAGCTCAACAATGAAGCTGCAGGCAGACGATGACCTCTCATTTGGAATCATCTATCGTATAGACAAGGATACGAATGAGATTATGATTCCAAGAGGCCATGTAGCGAACATGGTGCTTCACCACTATCGCAGTGGTGCTTTGACGGTAGCGAAAAGCAGTGCTCAAGCCTCTGACTCCCGTTCACAACCGCCACCCGAAGATGAGATTTCTCTTGGAACGACATACAGTTTACATCCAGACACCGGAGAAGTCATGATACCGCCTTCTTATGCCAAGAACCTCATCCTGCTTCACCAGCGCTCCGGGGCGCTCAACTTGAGCCCGGGCAGCCTACCATCTCCGGATAAGCGGAGGAGGATGACTACAAGCAACACTTGGCAAAGCCCCCGTGGCAGGGGCACCAGCAGCGTGGCCGCAGCCACATCAAGCAGGAGGCCTCGCGGACGGCCGAGAGGCGGCAGGTACATGGGAGGTCCACCTGTTGTGGCTAAAGCGTCTTCAGCGGTGGGCAGCTCCGCTTCTCGGCCTCTCATGATTCCTGACGACAGCGATACTGACCACGCCGAGTAGGCCGTCGTCATTCCGAAGACCCCTACCAGCACAGCTCAACGAAAGCAGGCCAGGAGGAAATGGAAACCGAACAGTTACTTTACGACCGATGAGGAAGAGGAAGAGACAGATAGAAAGGGAGAGAAACGTAAGGAACGACGGAGCCGAAACCTCGATGATGATTGGAAAGAGATGACGAGGCGGAAGGGAATCAGGTCGAGAGCACCTCCCGAATACGAGTTCCAGCTTGGACCACGAGGCATGCCGGAAGTTCTGAGCAGAACGAGGAACGAATTTGTGGAAGTGCGAGAGAACGGAAAGGTTTTGGAAGAGTTAATGACCTGAACTCATATTCCACGAAGGTTTTGTGGGTTTCAGGTGGGAAGGCTTCATTTCTGGAACTTTTTGGGCAGTGTATACGATAATTGGGCATATGGAACCTTCAGAGAAGAGGGGTTTGAGGGTATTGGGACATGATTCTGGTTCAATCTTCTACAACCATCGGCTTGGATAGGGACTCAGTGGTCGACACAGACTAGGGAATTATTCAAGCTGAACAATTTGTCGATTCATCCATAAGATTCAGGACAATCATGTTTGTTTTCTGCTATGTGGCTAAATATGGGTATCCAAATCGGACCTGAAGTTCGCGCTCGATCAAAGCTCGTCTTTGGCATGTCCCAACTGTCACAGAAGCCGTCATCAAATGGAAGCGTTGATTGAGTGAGAAAGTCGCCCGAGTCTACAATCGAAGAACATATGCAAGGAATGTCATTACTCGGCATATACCCCGGTCGACCGGCCGGGGTGTCGAGATGATCCCGCAAGGTTCCCCGCAAACTTACTCCGCACTCCATAACCGCAAACAACCGTGGGTGGACAACTGTGCGAGGAAACCTAGAATAAGTTCTCATGGCTGAGACTTTGCCCTTTGGTCCTCTCCGAGCATTGAGAATTCTGAGAGTGTAGACATCCATAGTCGTACCCTGATTTCCCCCAGCGCCCTGGAAGAACAAGAAATGAAGACGAGGCAAGGACGAGTAATTCCCTGATGAAAAGTGAAATCCACCTCTCAGAGCAAGTGATTCAATCTTGCCGGTAACGTAAACAGACCAGTAGTCTTTGAGGTATACCATCTGCGCGAAGGGAAGTGTTGGAGAGAGCCAAACGGTGCGGGGCAACGGCTGGGGCTGGTAAAAAAAAATCCCCATACACCATGTGTGGGGTATGTTCCGGTACAACACCTGCTTACAACTCGGAATGGCGATGAGCACTAACTGAAGACTGCCCTCTTACTTACGGCGACGTCGTCACTACCCTCAGCTACAACAGCTCCATAGCATCATTATCAGAAATCGCATCCATAAACATTATTCGCGTGAGAATGGTAATCACCATCGCTTCACATCAATGAGCAGTTCCTTCTCCAAACAACCAAGAGCCCTCAAAAGCCGATGGACAAGACAGACGACAAATTTCCAGAAGTGACATCTGTTTTCCAAGGCGTTGGCTAAAGTATTCCCTTTCTCAATGCCCGAGGCTTCGAAGAAGCAGCACCCTGGCAACAACCCAGCATCTCGTACACTACCAATTTGTCGGGACCTGGTCGTGGCATCAAAAGGTGATTCTACATTCCTAGCCATCATCCTACAAGAGTGAGCGAAAGTGCCAACCAAAGACGAACACCACGATCCATGTTTTCTGGAGACGACGAAAGGACCATACAGATGTCATACACCAAAGACCAGGCAAAACAAGCAGTAAGACTCCGGTGAACAGCGCATGCACGAAATACTCTACACTTTGCCGCCATACCATGTGTATGTAGTCTTTGAATACTCAATACTCCCAAACGATGATAACCTATATTAAAAGTTGGAAAAAAGGAACAATACAAAGCCAGAATGAGAAAATGAAAAAAACAAAAGTCTAAAAGCAAAAGAAAAAGGAGCGCCGTCTTGCGGGCCCTAATCGTCCTCTTCATCCATCCCATCATGCTCTCGTCATCCCATCGTCCATCATACATGCATGTACCGCTTGCTCCCCGGTAAGCCCATCGTCATCGATCTACTTCTCCTCGTCATAACCATAAAAGCTTCTGCTACTTCACCCCCTCTCCAACCAACGCTACCACTTTCTCTCCCTCTACTGCCCGTGCGCCCCACCTTCCTGCGCCTCCGCCATGACCTGCTCGCCCTCATCCAACAAATCCGCAACGAGCTTCAAATTGCCCACCATCGTCTTCGCCTGGCCCACCAACAGCAGCTTCTCCGCATTCGCCGGCAAGCCCAGGTACGTCGGGGGCTCGCGCTCGGGCAGCTCGTTGACCCAGTCGACGAAGGCCTTGAACGCGGTGCCGCTGGGGACCTCGAGGCACGTGTTTTCGTTTTCGGGCGTGGGCTTGACGATGCGGTGGCCCTCCTCGAAGGCGGCAGGGTCCATGATGCTGGCGACGAGCTGGGTGAGGATCTCGAAGTCGCCCTCGGAGTCGATCTTGCCGCCGTACATCTCGGTGATGAGGATGCGGATCATGTCCCAGGGTATGTTCTTGGGCGCGATGTTGGTGCGGCCGTGCGCGACCGACTCGGTCCAGGTGTCGATGATGGTGCTGCAGCACTCGTAGTCCGAGTCGTTGAACTCCCAGAAGCCCTTCCAGCCCAGGCTGGGCGCGTACCGCAGCCGCTCTTGGACGACGGCGTGCAGGAAGCAGAGCAGCAGGTACACGCGCGCGCGCTCGACCGGCTGCTTCTGGGCGCGCGAGCTCAGCTGGCTCAAGCTGTCCTTCATGTTGGCCCTGATGCCGGCGGGCTGCTCGTACATCAGCACGCGGGAGGCGCGGAGCAAGTTGACGGGGATCCTCGGGCTGGTCTCCATGGACAGGAAGAGCCGGAAGTCCGAGTGCGGCTTGAGGCTGTCGATGCGCTTCTCGAGACTCTGCAACCACGTGGGCGCGAGGTGGACGTTCTTGACCATGACCCAGTTGCCCGTTGCGGCGGCGGCCGTGATGGCCTTGTCTGCCGACGAGACACCTTCGTTCGAACCCATGGCAATGTTTGTGCACGAGACATGCATGCGCTCGACGAGGTTGTCGACCTTGTAGGAAGCGTCGAAACCGGGCGACGAGGCGAGAGCAACAGGAGTAATCGCGCCAACCTGCTGCACGATGGCGCCAAGGTCGTCTGTGACCTCTGCGTATTCTTTGCCGAAGACCTCGTACACGAACCTTTCGACAGCGGGGACGAAGCGATCGACGCGGAACAGCTTGATGAGCATGAGCGATCGGAGGTGCTGATCCAGCTTCTCGGTGTTGTCTGGCCAAAGCGGCGGGACGTGGTTCTCAGCAAGTTCCTCGGAATAGAAGGCATCCCAGGCGGCGGAATCGATCTTTTCGATCTCAGTCTTGAAGAGTCGGTGCTTGGTCGCGCGCTCCATGGCCTCATCCCTGCGGTCCTCATTGGTGGAAACGTCAAGCGGGATCAGATCGTCGTCCAAGATAGCATCGATGAGGGACTTGTCCATCTTGTAAGGAGCAGCCTGCGCCAGCAGCATCGCCAGCATGACACGGTCCTTGTGCAGCAGAGCGAGCGAGGTGCGGCGGTAAGTGTCAATGAACAGCCCCTTGATGATGTGATCGATGCGTGCCGCATAACTGAGATCCTTCGCCGCCTTCTTCGTGTCCTGCAGCACGGCCTCGAAAATGTCCGTGAAGTACTGCAGCGAGAACTGGTAGAAGAAGTTGACGTGCCGCAGCTGCTCCAGCACAGCGAAGATGGCCGAGCAAGAGCGAGCAATGATGGTGTATTGCAGCGTAATGTTCTCGACTTCAGTCATAACGCCTTCAGTCTCTGAAACCTTGGCTGAAATCTCGGCAGCTTCCTTCTTGAGCGTCTCGAGCGTCTCGATGACGTTGTCGTCGTCGAGAATGTTTCCGCGCGACTCGTTGAGAGCCTGCAGCAACCTCTTCTCGAGCTGCCGCAGATGGACGGCGAATTCGCCCTGCATCTTGATAAGGTTGGAGCGGCGCTCGTCAACATCGGGTCTCTCGGACTTGAGCACCTCGGCCAGCGACTGCGTCTGCAAACTGCTCTGAGTGACAGTGAAGTTGACGAACGTGGTTCTACTGCAGATGTCGGGCGCGAACGTAGCCGAAGGATCTCTGGTCGAGAGATAGAGCCTGAACGACGGCGAGAAATCGATCTCCTGCTTGCCGAGCTGAATGAGCACACGGCCACCAGTCTTCTGATATTCCTTGTTGAGGACATGGTTGAGGACGGGGTCGAGATGCTCTGCGTCCTGGATGAGGATTGGGTTGCCGAAACGCAGAGCAGACTCGAGCTGCTTCGTGAAGGAGTCATCCAGGAAACTGGTAACAGTGAGCTTCCGGTCCTGGCACTCCTTCTCCAAGAACTCCGTGACGCGTCCGGACGGGTCAATGATGAGCGGGTAGCGGTTGAATCTCTTGAGGATGATTGCGTTCTCTGTGCAGAGGTCATCGGCAGGAAGTGAGTTCTCCTGCCACTTGAGACGCTCATCCGCCGTGGACAGGTACTCTGTGACGGGGTTGGGTTGCTTGAAACTGACTCCAGACATGTGCATCATGTGGAACCAGTCCTCCGTCATGGCCTTACGGTACTGTTGATCATAGTAACCGCCATAAGCGATGAAGGCCGCCGCAACGAGGACATCGCCGACGATGGTGTCGATTTGCGTCTCGAAGCTCTTGCTACTCTCCTCCCAACGTCCACGCTCCGAAGACAAACTGTCGAGCAAACGTACACTACGGTCGACCTTGGACTGGACGCGGCTCATCTCGGACTTGATGGCCTGCGTCTCACTGATGAGCGCAGCGTACTCTTGTTTGTAAGCTGCGATACTCTGCTCCAAGGTATCGATCTGCTTGGAGATAGCCTGTGCCTCGGCCTTGGTCTGCAAGGCAGCATCCTCAAGCTGGCCGACCTCCTCACGGAGGGGACCAACTCTGTCCAAAATCTCCGAGTAGTTGACCTGAGCTTCGACCCACTGCACTAGGGGACCGCAGGCCTTCGAGGCGCGGTTGACCTTGTCAAACGTGAACTCGTCCTTGCTCAAGAATTCGTTCCGCATCTTGATGCGGACGTTTCTGGTCATGTTCTTCTCGTTGTCGTAGTTGACGATGCTGGTGATGAAATCATCCTTCCTCACAATGGCGACGATCGACTTCCAATCCGAGGTCTTGTGTCCCAGGAGGGTGCAGACTGAGTCCAGGGCAAGCCTGACACCAGCAGGCGGGTTTTGCATGGAACGGACTTCAGTCAGGTGCTGCCTCTTGATGTTGCTGACACTCTTCTGTGCCTCCTCGACGGCAGGTTCGGCCTTGGCCAAATCGCCGAGCACAATCTCCCTTCTCTCCGCAACTTCCTTCTCTTGCTTTTCGAGCGCAGCCTGAACTTCAAGCGAGTGACTCTTCCTCTGCTCTGCCTCACTCTGGTCTGCAATCATGCGTTGAAGCTTCTCGTTGGCCTCGGCATCCTTCTGTTCGAGCTGGGCCTTCTTCTGGGCAAGACTCTTCCTCAGATCGCTAACCTTGTCGACAGTCTCACGCAGCTTCTCGAGACCGACGTTAAGATGGCGCTGCTGCTCCTCAAGATCCTCGCGCTTCTCGTTGTAAAGCCTGACGTATTGCGCGACGAAGTCCAAAAAGTGGCGCGGAGTCAAGTGCATGATCTTGTTCTGCTGCTTGCGGAGGCGGCCGTTGAAGCGATGCAGCGAGTAGTGGATGTACACCATTGCGTTCACCACTGCCTCACGGTGCGAGGGCGGCAGGTTGAGGTCTCTGTACGCAACCGGAATGCTGTCCGGGGACTTGAATTTGGCACGATCCAGGTCAACCGACTGCGTAAGTTCGGTGCCAACCTGGTAGAGTGCCTGGTCGGACCAATCACCGAACCAGTTGAGGACGCAACGGTTGAACAGGGCAGGAGAGGTGGCAGCCTTAGAGGATAGTCCTTCTTCGGGCGGGTTCATGGTGAACACAACGTGGAGGTTCTTGACAATCTGCTGTGTGAACCACTTGTACAGCTCCTCTTGCGAATCCAGAAGCAAGCCCTGGCGCTGTGCACCTTCCTTGCAAGACGTCATCAACGAGGCGTACTCGTCGCCCTCGAAGAGACCGGGGACCTCGGCGTTGGCAAGCAACGTGTTCATGCGCTCGAGGAAACCGGAGTCAAGGACGTTGGACTCGTCCATAATGAAGCAAATCTTCTCGCCCTTGCAACCACACCTGCGCAGGACATTCCGCAAGTCGTCATCGAAGTCTTCTGAGGAATACTTGCCGTGCACCTTGATTTGGTAGACTTTGAGGCCGTTCATCCAGGCGACGAAACGCGACAAGGTAGTCTTGCCGGAGCCACTGACACCAATCAGAATCAAGTGACCTTGAGGTTGACGGAAGACACGATCGATGCGAAGCACATGGTCCAGAACGTCGTTGAAGAGAATAAGAGGCACATCGACCTCTTCTTCGCAGAAGGTCTTGAGACGGGCTTTGACGAAGTCCCGAAGCTGTTCACGCTCCACAGGGACGTAGTTCTTGGAAAGCCAGTTGGAGTAGAGAATAGGGCCGCCAAGGGCCTTCTCCTCCTCGATCGTCGGAAAGTGGTCCATAGCGACTCGGGAAATGGCTTCTTCGGTCCACTTGCGCTCATCCTCAGCGATAAGACGATCCTGGAAAAGACGGAGAGCCTCATGAGCCCAGATCCTGACAAGCCCTTCGACGCTGAGGTTTTCAAGCGGCCTGATGGCCTCGTATATACCACGCACCCATCTCGTGAGCTCACGAGGCGAGTAGACGTAATGCGGCTGAATGTCAGGCGTGAAGCGTTTCTGGGATTCGGAGTAGACTTGGACCATGGCCTTGGTAAGGGGTTCGGCGTAGCCGCGCAGCGATGGGATAATCTTGAGCACAGCGTTGTTGAACGTGCCATAGATTTGCTGGAGAGAAAGCTCACCAGGGTAGTCGACCATGACAAGAGGGGAGTGGCGCAAGAAACGGAGACCCATGGCAGTACGACCGGCGTCAGTGGGCGGGTTACAGGCACCGACAAATTGGATGCGGTCAAGAGTGACCCAGCTCTTGTCCGAGGTTCTCCAGAAACCGTTCTGTTCAACCAGTTGCCTGATGAAAGAAATGGCGCGCTGAGTACCATAGTTGTCGGGGGCAGGCAAGTTGATCTCATCGCAGAAAAGGACAAGCCAGCGACCAATCTGGGTGGGGCTGAGGATAACGCCATTGAGCGTCTTGCGGTACTCGCAGTATTGTTCAAACGTCTTGATCAGGAGGTCCGGAGTGGTAGCACTCGAGAAGTTGAGACCGACAACCTCCATGTTGGGGAGCTTGCGAAGAGCGCTGAAAAGCGTCATGGTTTTACCGGAACCAGGGGGACCGCAAAGAAGCAGAGGTTTGTGCTCAGCAAGCCAAGAGTAGAGAACATCCTCGTGACGGACAGTGTCGATGGTGGGAATGACGACATCAGTCTGAATGATGGAATGGGTGTTGACTTCGACGTTAGGCACCTGGTTCTGCCAGAGCGTCCATTCAGCCCGGGGCAGGGCAACGTCGAAGTCAATCAGCGATGTGCCTCCGCTAAGTGGCGGAGTGTCCACAGTACTCAGGCCAGCAACCATGTCGCCAAACTCCTTACGTTCGGACAAGGGACAGTCACCGGTCAATGACCAAGTGAGTGCAAGAAGTAGCTTCTTGGACAGGAAGGCCTCGATCTGTTCGTCTTCAAGTGGGAAGTCGGGGTGCTGCACGTTATACTCGAGCATAGAGCGGCAAGTCTTGTTGAGGAGGGAAAACAGCGTGTTAAGGACGCGGATTTCAGTGTACTCCATGATGTGATTGAAGGGACGCGCACTGTCGAGAGCCTTGATGACGAACCCGTCATTGAGCAGACGATGCTCGAGAAGGTCGGCGACGAATTGCTGAAGCTGCAAAGCCTTCTGTGACATGACACCAGGAGCGACACTGTCATCTTCCAAGTCCTCGAAAGGTTTCTCACGCAGCTCGCCGAGGTAGTTGGCAATCATCATGTCGGTGGAAACAGTATCGGTGCTGAACCAGACCATACCGCAACGAGAGACGGTGGCCAAGGTTGCGTACTTCAGCGTCTCGACTTCGAACATAATACGGACGTTTGCCGGCAGGTTCAGACGTTCACCGTTCGGGAGTGTGAGCAGCTTGTTGTCGTCAAGCACACTGTTCAAGTTCTCAACCCACTCGGGATCGACATCGCCGTCGAAAATGATCCAGTGGCGCTTGGTGTCCTCTCCACGAAGGTTGTCGACAATCTTACGCAGAATACTCGTGAACAGACCGTCGGTCCATTCTCTCGTCGTGCTGTCCAAGTTGCCGTAAAGGTGCTCTTTCGACATGACCTTGGGGTCAATGACATGGCATACACCCTCCGTGCCCTCAACGCGCTGAAGCGCCTGCAGAAGCGTCTTCCACGCTGTGGATTTGCCGGAACCGGAAGAGCCAACCATCATGACACCGTGGTGCAGGTTCTGAATCTGATAGAGCTGAAGGACCTTCGTCATCCAGTTGTCGCTAACAACAAGACGGTTCTCGCTTGCAGTGTCGCGGATCGCCTGCTGAAGGGCCTCGAGCGGAGCGGGCACGTATTCGATCCCAGGGAAACAATCTTCCTCAATGTCCCTCATCGTTTCAACATCAGATTGGATAAGCTTGGGGGCCACCGTCTCGCGAAGACTCTGCAGCAAGATTTGAGATTCCATAACCTCATCGGTTTCGGTCAGCTCAGCGTCGTCTTTGCCCACGCGGTCACGCTTGAGTCCACCAGAGCTGACCAGCACACTCTTGAGTGCACGGAGACCAAAATCGTAATGGGCCTGCTTCGAGAGGGATTTGGAGCACTTGTCGAAGAACGGCACGATTTGGCTGGAGATTGGCTTAGCATGCGCGAAACCTTGAGAGTAGAGCATGACTTCAGCAATGAGTTCTTTGTCGGGCTTCGACATGGCAACGCTGCGGAACAGCTTCTTCAAGTTGTCAGGGAGGTTGGAACGGCCAGCATAACCAGGGTTCATGGTGATGAATAGGCCAGTGTTCAGATCAACACGAAGGTTGCGGCCGATCAGCTCAATCTGAGCCTTGTCGTCGGTAGCGCCCTTGCGCAGTCCAAGTTGGATGTTCTGCACCTGCTGAGAAACGGCAGACAAGATACGCTCTTCCAAACGGTTGAACTCGTCGAAACAGCCCCAGGCGCCGACCTGGCAAATACCAAGGAAGATACGTCCCATGGCCTGGAAGTCGAAAGTATCGTCACAGCAGAAAACAAGAGTGAAGCGACCGAGTTGAACACCAAGGGCCTTGACTGACTCGGTCTTGCCAGTACCTGCAGGTCCATAGGGAGAACCGCCAAGTCTTTGTGAGAGTGCCTGGGTAAGGGTCAAGAAACAACGGTCGGTAAGAGGAGTGCGGACAAGACGCTCAGTGACACCAAGGTATTCGTAACCGTAATCCAGCGTGGCATTGGCCATCTTGATCTTAAGACGTTGGAGGTGGTCGCCCTCGGCCTTGTACTCGTAGCGCATCTGCAGAAGCCATACGTGATGGTTCTCGGAATCGGCACCGAGAGTCTTCAGCTTGTCGATGACATCACGTTGGTGGACACACTCAGTAATCAGGTGTTCGCACTTCTTGCGCTGGATTGAGTCAAGATCTCCCAAAACAGCGGTGGCCAGAAGCTGTAAAATGGTAACTTGACGATCATAAAGGGCCGGAAGGGCGGAACCACCGTTGCGCAGGGCGTTGTCGACGTCCATGGTCCAGCAAGCCTGGGTAGCGAGGACAACAATCTGTGCCGGGTACTGAGCGATGTAGGCCTCGAAAACTTCCCGATCAATCGTCTCAGCCTGCAAAATGCCATTGAACTGCTCTACGGCCTCGCCAAGCAGCTCTGCCAGTGTAGTCTTCATGTTCAACTCAAGCGCACCCAGCCACTCGTTGATCTTGGGGGTCTTGATCAGGGAGATTTCCTTCTTCAGCTGAACCTTCTCGTCTTCCTTCGAGGTGAAGCCGGTGATGACGGAGTCTTCAGTGGTGATCAAGCCAGACAGACCAGCAAACATCTTGCGCAGATGCTTCGCGATTCTGACCGTATCATTGCTGTTACCAATGATCTCGAGCAAGTCTTCGTCGCCAACAAAGTAGAAACGAGGGAAGGAGACACGCTCGCGCTCAAGGTACTCTCCGAGGGCCTTCTGGATCTTGTTGAGCAGCTCTTCGAGACGCTCAAGTGACTTCTGCACACCGGGAATAGCCAGGACATCGAGAATGAAAGGCGAACGAGAGACCTTCTTCATGACGTTCAGGAACTCGGAGTTGATATTCTGGAATCGAGAGGACTCCATCGGCAGGAGGTGCTTAATGTCGGCATTTCCCGTGAAAACGCCCTCCAAGTACACCCATTGACGCTGGACATCAATCCAAACATCGAAGAGTACGTGGATGCGGTTGAGTTTCTCCTCCCAAGACGATGCTTCTTCCTCGAACTCCTTGTAGTACGGAGAGTGCCTCATAGCCTGCAGAGAGTTCAAGTTCTCGCTGCATTTGGCAAAGAGATCGTCCCAACCACGAATCAGGCGACACTTGTTCTGGTAGGATACAAGTTCCAGAGAGTAGTTTTGCCAAGTTTCACGGACTTGCCTCAAGAACTCCTCGAGAGCCATTTCACCCATGGCTTGGGTGATGACATCGCGGATGACATTCTCGCTCTGGGCCAGCTGGAGATCCCAAACATCCCCCAAAGTCATTGACAAGGGCGAGTATCTCTTAGTCGGCTTCAGGGCGCGGAAGATCTTCACCCAATGACGCTCGCGGACAGCTTCAGAACGCATATCGGAAAGGAGGGGGTTGACCTTGAGCAAACCCTTGAGATGGTTCTGCACATGCTCAAAAGCGGCATACTGGCGCATGCGACTGGGCATCTCCTTAGTCATCTTGATCAGATTGTCGAGGGACTGGCGGAGCTTGCGAGGCTGAATACTCGTCCAGAGAGTGTCCTTGAGGTCGTTCAGACTGCTCCAGATGGTGGAGAGCGCAGCCCAAACCGACTTGAAATCCTGGACTTCCTCGAGGAGAGTGGGCAAGATACTCTCTCCGCTAGGTGGAAGATCAAGAGCTTCCTTGGCTTCAGATACCATCCTCGCCTCCTCGCTGAGCTGGGTGAGCTTCTGATCGAAGGTTTGCAGGGTGGCGGACGCCTCCTCCGGAGGAATTGTACCAGAAACAGGCTTCTCTTCGTTCCACTGCCCGACGAGCTCGGTGATCTTGTCGGTCATCACCTTGTCCTGGGCAGTAAGTCTCGCCCTGAGCGCATCCGTCTGATCGTTGACAATCTTGCTCTTCCGGCTGAGAATCTCGTTGAGAGTCGCCCACTCGTGATCAATCTGGTCACAGTCCAGCCAGTCTTGAGGGAATTGGTAGCGCTGACGAGTGAGCGTAGTCTGTCCCTGCCTGAAAATTTCAACCTCGGGAGCCAAGGTCTTGACCTTCTGCTTGCATTGCTTGACGGAAGTGATGAAGTGAACGACTTGAGCAGTAGAGGACGACTCGAGAGACTGGCCCTCAAGGTCCTTACGCGCCTTTTCGATCTCTGCGTAGACCTCTGCCATACGTGCTCCAAGGCGAGCGGCAAACTTGACAAGAATCTCATGCTGCCACTGGTCGTACTTGGCGTTGACCTTCATCTGGACTTGCTCGTAGTCGATTGTGACATTGCCAAAGGTGCGGCTGACATCCGAGGTATCGAAGGTTGAGCGTGTCTTGCGGATGTCCTGCAGCAGTTGCAGCCATTTGCGGAGCTCGTCTCCAAGGATATCGTACACTTGATCCGACTTAAGATCCCAAAGGGATTGGAAACGCAGCCAGTCATCGACGTAAACGCTGACTTCCCTGATCTTTTCTTCGATGGCACCGTACACACGGGTCAGTGACTCGGTGCAGCGGCTGGGAAGGTCCACAAAGCGGAGGCTGGCGGGATCCTGAACGGCTTCAAGACGCATATCGTATCGTGAGGACTTGATCTTCTCGAGCCTGCAAATAACGCCGAGCCACTCATGCAACTGGTCAAGCCAGCTAGCGCGGGCAAACTCCAGCGGAGGGTCAAGGTAGATGACCTGGTTGCGCATGGTGATTTCGTGAATGAGGTGGGACAGGCGGGGGCGACTTTTCTCTGCGCTCTCAGACGAAGAAGTAGTAGGCCGACCATCAAGGTCAGAGCCCTCGGCCCTCTCGAAAGCTTGGATCCACTCCTGGATGGCGGTGCTCAGACGAACAAGAAGAGTGCGCTCGATCCTAGAGTTCAACTCGGAGACGTAGTAAGGAAGGTTGACGTAGTTCTCGAGGTTAAGTTGATCGACAGCGCGCTGGATCAAATCCAAACTGGAACGGAAAGAATCGTACTTGTAAGGGCAGGTTTCGAGGTCGACAAGAGCCTTTTGGATGTTGGCGTGAATGGTCTTGAGGGTTTCCGTCTTGTTTTGAAGGAGCGAAACAGCTGCGGCGAACTCCCGGACGAACTGGACGTGCTTGCTTTCACCTCTAGCCGGAGCCAAGGAGTGATCCGTTGTCGCGGCGAGCGGGCCTTGCCTGATGTGCAAGTCATAAGCGTGAACAAAACTCTCCCACTTCAGAGGGACACCCTTTGTGATCAAGCTTTGAGCATCGTTCTGGTAGCCGTGCAGGAGTATGGAAACCTCAACCATTTCGGTAATCGCACGAGTAGTCTGCGAGTACGTACGTACACTCTCCATCATGCTGACAGCGTAGGGGTATACACGCTTGGCCTCTTTCGAGATGTTGTTGATAGCGTGAGGAACCTGATAGTTGAGCCAGAGAAGGTTGCGCACTTCCTTGAACAGGGCGATGACCTGGTGGTCAAAGTTGACGCCTAATTCCAAAGAGTTGCCGGCAGCACGGTTCCGAGAAACGCTGAAGAGACGGCCGGAAATGGACAGGTTACGCCTCTGCACTTCCTTCAGCCAGGCTTCGTAGATTGGCCGCGTATCGAGCTTTTTCCTGAACATGTTGCTCTCGCTCTGAAGCTTTTGGCCTTCCATGTGGAGACTCCAATCCTTGCCGAGAATGTTCTCAACCTTGCCCATGTAGCCATCCAGCTGACGCTCAATCTGGCGCGCCCAAATGACAGCGCCAGAGACCGGCGGGAGATCCCGGAGCTGGGCCATCGCGTGAGCTTCCGAGTGTCCGTACTGTTGCTTGAAGCGCTCGTGCAATGCCGAGATGTCTTGCTTGACATTATCAATTAGCTGAGTCTGGTACTCAGAAATGGCGCCCCGAATCTTCGGTCTGACGAAAAGGGCGTTGAACTTGGAAAAGACGCGGAACATCTCGTTGGCGTTCTTCGCCGTAGCCAGACGATCTCTCAGCCTGGCAATAATGGAGTTCTCAACACGAGATGTACGCTCGTTGTACGTCATCTCAGCCTGCTCCCATATGCGGGTTCCTTCGGGAGTAACGTCCAAGACATCGACATCCTTCAGAGCTGCATAGGCCTGGGCAACCTCCTCGACAGCGTCAACATCGCCAATCTCCTCCACGATGACAGCGTCGTCCTTTGCGTTATCGGAGATTTCTCTGACTGTGGTGCTGGGACCGAGCACATTGACGATGGTGCGCTGGAGTTGCTCGTGGTTCTTCCGGAAGGTCGTGATGTACTTGAGCCTATCCTGGGTCCGGATGTGCCGAGGCTGGATCTTGATGGGGATGAACTTCTCGTTCCTCCGCCGGGACACTTCACGCGCCACGTTAGTAAACTCCTTGACGTTGTCGTCCCATGCGCGCCAAACGCCCTCGGCGAGCTTCATGGTCGCATCAAAATCAGGGAACTCTTGGTGCATAAGCTCGCGACCATTAAGGAGGAAGTGTATCCGAGCATCCAAATCACCCGAGATGGCTTCCACCAATGCAAGAGCGCGCTTGATGGGGTACGGAGAGGCACGGAGCTTCTTGTTCAAGTGGCCGAAGATCAGGTTGATGGAATCCTGCACCTTCTCCAACGAGGTCGCAGACAGAAGCTCATCAAGAGGGAAATCGCGCATCAGTAGGTTGTACTTCTGCACGGTTTCCATGGTCTCTTTCAAGCCCGTGTCGGTGCTGAAGCTGACTGTAGCCTGGAATCGCTTCGCATGGCGGAGCACATCCATGGTGAGGGACACGCCATCGCTGCGAAGCTGCTGCTCGATTCCAGCCAGAGCCGACTCCATGTTCAGCCAGAAATTAATTTCTTGATTCGCGGTACCGCTGGCAGGATCGCGATTCGTCTTCGTAATCGTCTGTATCGACCTAATCCACCCATTGACAATGTTCTGCAGGTTGTTCAAGAACTTGCTGTCGTCCAACAAGGCCGCGGGGATGAGGTCAATGGTCGGCTTGATCCCCTTGGCCTGGGCATCCTCCAACGCATTTTGAATTACATCAGGTTGAGCCAACAAAAGCTCGGGTATCTCGGTGTTCTGCTGCAACTGAAGCAAACTCAACTCTAGCTCTGCAATCCTCTTCTTAGCGCCAGGAATGCCGGTTCTGGCATCGACGTCCCCTTTGCTCCAGCTCGGGTGGAGCGCCGCCTGGCTCTTCGTGTACGCATCAAAATAGGGCGCCAGCGCCAGGTGAACGAGAGAGTGTAGGGCCTCGAATGGAGAGCTGAGGGGGCCCTGGCTATTCGTGGTGGTGTCCGACGAGGCAATTCCGGGGAGATTGATGACCTGGATCTGCTGGCTGATGGGCGCGGCCGGGTTAATGGGCTGCGGACCCTTCAGGATGGCGATGCAGGCATCGTAGGAGCTCGTGGCGGACAGCTCGGAGGTCAGCGTGTAGACGTAGCGCAGCGTCGGGACTAAACGAAATGAGTGATCAGCAACGATCTGAGGCGGAGGCGAGCGCGCAGACGAACCTTCCGACCCGTTCGCGGCGTCAATCGGCTCTTGGTCGCTGATGATTCTCTGCACATAGAGCGCAACCTGCGACTCGAGAGCGAAGCGTGTGCAGCGCTGCAGCGTATCGGCCAGCAGCGACTCGGACAGCAGGCTCCCGGGCGCAGCAAGATCCTCCTCGGAGGCGCCCAGGGTGACGCTCAGGACTTTGACGAGATGGTCGACTATGACTTGCGGATCTATCGAGGTGGATGTGGGTGCGGGCTGCTTGGGCGCGGAGATGCCGTTGGCGGCGGCCCCTGGGGTTGTGACCAAGGGGTCCTCCATGGTGTGATTCGGTGTGGAAATCAAAGCGGTTCAAGACATGTGTTCCGGCGGACGGCGAGGAGGGAGCGGCGACGGGGAAAGCGAGGCCGCGGACGGGAAAGGCGAAGGGAGCGGCGGATGCGGGATGCGGCGGTGCGGTGTGGTTGTTGACGGAAGCAACAAAATACGCCTTCGGCGGGCGCGCTGCATCCAACGCACGCGCGGGCGACACGTCTTGCCCCTGCACCAACCAAATCGCGCCCGGTGCCGGAGACGGATAAGCTTGTTTCCACGCTCCACCCTCCACCGCCTGCCATCACCGCCTTCTCGCCTGAGTTGCCCTCTGCTCGTTCCGTCGCACGCCCGTCGGCATCATCCGAAATTTTGCTTGTCTCAGTTCCTGCTGACCCTTGCTGCCTGCTGTTTCGCGTCGCGTTCCTCATGCTCCACCCCGCATATCAATTGCTCTGTAATCCGATAGCTTGCCGCACCCTGCCGATCACACCCGTTCCCGCTAAGGAACACTTGCCGCTCGGACCACGGGTGCACAGGCGGGACAAGCTGTACCTACGCAGGTGCCGCTTGCCTTTCAACCATCAGCAGCACCAAGAGCATCCTACTGTTCTGCAACCCGCACAAGTCTGCCGGCAGGATCGATCTGGCCCAGACTCACTCAGCTTGCGGCTTCGGCGTTTCTTGGCAACTGTTTCAACAAGGGTTCATAGCACTGCGGTTCGCTGGCTGTAAAGAGATGGCCAGGATTTCTGTCGACGTGGCACGCAATACCAACTATCCAGCCCTCAGGGCTGTGACCCTTGGGGCGAGCTTCTGATGTGCGCTTGATGCTCTGGATACATACTGCCCCTGTGAAGAAATGCGCCTTCCTGTGGCGTATGGGTCGCATGGTGGCCAAAACTCACTATTGTATGCTCAAGCTACACTACCTGCGCTACTGACCGCCTACGATAAAGACACCTGGAATTCTGAAGGACTTTTCTCAATTGGTTTTCCGTGTCCTTTCTCAGGGACATGGCACACACGCGTTCTATTGGGATATCTATCACACAGCCTTCTTCTTGCGCCAGCGCACCATCTACACCTACACCCTCGACGACAGCCTCTTCTTCAACAACTCATACCTCAGCAAATCCCCAACACTCGGCACAATCTTCTCCCGAGCCTTCTCGAAGTCCTCCAGATTGACCTCAGCACTCTTCCGCCTGAGCGCGTTCTGGCCAGCCTGCCTCAACAAACTGCCCAGATCCGCACCCGAGTAGTTCTCGCAGACCCTTGCGAATTCTGCATAACGCTCATCGATGGGAGTGCGCTTGATGAGGGCCCTGAGGATCTCTGCGCGCTCGCTGGGGCCGGGGAGGCCAACGAAGAGCATAGTCTCCAAGCGGCCAGGTCGCAGCATGGCGTCATCGATCATATCGGGACGGTTCGTGGCAGCGATCAGGTAGATTCCCTCACGAGTGCTCAAGCCATCAAGCTCGGTGAGCAACGTGTTGACAACGCGGGCGGATGCTTCGGACTGTGAATCGTTGCGTTTGGGCACGAGCGCGTCGAGCTCATCGAAAAAGATGACGCATGGAACGGAAGAGCGTGCGCGGGAGAAGACCTGGCGAACAGCGCGCTCGGATTCTCCGACGTATTTGTTGAGCAGTTCTGGTCCCTTGACGCTGATGAAGTTGGCCTTGGACTCGTTGGCCACAGCCTTTGCCAGTAGCGTCTTTCCACAACCCGGAGGTCCCCAGAGTAATACGCCAGTTGGGGCTGTAATACCAACTTGCTTGTACCTGTCTGGATGCTGAATCGGCTCAACGATGGCCATCTGGAGCTCCTCGCGGATATCTTCCAGAGCACCGATATCCTCCCATGTGGTGTCTGGCACTGTGGCAAAGCCCTCGCGCTTAGAGGAAGGTTGAATACCAGGCAGAACCGTGTTGAACGCCTCCATCGTGATAGCAAGGGTTTCAAAACCGGCTGGACGTGGTAGGTCTCTCCGTTTGGCAACTCGCACAAGCCGAGTGATGCTCTTGTCATCCTCATCTCCTCCTATTATCTCTCCACCATCGACATCCATCTCTTGCTCAGCCTCCCGACCCTGCTGTTCAAGAGCTTCCCTGTAACGATCCATAGCCCACGAGCCGGCCTTGCCGACAAGATCTCGCAGATCGGCACCCACAAATCCACCAGTTCTCTTCGCTAATTGAGTGTAATCAACATCATCGGAGACCTTGACCTCTCGTGTTTGAGCCCGAAGAATCAATTCCCTCATCTTTTCATTTGGAACACCCATGTTGATTTCCGTGTCGAACCTACCACCTCGTCTTAGAGCCGGATCGATGCTGTCGGGCCTGTTGGTGGCAGCAAGGACAATGACAGGTTTGCCATCATTCGCTTCCATAGCTAGACTATCCATGGAAATGAGCAGCTGTGCCACGATACGTTTTTCCATCTGGCTCTGTGATGTATCTCTCTTCGGAGCAATGACATCGATCTCGTCGATGAACAGCAAACACGGTGCATTCTTCCGAGCTTCTTCGAAATGTTCCCTCACTTGCTTCTCGGACTCCCCGGACATTCCAGAAACGACAGACGGGCCAAGGATCTCGATCAGCGGTATACCCATCTTGGCCGCAAATGCCTTCGAAATCATGGTCTTACCACATCCTGGCGGGCCATGCAGAAGAACACCACGGGGAATAGGAATCTTGGCAGCAGTGTACTCTTCCGGACGGAGCAACGGTAGCACGAGAAGCTCCTTCAACTGGCGCTTCACGTGTCCAACACCGCCGCAATCCTCCAGCTTTATGTGCGTCGGAGTCGCGATGTTGATCTCGGTCTTCGATTCGCCCTTCCTCTTCTTCTTTACCGGCTGTCCGTCGGGCAACCGCTGACCATCCCGCTTCTTCGCAGCCGCCTCGGCGGCAGCCGTCTGCTTAGCCAAATTCCCGCGCAGCGCTACATTCATTGCGTTTTCCGACACGGCCTTTTGTCCCTTCTCCTGCTCGTCTCCGAGATCGGCGTCAATCGGTGCCATCTCATCGTCTCCACTTGCTTCGTCCTCCTTCATGACGTCTAGCACACGTTCGATGCTGTCCTCTAGCGGTTTTCGAGGCCGTCTTGCGAGAGAAGAATTGGAGCGCTTGATCCAGTCGGACACGGTGGAGACCGAGAGATTTGGATTTTCGCCGGGCTGCTCATCGACAAGGTTGCGGATGACTTGGAAGACCTCTTTATCAAGGCCCTGCCGGAGGGACGGTCGGCCCTTGCCGCGGACTGATGGCATCTTGTATGGGGAAATACGACAAGGCGAGAAAGAGGACGTCGCGAGTTCGCTCTTAGATTTCGGTCGCGTGGGGCCAAGCGGCCGGTTTGCGGGTCGGTGGTGAGCAGCTCTCAAGGCCAGCGTGCCTGGCAGAAAATCAATGGACTGCGGACATCGGCTCCAGGAAATTTCTCAGGCCCGGCGGACGCACTGACGCACTGACGCACTTGCAGGGGTCTGCGATAAGCCGCCGATAAGCTGGCCCTGTCTTAAGCGCCTTGGCGGCGCATCATACGCACTGCCCGACGCCGGAGTTGTCTTGCGACTCGCAACTTCTGAGACTCGCTCGCAGCCGTCGACAGTCATGGGCAACTCCGGGAGCACCCATAAGATATCTGCACAGGATAAGTGAGTTATAGCTTTGCGCCCCCTCTGCGCCCTTGTCCAACACGTCTCGCATACGCGCAGCTAACGCCGCGCGCCCACTACCCAGAGCTATCCTGGACATGAAGATTCAACGAGACAAGCTACACCAGTACCAAAAGAAGATCATCATCATCACCAGCCGCGAGACCGAGGTCGCGAAAGAATGCCTGAAAAAGGGTGACAAGCGGCGCGCCTTGCTGGCCCTGCGTCGGAAGAAGTACCAGGAATCGCTGCTGCAGAAGACCGACGCCCAGCTTGCCCAACTCGAGACGCTCACGAGCGATGTTGAGTTTGCGCTAGTGCAAAAGGATGTGTTATTCGGTCTACAACAAGGCACGAGCGTGCTAAAGGAGATTCACAAGGAGATGGGCGGGCTAGAGAATGTGGAGAAGCTCATGGGTGAGAATGAAGAGGCGCAGGCATACCAAAGAGTTAGTACCAACCAGCACATCACAGCAGCCATTCAAGCTGCGGCCACAAAGGCCTCTGGAGACATCTTGTGTCGCCATTTGAACTGGGAGCAACCCTGCCCATGGTTGTGGCCGTTACTATGGTCATGGACCACGCGGAAGGTTTACCTCATGACCAGCTGCGCTTTGGCCACCTGTTGACGGAATGAGAATGAAGCGCCAATACTGACAACCACTACAGGAGATAAGTGAAATGCTTGCCGGCAGAATGTCCAACCAAGACGAGGACGAGGTGGAGGACGAACTAGATGCGCTTGAGAAGGAAATGAACGGCACCAGACTCCCAGAGAATCTACCGGATGCTCCGACTGTAGTTCCCGACGCTGGACAGGCAGAACGCGGTTCTGCGCGGGAGAGAGCCGAGGCAAGAAGACAGGAGCAGGCAACCATGCGCGCGGAACCGATGCTTGCATGATCTGTCGGTGGTTGGCATTTTGTTGGCTGTCTGCTGCATGCATTTCAGCAAGGCGTTGGGGCATCATCTTCTGGGCAGGGCAACGGCGGAGCACATGTTGGTTTTACATAGAGATATCCGCAACGTAATCTTGACTCATAAGGAAAGCTGAGCGCTGGTGGCCCAGCATCACTTCTCACGTGCGGACGCGCATATGCGTTGACGATCTAAGCCAGCAGGATGACAGCCTTGTCTCCGCAGCAGCTAGCTTGCCCGTTATCGCGGCTACGATTGCTGTTTCCCGATCGCATGACGCGAAGTCCATCGACACTCCGCCGTTGTCGTCACGATGTCTCTGAAATTTCCAATCTCCGGACAGCAAGCCCTCGCGAGTTGTGCAGGATCCGCCGGCGTGGAGAAGACGCAACATGAGCGTGTCAGAGCTTCTGCGTTGCCCCTCCCCCGCCATTTGCTGCTGCGGGCCCTCCTGGCATCATCACCTACCCTAGCTCTCAGGATTCATACATCGCCAAACAAAAATATACACCGGCATCAGCGTCAAGTTTCCCGGAGAATACAACGCATATAGTAGCTGGGAAGAATGTCGCATCACTGCCACGACGAGCACGCTGGCCACGGGCACGGCCACGGCGACGACCACGGGCACGTACACGACCATAGCGACGACATCACACCGGCGCTGCAGTCGCTACTGTACGAACAAGTCGACTTCGCGGGCGTCAACACGCTGAACGAGGAGACGCCTCGCGCAGGCGCCGCCATCCTGCAAAAGACGTGGACGCAACGCCTGGAACCCGAGCCAGAGCTAGCCAGCGATGCCGACGAGCAGCTGCTCATGCTCGTTCCGTGAGTCAGCCACCTACTTGCAAGCGGCGCAGACCCTCTCGCCGATCGCTAGTCTCGAGCTCTCGGTCACCATAGCTGACGCTCTCCCTCTCCCCAAAAACCAGCTTCACCGGCCAAGTCCGCCTCCACGCCATCCTGCTCCGCACCAGCGCCACCTCGTCCGCGCCCAAGACGCTCAAAGTCTTCCTCAACCGCGACGACCTCGACTTCGGCACCGCGTCCGACCTGCAGCCGACGCAGACGGTCGAGCTCTCCCAGACCAACGACGTCCAGGAGCTGCCGGTCAAGCGCGCCCTCTTCAACACCACCCGCTCGCTCGCCCTCTTCTTCGAGGACAACTTCGGCCAGGGCGACGAGGACGTCACCCGCATCAGCTACCTCGCCTTCAAGGGCGAGTTCATGAAGCTGAACAAGGAGCCCGTCAACTTCCTGTACGAGGCTGCTGCCAACCCGTCGGATCACAAGGTCAAAGGAACGAGCGCATTGGGTATGGGAAGCGGCATCGGTGGTCCAGGTGGCGGCAGAGACGGAGCTTAGGATGAGCTTGTTGGGATGAGTTATAAGCATGAGTTGGAGACGGAGAGCTTGGGTAAGCAATACTACGCGGCCCCGGAGGGGGAAATAAAGAAGAGTGATATCAGCCAAGAGGCAACTTGTATGTTTAGCATGACACATAGCGTAAGACAGCGGAGTTACAGTGGTATTATTTATTCAATCCTCGGAAACTATAATTATCCATGAGAACTCCAGGAATGCTACCTTCGAGGTCTCACGCATCCTCTATTGTACCGAGCAATGTACGGCTCCAAAATGGTCTGTATGACGCCTGGACAACCGCTGAAGAATATGGTTTGCTGGAAAAGAAAGAAACCGAGGAATGCCGTTAACCTAGCAAAACGTGAATATCGATTGAGAGGACCTACTTCGCATGACCCTTGACCTCAAGCGTCCCAAACCGGCGCCTGATCAACGCTTCTCCCAATTGAGTGACCCGCAGCACCCAACCGCGACGAGTCCAGCAGGGTGTGCGTGTGCGTGCGTGCCCCAGTTCAAAACGCCCATCGAGCTCAACAGCTCCGCGGACGTATGACCCAGCCGCAAGTCAAGCCCGGCACCATCCAAGCCCTTAATTATACGGCAGCCCGCATCCCCACCAGCATTGCCTTTTGATCTCTTTTTGCCCCCTCCCACACACCCAAAAACCGTCCCTTCCTTTCCGATCCCATCCCATCCCATCCCATCCGTTCCCATCCCATCCCAAATTTATCCCAGCACCATCCGTCCCGTCCCTCCCCCCATCCCCACAAATCACACGTGCTTCGTCGTCCCGATGACCTCGCCGCGCACCAGCGCCCAGTCGATGCTCGCGTCCAGCTCCTCGTCGACGAGGCCGCACAGGGCGACGTTGTCGCCGCGGATGAGGTACAGGCCGTGCTGCACCTCGGTCGACGGCTCCGGGTCGTCAGCGGGGCGGATGACGCGCTCCCACGTGTCCGACAGCACCAGGTTCGTCATCTGGTCGCACGACAGCAGCGTCCCGACCAGCGTCCGGCTGTCGACTGTGATGATGCAGATCTTCTCTGTGTGGGTGGGTGGAAAGTGTGTGTGTTAGCGTGGGTGGGCTGAGAGTCGGAGGGTTGGTGGGTGGGTGGGTGTGGCCGGGAGAGAGCGGTGGTGGGAATGGAAAATATGTGGGCAGATGAATGTGTATATGGAGAGTATGGTTGGTGGCGGCGCGGCATGGTCGGACGCAAAGGGAAGGGAAAAAAACGTACTGTTGATGTAGGATTGGAGTGACATCTTTGCCGGAGCTTCGCTCAGCGATGCGACCCAGTTGCGGCGACACGGACGGATTAGGTGTGGACAGCGGCGATCAAGGTCGGCGGGGGTGTGGCGGCCAGCTCCCGGTGCTATTTGGCAGCTCTGTGAAAGCTTCGCGGGGCGGTGGAGGAGAGGAGAAGGGAAGCCGGGGATTTCTGCGCGCGAGGCTGTCGCGATGGCGGGAGCTGCAGTCGGGGTCCCGCGCGTTGCCTGCCGTGACGCGTGCGGGCGAGCTCGGGCCGAGACCACACCAGCGCGCGGCGGGCTGATGAATGCTCTCACGAGAATCTTGGGGCGCACTCCTCCAAAGAAATTGCGCTATGTTTTCCTGGTCTTGGAATAGAAACACCAGGGTATCTAGCTAATACTACAGCTATTCTCCAGCCCGCTGCGCCGGAAAGCTCCAGTAATCTACCCAAGGGAACAATTTAATTGTCCGCAAACGGCGTGGCATCCTGATCATCAAGCGTGAACGGCCAGGTCGGAATGTAAAGCATGTCTTCGTCAATTCAGGACTTCAACAACCACCGCCAAGAACCCAGAACATGTCTATTTATACAACGCGCTTGACCTATGCCCTTTCAGCCAGGGTTCAAAATGGCATTTTCCCAGAGGGACTTACCTCAAAGAACCTCTTGAGCCACCACACCTGAAAGACACCCTCACCGGCCAGCACGAGCAGTTGGAAGATGCTCCACCACTTGACTCTGGCGTTGGTGCTCTCAGCAGTGTTCCTGTGCGTCCTCTCTCTGACCACGATGTATCCCTGCTCGTCCTTGACCGAAGCGATGAGTTCCGAGAGTTGGCGGACTGGAAGCTGTTAGAAATGCACGCCGCAAAACACGCCGTGTGGCTTGTACGTACCCTCCTTCTCCAATGGATCCTGCGGGGCCTCGGACTCGGGGACGTAGACAATGCCGTGGACGTTGAATGAGACCTCCTTCGTGTTGGCGGCCCAGTGCTCGTTGCTGAAGCAGTACGTGTACCTGCCGTCCTGGTGGGCGGTGAAGGAGTGGTCGCCGGAAGAAACACTGCGCTCGTGGGTCTGCATGTTGTTCGACGGGGTTTGGACCTATAACGACGGTATCAGCACCGCTTCCCTGGGCCTTGCGTGGCCAATTGGCGTGTTGACGCACCCAGAAGTCGATTTCCAGGTTGCCGCTGCCGCCAAACTCGCGGTCGCCGACCTGGAAGGTCACGGTCATCTTGTCATCGGCATGGAGCTGCTCGTGGAAGCATTCGCGCGAGTGGGCCTTGAGCTGGATGTTGTGGGCCGAAACAAGGCTGACGAGAGAGCCGAAGGCGGCGACGACGGCGGCGGAGGGGAACAGCATTGCGGCGGGTGGAGGCGTGCTGCGGTTGCAAGACGGCGATATTATTCTGGGCTGCTGTTGGAGCTTCGGGGCACCGGCGTAAGGAGTGTTGATCGCGAGCTGCCAGGTTGCAACGGCGAAAGTTCGGGAGCGGGCCCTAGTTGCAGATCTCGCGCCCCGGGAAACGACACGGCTCCATCCCAACCACCACCATGCAACATTTCCATCCCCCAGGCTTGCAATTCTGCCAGCTGTGCAATTATTTGCAAATACATCCATCAAGTATCCCAGGGCTGCCAACAAAGCAAATGACACGCACGACCAGAAATGGATGGCACTGCGAAACACATGATGAACATCCTGCATGATAGATAGTATTTCCTTTGATTTTGTCCTCACCGTAGTTTGATCGCTGCGTATCCATCAAAGCCTTCAATCTCCAGCTCAGAATGTGCGGCAGTGCGTTGCTATCGCATATCCTGAATTCTCCTCATCCTCGATACTGCTCAAAGCAGGCCACACCTTCCCCAGATGTTGCGGTCCATGTGCGCTTTGGACGGTATAAATCTTGCTTGGTTGGGGAATGAGCATTACACCAGCCTTTCGACTCCTCGTCGGGGTTCGTTTTCGTCTATCCACCGTGAGGGTGAGTCGAAAGAGCTTGGGAAGAATATGGATGCGCCAATCAGCGCGATTCGCGATTCCGATTCGGGAAGTTCCTGAATCATCAAGCTAAACGCTTGCGTCGAGGCTGGAGGCACAGGAATGGATCCGCGCCAGCTGTCACCATGCGCAGTCTGTTGCAAAATGCCCGCATACCCAGCTTTCGAGCAGCTCACGCAGCGAATGTTCTGCTAGGCGGACCGAGTAGCAGAGACCGATGCATATTCGGTCGGGGCACCAGATTTCCAACCAACGGGAACCTTGACGCGCGGAACGAACTAGTCGCTCTCATACGGGCATTCTTGCTGCTGTGGAAAACGGAGTCTCTCTGTAGGGCGCATGTAAGCTCAGAATACCAGCCAGCCCTGTCGCACCCGGCCAGGCTACGTCAATGGCTCTGGACCATCTCAGAGGAGTCTCAAGGACCGGCCCAAGATGCTACTATGCCTGTAATGCGGTCTACTGCATCTGGTAGCGGCCATGTGGAGTGTGGGGCGCGCGCCGGTCGGATGCTCAATTCCTCGTGCGCCCGTAGCGCAGGTGAGCCCGCCTTGGTGGTGAAAATAGCCGTACCCTCCTTCCTGACGCGAAGCAGCGCGAATGTGCAGAGTTGGGGCTCCCAATCCGGACTAGCGGCGCAAGTGGGTGTTTATAGGGACCTTCGCCTTCCACCATCCGACTCTCTTCTCGTCTCTACAACAAAACCTTGAGTTCGCGACACCACCGCGCTTCACACCAAGCGTGTCAAACCTTGTCGCACGCCTCGAAGTTTGTTGTCACTGCAATCTTCAAGCCGCTTCGTCGTCGCCCGCTCTCACAAGCACTCCGCCTCACCCGAGTTGGTCACCCACGTCCCTACTTCAAAAATGGCCAGCTTCAAGTACCTCGACATGAACAAGATCGACCCCGGCTGGGCACGCAAGCACAGGATGACCCTTTGGGCTTCCGGAGTCAGCCCCGTAAGTCATAGATCTTTCTCTTGCCCTCACCGTTTGAACCGTGTGCTTCACCTTACTACCGGATCGCAACACCACCTGGTGGCCAGGGTCTGCGTTCCAAGATCATCCTGGAGCACTCCGAAGACGTGTAGCTCGTTGATCGAGCATGGGAATCATCACTACCTTCACTCTTCGACGCTTCACCTGGTTGAAATGCTCAGCTAACACTTACCTGCAGTACAAGGTTGAAAAGATCTGTGCCAAGCCGAGCTTCTCCGAGATGGCCGCAAGTGCTGAAAAGGAGTACGCCATCGACGAGGCTCTCGCCAAGGCCAAGGAAGAGGGCGCCAAAGAGGCTCTTCAGAAGGCGGCTGCCGAGAACAAGGCCGCTCAGAAGAACAACAGTGCCAAGCCATCCGCCCTCAAGGACACCACTGTCAGCTTCGCCACTGCTCCCGCCAACAACAACGCTGGCACCGCCAAGGACGCTGACTCGGAGGAGAAGAAGGCTGGCTCTGGCAAGCCCAGCTTCACCTTCAGCGCTGAGGAGGACAAGCTGCTCTTGGAGCTCAAGAACGAGAACAAGTCCTGGAAGGACATCGCTAAGCAGCTCAAGAAGCCTCAGGATGCTGTGAAGAACCGCTTCAAGGAGATTGGTTCCGACGACCAGAAGACCGTGCCTCAGAAGGAGTCCAAGGAGTCGAAGAAGGAGTCTAAGAAGGAGGCGAAGGAGTCTAAGAAGGAGTCGAAGGAGTCCAAGAAGGAGTCCAAGAAGGCCAACCGTGACAAGACCAACGGAAACTCCGCCACTCAGCCCGAATTGCCCAACCGTGAGGCTGACCAGAGCGAGGATTGGGATCTCCAGACCATCACCGAGGCCGACGAGGAAGACTACCTTATCCTCTACCCGGACAGCGTCTTTGACGAGGATGCGGTAAGTAGTCAGTCCTGCTTATCTTTGCTCGTACCGCGCTGACTGACCTCGATAGCTGGTCGCCATGGCTCGTGCCATGTACGAGGATCACGAAAACTACTACCAGCGCATCGTCAGCCGCATCTACGACGCCACCGGCCAGCGTATCAGCATGTCCGCGGTCAAGCGCAAGGTCGCCGAGGCCCGCAACCAGCGTGAGTTCAACCCAATCAGATCCCCTCCTTGTCGTGATACAGCCTAACGCCTCGCAAGCGCCCCCTTCGCCTGTCGTCGAAGCCCATGATACGGGTAGCTACATTGGAAGCCTCTGAATGCTACTATGTCACAGGCCGCGGTCACCACGAGACCGGCAACTGATTCCTCTCGTCCTTCTGACGGTTTTGGCAATTGGATTTCGCCCTTGATTACAACATCACCTCGGCGGACTCGGACAACTGCACGATTGCTAAACCTCATCATCGACGGGAAATGATGGTCTGCATCAACAAACCGGCTTTATTTCTTTCTTTGTGGGACAACAGCTCGTTTTATCGCTCTCTCGGACTTGGTACATGCCGGAGCATCTCTTGAGCTTGAAAAGGTCTTTGATTCCCACCTCACTCTTCTGCGATACCCAAGGTTTTCTCTTTTACTCGGGAATGACTGCTCAACTGGCGCTTTGAGACCGCTTCGTGCGAGTTTCTTAGCCGATTTCGTGCAGCTCGTCTTCTGTTTTCTTTTCGTCTACAGGTGGGACAGCCCGTATGGGTGGTCCCCATATTGGGAAAATAGGTCTGCCGGCGAGCGACCTATCGACGTGCTCTCATGCACATAAGCTGGGGTTGAGCAATTCTGGTACGGCTACCTTGGAGGTTGGGTGAGCGATGCTCCTTGGCGTAGACAGAAGACAGCGATACACAATCAATCGAACAGTTGCTTAAAAGTCCGATTCAATGAGTTCTCAAGTGTTTCTGGTGGGGTTTTCTCAGGCGGACGACTTCTCGCGTGGATACGAGAATGACAATTGCCAGCTCAGTATTGGAGACTTGGAGACTTGCAGCAAGACATGCAGTTTTTGATGTGTAAACATTTAATCGGGCTGCCAGTGCGCTCAGCAGCTACATCGTCCGGCGACCATCCCTGTAAAATCATGATATAACAACAAATGTGAATAACAGCAACGGCACACTCTACAATATGTATAGGAAGCACATCCTAGATCGGTATGACCATTTGGCCGCTTAGAAACAGCGGTAGCTACTAGCTAGTGCTAAGAGGATGGCATCATCAACCGCACCCATGTTCACCTCCCAAGTTCAATCTGCCATAGTTACTTGATGGCTAGCCACCTCCGAAACTTCCGAAACTTGCCAGTTTTAGGGTCTATCTCTCGGCTTTCACATCTCATGCACCTTTGATGGAGACAGAGTTTCTTACCCCTTGGACCTTCGCATGACCCCAGCGCGTGCGCGTTGCGGTGGCCGCACTGGCAACAGCGCCACATATTTGCTTGATATGGTGAAGTCTAAGCTCTGTTATTGATGTTGTCGAAAACGTGTTGGTTGGCTTGTTCTGTCACCGAATCAATCTGTCAAAGTCTATGTGGTTGTGGTGGAATATCTAAGGATCGAGCGAAGGTCTGTATTTAAACACTGAGTGAAGTATGTATCCCATGTGCCAGAAACGGCACAGCTGTACAGAAAAGCAAGAAATCAAGAAGTTCAGAAAGTAGAATCCTGGCAACTTCTGCGGTGCGCTGCATACACTGACAGCAATAACAGCGAGAAAGCAGGATTATGAGTGGAACAGTATACTTAGTTCATTCAAAAGACACATCAGGCCCCCGCCTATCCGGCTTGCTCTTTGTAGCAGCTGTTCCTTGGCTTTGAAGTTTCACGGCACTATGGCAGCAAGAATGCGGCTCACCAGGGACCTTTTGGCGCGAGGATCCTGGTCAGATTGTCAGTTGAGGCACCTATGGTAACGGCGACCAGCCGCAGCATGCCATCTTGAAGCGTTTACCCGTGCATTCGGAATTGACTGACTTACAGCACTTCCATATCCCTTGTTGTTCATTGTTGGTAGCAAAGTCCTGTGGACTCTTGAGGACACCTTTGTTTCGAAGTGTCAGCTCCCAAGTTTTAGTAAAGCCGAACGAGGGCTTTGGATACGGGGCCCGCCTCTCATGCTAACAAGTGCATTATGCAGTACATATAGGCAGTCATGCGGGGTGCAACGTGTGTCGACAGCAAATTCAGTGTAAGAATGACCAAGAGATACCCGATATATATCGCACTAAAAGAACATCCGGAACACCGAAGCCAGTCTATGGAGATCAGGCGCTGCCTGCAAAGTCCGGCTTTCAGGTCAGCCCCAGTCATCAAACGTCATACTTTCAGCAGCATTCAATGCTCTTCACCAGACCTACAACCCCTTGAAAAACTCCAATATGGCCTGCAGCGACCCTTCCGCATCCTCAACCCCCATGGCAACGTCCACGACAGGCCCAACATGGACCTCCCTCGGGCCCTTCACAAACACGACCTTCCCATCATCGCCGCCGCCGCCTTCCACCGTTCCCGTCCCCATCAACCCCACAAACTCCACAACATCATCATACAAAACCTCCCTCGTCCCGACAGTCACCAACATCCTCTCCACGACCCTCCCCTCCCCCCTCACCACCCCACTCCAAAACTCCTCTCCCCAACCCCCCGTCTCCTCGACATCCTCCTCCTCCCCCTCACACTCCCCCTCCTCCCTCGCCGCCTTCGCCGCCCTCGCCGCGCCCAGCATATCCCCCCACCCCACCCCCCGCCGCATCCCGGCCGCCTCCTCAAACTCCTCCAACTCGGCCTTGCTCAAAAAATCCCACCTCGCGTTCCTCTCGTACGACTCCCCCTCGTACGGCCCCAACCCCACCCACGGACACACCGCCACCGCCGCCGCAAGCCTCCCACCACCACTACCAGTACTACCCCGCATATCCCCCCACCACTCCGCCCGCAGCTCATCCGCCGCCGCGCCGCCGCCGCCCCAGCTCGCCGTGCCCCCACCAGCAGCACCACCACCAGCAGAAGCAGCAGAAGCAGAAGCAGAAGCAGAAGAAGCCTCCCTCAACGCCGCCACAACCCCCATCACCAGATTCCCCCCCGCCGAGTCCCCAAGCAGAACGATGCGCTCGGCAGCGGCGGCAGCATCCCCGCCACTGCCACCGCCGCCGTCACCATCAACAGCCATCATCATCGCCACCAGCGTGCGCAACGCAGCGAGCGACTGCGCGAGCTGTGTGGGCTGGGCGTGGGCGGGGGCGAGGTGGTATTCGAGGACGGCGAGGGTGACGGGGGCGGGCGGGGATGAGGACGACGACGACGACGACGAAGGAGAAGAGGAGGAAGAAGAAGAACACAAGGCCTCGGCGCAGCGTGCGGCGAAGGGGAGTTGGCCCCGCGCGTTGGTGGGGTGCGCGAAGCCGCCGCCGTGGAGGTAGAGGATGGTGCGGCCGCGGCCGTGGCCGGGTGGTGGTGGGGGTGATGGGGGTGAGGAGGCGGAGGCGGAGGAGGCGGAGGAGGCGGAGGAGGCGGAAGGGATGGTGATGAGGTGCAGAGTCGCGTCCGGGATTTGGGCGGCATGGAAGGTCGAGGCCCTGTCGTGGAGGCGGCGGCGCGGCGCTGCGGCGGCGGCGGCGGGATGCAGATGGCCGCCGGCGTCGACGGGGACGGCGACGGCGGAGTGGGCGAGGTTGCGGGCGGCGCAGAAGGCGCGGACGGCGTCGCCGGTGGAGGCGACGTCGGCGGCGAGCTTTTGGCGGAAGCTGAGGGTGAGGACGGCGTGGCGGAGGAGGTTGACGCCGATGGTGCGGACGGGGTGTTTGAGGGCGGCGCGGGGCTCGGCGAGCACGGTCGAGATGACGGTGAGGACGGTTTTGCAGACTTGGGAGGCGGAAGAGGTTAGTGGTCTGCGGTGATTCGCATGGAGGGGTGGAAGAGGAGGAGCAATTGGGGCTCACGGATCAACGGGATGAGCCAGAGGAACTGGACCTTCTCACGGGTCGTGAGGTGGATTTCTGGATGAACCATGATGCGGAGACGTCGTCGTGCAAGCGTCAGGGATGAGAGTGGGATGGCTATCGTCGAGGAGGGTTTGATCGAGATAGTAAGAATCAGGTGTTGGAGATGAGGTGAGATTGGACGTGTTCAAATACCAAAAGCTTGTTGCGGAAGGATTCCTGATTTGTCGCGTAAATGTTGCCGTTTTGGGCTGCAGGAACGCATGGACCGGAGGCCCGTTTAGCGCATCGGAAACATGCTGTCCCAGAGGCAATGCACAATTTTGAGCCAGTCTTCTCAAACCGCTTATTGCAGACCGTTTGTGACTGTAAGAGAGGACGTGGTGATCTTGAAGTTTAAAATGCCGACTTTCCGATTATGCGAGCTTATCCGGTGGCCGAAGCAACCCCACCATTGAAACTTGACACCATTGGCGGACAGGTACATGCATTTGTACATGGTAAATTCAAAATAACTATGTTAAGATAATTAAGCTAACGAAACGAATGCTCAAATGAAAACGCGTCATTTTGTATGTAAACTATTGGTTGGACGTGTGGTCCTAGGGCAATGACACATCACGACAGCGAACACAGATCGTCGCACTGGCAGCGAGGCGCTTACTGCAGCCTCTAAAGCTTTTGTAAAGTTGAAGCAACCCTGTACGCTGGGGACCTACCGTGTGAAGGATGACCTGTCATCTGTAGTCGAGAGGTCTGGTAAGGCTGAACACGAGTACGTCAGTTCTCTCACAACGTCACTTACTGACCGCAGAGGAGTCATGATGTATGATAACTTTGGAAGATATATCGCATTAGCATACTTTGAGTTTTTGAGGATTTGCGCAATAACAAGTGAGACCAACCAATCCAGCCAAAACTCCTAGTTCCTCATTCCTTCAGCCGGGACCTGTAAAATCAACAGACCACGGTGATTTCATTCTCAAAAAAAATCACACTAGACCTCTAGTACCGGTACCGCGTCGAATAATCCTTGGGGCTGACGACCAAACCGCGGCCCTTCTTGGCGCCACGATAGATGGTCTCGATGATATCGATCAGCTCCTGCTTGTCCTCCAGCACCCAGTTGAGCTTGTTGTTGTTGCCGGTGCCGAAATCGCACATCATGTGCTTGTTGCGGAAGAAGAACATGATGGTCATGGGGTCGTACAGCTCGTACATCTGCTTGAAGTCGGGCACCTGGTCCAGGTCGCACACGTAGATGACGGCGAAGTTCTTGACCTTGTCCGCGATCCGGTACAGCACTTCGTCCTGGCGCATGCAGTCGGGGTCTGGACGAGGGGACGTGGTTAGTATTCTAGAAGGTATTTTGGTGACGGGGAAGAGGAAGAGGGGAGGGGAGGCTCACCCCAGTCCCGACCAAAGCGGATGACGACCAGACGCTCTTCCTCGGACATGATGGCCTGGTCGACGTGCCAGCCGGTGACCAAGTGCGGCAGAACGACGGAACCCATGGTGGCTGTGGTCGCGAAAGTTGCGCGAGGATGGTTGGACGAGGGGTTTGGTCGACAGGCGGGAGCGGCCGCAGGCAGGTGCCGGTGCTGAAGGCGCTGAGCAAATGGTTCGAAAGGAAGGTAATGTGGCAGTACGATGTAGCGGGGAGAGCGAAGTTTGGGCAAGGATAAAGTGAGGTTCCAGGCGGCGGCGCAAGGGCCAGGCGACGCGCGCGGGCGGTAAGTAAGGCTAGCGCCGTCGGCTGATGACGTTCCATCCGTTTCGACCCGCGCTAAGGCCTTACCTGGCGAGCCTTAACCTTAACCTCTACTTTGCACCGACCACACCCCACAAGTCGCGCCAGGAAATTGTTCCCCGGAAAATGCATGTTGTTCGTTATCATGGCTCATTTATGGTATGCGACTTGTTGCCGTATAAACCGCCCTGAAGCTATCTACAGCTAGAAGCGCGCCATCCAAACCCAGATGCCAGAAATCAGGAGCTGCAGTGGCTCCGTCCCAAGAAAGAAGTGAAAATCAAAAGCTCGCTCGGGGAGAAGAAGCAAGAATCCTCGATGAGGGAGTGAATAGAAAAGAAGAAACAGCACCAGAGGCTGAGAAGAGAAAGTTCCACCAGGCCTTAGGCCTGTGGGTAGAAGAGAAGATCAAATGTTCCCATCGGACTGCACAGTCGCACAGATGGAAACGAATCCGGTACAAGAAAGAAAATCAGGCACTCAAGCCTTCCGGCAAAACACCAAATGAAACCGCCGGTCCTCTAATGTCCCCGTCATGTTTCAATCAAAGTCGTCATTTACGCCTGGTTGACTCCGTGCCTGCCGTAGTGCCTCGCGCGCTTCATCTTCTGCGCGTCCACAGTGGCATACACCACGTCCGTAACGTACTTGGTCTCGTAAATCGTCTTGACAACGGGCGCCGCCGTGGTGTAGGTTGTCGTCTTGCTCTCCGACTCCGTCTCCGCCTCAACGCTAGAGCTCGCGATAGTGAGCATGGTCGTGGTCGGGGCGGCATAGCTGGCCTCAGACTCCGACGAGGCATCCGTCTCGACCTGTACGGCAGCTACAGTTGCCTTGCTGGTGGACTCGAAGTTGGTGGTCGACTCGGCCATGGGAATACTGGCCATGGAGGGAAGCGACGGCGTCAGATCCTTGTCCTTGTTCGGCGGGCCGTCGAAGTTCTTCGCGTTGCAGTTATCGTCGATCTTCTGGCACTTGTCTTCCCAGATCGTGCACCAGGGGTCACCGCCGGTGGCTAGCTTGTCGGAGTAGTCCCAGCAAGCCTTGTTCTGCGTCCAGCATTCCTCTCCAGACTATATACTGGTCAGCGGCAGGAACCCTGAATGGAGACGTAGTTGGAAACTTACCGCCCAGCAGCCCGTCTCGTCCGAGTAGGAGGAGACCTCGTATCCACACCAGCCGCCCATCTCCATGATGCAGTTCTTGGGCTCCAGGCCCTCCTGTTGGGCCATCTGCCTGCTTGAATCACCACTAGCACCGCTGCTCACGAGGGCAGCGACGGCCGGGCCAGGGGTGAGGTAGGGCAGGGCCAGGGGTTCCTTGTAGATGTTGAAGGTGACGCCGGGATCATCAGACTTGATGTAACCAGGAATGCTGACAGTGCTTTCGGGACGCTTGTTGCCAGAAGACTGGAGGAAGATCTGAGCGCAGCCCGTGTAGAACTGCGGATCAGGAGGGTTGGCAGCGGCAGCGTGCAGAGCAAGGAGCTCCGGCCTGGCGAGGTAGTAGCCACCCTCGAGGCCGGAAGGAAGGTTGACAGAGAGCTTGTGGTTGTAGACGCCGTTGGCGTCGGCGCCACCAAGCTTCTGGTTGCACCAGAGGTCCTGGTCCGCGTCATAGCCCTCGTCCCAGATCTTGAACCAGCCATCGCCGACACCTGTGGCGTGTCAGTGAAGTGTTCACGAGCATATCCAGGATATTCTTACCGGTATCGTTGATAGCCGAGTCGACCTTCTTCAGGTAGACGGCACAGGGACCCTTGTGACCCGGGTCGATGGCGCCCTTCTCGGGGTTGCTGCCGTAGGCGCGCCACTCAAAGGACAAGGTAGCACCGTCGTTGACAGAAACGACACGCGGGTTGCCCTCCTCGCCATCGTAGCCACAAGCGCTGGCATCTGAACCAAGGCTGATGGGGAAGCTGGCAATCTTGGGGGTCTTGCGCATGCGGACACCAACGGCATCGCCAACAGACTTGCCATCGACCCAGAGGGTGGTGAAGATGGTGTGGGCCTCGACGGCGGCCGAGGCGGCCAGAGCCAAAGTGAAGGTGGAGAACTTCATGACGCTTGGTAGAGAAAAGTTGCAATTGGACGGTCGGTGGCTCGATCGGCGGGCTGGTATGGCAGTTGACGGCACCAGCTCGAACAAAGCGGCAGGTGACGGGTGAAGAAAGAAACGGACAGGTCGACTGCCGGCGAAGGTGAAACGGCAAAGTGAGGGGGATAGAAAAGAACGTGGGTCGAAGAAGCCAAGGAGCTTTGCTTCGATGAGAAGGAGTGACGAGGGCGAGAGCGGCCAAGGCGAGAGGAGCGGCGGTTATAAGGAGCGTGGGCCTAGGCGAGAGGACGGCCCGGGGTGCAGCGCAGAGCGGAGAGAAAAGTAGGTGTTGTCTGAGCAGCAGCGCGGGGGCGGCGCCAGGGTCGGGCTGGTTGCGCCGGCGGCCTCATATCGCGCACGCCGCTGCAGGCCTAGACAGATAAATTGCAGGCAGCTGGAGAGGCTTTGGGCGTCTTGTTTGCAGTGGAACCCTTGCGCGCCAGATGATGGCCCAGATGGGCGCGCACCAATGGGATGGGAAGCGCCGGGGGTGCTGAAACAGAAGCGCCAGCTGCTCTTGCCCGCCGCCCCTCCGTCCCGCAGCCGCCACCCGCCTAACCACCCACCTAAATTGAGCCACCACCGCCCTGGATATTAACCTCGTCTTGGCCCTCCCGTCGCCGAGCCGCGCCCGGCGCGCTTGCTGCCGCTGCTTCAGCCTGGCCCGCCGCTGCCCGGCTCAGCCTGCCCGGCTCAGCCTGCCCGCGCCGCCAGCCTTGCTGCCACCTGCCGCCCTCCTCTCCGCCGCCTCGGGAGCCGTTTGCACGCCCTGCGAAAATCATGGCCTGCCCCCGGCGTGGCCCGCCGATCATGGCCGACGATCCAAGGCCTTTCCGCCCATCTGGCAGCGTGGCCGCACGTCCCGCAGCTGAGGTCAGGCACAGCTTGCATCGCATCGCAGCCGCCGCATCTGTTGCACCACACCGCGCCCATGCCAGACTCATCTCCCGCCAGCACCGTGTCCCACTATAACGTTAGACAGCATCCTTCTGTCCCTTCACACGCGCTCCCCATCAACGGCTAACGGCCGCCATCACCGTCGTCGAGTCAAGCACTGCGGCCGCCCTGGTCGCCCGTGTCTGCGCAAGCCACCGTAGCACAGGAAGTGCAGAGAGACCGAAGACCCGGACGCAGGCAATGTCTCTGATCCCCTTGACCCCTGTCCTCCACGGGAGGGTCGAAACGAAGTTTCCGTGCAGCGGCAGCCCATCTCGTGGCCGCCGCCTTCGAGACCACTCGTTCCCGTGGTGGCGGTCTCGCCTACTCCGCAACCGCCCCAGACCGCGTCACGGCGGCTAGCAGCAGATGTTCACGCGCCTGGCTGATACTCCAGCCCAGTCTCAGCTCGCGCTTTGTCTCCGTGGGCGGGAATCTGTCCGAATCCCTCCTCGCCTAGCCCCAGCCAGGGGCTTGGACTTCCGTCTTGGGCCTGCTCACGCGACAAACGTGAGCCGGCAGTACAATGCCTTCGAGTGGCGATCGCTGTGTCCGTTCTGGCACAACGTGGCGCTGCGGCTCTGATGGCGTTGGGGCTCTGCCAGATCAAAAAAATCTGCAGCCATGGCAGTCAACGTCATCTTCCTTGAGCTGCCAAGCGACCTGCCTGCAGCCACAGGACAAGAAACGAAATTGCAGCACACCCATTGCAACGCTCGCCTGCAAGGCATCATGTGCAACTGCTGGAGGAAAGAAAGTATACGGGACACTGCTGATTCAGTGTACCTCGCTCACTTCAGCATGTCAACTAACGGCACTGTCGTGCAGTTACCGGTAGGTTCATGTGTGTCTTTATCCACAAATTAATTAGACCCTTCCACGTTGCTCAAGCTTCGGCTTTCTCCTTGATCCCTATCCCCGCCCTGTTGTGTTCCCTCCATCGTGCATCGACCAGTGTACCCAATCACGGTCAGAATGACACATAACATTTTACTCCAACATGCACGCTACTACTGTTCAGATTGCTTTTGCATGCGTTGTGGCTGGCTTCGACAACTCCACGCAAGCGCTGCGGCGCTCACAAGTGCACGTCAGCCGTAGCAAGGCTATGTTGACACCCCATAGCGCATCCTGACAAGGCGTTCTCTGTGGCAACGTCACTTGCTCTTTCACGGACGTTTCAAGCCCTTTTCGAAGAGCCAATGCATGCAGGACTTGTTTTCTTTTCCCACTTTCCCGATGCAGTGGATGACTACCTATCGAAAAAAAGGCAAACACTGAGCCGCTGCCGCTTTCATCTCTCTTCATTTTACTCGCAATCTTCCAGAAGCACAGATGCCGTCTTTCCACCCCAGTCTACAGGACCGTGTGGCGACCTCATGCCATTGATCTCGCCGATCTCGACGCACTAGTCTACTTTGGTCAATGCTTATCACTCGTCGTACATGCATCCACCCTCCACACTCTAGTCTGCCGCACCCTCACTTATGTACTCCGGAGGGGCAATGCCGTGTGCGCATGTACTTCGACATTGCCAGTGCATATATCACTCAGCGGTAGCGCCGCCGTTCTACATTCTGGTGTGGCTCGAGGTAGGCAATTGATGAGCACTCTCCCCGCCCCCCCTATTGTCAAGCCCGACGAACCGCTTCAATCTCGATATATTGGGGGCCGACTCAGATGACCGTGCGTATCTATAGTAATTGATGTGTGTAGCACCCTGTCGCTTACGCAACGGAAGATGGCTGTGCATCAACAAACGCCTCCCAGCCATGTAGTCCGAACCTTGTATTGCCATCCATGGACAGCCGTTGGGTACTACTCTCGGACTGCATGGATGGCAACGAATACCTGCCATGAAGTATTGACGGCTCACTCTTCCAGTCTGCGAGGGGAACCCGCGCTTGTGCTATTGCTTTGTTAGGTAAACGAGAAGGCAGTGAACTGTTGTAGAGTCCCTCTCCGATCAAAAGCACTTTCCTGCGGTCACACCCACCTCCGCTTACTCGTCATCCGCCACTCGAGAGCTCACTCTCGCCACTAATGTGAGACTCGGTATTGCCGGGAAGGGTCGGACCGGCTCCGCCGTGATTGGTGTAAAGGCATCAAAGAAAGGAAGTGAAGAATGCGGCCAATAGTCTCTGCTGTCTCAGCTTCGTTACACGCTTGAATGTGCTATGTTGGCTTCTTTATCGCCTCTTCCAAACCGAGTTTGCCTGCTCTGGTTGAGTTCTTTGGCTGCTTGCGGAGTGAGTGTTCGCAGTTTTGCGCCCGGACTTCTATTTAGTTGCATTCTTTGGAAGGGTTTCTTCGTATATCAAACGGCTGCGAGATGAAAAGTGTTTGCTCCATCAACGGAGGAACAACACATTCCCATCACCCTGTCAAATTTCTCGGCCAGCCCCAGTATCTGAGGCGTGGTGATGTTGCCATCATTCGTCAGATGTAAGAGGAAACCATAAAAGCTGGGCATCGAAAATGCATAGTACTAAATGAGACGTGTAAATGGATTGCCTTAATTGGTCGCAATTGTACCGTAAATTTTCCTTTAATGGCTCTTGGGGAGTTCTTGGGTCTGTCGCTTCGGCGGTCTCATCCGCCCGATACGGGGTACGGGAAATATAGCGGAACCATGCATACCAACTAAGCCGGTCTTGGTAACTGTGACATCAACACCTCCAACCATGAATTGACGTGAATGCAGGTCAGGCTACCATCGGCGATAACGGCGATAGCGGAATGGACGGCGACGACCTCAGTGGAGCAGTGGCGTATGCATAATTGACAAGCTCCAGCACTTTCGCCTTGCCAACCACGTCATTACTGCCTCTGCTGCTTCTTACAAGTAGATCAGTATCCATTCTCCCCCCTGCGCCACACACAATCCATGTCTGCAGAGGGACACCAGTTCTCGTCACGGCCTGAAGGAAGCCGGTTCTCCAATGAATCCAAAAAAGAGGAACCAGAAAGTCCTGACAGCGCTGAGGACGGAGGGGACAGCGGAGGCCCTCCTTCGCCGGTCGGCTTCTGGGACCACCGTCTGAGGCATGTCCGGCTGGAAGCATTTCGAAAATGGGGATACACGACGGTTGTTCTGATGGCTTTCATTCTTGCTGTACTTTCCATCTGTAAGCTGTCCACCGCCATGCCCATCAGGCTGCCGGGTTTACTTATCATCAAAAGCAAGACTGGGGTGCCTTCTTTCACCTTCCTGCGAACACCAGGAATCTTGTCGTCTACGTTGTTGACATGGACGGTGCCGGACAGTACTCGGCATCTGTCACTGGCCATGCTCCCATCATTGGACCAGCCATCACCGAGCTGGCAAACCAGATGCTCCAGCAGCCGCCGACTCTAGGCTACCGCATAATGTCCGGAGCTCCCTTCAACAACGACCCAATTCAAGTCCGGCAAGCCGTCTACAACCAAGAAGCCTGGGCCTCGATCGTCATCAACCCGAACGCCACCGCACTGCTCTACAACGCCATCCAAACCGGCAACTCCTCGTACGACCCCCTGGGCGCATGCCAGCTCACCTACGTCGAAGCCCGCGACGAAACGACCTGGGCCGACTACATCCAACCCCTCCTCGACCAATTCACCACCCAAGCAACCGCCACCGCCGGCCAGCGCTGGGCCAGCACCGCGCTGCAGCTACTAACCAACGCCAGCACCAACGACCCTCCAGCCGCGCCGGCTCTGCTCCTCACCAACCTGCGCGCGGCGCCGCAAGCCCTGGCCCCGGCCGTCGGCTTCTCGCGCTACAACCTGCGGCCCTTCCGCCCGTTCGCGGCCGAGCCCGCCGTGTCCATCGGGCTCATCTACCTCATCATCCTCTCCTTCTTCTCCTTCAGCTTCTACCTGCCCATCCACCTCAAGTACCTCCAGCCCGATCAGGGCCACCCGCCCCTGCGCTTCTGGCAGCTCGTCGTCTGGCGCTGGTGCGCCACCCTCGCCGCCTACCTCTGCCTCTCGCTCGCCTACAGCCTCGTCTCGCTCGCCTTCCAGATCAGCTTCGCCGGCAGTGCTACGGGCGACGGCTTCAGCGAGGTGCTGCCGACCAATGCCGAGCGCGGCAACGCGGCAGCGTACGGGAAGGGCGGCGCCGCTTTCCTTGTGTACTGGATGCTCAACTTCTGCGGCATGGCGGCGCTGGGGCTGGCGTGCGAGAACGTCGCCATGCTGATCGGCCAGCCGTGGATGGGCATGTGGCTCATCTTCTGGGTCATCACAAACGTCAGCACCGCCTTCTACGACATCGACACCGAGCCCGCTTTCTACCGCTGGGGCTACGCCTGGCCGTTGCATCATGGTACGTTTCCCACCCAAAAGAAAAAGAAGAAAAGGGAGCGTTTTTCCCTTTTGTTGCTCGTTTCTCCCCCTCCCCCTTTTGTTTGGTAAGAGGGAAAGACAAGTTCTAGTTATACTGGATATATGTCGCTCCCATCTGTTTACTCGCTGACTTGCTGGCTGCTGCAGTGGTGCAGGGATCCCGCACCATCCTTTTCGACACTCACTCCAACATCGGGCTCAATTTCGGCGTCTTGTTCGCCTGGGCTGCTGTCGGCACCGCGCTGTTCCCGTTCATGTGTTACTGGATGCGCTACAAGACTAAAAAGGGCCTGCAAATGTACTGGGCATAGAATCAACTCTAAGCATCAGTGTCTATCACTGAAAGCTGTCTCCGTCACGACGGTATACCGAAAAAAAAAAAAGGACGATATTGTCTTCAGTGTTTGATATTCAACGCGAGAAGCTTGCGTGGGGAAGATTGCCGAGAAGGTGTGAGATGAGTAGCTGTACATCTTTCAATGCATATACGTTTATCGTTCTTCATCATTATAAACAATTTCATGAACAGCATCACCGGGAGTTGTAACGCACGGCCATGATCTCGTTAACAGATATCCACTCATGGTGTGCTTGTATCATATATTTGTTTAGCAAAAAGCTGCGGCTGGGTCCCGTTCTGACTCCAAGTCACCTCTCATTGCCACCGGGGCCATGCATAGCCCAAAATTCCTACTCGGCGCAGAACCACAGAAGCTCTTCTCAAGTAATACACGTGTTGAACCTTACACAATGGCAATATTTTGTCTGAAAAGGGTTTTTTTTCTACGATCCTTCCGGGCCACTCTCTTTTTCCTTTCTACTCCGGAAGCCGCTCAAACCGAAAAAAAAAGAAAATACCAGTATGCCGGAAAGACATCACCGACATTGGTAAGAAAAAATCGAGGATCCAGTGATCCGCTGTGCGATATATATCATCAGCACACCGCCATCGATCAATCACATCGCCTGAACAACTCCGCACACACCGCCTGATGCGCCCCAGATCTTAATCCCCCGTTTCCCCCCGCAGATGCTTAGTAGCTGCGGCCGAACATGACCCACTCCTTAGCCTTCTCTTGGCAGTTGGGGTTGAGACACTTGGTCTCACCCTTGACGAGGCCCTCGGTGGGCTGCTCGTAGGGAATGCAGAGCGACTTGGCGCCCATCGAGGGAGCACGTGCATCCTGAGCCAGACCTTCACTCTCGTTCTTGCGAGCCGAGAGATCCTTGATCTCGTCCTCGCAGGGGCCGCCAAGACAGTGAGGGATGAGGCAGACGCCCTTGTTGTCGAGCGTGGGCACGAAGTCGTCCCAGCTAGTGATTTGCTTGCGGGCCGCGTCGAACTCTCCCTTGGCCTTCTGGAACATGTCCGTCTGGATGGTCTCGAGGAGGGCCGGGATGGCGTTGTCGAGCTCCGAGATGAGGATCTGGCCCTTGGCCTCCCGGTCGCGGCGCGAGTATGTGACAGAGTGCTTTTCACGGTCCTTGGGGCCGAACTCAAGGCGGAGGGGAACACCCTTGAGCTCCCAGTCGTTGAACTTCCAGCCGGGAGAGTATCCCTCGCGCATGTCCGTCTCGACGCGGACGTTGACCGCACGAAGGACCTCCGCAATGGCCTGGGTTTCACTGTATAGGGCCTCCCTGTCCTCGGGAGACGTCTTTGCCGTGATGCCAACGGGGATGAGAACGACCTGGATGTCGGCAACACGGGGAGGGATGACCAGACCCTTGTTGTCCGAGTGAGTCAGAACCATGACACCGATGGAACGCGTGGTCAGACCCCAAGAGTTCTGCCAGACGTGGATCGGGGGCTTCTTGCCCTCACCCTCCTTCACAGGGCTGGGATCCTCGACGGTGATATCGAACATCTTGGAGAAGTGCTGGCCCAGGCAGTGAGATGTGGCGGCCTGGATGCCTCTGCCGGTGGCCGGAATGTAGCCCTCAATGGTGGTAGTGTACTCGGCGCCGGGGAACTTCTCGTTCTCTGTCTTGACACCCTGAACAACGGGGCATGCCAGCAGGTCCTGGTAGACACCCGCGTAGTAGTCCAGAATCTGGCGAACTTCCACACCGGCCTCCTCCTTGGTCAAGTGGGCAGTGTGACCCTCCTGCCACAAGAACTCACGCGAACGGATGAAAGGCATGGGGTGCTTGAACTCCCAGCGCACGACGTTGTTCCACTGGTTCAGCTTCAGAGGGAGATCACGGTGACTGCGGATCTCGTTGGCGAAGTAGGGGTACATGGCGGTCTCGGAGGTGGGGCGGACGGCGACGGGCTTCTCCAGATCACTCTTGCCTCTGCCTAGGGTTCAGCTTCACAGTACTTCTTGACAGGTTGTGTGACTCACCCCTTGGTGACCCAGGCGACCTCGGCGGCGAAACCCTCGACGTGCTCCTTCTCGCGCTGCAGGTTATCGGCAGAAATGAAAATGGGGAAGTAGCAGTTCTTGACGCCCATCTTCTTGATGCGATCGTTGAACCAGCCCTGGATAGACTCCCAGATCGCGTAGGAAGAAGGCTTGAGAATGTAGCAGCCGGCGACATCGTAGTAGGCGAGCATGCCACCCTTGGTCAAGACCTGCTGGTACCATTCGCCCAGGTCGTCCTCCTTGGCCACATCGATGCCAATGAGGGCAGCACCCTCGACCTTCTTCTTCTGCTGTGCAGGCTTCTGCGCAGGCTTGTCCTTCTTCTGCTTGGGCTCCTTCTTCGGCTTGGGTTCCTTGGTGCGCTCGGGCACGGTGGTGGGCGCCTCGGAAGCCATGGCGGGGAACTTGCGGCGGAATTGAGCTCTGTAGCGATGCGGAAGGGGAAATCTGGGGGACGCCTGGGCGACGTGGAGGCAGGCGGAAGTGGGCACGAGAGGAGCGGCAGCGTTTGGGCGGGAGGGAGGTAAATGATGCGCGAACGAGAAAGGTGACAGGCACGCGCGGCGCTGAGTCAAGTCCACGGTGGGATGCGCGGGGTCAAGTAAAAACAAGTGCTGGCCGGTCCCTTGCAGCCGGTCCCCGCGCGCGACGGGGCCACGACAACCGCGGCGACTACCCGGCGGGTGCCAAGGCGCATCGCCGGAACATCGAAACGCCGCTGGAGATCGCAACGCCGGTGGAAGGCAGCCCTGGCCCGTTTTTGTGGCAGAAGCTCAGCGCGTCGAGCTCTCCACACCCCCCTTTCTACGCGTCCCACGACACCATGGCCGGTATCTTCGAGCAGCCGCGCAACGCCGGCACCCTTTGTACGTCCACCGCCCTCGTCGCGCCTTGCTTCCCGCCCCGCAGCCCCTCCGTGTCCCGCCGCACCTCCGTCCCTGCTCCTCTTCCACCGACTTCTCTCCCCCGCCATTCCTCCGCGAAGCTCTGCCTTTGCAGGAATGCCTGTCTTTTGCCCCCAGCTAATCCGCGACCACAGTCCTCGGCGGCCAGAAAATCAGTGGCCAGGACATCCGCGACCAAAATGTCCTCGCAACCCAAGCAATCGCCAATGTCGTCAAATCCTCGTTTGGCCCCTCCGGCCTGGATAAGATGATGGTTGACGACATCGGCGATGTGACTGTGACCAACGACGGCGCCACCATCCTCTCGCTCCTCGAGATCCAGCATCCCGCCGGCAAGATCCTCGTCGATTTGGCACAGCAGCAGGACAGGGAGGTTGGTGACGGTACCACCTCCGTCGTCCTGATTGCCGCCGAGCTTCTGCGCCGTGCAAACGAGCTGATGAGGAACCGGATACACCCCACTACCATCATCACCGGTTACAGGTTGGCTCTGCGCGAGGCCGTGAGGTACATGAACGAGAACATCGCCATCAAGGTCGAGAACTTGGGCAGGGAGTCGCTGGTCAACATTGCGAGGACCTCCATGTCCTCCAAGATCATCGGTGCCGATGGCGACTTCTTCGCCGACATGGCTGTCGACGCCATGCAGGCTGTGAAGACCACCAACCAGAAGGGCGATTCCAAGTACCCCGTCAAGGCTGTCAACATCCTCAAGGCCCACGGCAAGAGTGCTACCGAGTCCATGTTCGTCAAGGGCTACGCCCTCAACTGCACCGTTGCTAGCCAGGCCATGGTGACGCGCGTCACTGACGCCAAGATTGCTTGCTTGGACATCAACCTGCAGAAGGAGCGCATGAAGCTGGGCGTCCACATCACCATCGACGATCCCCAGCAGCTAGAGAAGATTAGGGAACGCGAGGCGCAGATCGTTCTCGAGCGTATCGACCTCATTCTGAAGTCAGGTGCCAACGTTGTCCTGACTACGAAGGGTATCGATGACCTGTGCTTGAAGGCGTTCATTGAGAAGGGTGCCATGGCGGTGCGTCGCTGCAAGAAGGAGGACTTGAGGAGAATAGCAAAGGCTTCTGGTGCGACGCTCGTCTCCTCGTTGTCGGATCTCAACGGCGACGAGAAGTTCGAGCCTTCGCTATTGGGCCATGCGGAGGAGGTGTCCCAGGAGCGCATCTCCGACGACGAGTGCATCCTGGTCAAGGGCACCAAGGTGCACTCTTCGGCATCCATCATCCTCCGCGGTCCCAACGACCTTTCTCTTGACGAGATGGAGCGCTCGCTGCACGACTCTCTCATGGCCGTCAAGCGTACGCTGGAGAGTGGCCGCATCGTTCCCGGTGGTGCTGCTGTTGAGACCGCATTACACATCTATCTGGAGGAGTGGGCAACCTCGGTGGTACGTATTCTATCCTTTGTCAAATCCTGCCTGTCGACTAACGCAACATCAGGGGTCCCGCGAGCAACTTGCCATTGGTTCCTTCGCCCAGGCCCTCCTCGTCATTCCGACCACCCTCGCCGTCAACGCGGCCAAGGACAGCAGCGAGCTCGTTGCCCAGCTCCGCAGCCGGCATGCGGTGGCGCAGCGCACCACAAACGATCCCAACGCCTCGACCGCAGCCGAGAAGGACGCGGCCAAGAAGAAGGACTACAAGAACTACGGCCTTGACCTCACCCGCGGCAGGCTCGTCGACCAGCTCAAGCAGGGCGTGCTCGAGCCCAGCATGAGCAAGGTCAAGCAGCTCAAGTCGGCCGTCGAGGCCTGCATCGCCATCATGCGTATCGACACCCTCATCAAGCTCGACCCCGAGCAGCGGGCCGAGGACGATGGTCACGGTCACTGAGAAGAGACTGACGTAGACATATGAGCTGAGATGGCCGCGCCGCCGTTCACGAAGCGGTATTTGTTGTAAGATGGAGCACCGTTGAGAATGGTTAGAAGCACTGGCGCCGGTGGGAAGTAAAATAAGAAAAATGAGTGTAGTCAGCTCAATGTGATAATACGATCATGAGTCTCAGCGCATTGATTACCGTTCATCGCAACTATGTGTATATCTTCGTTTCGCTCGCCGTAAGCCAACTCGGTGGTCGATTTAGCTTCGATGAGCAAGCAGCTTTCGAGATCCGTCCTCCCTGAAACATACCCTCCCGTGTCATCAGATGTCATACTGTGTCTCTGCGATAGATGTTACTGCACTGAACAAAACAATCTTACAGTTGAGCTTCAGGGTGACGAATAATGTCCCCTAAGATATCACGCCAAGACAAAAATGGTGATACTGTAGTAGCCAGGCGTACACACACCATAAGGCGAAGGAGGTAGGTAAGTGCTCAATGCATTCAGGAGCTGGATTTGAGAGCGATGGATCACGGAGCGACGATTCAGAGCCTTCCAGCCATGATCAACAAAAAAAAAAAAAAAAAACTGCGTTTGAGAGATAAATGCGGGAGGCTGTGCGAGTCAAGCCAGAAGGAAAGAAAGGGTACGTAGGTGTGGTAGCCTGGTGCGCAGAAGCCCTGAAGAGAGAGAGAGAGGGAGAGAGAGAGAGAGAGAGAGCCATTTTCCCTGAGCAGAGAATTCGTATGTAGGTTAAATGCTCTTTCACGACACATCACACAGCGACAGAAGGAGAAAATACATCGACGAAATCGTAAATGTCCTTCATTCATTCAAGGGCTTCCGGCATCCCGTATAGAAGAAGACCAAATCAAAGCGAGCAGGCACGCAAAATGAAGTTTCAAAGGCAAAGTTGATGTGATGGATAACGACTCTGGGGCATGTCTACCGCAACTGAGGGAGAAAGAAATCAAGAACAAGCAAAGAAACCTGAGCTGCCCCCCTCGCCATGACCTGGACCTTTATGATACACAATAGAACCTCCCCACCATGGTGTAGTAGCGCTTAAGAAGAAACCAAAGCATTAGATGAGAGACCCGTTGCTCATTTCTCATCGCCAACCAGCACCGCCCATGTATTTTCCCTTTGTTCCCCCACCCCCCCTCGATACCAAGTAGTAGTAGAGCTTCGCACCAATGACTCCTTCCTTCCCTTCCCCCCTCTGATCATTCCCGAAGTTTGCCCAATTAAGTGTGATGCCCTCAAAACCCCTGTGGATGGAATAAAGTTCAAATAAAAAGAAAAAAAGGCTTTTCATGAAAAGGAGGCCCGCCAAAACGAGCAAGAAAGGGATAATGTAAAAAAAAAAAAAAAAAAAAGGCTCGCTCCCGCCGCGAAACGGGAGTGAGAAGAAGAGAAAGAACCAGAAAAGGATAAGGTATCATATACTGTTATGCAAACAACGCTTTGATGGAGGAAAGAAACAGGGAACAGTGTTTAACAACAAGAGCACAATCAGAAAGTGCCGTTCGGAATGGAAGGCGGGGGCACTCCCAGTCGAAAATGTCGTGTCGAAGCGAAGAGGAAGATGCATCATCATCATCATCATCATCACCACGCAGCGGCCCGCGAGCATGGTTTGGAAACTGAGCGAAATACGTCTGAGGCGTGTTGGCAAGGAAACCTGAAAAAGGTACATCGGCGGGTCCGTGCTGGAAGGGACGAGATCAACCGTCCTTCAGCTGCGCTCTCAGGCCCAGGTTCTCCCTCTTCAGTCGCCAGTTCTCCTTTCGTAATCGCTCCGTCTCCTCCTGGGATTCGCGCAGTTTGCGGCGCATCTCCTCGGCGCCATCGCCTCCTTTCACGCCTCGCAGAATTCTTGCCAGCTCGTCGTTGAAACGGCCGTAGAGAGCCTCGTTCTCTGCAGTGGCTTCGCGGAACAAGTCGTCGAGTCTCTTGGCGCGGGCCTCCGAGACCTGGAGAGAGGACGCAACGTCGCCTGCAATGGACGCGGTGCGGTCTTGTAGCGAGGAAAACACCGACGGAATGCGCGCCTCCAGGGATGAAAGGCGGGCGACCAGAGCCGCGGTTGGGGAACTGTTGCGGCCAAGGGTGGCGATGGCACTGAAGCCATCGCTGGAGTTCGCCTTTGGTGTGGTTGGACGGAGGCGGCTGGGAGTCTGTGGCTCGGTTTGCATGCGGTTTGAAGTTGGGCGAAGCGGAGGGATCGTGCCATTTGGCAGATTCATGATCTCGTCGCCGAGCTTGCCGATCTCATTCTGAAGCACAGTCTGAGCACCGTTGATGGCGTTTTGCTCCCTTTGCAAACGCTCACGCAGCTTCTGTGGAGACTGCATCCGAAGCTTCCTTGTGGGAGAGAACATGATGGGCGCTCCCAAGCCCGACATAGGCTTACTGAGTTCGTCTGGATTCGGATTTCCTACAGCCTTGGGACGGTTTCCTGAAGAGGGACGCTCCGTAAGAGGGAATGTGGGAATGTTGCTGGCGCTGTGAGTAGGACGATGAAGAGTCGGAATGGCAGAGATGGTCTTGGGCGGAATGTTCTCCGTCAAGGTGTTTGCGCGTGGTTTCCTCATCGACTGTATGTTCAGGGGCGCAGGCGTGGGTGAGTCAATCTTTGACTTGGGCTGCAAGTTCAGTGGCGTAGGTGAGTCGGCTTTGGTCTTGGGCTGCACGTTCAGAGGCGCGGGAGAGTCGGTCCTTGTCTTATCACTGCCCCCTGCGGTACGCGGACGCGGAAGGGCACTGGCAGGGGCAGGCGAGCCCTCCTTGCGGACTGGGGATCCGTAGCGAGATAGGCTCGGTATCGCAGAAGGCTTGGGTGGAGAAGGCGTGTTCGGAGAGGCCGTCGGAATCCCATTTGGTTTGACACGACGCGGCGTTTGAGGCGCTCCTACCCACGGCTGAGGATCCTTTTGATTCTCTTGTAGGTTGGGCAAATCCGAGAGGGAGCTGCGACGTTTTCTACGGGGGCTCTCGCGCCCTTCTCCAATGGTAGCCAAAGCCCTCGAAGGGGAACCCTCTTCAACAGTGAAGGCTCCCATGACCGTGGGCCTGTCACGAGACCCTGGGCGTTTCGGTGACGCTCGCGCATCTTGGTCGGTTGAGTGGGACCTCAGCAGGGGAGTTGCCTTAGACAGGCTGGAGGCTTGCCCGTCGGTGTTGCGACCATCGGTGTTGCGATGCGCCTTGCTCAGCGTCCTCCACACCGAGCTAACCTTGGACTCAATATCGGACTTGCTGTTCTCCCGGCTTAATCCACTAAATCCCTTCAGACCGAAACGCCTCTTGAGCGAAGATGAATTCGAATGCATGCTCACGTTCGTCTTCGATCCGTACCGTGAGTTCATGGAACTCTGGCTAGGTGTCAGACTACCGCTTGACGATGGTCTGCCGAAAAGGGTGTCGATGTCCTCAATGAATCGGTCCAGGAGAGAGATGAAGTCATGGGAGTTGCCGTCTGGGACCAGAACCTCGGCAAAGGCCGCGGTGATCATTCCACGATCGCCATCGTTGGCTGTACCCGCTAGCAAATCCGCAAGAAGCTTGATGGAAGCGCGCAGGGCACGTTGGTTCTGTGGCATCAGCTCGCCAATCTGTTTTCGGAAAAACTCCTCAAAGTCGCCGGGATAGTCTTCCGGGTGGGATTGTAGGGCATTTAGAATTTCGACAGGCACGACGAGCCCCAATTTCTCCTTCCAGGCAGTCTGAAGAAACTTTTCATATGACCTGAAAAGAACGTCTACGGGCTGTTGTGAAGCAAGCTCAACATTGGCGGGTTCCTCTAGCAACGAGTTGTAGAGCTCATTGACTGCAAGCTCGTTTGCATTCGCTCTGTTGCGGATGACGCGACCCACAACATTCCCTTTCCGTGCGTGAAGTGAAAGAATATACGTTGCCAGAGTCTCCTCCAATTTCACAAGCGGGTCGTTGACATGCTCTTCTACGTCAAGCGAAGACCTGCTGGCCGTTTTGCTGCTTAACAGGTCATCCCTGGACGAAGGTCGGCTGGAAGACTTGTAGGGAGAATTCTGCCCGGAGCCGCCGTTCGGCGCGAATCTAGGAATGTCCCCGAGAACTGGCGGCGGGCGTTGTAATCTGCGCGGTGTACCTTCCTTGTGATTGTTGACGAAGACCTTGGAAAGAACCTTGGTGGGTGACCTACGATTGGATGATCCTGCCCGTTCGAGTATTATGCCGTCCTGAGCGGCCGCGTCTTCCGTCCGGATCTTCAGCGACTGCAAGATCTGCTGGTTCCGCAATAGGAATATCGGAGTCATTGCCGGATTTTGGATCCTGTTACGCAGCTGCAGGTAGTTGCCGACTGTACTACGTTAGTTGAAGGCCGGGCAGGGAAGGCGTCACACAGGCACCTGCGGCACCAGCTGGATCAACTCACCTCGCTTTGACAAAACCGGAAGCAGTTCCGTCGCTGTCACCTTGTCGCGAGTAGAATAGCCGTTCATGCCCTCGATCTGTAGCCAATACAGCTCCTCCGTTGCCGCAGTAACGGAAGCGATCAGTTCCACGCCTTCGTCACCAGCATTGAGCGTTCTTGCTCCCTTCTGAGGGTCGATAACAACGCGAATGCGAGCAGGATCACGACGTCCTTCAGGGATCATCCCATCGGCTTCCTCGAAGATGGCTGAGAAAAGGTTCATGTCCCCTGTCAGGCACCTCACGTCCCATTTGTGACTTTCACGTTCGGCTTCGGAAAAGCGACACTCGACCCTCGCCTTGACAGTCTCTTCCAGCCAACGGGCTGCCTTCATCTCGTACGACCCTGTGAGATAGAACATGCAGAGCGAAGAGGCGTTGAGCGAATGCAAGGTGGTCGGCGGCTGTGACGATCCATCCGAGTGATACAACTGAATCATCGAACCGTCATCGACTTCATGAAACCAAATGTTGTCGAGTTTCATGTGTTGCAAGAAGATCAACTGGGTCGCGATTTGAGGGGGTTCGTCGAGGGGCACACTGGGGTTGTCGATCTCTGCAAGGAGTCCTCTGGCGGACATGGTCTTGTGACCAGACTTGATAAGGAGCACAAGCTCATCGGCGAATAGGAGGAGGATGGCGGGGCTTGCACCTCTTGCCTTGACATCCTTGCGATAAGGCGGTGCTAGCTCAACAACATCCATAGCAGTGATCAGGCGGCCCTCGGGATGGAACGCTGAAGGCCATGAAGGTATCAGGTGCTGGAGGCGTTCGATGACCTTTGACAATTGCCCGGATGGAGAGTCCCGAGAACAGATCTCTGCAATGATGTCGCGGGCCTTTAGGAGCGGCTTCAGGGCGGGATGGCGGACGGGAAGTTGCTTCACAAGATTGTCGATGTAAAGGCTGTAGCGCGGAAGACGTTGAACAGGCTCGATGAGCATCGACATGAGCCTTTGCTCACCGGTCTCTTGCACACGCTTGGAGAAACTCGAGCCGGTCTCCCTCAGGAAAATCCTGAGATACTGACCAAACTCAGCGTGGGCTTGGATGTACTCGGTATAGCAGTCGGAAAACTTGGGGAACCACTCGACAAGGCACTTGGCGAATGCGAAGGTTCCAGTAACGTCCGCATGGAGGTCCTCGGGGGTTCCGGATTCGAGAAGCTCCCCGGCAGTGGCTTCAATGTCCTGGATCGCTTCGTTCTCGGTCCCCTCTATTATCTTGCGGATGTCCTCCAAGAAAGAGGTGTTGACAGTGAGAATCTCATCAAGGCTCGGCGGGAAGAGTCCTTCCAGAGCCTCCTCACTCGGACTCGAGCTGTTGGGGCTCTTGCTGCGCGCCTTCTGCCGGAAGTCTTCGGCGACACTGTGCAGCAGATCGTAGACCTTGCCGACATAGTTCTCCTCGGTGTCAATGAACTCGCACAGCTCACGTCGCAGGTTTTCCTTCTGCTGGCGCGTGAACTGGACGGAGCGACTGAGCCCAGTGGGCTTCGAGGGCGCGCGTCGCAGCCTCGTGGTGGGGAGAAATGACGGCTCGCCAAAAGCCTTGACCAGCGGCGCATACTCGCCGTATCGCGCATCCAACATGACCTGCTCGGCCGTCTCCTCGGGCAGGAGAGACTCGCGCAGGTTGCTGTCCAGCTCCTTGACCGATCCGGGCGGAAGCACCACGTCGACATCCAGCCACGAGACACCCTGCTCGGCGAGGGCTTGCCTCACATCCTGCACCACCTCGGCAGCGTTGTCCACCCGGGCCATGCGGCCTGCCAGCGAGGCGGCATGCGCCTCGCTGAAGAGTTTCGGGGCGGACGGGGGCCTCCCCTGCGAATTGGTCCGGCTCTGCCATGTCGACTTGGCCACCGGGGACAGCTCGCTGAAGTACTTGAAGAGGCTGAAGGCGAGGGCGCGACAGACCTCGTCCCCCTGGTCTTCGCGCGCGAGGCAGTCGACGGCGGCGTAGAGCGGTGAGCTCGGGGATATGGTCAGGCGCGGATACGACAGCAGGCCAGCGGGGGAATAAATGTGGACCTGGACGCGGCCAGCTGTCGAGTTGACGGTCTGGGTGGAGGTGGCGCCGTAGAAGACGAGGAACGGGGCGTTGGACAGCAGCTCGTCGGTGGTGTAGAAGGGCTCCAGCAGGTCGGGCGACAGCGCCGGCGGCGGCGGGCTGATGAGCACCATGTCGGGCGCCAATTGAGGTGTTTCGCAGCTGGCGACCGTCAGAGAGACCGCGCGGGGGGCGGTGCAGCGAGGGCCATAGGAGGGCGCGGACGGCGCAGGAGAGGTGGGGGAGGAGGCCGTCAACAGGAAGATGCGACGCTGATAGTCGACCGGCTTCCCGTGCGAAGTGGCTGGCTACTGTCCGGCGGATGAACCCCAGCTGGTGCAGCCAGGTAGGATGCATGACAGGGGCCGCCTTGCGATCCCAAAACGGGCGCGCTGTGGCGCCGCGCGACGCGACGACCGCTCGCTCGCGTCCGTCGGCTAAGCTGCCGCCCGCCATGCGACTGCTGCATCCGCCGCGACTGAAAGACGCTGCGCTGCCATCTGGACAGCCTTCCGCCGCGCCGCTCTGCGCTGCTCTCCGCCGGCCCCGCGTCCCGCCTGCTCCCGCCTGCGCCCGCCGCCATGTCGACCCAGGACCAGCGCGGCGTGCCCGTGGGCGTGGCTCATGCGCAGCAGCAGTTCCGCCTGCTCGAGCTCCCGGACTCCCTGCTGGACCTGCTGGCCTCGCCGAAGCCGCCGGTGTGAGTGCGCCGACCAGACGCGAGCCTTGGACGCGCCCTCTAACCTGCCAGGGTAGGCTGTCGATCAAGTCCAGGCCCATGCCCGCAACCCAGAGTGCATCAGCCCAGCAGGAGCAAGCCTCCGCCGTGCTCTGCACGTCCAACAAGACGTACCATCTCCGCCAGGTCCACACGTCCAACTCGGTGCATTTGACCCAGCCCGCCAATCTCAGTGCGCAGCCCGGCATTTCTGCCATCGCCAAGTGTGGCTCGGTGCTCGAGGCTCATCCCGTGACCGAATCCCCAGTCTCCTCGGTGAGAGAAGCCATTACCAGGATCTGGCATGCTGAAAACTGGGACGGCGACGGGTTCGCGCAGTTCAGCGGCGCAGTCGTGCCCAAAAGGAAAGAGGACTTCTTCGCGGATATTCCTTTTTCGGACGCGGAATGCGAGCAGGCCTGGGTAGAGCTATGCGCCTTCGAACACGAAGACAGCCCTGCTCTTCCGACTCTGCCCACATTATGGACTTACTGGAAGACCATCTTCACCACCGCTGTCGCCGAAGGAACAGACCTGGGTGCACAGTTTCAAATAGCGCACTTTGCAAAGACGCTGGAGGACGAGGAAGGTCTCCTCTCAGGGCTGGTCGAGGCAATCTTCTACCGTCTGTTGCCCGACGACCAAATGGCGGGTGATGACTGTAAGCTTGGTCTCCATCTCTTCCCAAGCTCGCCTCTAACGTCATTCAGGGGCCGCCGTCGATCGTGTCAAGTGTGTGCCGTGGGTTGGCCGCAGCCTTCTCGCTGCACTCGACTCACACTACAGGACTGCCCGACCTACGGCAGAATTCTTAGACCTCTGGAGAGACGCGCTCCCCGAGGCGTGGAGAGAAGACGCACAACTCGAAGCCATCAAGGTGCGTCGTACGGATGACTTTCTACGGCTTGAAGGATGCTGACGGGATGACCAGGGTGGCTACACTTTGCCGTCAGACCACACCATCGCGCCCTTGGGGGCGAGCACGCTCTCGTCGACAACAGCAAGCTCGGACAGCAGCAAAGGGCCGCGCAAGTGGCACGAAAGGTTCAAAGCGACGAGAAAACAGTAGGTTTAGCGAAGCTATAGCGACCAGGCTGGCGTCGTACGTGTTACCATCCAACAGCTGCGGCCGCCGCTGCGACCAAAAGCAGCAGATAGTAACAGCAAGGAAAGCCTTGATCGGGCACGTTTCGCAATGCCTGTTCCTGCATGCGCGGTGCGACTCTCGTGTTCTGCCGTGATGTGTGACACGGCTTTGAAGCAAACAGGACGGGCGACCCCAACAAAATTTCCCTCACCCAGCCTCCGAATTTTCTCTTTCTGGGAGGAAACCAGCCACACGGGCTGAATCTGGGTAGGATGCCGGGAGGGCGGGCTCCACCCGGGACGGCACGCCCTGTACGTAATCCTGACCTATAAGAACGACGGCTCTCCGGACGCGCTCCGCACGCGTTTCACATGTGCGACGCGTTCTAGGAGCTTATATCTCCGCTGCTTATACACGGCTTTGCTGTCTGCACGCCAACGGTGCATCGGGTGTACCGCGAGAGCTCTCAAAGAGGCAAGGTCTTGTAGGCTTGGCTGCTCCGGCTGCGTGAGCAATCCCAAGCCAGAGGTTCGAAATGGCCTCTGACACATTTCTCCTGCGCATGCGGTTCATCAGCAAGCTGCACCAGTAGCTCAAGGCGAGCGTGCCAAGTATGTACCTAGCCAGCCTCCCCAATTTCCAAATTTAGGGTGAAGCGACTTCGACATGCTGATATCCGAGAGACGCAACGCAAGTCAGCTGTCCGCGATGATCCTTGCTGCTCATCCTACTACGCATCGCAGAGTCGCGGAGTCATGGCCTGAACACGGACGGGCGACGTGAGGCCAGATGCAGCTCTCGGGCCCGGCGGTAGGTGGGCAAGCGCGCGTCTATTCATCCGCGGTCAATCTTGGATCTCCGCTAATCGCACGCGGCCGTTGATCCCGCGACGTCTACTTGCCTGAGAAGGAATAACGGCGCTCGACGGGTGGAGTCAAACTGTCGGCATGGGGCCACAGGGCGGATTGCCGGACGTTAGCGATCTCAAACCGGCAAAACGACGTCATCCAATCTCATCAACTCCACGCCCTCGTACGCTCCGATCGTGAGCCAAGCTTTCTGACCGAGTCTAGATCCGGACTTCGACCACGGATTCGACTCCGACTACTCCAATTGCAGAAACCACTGCGAAAGATGCACGCGCTCAACACCCACGACCAGCTGAAACGAACTGCCACCTGTCATGGCCACGCCCGCTTCCCACACGTCACCCTCACACACGCCATGCACACGCCCTTGCCCCACTGCTCATCTTCAGCTGCTCCATCCTCCCCTCCAGCTCCTCCACCCACTCCTCGCCCAAGCTAGCCCACGCCTTCAGCCTCCACCGCGCGATCCTCGCCACCGCAGCATCCGCCGCTTCCCGGCGCGCGGCCCACCTCTACTCACCCAACGGTGCCAGCACGAGCCGCTCCGTCCGCACGCCCGTCTGCCAGGCCCGCGCGCCGCCCGCCGCCTTGCTCGCGGCGCGCACACACTCATCAAGGTCCATGCCGCCCGCGCGCGCCGAGTCGACGCCGTCAAACCAAGCCATGGAACCCACGGGGCAAGAAGAAAGAGCAATCTCCGCTGCCAACGAAATGAGGAGGAACATGTAGTTTTTTTTGGACTTGGACGGCGGTTCGTACCGCATCAGATCCCGCGTTCTCGACCTTAGACGCCGCACGGTGGGCCTCAGCACGTCACGTTTGCGCACGCGCGCGCGTATAGAAAGACGCCGTCCCGGTCGTCATCGGCGATGAGACCATATGGACGAGAACAGCGGGCTGAGGACGCAAGGTTGAGAAGTCATCCTTTTCTGCCATCAGCTCCTCCCCCCCCCCCCCCCCCCCCCCCCCCTGTCCGTGCTCCCGCGCCAATAACGTCGCCGGGTTGGGACACTTGCTTGCCCTGGGCGGCAGGCGCACACTCGTGGACGGAGCCGGTCCTGATGAAGCGCCGCCGGCACGGGCAACGGGTCGAGGCTGATGGCGGCAGACGCGCGGAGCAAGGCCACGGCCAGCTGCTGCGACGTCGCGCCTGCACCGCAGCCGAGGTCGAGGGTGCGGGAGGGGCGTGGAAGATGGGGGGGAAAGGAGGGGACGTGCAGGAGTTGGTTGGTCTTGAGGAAGAGGTAAGCGATGTTTTTGGCCCGTCGAGGTGGGCATGCTCTATGGTGCTTTTTGAGAGACGTTCCGGGTCGTTAATCGGATGCTCCGGGAGAAGCTGAAGGTTTACTGTGGTGGAGGAAGAGGAGCTACGCACTCGTTTGGAACAGGGTAAGGAGAGGACGTCTCGTGATAGAAGCGGCAGCCCCTCGCGAGGCTCTCGGCGTTGCTATTATTTTGTGGCATGATTGATTTCGAGCATGCTGAAGAGGTAAGTCTTGCTGCGGGACCGGACTGAATACCCCATCCTTCTCTGCTCCCCTTGCCAATCCCCCCCTCGCCTCGACGTAGACGTCACCTGCTGTTATCAGCAAACACGCATGTGCACCCAACCCAAGTCCGCTCTTCTTCGTGAATGCAGCGAGAGAGCGGAGGTCCAGAGCAGACGGCTGAGACTATTCAACTGCTCCCCGATGCACGTAATGTAGGCTGCCGCGCTACTCAGTTTGAGTTTCAGAGCGGAAAGCTTGAGCGACGATGCGGGGTCCATTCAGCCGCTTAAGCCAAGCTACCAGCAGGATGGAATATGCACCAAGGATGTTAGCTTTCATGATGGAGAGCTACTTAGATCTTGGTCGACCGTCCTTACATTAGTGCCTTGCGTGCTGGCGCGATTCTTGTGTACGGTTAAGGTGCCCTAACTCTTCGTATTTGTTCTTCTTTCTGTTCAAGATTCGATTATAGACGATCAGTTGAATAGGAGTTGCCTAGAATCCTCAAGTCGGTTGCTCGGTGAACAGCAAACTCGAGATCCTGCTTCCGGAAGCATATGATTTGAGGGGAAAAGAAAGGCAATTAGCTGAGCAATTAGATGAAGCAGCTTGAGCATCAGCATCAAAGATGGCACTAACGGCCGCTACGGCCGCTCACAAGACTCCTCCACATCATGACAGGATGGCTCAGTGGCATGGACCAGGCCGAAGAGCGTCGAAGCCCGCCGAGCTCAAATCTCTCTCTCTCTCTCTCTCTCTCTCTCTCTCTCTCTCTCTCTCTCTCTCTCTCTCTCTCTCTCTCTACATCTCCATCGCAGAACTCACGTCCCAACCCAGCACCTCAGTACTGCCCAATTCCCCTCAACCCAACCCAACCAGCCACTTCACTTCACTCCACTCTCCCAACGCCCCCTCCCCCTCCATTATTCACCTAACCACCTTCATCGGATGCGCCTCAGTATTAAACACCCACTCCTGCGCCCCCGCCGTCCACCCGCCCCCGACCTGCACCCCCTCCTGCGGCGCATGCGCCAAAAACGCATACTTGAGCGTCTCCGCCAAAAAGAAACTCGGCTGATAATTCGCGAAGCCGCCGCCACCGGCCGCGTTGACGTCCTTTAGCGTGCTGAAACCGACATCTCCCGCGACGGTGGAGAACTCGCGCAGGTTCCGCACCGCGTGCCAGATGTAGTCCTGGTACTTGCGGTCGCCGGTGGCGCGGTAGGCGTAGTAGAAGGACTCGAGCGCCTCGGGGCCGAGGCCGTAGCCGCTGCCGCCGCCGGCGGCGTCGATCCAGAAGCCGGCGCGCGCGTAGAAGGCGGTTTGGTTGGCGGGGATGGGGGTCCCGCCGTTGGTTTGGTTGGTGTTGCTGAGTGGGTCCCAGCGGAAGACGTCGGGGCCGAGGCCGGTTCTGGGGGGGTTTTTTTTGTTAGGTTTGGTGGTGAGTGGGGAGGGGGGCGGTTTTTTTTTTTTTTGGTGGAGTGGGAGGAGGGTTGGTTACGGTACAGAGGGAGGGAGGGAGGGGGGAGGGGAGACAAAGAAAGGGGGAGACACGATCACTTACAGTGTCTCGTTGTAGATGGCCTCGCAGCCGTCGACCAGCTTCAGCCCGAAGTCGATGTAGCGCTGCTCCTCCAGCACAAGGCCGCCCAGGATGAAGTTGCCGCCGTCGAAGCACGCGAGGTGTTCGCTGTAGCCGACGATGCGGGAGCCGTTGTGGAAGGCCAGGAAGGTCAGGTCCGGCCGCGAGCTTGGGTGCGACTCGAGATACTTGATGCTCGACTCGACGGCCGTTACCCATCTTCGTTTTTTGTTTCCCGAATCAGTAGCCGTGCCAACTCCACACTCTTTCGCCTTCTGCTAATATGTATGCCAAAAGAAAAGAGAAGAAAAGGGGGGAAAGAAAAAGCTCACCGATCCTTATAAAACTCAAACCTCGTCGGGTCATACACAAACATCTTGATCAGATACTCATAGAAGCTGTCCACACCCCCCACCCACCCCCCTTCCTCGCTCGTAAACCTCCCCGTCGTGATGTTGATCTCGATGCCAATCAGGCCCGGGTACGGCTCGCCAAACTTGCCGCGCGGGCTGACGAGCCAGTCCTGGCCCTTTTGCGCGAGCTCGCCGTACTCCGGCTCCCCCGTGAGGTCCGACAGCCGGGTCCACTCGAGCACTAGCGTGCCGACCTGGGCGATGTTGTTGTCGGTCGCGCCGTCGGTCGAGCGGTTGTTGATGTAGAGCCCGTTGGACGGGATGCCCGTCGGCGTGTCGAAGCCGAACTTGAGCGTGTCGGCGAGGAGACGCGCTTGCGGGAGGAGTGCGGCGGCTTGGGTTTCCTTTTTGTTTTTCATAAATTTTCCAATTTGTAAGACGAATGGTTACTCCCGAGGGGGGTCAAGAAGTTTGAGGTGTGACGTATGGAGTTTGTTTCCCTTTCTCCTCTCCTTTTCTTTTTTTTCCAATAGGAGTTTTTTTCTTTTCAGGTTTGGAGAAAGAAGTTTCGACTGTCTTTTTGTGCAGCTTTCAGGTAACTCACATTTTTGACCAGGTGTGCCAATGGGCCAGTCAGGAGGTCGTGGGCAGAGAGGAGACCAGCGAGATGGCGGATCTGGAAGAGGGGTTCAGCGGTCCGTCGGTGTGGGTTGGGAAGCAGCTTCGCTACGAACATTGGTCTCAAACAAGCTGCACTTCCTGTTCGTAGAATCGTGAGTGTAGTCGATTGTGGGAATGAATTCCAAGGACCTGTCCACAATGGACTGCAGGCCCATGATGCTAGCCGTGCTCAGGGCATCCACCACGGTCAACCCCCACCCGTTGCTATTCGCGGCAAAATCAGTTCGAATGACAAGGCACAGAGGTAAGTCGGACGCACTAATTGCTCACAAAGGTCCGGTTGAGCGGTCGCAGCTCGTCGTTGGGGAAAGCGTAAGTGTAGTAGCCCTCCCAAGCAGTGGTGAAGATGTCTTTGATCTGCGCGGCCCGTTCATTCTCTTCCGCAGTGGGGACAGCGCTATCCTGTCTCGCACCAAGCCGACCACGGGGGACACCAGCCGGCGATGCGGCCGCGAATCCCAGGAGGACGGCTTGGGCAGAGGCGAGACGCAACAAGACGTCGAAGCGCATGATTGCTTCGAAGCGAAAACGAATGAGCTGGGGAAACAAGCAAAAGTGAATGAATGGATAGTCGCTGCAGCTTGGACGAGGAACAAATAGGAGACGTCCTCAGACCCTACTTATATCGCCCGAGAGAAGCGGTGAGCTTGTTTATGATGCCAAAGGCCAGAACCTTGCACAACGTCTACTATCTGCCGCCTTCGGGTCATCATTGGGCGGCGCCGGGCTTGCATATCCAGTGCCACCTTCCCAAAAGCCTGGACCCGCAGCAAACTCCACAGCCGGCCCGCATGGAACCATTTTGACTGTGCGGGGGGGATATTAGACGGATGATATCACGGCTGATCTCGGCCTGTTCGGGAGCAACAAGGTTAAGGGGTACCTGGCATGCCAAGCCAGTGGACGTTGCAGCCGCCTATCAACATCCCAGCCACGGCCCTGCTCCTGCCTGAAATAAGGAAAATGGGAGTCGAGAAAAAAAGTATGCAGCAGCGCTAAGTATATTGCGGCACGCAGGAACCACAATTTCTCCGCAACTCTGTTGCTTGACGTGATTCTCTCCTCTGACGTGCAGCATCGCATGACCCTTTGAAACATGCCACTCGATCGACGAATGCAAATGTATTTTCTCTAGCATTAAAATCGACGTTAATGGTAACGAGGCCAGAAGTGACGAGACCTCGATCGGGGTATATCAAGCAATCCAGCCATCTCGGCTTTTCCCCCGCCTCGCTTGCTATGCTTTGCTTCAGACAACGAAACGAAAAAACCCTTGCGAAAGAAAACCCAGACCATACTGTACTGAAAACTCACGTATCCGTCGTAATAGCAAGCTGCTATGCCACCCATGCGCAAAACGCGCCCTTCAGCCCATGCGCGCGTAAAATCTGCTCTTGTAGCTGTGGATGGTATGATGGCGATTCTCCCGGCCCAATGCAAGTTTTGAAAAGAAAAGACGCGCACACCCACCCCTTTTATGTTTCCCTCTGTCGATCCCCTCTTGATTATCAAACCACAGCTTCTTCGTCGTGACTGCCGCTTGAACCTCTCGAACCCCTTCTGCCCTTCGCCATCTTGGGCTTGCCTGACAGCCTGCCCCGCTTCTTCTTAGGAGTCCCGGACGAACCCATGGAACCCTTGCGCTTGCGACCACGTGGGCCGGCTCCACCAGGCGTCTGGCTGCCGCCGCGGCTCTCGTCTTCGTCATCCGGTGTGTCGTAACCCGCCGCCCTGGCTACCAACTCGGCTTCCTCGTCGTCTTCCGACGCGACCCTGAGCTCGTTGTCGATCGAGAGCAGCTCCGCGAACGCTTTGCACTGCGCAACCATGGCCTCGGTGCTGGACAGACAGTCCATGAGCGCAAGCATCTTTTCCCAGAACTTGTCCGGCACGATGAAGGGCTGCCGACTGGGCGCTTTGTTGAGGTCCTTGATGGTAGGCTTGTTGCCGGTCTTGCCGCCCTCGCGCTGCTTCTGCAGACCCCAGAGACGGCGAAGATAGGTCCGAGTTTCCCAGATCATGGTCAAGACGATCGACGCGATGGTGAGATGCTTGAGACGCTCCGGCGCAACATCCAAGGACTTGTTCTGTGTCTCGCCATTGAGGAAAGACTGTTGAATAGGCTGTTGCGCCAGCAGCGAGGGGAACGGTTCCGTAGAGTTATCGAACGACTGCTGCAGCATGGGAGCGAAGGCCTCAATGGATGTGGCGACCGGAGGTGGTGCTGCAGGCTCATCCAGACGGACCTTCAGTACCTCCAGCTCGATGGCGTGGGCCACCGGAGTGCCCGTGTTTGAAACTATCTTCTCCATGTTTGAAACGAGCGAAAGCAGCTCGTCAACTCGGACGTAATCGAAAAAAGCCAGATTCTCCAAGCAGAAGCGAGAATAGAGCAGATGTGGTGGAACATCCTCAGAAGTATCGAGTTTGGAAAAGTCGAAATCGGCCTTTGAAGCCAGGTTCAGCAAAAACTTCTTACGGACCTTGCTGTTGCCCGTCTTGAGAACTTCAAACAATGAACGAAGCTTGGGTGCGAAAGGATGAGTGGTTGCGCCATGCGTATCATGAAAGATACTTTGCTGGTATTCGAAAGCTTGGTGGCATGCCTTCATGTACTCCTTCTCAAACATGCTCTCGTGCTTTTGATGCAGTGTCTTGTGCTCTTGGAACGCAAGGTTGGCGATGAACTGGTTGGTTGACGTCTCAAGAGCCACCAGAGCGGGGCCGCATTCCTTCGGATGTACCAGACCTTGACGATTGATGCTGGCAATGACTTGGGCTGCTATCATGGCGGGCTCCTCGGCTGGCTCCAATGCGATGCGGACAATGTGGTGCAGGAACCGCTGAGCAATGCCGCTGCAAGCACCATCGTCGTCACTGGCGATTAGGGATACCTCAAGGCGTTCAGACCCGCGAGTTACACCCTCACCCACCTTGATCTGGGCACCCGACTCCGACTTGGCTTCTTGCTTGGCAAAGAACGTCTTGAAAGCAGACAAGACGATTTGTTCCAACTTTGTATCGCGGTTGTGGAAGACAAGCTCAAAAGCAGTCGTGACATCGGTCCGGAGAAAGTGGAAAGGCCAGGCCTGGCAGATCATGCCGATGCTCTCGAAAGCCATCTCCCGCAGATTGTGTGGGAGCTTTTGGCGAGTGAAAGGCCGGATTACATCAACAATCAAGCCGGCAACTGAACTACCTTTCCACCACGGAAACTTTTCCTTGAATGCCGCAGTGTGTGGATCAAAGTTGCAGCATTTCCCGAAGTAGCCTGCGATCATCATATACCGCTTGACCCTGTTCTGAGCCTGGGCTGCCTGTGGGGTATCATCGGTGAAATTAGTGTCTTTGCTTGCATACACACCGTTGATGACTGAAATAGTCAGCCGGACAAGGCGCTCGGTGTTCTGGAGGACCCCGTCAATGATCCAGAGGCATTGAGCGACCTCGTTCAACTCCATTTTGCCAAGCTTCGAAACGCTCGCCAGCAGAGCATCCTGAACCGCCTTGAGGAAAGTGTTCTGGAGCGACGAGAGAGAAGGCAGTGTGTGACGAAAAATGACGATGACTGAGCGATATATCAGCAGATCATCCGTGTTGGACAGGTTCTGAATGTAAGGCTGCAGGAGCTGTAGCTGATCTCCTGTGAAAAGTTTTGGGTTCGCCCTTGCGAATACAGTCAAAGTCTGCAAGATGTGTTGCTGCGATGGGTTTTCTGGAAGTTCTGTACTGTCAATGACGCCGTCGAACATGACAGCAACCATGCTCTTGCAAACGTTGAAATTAGCGGTGCTGTTCTTTGACCCAGGTGATAGGACATTCTCTAGGAGAGCGTCGAGCACAGAAAGAACGGTCTCGCCGCGCTGGACCGTCCTGATGATGAGCACGACTTGGTTCTGAAGAAGAAACTTGGACTGAGCACGCTCCATCTTGTTAGTCGCATGGAAAGGTGTGAACCAGATCTCTTCAAATGTCGTCCTTGCAAGCTCAGAAACGCCGTCGTCGACATCCTTGATGCGCTGCAAGAAAGCTTCAGCAATGGCTGTCTTGACATCTTTGGACTCATTCCTGAGATATATATCCCTGAGGAGCTTCATGGCTCGCTTTCGGACACCAACCGCGGCATCGTGCGCACGAGCAATGATCCTGTCAAACACCTCATTCTCGAGTGACGGCTTGAATTGAAGACACTTAGCAAGGAGACCAAGTGCAGAATCTCTGACCAGTGGAGATTGATCGGATGCGCAGCGCAAGATCTGGTGGATGATGTAGTGACCGTTCTTCAGAATGGAAGGATCCTTTTCCAGAAGTTGAACGACACTTTTCAAGCTCCTGCTCTTGACTGTGGCCTGATCGCTGGTCATGGCACTGAGAAGGATGGCGAACATGCGCTTGAACGCTTTGCAGAAAGGGAGCCGAAGTGCGACAATAGAGCCAGCGAGGATGCCTTGGGCTGTCGACACTTTGGTAAAGTCAAATTCCTGTTCGAGCCACTTGGGATCCAGCATCATGTTTCGTAATTGGATCGCCAGAGTTCCACGCATGTTTTCGTCCTCATCTTTGTCTAGATAACCGTGAACCTCTTTAGCCCACTGAGTTACGTGGTAGCCTTGGGCGCTCTGTAGCTGAGGATCATCTAGGTCGCGAGACTCCAGATACTCCAAAACCACGCGGTAAGGACCATCGAATTCGAGAAGATCGGCATCTTTTGAGTTATCGTCCAGAATATCCTCTGCGGTGTTGGCAAGTTGGCGAGAAAGCTCCGACTCTGCTGTGTCAATACTTTTTACAGCGCTTTTGACGTGAAGTTGTAGATCCAGAATGCCAGATCCCATCAGCCCCATCAAATCCAGAGCCATGTTCTTCGCGGGCGCCGGGCTCTTGTCGTTCTCAGCGAGGCCGATCATGTTCGATAGAAGAGCTCTCAGAAGTAGCTCCGCTGCAGGCCAGTCGGACGATCCGAGGACAGTCAGGAAGTCCTCTGTAAAAATGTCCAGCAGGTTGCGGTAAGGCTGATCACCAGTTTTCGTAGCTGTCATTGCTCGTTGAACCATGAAGTTCACCAGGTAGCGAGCGCTTTTCTGCGCGTCCTCAAAGAGTGGCTTCATGACGCTGTTCAGCTCTTCAATCAAGTCCTCGCGGTCCATTTGAGCAGCATCATGCATCTCAATGATACCGGACTGGTCAGGAGCAGGAGAACGAGCGCCATTCTGAGATGCATTCTCATCATCCTCGAGCTCATCCAACCGCAAGCCTTGTACATCTTTGTGCGTGTCCTTGATCGAACGGGTCGCGCTGGTCTGGATGAGTCGCATTAGCAACGCTGAGACTAGCTGGATCGGCTTTCCGTTCAACATCTTGAACTGTCGAGCGCTTTGTCGAGTTACGGGGAGCTTCTCCAGGGACGTGAGTATCTCGTCGAAAATAAAAGTCCTCTGATCAGGGTAGCGCGCGAAGATCTTCGCCAAGACGTCCATAGCGATTCTGCGCATGCCTTCGCACTTCTGGATTCCAAGCGCTGAATCCTTTTCCGTGGGTGCGTTTTCGACGAAGATCAGCGTGGTCGATACAAATTCCACTGAAGTGACGGCGCTGTCAGAGACATCGACCTTAACAATCATTTCCGCTAGAAGCCTGAGAACCTTTCCTGCCATCTGCAGAAGCGAGTTAAGGTGCCCTCGTTGCGCAGAAATGATCTTGAAGGAGGCATTGTTAGTCTCAGAATTGCGTGCCTCGAAGACGGGTATCATGCATGTTTCCAGAACATGCTTCAGAGCATCAAGAATACTGGATAGAATATCCTCTGAGTAGAGCTGCTTCTCTTCACGCCCAGCTGTCATGATCCTGAGAAGTATCCTGGCAGCTTGCAGTCCATGTTGTGCCCTGTTGAGACGGCCAACCCATTCTTCGATATCACCCTCTGACCAATCTTCACCAAGCGTGATGGAAAGACTGGAGACACTGCTGACAGCTCCCTCACATAGCTTTTGCAAGCGACTGAGACTATCCGCAGGGATATTTCCGAAAGCCTTGGCGGAGATGACCTTGTGCAAGGCGGAGTCCAGTCTCGACTGTGCATCCGAAGAGAGGACGGGAAGATCGTTGTCGCCAACGTTGCTAGGGACGAAGAACCTCGCGGCATCGGAGGAAATGTTTCCGGAAGTGTCCGGCTGTAGTTGATCCTCAGCCTCGAAGATATCCCCAATCAAGTTCTGCAGGCGCATGACAGTCGCTTCGATCCTCTGTCTCTGGTCGATGCTCATTGTTGGTACCACATCGTCTTCCCGTTTGCGTTTGCGCGAAAGTCCATCTTCACAAGCAAGAATTCGCGCGTCGACGTCTGGATGGGCCTGGTACTCGATCTTTTGCAAAGCTGAAGGAAGTTTAAGGACGACGATTCCAGCGCCAACCCGTCTCTCTTGCGATGAAGGAGGAGCCTGTGTATCCTCAACTCTAGGCTGTGGTCGGGCCTCGACAACCAGTTGCGGCCGGACCTCGACCTTAGGCTGTGGCATGACATTGACACTGGATTGCACAGGCTTTGGCTGCGAGCTCTTGGGCGGAATTACGACTGCTACCTTGGTACTCTGGCTGGACGAGAGGTCGTTCTGTTGCGGTGCGTCTGCATCCGAACGCTCGGTTTTGACTGGAGTAGTCAACGGGACATTTTGCCTGGCAGGCTGTGGCGTTGCTTGAGGCGTTTGCGACTGCGAAACAGGAACAGGACGCCGTGGCGTTTGCTCCTGCTGCCGTGATTGGTGACCATCAGGACGCTTGGATGGTGTCTTGGTCTTCTTAGTGGGCGAAGTTGGGGTGGGATAACGAAATGCGACGTTCGTCTTGTTCAACACCATAGCCGAGAAGGCACCAAGACGTGGTGTCGGTGCCTTTTGCGAAGTGCCAGTGGAGTTGTTCACCGCCGAAGGCCCTTGGGCTGGGCGCTTAAACTTGCTGGGGAGGTGTCAGTTCAGAGCTTCATGAGTGAAGTGGGAGATCTGAGCATACAACTCGGTCAACTCGGATGGTCTTAGTAGCTGCTGGAGCTGTTGTAACGACTGCTGTAGCCGGTACGAGGTGCTCTGTGTATTCGAAGCAGCCTCCGCATTGAGCGAATCCAAGCCCCTCCTTGCCTTTTGCCGCTCCTCGGTATGTGTGAAGATGGTATGGTTCGTATGAGGGAAGCTGGAGGGGAAGGGTATGATACCTGTGAGGCTGTTAGAAATAAGCGGTCGCTAGTGCACGTGGGCATTATCGGCTGCGCGCAGCATTGTACAGCAGGACATGCAATTGCCCACATAGGGAAGGTGCGGCTTCCAATGCTGCAGAGCTCGGTGATGTGCAGCGAGACCCAGGTGGAATGACGTACTGGGATCGAAGGGCGTTATGGAGCTCAAGGGGGAGAACTGCAAAGCATCATCCACAGTGGGCAGACGAGGCCGTATGGGAAGGACCATGGCATTGTTGGGAGGCCATGGCCCATTTGCTTGTCCGTTCGCACCATCGCCATTCACAGCACCGCTCGCGGGATCCATCTCTGCCCTGCTTGGCGGCCGGCGCGATTATCGAAGTGTCGTTGACAAGAGAGTTGCTCGCAGTCCACCGGAAGTGGGGGGGGTTGGGAGGCTCGATCGCTGGGCTCCGCGCGGTTCATTCACCGCGCTGCTATATGTTGCAAGACGGAGACATCGGAGGTGCGGCGGAGGTGTCGGCGGCGCGGCGCGCGAAGATGGTGGAGGGCGCGGCTGGTTACGACTCGCAGGGTACGGCCATTTGGAAGGGCGAGAGCGGGACGAGAAGCCAAGGAAGCGTACGGGATGGCGTAAAGGGTCTCCGGAGCCGGCACTCGAGTAGTGGTAGGTTGCGGAGCTAGATGGAGATGGCCCTGGTGAGCCAACGCGAACGCGCGACGTAGGGCTGAAACACGCCCGTTGCCAGTCAACGGCCCCCCAGCCATACAAAAAGCGGCCACCACTAAATTCATGAGCGCGAAATCCCTGTCGTCGGGGAAAATCCTCGAGATCTCCGCCGGCTCCTCCAGCATCGCCCGAGACTTTTTCGCAATTCCCTCGAACAGCTTGCTCACTTCCCAGCTTCGCCGAACACAGCTCTTTTGCGCCTCCCGTTAGCCTTTTGATCCACCATGTCGGCCATTGGTTCGCTTGTCTTCTGTACCGACTGTGGTAACCTTCTCGACGGCAGCTCCGGCGATTCGAAAGCCATGTTGGTTTGCGATGTTTGCGGCGCGTCCTGCAAAGGTATGGTTCTCCGCGTCTCAGTCGCAGTTTTGAGAGATCCCGAAAGATCGATTTCTTGATCACCATCCCGCGCCTCCAACCATCCAAGGATTCCCAGGATCCTTCTCGGCGTGTGTCCTTGCCCGCCTCACCGTCCCACGGCCAGCTTCGGTCGTCGCTTCCCATTCTCTTTCACTTCACTTCACGCGCCGTGTTTTTTGCGCGCACATGATCGCATGAGCTCACATGGCATGTAGATACCGCCGCGAAGACCATCGTGACCAGCTCGAAGCCGTCGTCGTTTCCTTCTTCGCTCCGTGACAAGCGCTCCGAGATTCAGACTCTCACCGAGGATGATATGCAAACAGATGCCACGATCAAGCAGGCGTGTGAGAAGTGCGGCAGGGAGGAAGTGAGATATTACACTCAGCAGCTGCGCAGTGCAGACGAAGGAAGCACGGTCTTTTACACCTGCGAGTGTGGTCACAAGTACGTCTTCCGACCCAACGTTCATTTGCTAAGGTGCATGCTGACGTCGTTGCAGATGGAACACGAACAACTAAACAGAACTTCTTTCCCTATATGGCTCATACTTTGGTATCATGCTTTCGTCATACATGCGGTGTTTTGCACTCGGATCATCCAACGATATACCCTCCAACGGAATACTTTTTTGCCTTCAAACCGCCATCCTGTAACGCCAATGCAAATTCTGGTGTCTCGACACACGGAGCCATCGTACCTCAAGCGGCGACGGCCTCTTCCTTGCCAGGAACAATGGCGTATTCGACCTGGCCGCTTTTTTCAAACTCGGCCATGTCCAGCGCGACAATGATGCTGTCCCTGACGACCTGCTCGGGATCGTTCACAAACTTCCTCAGAGTGTCCTCAACACCTTCCTCGTCACCCAAGCTGCCGAGAGCCTCGGCAGCCTCGTGGCGAACCATGCCAGCCTCACTGGTGTTGCTCAGGCAAGCGGTCAGAGCAGGGACCGACGCAGGGTGGCACAGCTGGCCAAAGACGAATGCAACCTCATGACGGAAGAGGGCAGAAGTGTCGCTCAGGCCCTTGGCAAGGGCATTGACGGCGGGGACAGCAGTGGGAAGGTCGGGCGGCGAGGCGAGGTCGCGGAGGGCGAACATGGCACGGTAGCGCTTGAATAGAGGCAGCTTGGTGTCCAGGTAGGCCTTCTCGAGCTCCTCAATTGAGGGCTTCTGAGACTCTTGTGGCATCGGAGGAGCAGGGTCAATGGATGTGAAGTCACTGGCAATCCCGTTTAGCTCAAAAAGAAAAAAAAAGATGGCATGACCGTTCATGACATAACGCCACCATACCTCTGCTTGAGCTTCTCAGCCTGTCTCTCGGCGGAGTGCTCCCACTCGATCCTAGCAACAGCGATGTCGCAAGTCTCGGTTATGACGTCGAGCTCGTCGGGCGCGTCGCGCAGGCGGCGCAGCAGTTCCAGGCTCTCTTCGTAGCCCAGCGCGCCCAGAGCCTCGGCGGCTTCGTGGCGGCACATGGCGTCCTCCTGCTTGTCCTCGAGCACTTTGCGCAGGTAGGGCACCGAGTGCGGGTTGCGCGACTGGCCAAGGCAGTAGGCCAGCTCGTGCTTGAGCAGCGCCGACGACGAGCTGAAGCCGTCGGCGATGGCGTCGATGGCCTGCAGCGTCGACGCGGTCGGCTCCTCCTGGCACGCCAGGAACTTGAGCGAGAAGAGCGCGCGGAAGCGACGCGCCAACGGCTCGGCCTCGTTCACGAGCGTCTTGCGCAGCGCGAGGACGGTCGCGTCGGGCGCGGCGCCGTTATCGCTGGCGGCGGTGGTGTCGACTGCAGCTGGAGCCATGGCAGAAGCGTGTGTCTCTTGGGGTCTAAATTGAAAGGCGAAGGCGGACTGAGAGGGACTTGGAAAGAACAAAAAAAGCTGGGCTCGAGATCTGGCGATGTGACGATAAGATATGGAGGGGAGAGATTTTTTGGAAAATTTAGAGCACTGAGATGGATGACGGCGCGGGGTGGAGGGGTCAAGGCTTCGCAATAAAGTCGTTGCCCATGCTCCACCGCTTCACTAATACCATAAACCGGCACGACATAACATTCGCCCTGTCGGGGCTGCGGCCTCGGCGCTTCAGGCATCGGAGGTCGGAGGTGCCGACTTCCAGGGTGGCACTGCCCGTGGCTTTGAGCAGCGCCACAGCGCGTCGCGGGATCTGCTGCCCTTCGCACTGCCGAGCGCCCGAGGGTGGCCGCCCCAAACGGCATCCCGCCAGGGACAGGCAGTCCACAAGCGCCCACTGATTTCAAAGCGCCACCTCGGCCCTTCCATGTTTTTGTAATGGCTCTTTTCGTCAGCCTCCATGCTGCGTTGCGCCCCCCGGCGTCGCCTTTATCAGCCACACGCTCTGCTCCCTCGGTGCCCCCCTAGGCCTTGCAGGATAACCACCTACAACTTCACGACCATGGGCGACGTACAAGCAGACAATGCGGCTCCAGCAGAGACCCCGAAGCCATCGGAGCCTCAGCTCCCCAAGCTGAGCGCGCACGAGTTCAGACAGTACAACCGCTTGGCTGAGCACATGGACATGTTTGTGAGTACATGCGAGGATCGCTCTTGACCCTCACACTGACACTTTGCAAGCACAGCAACTTCCGGCGTTCATGGACGATCATGTATACGGCTTGCGAGAACAACAAACGTCCCTCGGGCATGTCCATTCGCCAATTCATTGGTCTCGGTCTCGACTTCTGCCACCACCTGGACGTCCACCATAGCATTGAGGAGCGCCACATTTTCCCCATCTTGGCTCAGAAGATGCCTGCTTTCCGCAAGGAGCTGGAGCTTCTGACTCAGCACAAGCAGATCCACAAGGGCTTGGAAAAGTTGGAAAAGTACCTCGAGGATTGCAAGCGCGGCGAGGATGAGCTCAGAATGGACAAGATGAGGGAAATTCTCGACTTGTTCGGCAAGGTCTTGTGGCAGCACCTGGATGAAGAGGTCAAGGAACTCGGCGCGGAGAACATGCGCAAGTACTGGACTATCGAAGAGGTCAGAAGAATACCCATGTAACGGATTTGTCTTCCAAAGAAGCGTGAGCTTTGCATAACAACACGGCGTTCAACGTATTTCAGCAAGAGACTTGGAACAGATTTGTATACGAGATCGAATAGAGGATATGGGCGCGAGGCATCTCAAGCTACAGCAACCGGTTGCATTGGAGCAGGACCAGTGTCTGCAGCTGACAGCCTTGTTTCTTGCACATCCACTCCTTTCTTCCTCGCACCATCCACAACAGTCTCTGCTTTCCGTGGCTTTTGTTTATCAGCCACCATAGCGATGAGCGCTGCACCCACTCCGCTTCCGTCTTTAGCAAGGCCGATTCGAATCCTTTTCTCCCCTGAGAGCCCAATCTCCGAGACATCCCGTAGCGCACCGCGAATGTTTTCTTCGAACCTAGGATAGTGTTCGACCAAGGAACCCTCTACTCCCACGTCCAAGTATTTTGCCTCTCCAAACGAGTCGTTGAGACGGCCAGTCTTGACGATGACGGCAGCAATAGCGGCACCGCTTAAACGAGCTGCTCGCCGCCCGATGGCCTCGGCGATGATTTTGGCAATAGCTGCATCCTCAATGGAAACCCGTGCAACACCGAGCTCTTTCTCGAGACAGCGTCGAGTTGCTGACAGCAGAGTAGACTTGTCTGCCTCGATAGAGCTCATAATGCTCGTGTCCACTCCATAAGGCTTGAATAACGGAGAATTCTTGAGGTCTCTTTTCGAGCAATTCCCCAGGAAACCATGTTCGGACTTTTCCAAGATGCTAAGGAGAGCGAACCGAAAGAGCTCCCCCAGGTACATCCCACTGACACGTTTCTCCAGCATCTGCTCCCCGGGATGGATGTCTGCTTCGTCAAGCCTCCTGTCGTACGGAGTTGTTGATAGGACTGTCAAAGTCTCGTCGAATGAGCCCCATTCTGTGTTGATGATCATATTCTCCGCCTGCTCGTTTGAGGGACCAAGTCTCGTGACGTTCTTCCGTTTCTCAACGTAAGCCCCATTAGTACCAGTCCCAAACACGGCGCCAAGGATAGGTGATCCGTTGTCCAATGATGTGTAAGACCGTGCCATGAGTGTTCCGACCGTATCGTTTGCCAACGCAGTGACACGGACAGGAACATTCAGTTTGTCGATCTGCTCCTGCAGGAGCCCACAAACATCCTGGCCAATGGCATCCGGGATATCGAATCCTTTGTCCCATCGTGCCATGATGCCCTTGTCAATGGCGATCTGCTGGAAAGTAAAGCTGAAAGTGAAGCCAAGGGGGAGATGGTCCTTTTGTGCGGACTCGTTGTCGATGACTAGGCTGTCGCGGCCTTGGGCTTTGTGTGCTTTGTAGTTCTTGCTGTAGTGCTTTCTCAGAAACGTTTCCACTTCTTGAGCAATGAACGAGAAAAGGTCTGCAGACGTACTCCCGATCCTTAGATGCGGGGGGATGGTGGATTTTGTTTGCTTAATGGAAAAGGTTCGATCTCCGTGAAGCTCGACGCTGCACACACGGCAATTGGTCCCTCCAATATCCACAGCAAGACATACGCCCTAGGGTGATTTCGATCATCAGAATCGCGCTTGAGAGTTGATCGATCGGACTTGAATTATGCATACCTTTTCAGTCCCAGTTGGCAGGACAGTGACATAGGATGGTATCATAGTGTCCCCGTCCTTGGAAAGCCCATCCTCTTGAGCCAATGTCAGCTTCTCGTTCTGGAAAAGGCACAGCACCGCAGAGAATTGTACCCATCTGGCGCACGAAGTGCGTCACGGTTTTCCGCACTTGTTCAGCGGACACGTCGAACTCAGCAGCAATGCGCCTCGCCTCAACAACAGCCGGTTTTCTCGCTATCCTCGAAGACTTGGCCCCCATTGCCAAGTCAGAGCAATAGCTGCAGAATGTAGCGAAAGTGTAGAGGGGGCATGGAAATGTTCAGGAGCGGACCAAACTCAGAGCAAATCAAAAGATGTAGCGCAGCCCCCGAGGCTCCCCACAGCCACGGTGAACGTGGCTGTATGGGCCGGTGAACGGACTTCAGCAATCTATCGGCCATGGCTCCCCGGGAGAGGCGAATGATGGCAGGAACCGGACTTGTCGGCGGCCATCACCGGATTGTCCGTATATTGCCGAGTGCACCATTTCCCCGCGATGTTCGACAGTCTGGAGACACCAAAGGGTTTCCCCGGATTTCTTCTTCTGGAAACAACCTCCAGTCACCGTGCTTGGAGCAGGAGACCACGGGGCATTGGTCGGTGCTGCCAGGCACAAGCCGGTTATCGTATGGTGGATCCGCATCGTCTGGACAAGCGCTGGGAAGACTCGGCCGAGCGTGCGCAATAATGGTGCCGAGCGAAAGCTTAAAGAACGCGGAAGACTGCATCTAGCATGCCCCACCCTGTGCACATCACCTGTGCTGTGTAGGTCTCAGGGAAAGGACCGGCCAGCTGTACTTGCAGAATGACAGGACTGAATTAGCGCTCCATACCGCCATTGCACATGCGCTTGCAGTCTTGCTGGCAGTAGAGAGCGGGAAGCGTCCCGGCGACAGCGCTACTCGACCCGTTCGGTCCGGCTCCGCAAGAGGGTGCAGGGTGGGATGTCTGGGGGTTGGGGCAGGAGCAAAGGTGGAAGTCGTGGCCGGGCCGGCAATGCGAACGGGGGCAGGCGCTGGACGGGAGGCTGCGGCAGCCGAGATCGCCCCCGCCCGCGCGTCCTGTGGCACGACACCATGGCCCTCGTCCTTCCAATCGTATTCCAATATGGCCTCTAAATCTCAAGAGAGCATCATCATAGGGCCCAAGCCCACCAAAGCATGCGGTAAGCCGGCATCGCAAGCGCACAGCGCCCCGCCAGCACGGCCCGTACTAACCGGCGCGTCCCACAGTCAACTGTCGGCGCCAAAAGGTCGGCCTTAATCGCCTGCCTCCCCCGAACCTGTCTGACCCTTCGTTCAGATGAAATGCCAGGTTGAGCCGGGCTCGAGTGTATGCAGACGCTGTCGCGTCCAGAAAATCGACTGCATTTTCAAACCCCGCGCAAATGTACGCCCACCGTCTCCACCCGCCCACTGTGCTCTAGACTGAGACCGCTAGGCCGCTATCATCAGAGAATCCGTCGACGTGAGGCCCGAGCAGACCAAAAGAGCCTCGGTCTCGGATCCTAGTTCGGTGCTTGGACGCCTTGAAGTTATCGAGGCTCTTCTCGGAATCCGCTCGGCTTCTAAGCCAGCCCACTCTTCCCCCGGTAGCCAAACCGATGCTGGTCCGTCGGGTGCTTTTCTGTCGCTAGAGGATGACGAAGACCCTGAGTTCAGCGGGCTCAGGCCGGCTGTCTCTCAGCTAAGATGCCTCGCAAGACAGCCCCAGAACGACAGAATCTGGGCGCCCTCCGTCATGAAGCAGCTATGGACCTCGTGAGTCACATCTTTGCCCGCTCTCAGCTCTCATCCCTGTCTTTAACACGTCCATAGATTCCACGACAACGTGCCGGGCCTCCACTTCCTGTCTAAGAAGCAGACCTTCTCCTCCCCCACGCCCCTTCTTCTTGCATCCGTCCTATACGTGTCGGCCCTGCATCACCCTGTCGCCGACGTTGCTTCACTGGCCCCGGACTACTTTGTACTGACTTGTAGCGCTATTTCCGACCTGTCCGTCCCCTCGCCGCGCCAAAATGAGCCATTCAACGACGAGAACCTTTCCGAGGAGCAGCGGGGATTCCAGGATGTTCTTGGCCTAATCCTTGCCGGACTTGTGTCGGAAGCTTACATCAAGGAGACCGGCATCTGGATCTCGATCGGCTATAGAATCCTTCTCGACTACTGCCCGATGAACATTGATGAAAGGTCACGAGAGTGGTGCGGTCTCTTCCGAGGGCTCCAGATTATCGATCTGGAACACGCCTCTTTGTACATGTCTTGCCCGATTCTGCCACGAAAGGCGCCCTTGGCGTCACTGCTGCAACTGCAAACATCTGGCGGAGATCCGTACGATCATCTTACTCAGATGATGCATATCGGTCTGTCGCATTTCACTGGCCGCGGGATTCCAACAATATGGTCTTTCATTTTTTCCCATGAGGCGGATCGCTCGTCGCAAGCAGCTACACCGTTCACAGAAAATGACCTTGGTGTCATTAAGCACTGGGCTCGCCAGCTTGATGACTGGCTTGTTCGATACAGCGGAGTATCGCGTACGTTATGAGTCCTTCCGCGTCTGTGTCTGCGCTGGCTTTACTGATGGATAATAGGACCGTCGGCGATTGACAACCCTAATCTTGCTTTATTCCGACAGTACATACTGCAACGGCTGTTTGTTCTGTCAATTTACCACCCCGCAAGAGGCTTCAATATGTTTGCCAGGAATGTGGCATCCGCCGAGCGCCAAGAGCTTCTCCTTTCTGCTCGCGCTGCGCTTAGACTGCACAATGACGATCACGGAATCTGGAGTAATTGGGACTTGGTGGTAAGTTGATCGTTAGTTTCGTGCGGCAAATGCTAAATCCCTGCAGATGATTACATGGGCTGCTCTGCTAGTGCTCCAAGGCATAGAAGATGGCACGGGTGAATCAGACGGTAAGTCTGACTTGCACGAGATCATACTGTAATGACTGACGATTATGCTCAGACCTTCGCCTGATACAATCGCACCTCTTGACCCTCAAGCACACAAGCCAACCCCCGCCCAGTCTCCGCCATCAACTAGCCTCCCGCCTCGAGACCGATCTCCAGCGCTTGCGAACCCCTCCGACCAGTCCGTCTAGCAATCCCAACACCAGCTCTCTCGCATCCGCGAACAATCCCAGCGACACGAACCCGTGGGCTCTGTTCAACCAAGATAGCATCCGCCTGGACTCTCCATCGTGGCAATTCGCACCGAAGCAAAACTATTTCAATGGACCAATGTCCGTGGACGGCCAACAGCAACAGCAGCAACAAATTCCCATCGATCCCATGGCCGTACAAGGGACTCCGTCAATCATCCCTCAGCCAGGGGCCAACGGATCGATCGGACCTGAGCAGTGGCCGCCGGCGCTCATGCGCTTGTTCGGCGGCGGCGAGTTCGACATCGATCCGGAGAGCGGCGAGCCGGTCAATGATGTCATGTAGATCCTCTCCACCTTCACAGTGGGCTCGCAAGAAATGTTTTGGGGACTATGCGGCCTGACGTTTCTCAATACTGACCGGATATTTCATTCCCTGCCAAACCGGCAGCGGAGGCCTATGTAAGGTTCAACACCAGTATACCCCGCCTCCTCGTTCGACGCGGCAAGACCTGCCCTGCTACTAGGATCTTTCCAGCCAAGTGCACCGAAAAGAGTACCAGCAATCCACGGAGGAACGTCTTACATCGACTCGCGCTCACCCATGAGGTCTGCAAGGAAGAGTCAAGCGCTTGCTATGTCATCGGCACAGCTAGGGTGCGATATGAGCTCCTTCTCGCCAGCAACGTGAAACTACCACAAGATCAATACCAACAAGCCTGCCACCAGTGGTAGACAACAACTCGGCAAAAGGGAAGGTCTGATGGATTACCGATGCACCTACGAACACTTCAGTTGAAGAAGGAGACCGTCCAGGAGCGCAAGAGGGAAGAGAGCCACGTACACGCTGTTACGAAGAAGGCGAAGAAGACGGCAGTGATCACCGCCCCAGGTTCGCTCACGACGGCACTAGAGGAGAGCAGACCGTTACTTTCGCAGCCAGAAAGAGCGGCACATGTCGTCAGTGAGTAAATACTCATGTGTGCGACATCCGGGCGGTTGGTGGGCTACAGCATGGATGTATGTGGCATTGGGAGAAGCGAAATACTGTGTATAACGGATCTGAGCGATGGTTCGAGCGACTTATGAAGTGACTTATGAAGCGCCGTGGCCGGGCTGTGGCGAATTGTAATGGCGAGTCGATGTAATAATTTAATACACCAAATTTGTGACTAAGATGACAAAACCCCCCAATTAAATCCGAAGAGGGGGAGAACCGGATTGGGGGTTGACGTTCAGCGGATTGACTCAAACAAGTGATGTTGACGTCATACAGTCAAATTGCGATAAAGCATGGAGAAAATGGGTATTCAGAAAGTTATGGATATATTCAGTACGATGTTCGTACAGCTCCAATGAGCGGAACACTGGATATCATAGCAAGAAACGAGAGAGGCCCATAACCAACAGAAAGAAGAAGAAAAAAAAGACCAAAAGAGTTCTTCACTACTCGCCCACCTCATTACAATTATAGCGCCCTTCGGTCTCATGTTCGTTTCCAATGCCAAGGCTATGCTTTCAAAAATGCAAGAAACGTGAACAGGGCACACGCCGTTTCTCTCGACTTGTGTTCCTTTCCCCCCCTCTCCTCAAAATGATCATCCCCAGGAGCGAGACCTCAGGCGGTTTGGCAGCGTGTGTGAAATAGATTCATCGAGGGGAAAAACAAAAAAAAAGGGATCCCCCTCAGTGAGCGTCACGGATGGATTCGAGGCTGACGGGGCGGGGCAGCTGAGGCGGAGGGGCGGGCGGGCCGGTGCCGCTGCGTCTCCTGCGCTCGCGCTCTCCCACGCCGGGGGCGGGCTGCAGGGTGGTGGTGTTCTTGCGGTTGACGAACTTGCCGCCCATGCCGCGCATCCACTCGCCGTCCTCGTCGCGGCCGAGCCAGTACTCGCGGCCGACCGAGACCATGGCGCGGCCGAGGCTGCCGGGCCAGCCGCGGCCGGCGTCGCGGTCCTCGGCGAAGGGGTTCTCGGCGAGCTCGTCCGACGGGTTGCCCGTGTGCAGCGTGTACTGCGAGGCCGACGTCATCATGATGTGCTGGCGCAGGACGTTGCGGGCGTAGGCGAGCATGACGACGACGAAGTACAGGCGCACGGCCCAGAGGGCCGCGATGATGGTGATGCTCATGACGCTGCCGCTCTGGAAGACGGCGCTGCCCAGGCCGGCGGCCGGGAAGCCGCCGTCGGCCGACCCGACCGCCACGGCCTCCTGGCCCGACGCCACCCCACCCGCCGCCGGCTTGGCCACGACGTCGACCTGGCTGACGTTGTACTTGGGGTCGGTGAAGCCGGACGTGTCGCCGATCATCTTGCCGCCGGGCCCGTCGGCGCTGCCGGGAGTGCGCTCGTGCGGGTGCTGGGCGAGGACCAGGAACCAGGCGATGCCGAAGGCGGCGGTGTAGGCGGCGTTGACGACGGTGTCGATGGCATAGAACCAGGCGAGGGCGAGGCAGCGCAGCGGGTCCTGCTTGCGGATGTAGCGGGCCAGGTAGACGGTGACGAAGAGGGCGATGATGGAGTAGATGTACATGGAAAGCTGGAGCGGCGAAACGTGGTAGCCGGTCGCGAGGGCCAAGATGCCGTAGAAACCGGTGATTTTGTTGACCAGAATGGTCAGGACGATGAGCTCGACGCCGGTGCGTAGCGACATGGCGTAGAGAAAAGTCTACAGGCGTCAGTCACTCCTGGGCGGTGGTGGCGCGGCGGGCGCGCAGGCGCTTACAGAGGGACGAGGCATCTCCAGCATCGAGGAGCCAGCCATGATGGGAAAGCGTGCACGGCCGATGCGGCCGCTGGTGTCAGGCGAAGGGTCAAGGGTGGATAGCAGGCGGGAATTGGAGAGGAAGAGCGTGGTGATGAGGATGTTGGTTAGTGTCGAAGCGCGGATGATGGCGGCTGCGCGGCCGAAAACCCTGGGGCCAAAGCCAACCGTGCAACCTCCGGAAGCGCCGCAATCTCCCGGCCCGACGTCACCGAGAGCCTCAGCCCTGCCAAGCCGGGATCATCATTTGCCCTCCCTACCACCCAACGACACCTACCATGTGATCCACCAACAGCACCCATCATAAACGTGTTAAGCGGGCGGAGACTTCTCTAATTCTAGCACCTGTGCACATCTGACCTCAAGCTGCTTCCCATATCTTACAAAACCGTCAGTCCTCTTTTGACAAGCCGCCATCTTGCATAATCTAACTGTATTCGTTCTCGTACCCTGCGCAATGTTTACGCATTTGCATGCTCGCCCTCCCTTTTTCCATTTCAGGCTCCTCTTGAGGACCTGCCTCCTGGACTTTGACTGCGGTGTCAGCCTCACAACCCTTCATTTACGACCTTCTCGAGCACAGCATCATGCTTGACATCCACTGGCTCCACCTTTTGATGGTCTTCGGCGCCATCGAGAATGCCCGCCTCCTCGTGCCTACTTCCCTCTAGCACCACATCATCCGACGCCTGCGTCTGTTGCAGTTCAATGCTATTGGTGAGGTAGGTCGAAGATTCAGGAGCGATCTTCGGTGCGCGTCTTTTCCGCACGGACTTGTTCTTTGTGAGCGCATTGAGCGTCTTTTCGATCGCATCCTCAACAAGAGTCTTTGCGTGGAATGCTAGGGCCCTCGTGCTAAAGACGCCAGAAAATCGATAGCTTAGCCAGAGGTAAAGCACGATCGCTTTGTGAAGCATCTCTAACTTCTGGAGGTAGTCGCGATTAGCGTCCACGGGTCGATCCAAGACCTCCCACTCGAATCCTTCGATATCCAATAGGTTACCATTGGTTTGGTCCGCCACACACTTTGCCAGGTTGTAGAGGACCTTTTGGCTTTCCGGCGTCTTGACGTTGGCAGGTGCTGCGCAGAGCATGATCTTATCCAGGACGGAAAGGCCCTCAATGGGCTGAATAACGTCGGCGATGTTCAGCTGATCCTTCAGGACACACATGTGGAATCGAGTGTGGACGCTGGAGATGTCATGTAGACGTAGGAGAATGTAACTGAAGGGCGTCCCAGGGGGGAAGTAATTGGCAAACCGCTCTATGATTGGATCTGGAGGGAATAGACCCGCTGTCTTGATCGCTTCAGGCTCTGTTCCCAAAGCCCTTTGAAGGTATTTCATGTCGTTTCTGTCAAGCGTGGTGACCAGACCACCCCCGGGTGGCGGCTCTGCGAACTCAAATTGCGACTCTTCAGCAGGAGCACTGGTTGGAGCATCGATTTTGTCCGATCGCTTCGAAGCCCGATCGGCCTCTTTGTTTGCATCATGTGCCGACTTATAACGCCCTGCTCTTCCAGCGATCTGCTTCAGATGCGGTACCGAAAGGGCTACTTCTTCAAAGCCGTTGAATTTGTGGACGGCCGCAAAGATGATGCGCTTGATGCTCCTGGACAGTGTCAGCATGCTGCTTCCAACCACTCACTGTGAAATCAAATACGCACAGATTTAGCCCCATTCCGATGGCATCACTGGCCACCAGAACATCATATCCGCTTTCGGGATCGTTGAACAGTCTGGCCTGCTGTGCGCGCGTCTCCGGAGGCAGTGAACCGTAGACGACTGCGACCTTCCTACCAGTCTGACGTTGGATCTGTTGGCGCAAAGCATGGATTTCCATGATGGAAAAAGCAACAATGCAGTCGCCCTTGCGGAGGGTCCTGAAGTTGGTGCCCGTGTGTCGGCTGTCTACGTCGAGGGGGGTCAAGCGATCGTAGTAGTTGACTTGCACTTCGTCACCCATGGAAGCAGCCAGTTCGCGGATCAAAGGCACAGTCCTCGCTTCTCCACACAGATGGAGCTCTTTCGCCTGCACTCCCAGCACGGCTTGAGTCCAGGCCCAGCCGCGTTCGAGGTCGCCGATCATCTGGATTTCATCGATGACGCAAACGTCCAGTTGTTTGTGGAGGGGAATCATCTCAACTGTGCAGGAAATGTGATTTGCGAACCGCGTCTTCTCGCCTTCGGCTGCCTCTCTGGATCTCCGCCTTTCTTCGCCGGTAACAAGCCAGCAGGGGATTCCCTTGGCCGCCATACGAGTATATACCTCATGGGCTAAGAGACGCAGCGGCCCCGCATAGACACCGGATCCAACCTCTTCCAAGCGCTTCAACGCATGGTATGTCTTGCCGGAGTTCGTGGGACCGACGTGCAGAATGATTTTGCGTTGCATCTTGCGGGTAGCAGGATACCATTCGGCGGGGTAGCGCAGGTCGGCCAGGGCTTTCTGGTTCTGATAGTCATCTTTCGAGAACGATCTCGTTGATGCGAGATGGCCGAGGAAGCCGTTCTGAAGCTGGAGTTTTAAGCCGGCCATGCCGCGATCCTTGAAGGCGTTCTTCAAGGTGAAGACGAGCTTTGACATTTCTCCGTCCGGCTCTACACCGTCATTGTCGGCAGCCGGCAGAAGGTCCTCGTGAATTTTTCGGCTGAATGTTCTCCAGTGCTCGGTTGCTTCCTCCGGGCTCACTCCCATGGTTTTGATGATCGGAGAGTTCGTGGTAGCACTCCGCAGGCCTGGGAGCAGGTCAATTGCGCGCTGGACAACGGTTTTGGCAGGCACATGCTCGCGGTCCGTGAAATCTCCAACGCGTCGAATCTTCAATGATACCGGGCCGCTTGATTTGACATCTACCGGAAGCCGTCGAGTTATTTGCGGTGGCGGCGCGTGCTTTCTGCCTGAAGACCTCTGAGAGCACGAACGTTAGCAACGGGTAGTGCCCGTCGAGACAAAGCGGGTTTTACCTTGAGGAGTTTTTGACGCCATAGCGGCGCTGAGGTGTGCAGTGAAAGTGCCTGTGTGGCGAAGGCAGTGCGCCTTGTAGTAAGGGCGCAAAAAATGCAAACTGCCGGGCGGCGGAAGCGGGTTTGCATAGCAAGCGCAGTGTTCCGGTGACAGGGCGCAAGGCGGGTGCCGGACGGTGGAGCAGCGAGAGCAGGGCCAGGCGGGTGGAGAGCGAGAAAGTCAGACAAGCGATCGGCGCAGGCGTTTGTTTGGGCGAGTGGTGGTTGCCGGTCGGGTCGACGGTCCCGCGGTGCGACGCAGGCACTGCTTGCTCCGCCGCCGCATTGCGCCCAAAGCCGCACCTCAGGGCCCGCCGCCTTTGATCTTGGCCTGCCCACCGCAATCACCTACCCTGTGCCTGAGCAGCGCCGCCCAATCCCCGTCCCTGAACCCACGAGAGCCGCGTCCGCTGGCCGACCAGCTTCCCTCCGCCCCCTCTGCAAGAGCTCCGCCCCCGAGCGACAGCTCCGGCCCCGCCAGCGAGCTCCCGTCGTAGCGCCGCCTGCGCCCACCGCTGCCCGCCATGGGCGTCTCCATTATCGACACGCAGCGCGAGAGTGAGCCAGCGCCCCGCGTGCGATCCCGTCTGCCCCGCGCCCTGCTGACCTCCGCGCGCAGTCATCCTCGACACGATCCGCAACACCGCCAAGGGAGAAGTCTGTCCCGCCTCCCTTCGCGCCCGCGCCTCTGGCTGACCCCCCATGAAACACGCAGTGGAAAGTCATGGTCGTGGACGAAGCGAGCCGCAAGCTCATAGACAATGTCGTCAACGAGGACGACATCCTAAACGAGAATATAACCAGTACCGCTCTCTCGCCCCGCCGCCTGCGCCGAACCCCCCGCCTGACTGAGCTTCAGACATCGAGTTGATCACGGACCGCCGGCCTATGAACAAGGACATGGATGTTGTGTACATACTCTCTCCCCAGCCGCACATTGTCGACTGCATCATGGCCGACTTCGAGCGCCACCGCTACCGGAAGACGTTTTTGATCTGGACTTCTCGTGCGCGACCCCGTCTGTGCTCCCTCCACCTAGGCTGACGGCATTCCAGTGCTCCCAGGCCCGCTTCGGGAACGCATAGACAAGTCTCAAATGGCACGCGAGCAGATCGTCCTGTTCAGGGTCCTCAACGTCGAATACTTCCCCCGCGAGTCGCACCTCATCACCTTTCGCGATCCATGGAGCTTCCCCATCCTGTTCCACCCCGCTTGCAACAACCTGGTCAGGCGCCACATGGAGGAAATGTCCCAGAAGGTGTGCATACTGAAGAAACGAGCATTGCACGACCCCGACTCCTGACTTAGCGTGTAGATTGTTTCTCTGTGCGTGTCGCTTGGTGAATATCCCACCATCCGCTACTACAGGCCAAAGAACCCCCTCCACGAGGCAAGCGTGCTCTGTTCGCATCTGGCACGCTTTGTCCAGGATGAGATCGACATGTACAAAAAGTTCCATCAGAACTGGCCTCCGCCCTCAAACCGTCCTCGCGGTGTCCTGTACATCGTGGATCGGTCAATGGACCTACACTCGCCTCTACTTCACGAGTTCACGTATCAGGCCATGGCCCACGATCTCCTACCAATCAAGGAGGGCGACAAAGTCACGTACAAGACTGTGCTCAACGAGGGTGAGGCCGACGAGGAAGAGAAGGATATGGAAATAGGAGAAAAGGACCAGATATGGGTCGAAAACCGCCACAGGCACATGAAAGACACGATCGAGAAGTTGATGGGCGACTTCCAGAGGTTCATCAACGAGAACCCGCAATTCACAAAGACTGACGCCAATGACGCTACCAATCTGAACACCATCAAAGACATGCTTGCTGGTTTGCCGCAATTCCAGGAAATGAAAGGCGCCTACTCGCTGCACTTGAGCATGGCCCAGGAGTGCATGAACATTTTCCAGCGATGCAAGCTGCCAGACGTGGCGTCGGTTGAACAGGTCAGTGAGAGCACACTAGGCTCGTTGCACAATTCTAATTCTCCTCCAGTCCTTGGCGACAGGCCTAGATGAAGACTACCGCAAACCAAAGAACATGGCGGATCAACTGGTTCGGATTCTCGATGAAGAAAACGTCAGCCCTCCCGACAGGCTTCGTCTCGTTGCGCTATATCTCTTGTACAAGAACGGGCTTCACCCCTCAGACCTTAACCTTTTGCTAGCACATGCGTCGCTGCCTCCTCAGGATACCCAGGTACTGAAAAACCTCGACCTTCTTGGCGCTCGTGTGGAGAAGCCACTCAAAGACAAAGAGCCGCCGCCACCGCCGCTTTTCCCAACCAAGCAGCCTCCTGCAGGCACGGAAGAGGAATACGCTCTGTCTCGTTTTGAGCCGAGTGTCAAGAGGTTGCTGGAGGACCACGTTCGCGGTGCCCTTGATCAGAATCTCTTTCCCTACACGAAGCCTCATGTGGACGCAGCCGCCGACCAGGCTGCGCAGCAGGAAGCTGCCGCTGCCGCGTCCTCGCTCCGGTCCGCTAAGCCCACGTGGGCCAAATCACGCATGGCCTCTGTGGAGCCGCGCCAACGTATTCTTGTCTTCATGGCCGGTGGAGCAACCTACTCTGAGTCGCGCTCTTGCTACGAGCTCAGCCAAGCGACATCGCGCGACATTTTCCTCGCCACCTCACACATGCTAACCCCGGGGCTCTTCTTGCGCCAAGTGGGTGACTTGACTGTTGACAAGCGCCGTCTCGGCATTCCCATGGAGCAACCGCCGCCGAAGGCACCGGCTCATCTCTTCGAGAGGGAGCCTGAGCCGAAGCCGCCTGCACCGCCGCCACATGAGCAGCTGCACAAGCTGCGCCAAATGGCCCCGCCGCCTCAGCCCCCAACGCAACAGATGGCGAACATGCATATGGGTCCCGGTGGCCCGAGGCCATCGAATGGTGCGCCTTCGCCGTCTCGGAGCCCGGCACCGGGTGGAAAGCACGAGAAGGAGAAGAAGAAGCACCATTTCTTTTCATCCAAAAAGAAGGACAAGTATTGATTTGTTCGATTATGCAACAGCGTTGCGTCTTTGGGAGGGGCTTGGGCTTCTGGCCCTCCACAGCGGATGGTCGGATTTGCATAGCGGGGGCAGCTAAGTGGAGAACAGGCGTTCAGGATCACACATGGTACGCGCCTTGACGGTGCCTACTTTGTCTGTGGAGTTTCAGATGCTTGTTTCACTCTTGTTGCAGTCGGCGGTTTCGTCTTTCTTCCAGCGAGTCAATTTAGTAAGGCCGTCAGAGCGCCTGACGTGTAAAAATCGCACGTGGTTATACAGATCAATCTTTACATCATCACTTCCATGCCTCGTTCGCTAGTCAGCTGTTCCATCCAGATTGTTTTTCTGCAGTTGATGGGCGGGCCTCACGCATCAAAACGCCGTCGTGTAAACGGAGATATGCTTCTTTCGAGAGCGGAGAATTCCCCTTGAGCTCCCAGTTGTCAAGCTCCCAGCCAGAAGAGTAACCCTCACGCATGTTAGTCTCGACACGGACGCTGACCGCACGAAAGACCTCCGCAGTGAACTGGGTCTCCGTAGATGATCCCGAAGGTCTTTCACGCTCATGCCCACATACTATATAGATGGGTCTACAGATACTGGTAAATGCAACGCCGCACAGAACACAGTGGGCATCTCGGCCCCCATGTATGCAAAATTATCGCGTTGCATGGTTTCCGGTGACACGGCATCCAGGAGAACAAACTTCCGGCGCCCCCAACGATCCCACTTGTCCCGAGGGGGCGCAGTTCGTCTTGCTCTTTTGCAGATCGCAAGCAAAGCCTGTCAGACGGACATATTCGAGTCCGTGCCCGAGCAGTGCAAGGAGGAAAAAGCAAGGAGGGAAGCCTTTACCTGTAAGTGTACCCGCAGACAGCCCCCGCGCGCTGCCTGCCGTCCGCTGCAGACGGAAAGCCGCCAGGCCCTTCAATCTCCACGTTCTCGCAGCTTCAGCCTCCTTATCGGTCTCCCCATGGAAGTGTGCGGATCAATCCAAGGGAAAGCCACCACTACTAGCCAAGCCCTTCTTCCCACGCTTCGGAACCCCCATTTCGTATCCTAACGCAGCTCTATCTCGCTCTCTTTACCTCCCCTGCCAGCCCATCCAAGGACTCAAAGTCAGAATTGCCACAATCACTTGCTTCAGTCATACCGGACAAGACATCCAAACTCCTTTATTATCCCTGAACGAGGCGAAAACCGTTCTTGCGAGAACCCGCACCAAATATATAAACAATCTACAAGAAACGTCTATACAACCCAATGCCCTACCCTCCACCGCCGCCGCTGCCGCCGCCGCCGCCCTCCTCCTTCCCAACCACCATCCCATACCCGCCCACAACACCCCACCCAACGCCCCAACCGCCCGCCACACCACCCAGCACGCAGCACCACCTATCGGACCCAGAAGCCCTGCCACCACCACCACCCCACGAAGCCGCCACCAGCCCCTATCCGACAAACTCAACCACGACCACGACCACGACCACCGGCTACGACAACAACAACAACAACAACAGCGCCGACACCAAGCCAAGCGGTAGTCGTGGTCGTGGCTGCGCCAGCGACGGCGCCAGCTCCCCGCCGCTCTCACTCCCCCTCCCCGCCGGCCTGCCGTACACGTCCGAACAGCAACAACAGCAGCAACAAGCTCCAGCCTCGTCGACGCTGCGGGCAGACTGGCTGGCCGCGCGGGCGCCGGAGCACTATCGCGGCTTTGGCGAGCGGCAGCGGGTAGGAGGGGGGGTTGTGTCGCCGCCGCCACCGCCGCCGCCGCTGGGGCATCATGAGGAGCCCGGGTGGTATCGGGAGTGGGAGGGGCGGGAGAAGGAGAGGGAGAGGCGGCGGGTGTGCGGGTTGAGGCCGGGGGTGTTTTGGTGCGTGGTTTTGCTGCTGGTGTTGGTGCTGGGAGGGGCGGTGGGAGGGGGTGTTGGGGGAGGGTTGGCGGCGGCGGGGGCGGAGGATGAGCAGAGGTATGTATGTTTCGTTTTTTTCTTTCTTTTTTTTTTGCTTCTTGTCTTTCCTTGCCCTTCTTCGATGTCTTGTTTTTCATTAACGCTGCTCTTTTCTGCGGGGTGAGAGAGCATTGGTGGTGGTGGTGGGAAATCCTCGACAAATTCCAGAAACTTTCGACTGAGTCGAGTCCGCACAGTTCTACCGCGTCCACGCCCACCATCGCGTCTTCCTCCACTACGACCCTCGGCGATTCGGCTTCCCCGACGGCCTCGAATCAAGACTCGATCGGCTGTCCTTCGCGGACGGGCCAGTACTACACCACGACGAACGGCTCACTGACGTTCCTGCAGCTGTGCGGCATCAACATCTGTCCAGAGACGTGCGACATCGTGTCGGCTAGCAAGCAGCGGCTGGACACCTTCGAGGAGTGCATGGATGCATGTGCGGTTTACAACAGACAGATCGGGACGCAGAAGTGTGTGGCGGTCGCCTGGGATTACCAACAAGTGCGGCAGAGCTTCGACATGCTGTGTTGGCTGAAGTTGAGTCAGGCTCCGTTTGCGCGGGATGATCCGCAAGACGGCTTAACGATAGGGGCGGTGGTTGTGCAAAGCTGACGGGTCTGTTTTTGTTTTTGTTTCTTTGTTTTTTTTTCTAATCGCTGTTCAGCGAATCTGGCCAATGCTGGAGGGAGGGTCCCATCACAGGTTAAGAAAACGGTGAGCGTTTTCGTAATACTCATACTACCTAGTTCATTTCTCCATAAACATACAGGTCTTATTAAGAGCGTGTTGAGAAGCCGAAAATGAGCGGGGAATCAAAATGCATGAAATCGGGAATGGACTACCAAACGTTGGATCTAAACTTCTTTCGGAAAGCATCCGCTACATCTCATATTAGAGAGGAAGTTTCGCAGTAGATTGAATCAACTCACCGTAATCGAGTACGGTTGCGCAGTCGCCCTGCGCTTGCTTGTCACGAGCCTCCGGGAGCCTATGATAGTATGAGTGTCAAGTGCAAGATAGATGATTGCCCATATTCTCACCATTCCAGAATCTTTTGTTGGCGATTGTGGTTTGAAGGGTGGGTGCTAATGAACTGAGGGACGGAAACTTGTTCAGCCTTCTCCATCCTTGCCCATAGAGCGGCTGCTTCTTCGGGATTGAAGCAGCTTTGCGCCATCATCACTGTCATTTTGTGAGCGTAGGGACATGAATTTGAGCCGGTAAAGCACTTACTAAGTCCAATGAAATCGGCCTCCGACTAGCGCATCCCTGTGTCAGCAGATTGGTCGCGCGAAGAGTCGGTCCCCGCTTACCTCTTGACTTCTGCTTCCTGGCTTCAGAAATGTGAGATCAAGGAGCATCCTGGTAATGCCGCCGGTACCACCCAGAAAGATGTCGACAGCTAACGCGGCGGCAAGCACGAACACGCTTTGGCTCATGCGCTCTGCAGAGTGATGGGCAACGTTATGGGCGATCTCGTGCCCGAGGACCGCGGCAAGGCCGTCTTCATTCCCGCAGATAGGCAGGATGCCAGAGAAGACAAAGACTTTTCCACTTCTCATCCATCAGCAAGCTCCATGATTAGCATGGGGATGTCATTTACCCGGGAATCACAAAGGCGTTCATCTCAGGACTGTCGATGACATGAACCTCCCAGTTCTCCTCTGTGAGGCCGGAGGCTGGAATCAAGCGGTCGAGCACCCGTTGGACCAGTTGCACACGGCGATCCCAATGTGGAAGAATGTGGCCGTGATACTGCTGCATTACCTGGGCATACATCTCCTGAGACATGCTTTTTTCCCTCTCTGGTGATACGACGTTGAATCGCCGGCGGCCAGAGACCTAAGTACTGTCAATATATAGCTTTCTCGCGGCTCTTTCTAAGAGTGGCTGCACATACAGGGACTACCTGGGGGCTGTCAGTTGATGTTCTATGGCGAGCTCAAGTTAGATTCAGACCTCGAGGTTGTAGACGTAGAAGCCGCCAGCAGCCGCACCAAGACCACCAACCTCGTAGTAGAAGGTCGGCCGGGCAGCCCATCTGGTGAAGATATTTCCAGCCTTTGCATGTCAGCGTGTTCATCTTACTATCGATTGCGAATTCAAACCTTCTGAAATCTGGTGTACTGGGGACCGCGGCGATAGTAGTGCTGGCTCTGACGGCGAATGGCGGGGAGAGCTGGGGGTCTCCGAGCCGTAACGGCAGGCCGAAGGACAGCAGCCAAACGGGCAGAGCGCGATGCCCACATGTTCGCAGATGGATGCTGTAGCAGCTTGTTCTCGACGCAGCGGAAATTTCCTGGAGTCGCAGCGTTGTATACTGTTTACGCAGCGGCTATGCGCCTGCTTGATCAGTCAGCACGTCTGGTGGCCCGTGCGTTCCCTGGATGCTTCCTGAAGCAGCCGCTCGGAAAGCTGCCGCTCGGAAAAGCCGCCGCTGTCTGATACACAGGCTTAGCTTCGTCCCTCGCTGCCTTTGCTCCGTCCCTCGTACGCTGTTGCTGCGTGCAAGCCGTCTCTTATCGCACATGTTTGGGGTCCTGCCTGATTTGGCCTGTGCCGCGCATTCCCCGCCAGCGCCCTCCTCCACGCCGGCATCTTGCGTAACTTTCCTTTCAAACAGGAAATACTCGCTGCCAAAGAGAAGCCCATCCGTGCCCTGCAGCACAAAGAAGTGCTGTGGGGAACGCCGCTCGCCGGTTTCGCGACAATGCATACGCCTGGTCACGTGCACCGGCTTCGGTTGCGGCCCTCGAGAGTCGCGTCGACGTGAAGCTCCGGCTTGACGTGAGGCGGCGCAACCACTTACCGCGGAAAGTCAAGCCACAACCACATCTCCGTGACCGCTTTCCGCACCCGCCGCGCTCCCTGCCCGGACGCGCGCTTCGCCATGCCCATCCCCGACATCCCAGGCGTCAAGGCCGACAGAGGCCTCGCCGACCAGTTCCGTGCCGAGGTCGCCCAGCTCCTAGGCCGCAAGAACATCAACTTCCCCGGCGCCCAGCCCGTCTCCTTTGCGCGCAAGCACCTGCGCGAGCTCATGGAACATGACTACTACCTGTGCGAGAAGACGGACGGCATCCGCTGCTTGCTATACTTCACTAACGACGGCCCCAACGAGATCCACTACCTCATAGATCGCAAGAACGACTACTACTTCGTCCCGAACCTCCACTTCCCGCGCCACGACGACCCTACCTTTCAGACCTTCCACACTGGCACCATTGTTGATGGGGAGTTGGTTTATGACCAGGAGCCCGACGGCCTCAAGCTGCGCTTCCTGGTCTTCGACTGCCTGGCAATCGACGGCAAGTCGCAAACGGAGAAGCCACTGGACAAGCGCCTGGGCTATTTCAGGACCATGGTGATGAAGCCGTGGGAAGAGCTGTTCGTCAGGAGACACCCGGAGGAGCGCCAATTCCTCCCCTTCGAGCTCGTCTTCAAGGAAATGTCCTTCCCGTACACCCTGAGCTGGATGTTTGACGTCAAGCTCCCGGACCTGAAGCACGGCAACGACGGCCTCATCTTCACCTGCAAGGAGACGCCCTACATCTTCGGCACCGACGAGAAGATCCTCAAGTGGAAGCCCGCCCACGAAAACACCATCGACTTCCGCCTGCGCCTCGGCGAATTCCCGCCGCTCGTCGCCAACGGCAGCGGCAGCGGCGCCGGCCTCACCGACCAGCCCGACTTCGACGCGAAACCCACCTTCGACCTCATGGTCTTCCACAACAAGGGCGACTACCGCGTCTTCGCGCCGCTGCACGTGACGGACGACGACTGGGAGGCGCTCAAGGCCGTCGCCCAGCAGCTCGACGGCCGCATCGTCGAGTGCTACAAGGACACCCAGGGCCGCTGGCGCTTCAAACGCGACGACCAGGGCCGCCCGCACTTCCGCGACGACAAGCACGAGGCGAACCACATCTCCACCGTCGACAAGGTGCTCGAGAGCATCGACGACGCCGTCTCCAAGGACGACCTGACCCACAACGAGCAGCGCATCCGCGAGGCCTTCAAGCGCCGCCAGGCCGACCGCGAACGCAGAGCCAAGGCCGAGGAGGACGCCATCCGCCGCATGAGGGAAGAGAAGCGGAAGAGGGAGTCGATCAGCGGCACCGCCGGCGAGGGCATGCCCGCCGGCTACAACGGCGAGCCGGCCGACAAGCGCATAAAGCCAGAACCGTGAAATTTTTTATCTTTGAAATGTCACTGGTCGCATCATTTTTTTTTATAAAAAAAAAGGAAAAACGGCGTTCTTTAGCGGTGGGTGTTAACCAAATCTTTTCGGGTTGTAAGCCACGGAAGAAAAGAAAAAAGTAAGCTATACGGATAGCAGGACTGGGTCTGGAATTTTTAACAGAAAAAAGAAAAAAGATGACGGCGTTTGGTGTGAGGTTCTGACTGATACCCCCCGTCCTTTGTTAGGGTTTGGGCGACGATGGTGGAAGAAGAGGTATACATCCTTTTCGAGACGGCTGTTTGTTTCTCTTGCAATGAAAAAAAAGCTTTTGTATAGTCCGCATCGGAGAGAACACGTGCTCCTTTGTAATTGATCCATGCAATTCCAGTACTATCGGATGTTGCCTGGATAGTCCAGTAGCTATTTTTCTTCTTTTCAAGCAAGGACTTCTCTCCCTTCCTTCATGACGCCTCATTGGTATAATATTGTTACATGAATCTTCTTTTGGCATCATCTGATCAATGATCCCGTATCCATCCCGTTGCATGTCCTTTCGTTTCCCGGCTTTCATTCTGTGCTGTTGCCGTGTCCTCCCCATGCCCAAAAAGCCATCCACCCCTTTAACTCTTTCAATTTCCCTGCAGCTGCGTCCGTCCAACTCAGGGAATCAAACCTTCAACCAGAGAGTTTGTCCAGCAGCTTGCGGCGCCTCCTGTCAACCAGCTCCTCCTGCACCTCTTCCAGCGAGGGCAACACCCAGCCCACGCCATCTCCCGCGTCCCCAGGTAATTCCACCCACTCATCATCATCATCACGACGGCCACCCTTCTTGCCGCCCTTCTTTGACGACCGCGCATCCGCGACGTCCATGTCGTCCGGTTGCTGCAGGAGGTTCCCGAGCGCCTCTTCTTCCTTCTGCCTCTCGTACGCCAGCAGCGAGCCGTCCTCCTCGTCCAGGTTGTAGCCGTAATACGACGCGTCGACGTTGCGGCGCAGCTCCGCGCGCGTGGGCCCGTCGTGGACCGACTGCGATTGCGGCGGCGCCTTGGCCGCCTCGAAGAGCTCCTTGACACCCGGCAGTTCGCGCGCTCGTCCAAAATATCTGTTCGACAAAACGCTCGTCAGCCCCGCGTCCCGCGTCCCGCCTACACAAACACACACAAAAAGCACCGACAGAATCCACTGCCACTGCCACTGCCACTACCAGTGCGAGAAGTGGGGGGGAGGAGGAAGAAAAGAAAAGAAAAAACAAGAGAAAGAACAAGAAAACAAAAGGACCACACATACCGATACCCCTTCCCGCCGCCCGGAATCTCCCTGCCCTCCTCATCCACCATGCGCCCGCCCCGCATGTAATTCGGGCCCCCGAGATTCCGGATCTGCACCTCCCACATGTGCTTCTCGCGCATCAGCTTGTTGATCTCGTCGTTGAGGTCGCGGATCTGGTAGTCCGACAGCGCCTCGTCCTGGATGCGCGACACCTTGCGCGATATCTCCTTGAGCACCTGCCCGCGCCACTTCTCGCACGTCGGGATCGCGTCGATGGACGTGATGAGCTTCGGCCGCCGCGTGCGCGACATGTCCAGGATGCCCAGGTCCGCCGCCTGCGCCGCCCGGAAGCGGAACAGCATCGATTGCGCCTTTTCGGAGTTGCGGGCCTGGGAGGGGTCATTGTTAGTGGCTGGGTGGGGTGTGCGTGTGCGTGGTGGTGGTTTATGCGGTGTGGTGGTTTGGTTTGGGAGGGGGTTCTTTGAGGACGGTTGGGAGGGGAGGGAGGACGGAAGGGAGAGGCAATGTCTCGTCGCCGTGTTGCGACACGCGCTCTCGGTGGTGTGGCGCGCGCGACACGTTTTGGCAAAAAATGACGTGCGTGAGGGAGTCCGACTTACCATGGCTGTGGTGTCGTTCGGCCGGGGCCGGTCGTGTAGGGGTTATATCGTAGGACTGGCGATCCAGGAAAGCGGTCGGGTGGTATATGTGTGAGCGGTTCGGGGGTGCGAGAGGTGCGTTGTTGTTTGGAGGTTCCTGGGTTGTTGAAGCGGCGGCGGGCAAGCAAGCTGCGAGGTGACTTGAGCTCTAAGTTGCCCTTCTCCGCGCGGAAAAAACGACCGGGGGTTCCGCGCAGCAGCGCCCGACGACCCTACTCAGGCGCGACCCACCCCGCTTGGCGAGCTAAAAGTGACGTCGGCTCTCACGGCTGGGACCTAGTACCTTGATTGAGTATCGGGTTTATCTAGAGGCTCGGCCTCCATTTTGATCCGATAGGAAGCCATGCTATTAACCTTCCACCCAGAGAGCGTATACCATATCCGTAGAGAATACAAACGGAATATTGTCTACGGCATCAAGAATGCTAGTCCGGTCTGGATTTGTTCGCATAACGAGAATCGTGGATCCCTTACGCCTGGAACTTTGAAGCACCGTGAGAGGCGCCAACCAAGACCCCTCATGCTATGTACCATGAGAACGAAAAAGCCCAACGCTAACATGACACTCTCGACCGCTTTGGACGCCAACACGCCTGAAACTACCAGAGCAAGCACAACAGTCCGAAATAACAATTGGTTTACAGGAAACAAGAGATGTTGGTGAGGGTCCCTCAATCGACACCCGCATAGAGATCTACCACGATGTTGACCGCGGCCACCAAAATCTCGGCAGCAATCAGAACGATGACGACCCACTCCAACAGTTCCGAGTGCGTCACCGTGAGCTGATCCTTCAGCACCGCGAGAAGGTCCGCGATGACATCGAGACGCTCCGTCAGCAGGCTGACACGCTGGTCCATTTCCAAGTAGGAGCGCACGGCTTGGTAAATGGGCTCGAGTTGTGGCTCGGCCCACATGAGCTCAGGCGAGTCAAGGACCGAGCCCTGGAGATGGATGTTGATTCTCAAGATGAAGAGCTCTCCAATTTGCATGTTGATCTCGCGCCGGGAAAGATTGACCTTGCCAGTCGTTGCAATCTGAGAGGGAATGTCTTTCGTGGTTTCGATGGTGTTGTCAACCAAATCCTCGTAGAGAGAAGTCTAGGGGGGCACATTTTGTCAGCTTTTCATACGGCTCGACATGCACACCGTTTGCTTACCTTGACGCTCTGGGCCAGTGCGTGACTGATGGCAAGTTTGGTCATGTAATTTTTCTTGTCGCGCAGGCTGATGAAGTCGTTGTATATCCTAGCCTGGTACTCGTGCGTGTAGTAGAAGTTGAAATCCTCGGTCTGAACATCGTCTTTCGCGAGCTTTTCGTTTTCGAACTTGGCAATCTCCCTCAGAAAGCGTTGTTCTTGCAGTAAGTTCATTCCCCAGATGACGACCGTGCCGTAGTTGAACAAAAACACCTCTGGAGTGTGCACATGGGTATCGAAGTCTATCGAGTCTCGTCGGGAACTTGGCGAATCAACCACATCTTCAGGGTCCGGCTGGATAGAGCTTCCGGCATCACCGTCGGTTTGCAAGTCAATCAGGTCGACGCGCCGCTGTTCGGTATTGCCGTCAATCTCGACGGCACTGTCCGAATGTCTCCGTTCGGGCAGGCCGGTTTGTCTCTCGGGCCCCTGGCCAGCATCCTGCTCGACCGCCTTCTTCCCGAGATTGTAGTCGTAGGGTGTGTAGACACACTCGTCAAAGAGCTTGGGTGCGGCACCCTTGGTCTTGGCCTTGCCTTTGAGGTACCTCATAAGAGCATCCATTTGGTAGGAGCTGGCAGTGCAGTATGCCGTGACCCTCGGCAGCCGCTCGCGATCGGCCTTTCCCAGACGAGCAGCGTCGCGACGAGCGGTGGGCTCCTTGATCCTCGTGAGCTGGGCGTATACATCGCGGCCGCTCTCGTCGTCGATCTCGACCTCGGCTTGCTCGGGGTTGGGCAGAAGCTTCAGTTTCTGCACGTTCCTCGTCGTTCTCTGCGGGCCGATCTTGGGCGCGGCAAGAGCGGAGGGGGTCAAAGGGGCGCCTTGGCTGTTTCGGCGGCGTAGCTTGCTGTTCAGCGCGGAGAGCATGGGCTGGCCGCCATTCTGCTTCTTGGTGACGGGCGAGATGGGCAGGTGGGTGGAGGGGCGCAGCGGAGGCGGATTGGAGGGACTGCTGGTGGAAACATTTGGATTGAAGGTGACGCTGCGCTGCGGCTTCGCGGGGGTCTTGGAGGGCAGCAGCGGGGACGACTCGGACGGGTCGGGATTGGAGGCCATGGCGGAGTGTCTGGCTAGCTTCGGCGGGGCGGATTGGCGCGTCGGGATGGGCTTCGCGGAGCCTTTTCGACCATTGCGGACGGGGGTTGCGGGTGCAGAAAGCAGGCGGTCGCAGGCAAGAACTGGAGCTTAGCGGCCTAACGTCATGCTCGAGTTGCCGCCGCCCGCACTGACCCCGCCTCCACCAGTCCACGCTCCCACCTGTGCCACCGTCGGTGCTGCGCAACGTCGCATTCCAACGCCGCAAGTCTCTGGAACGGTGAGTCCGGCTGCAGCAAGCCATCCCGTGCTAGCACCTTACCGGGGCACCCCCGCTGCAACCCGGCCGCCCTATGCATCCACCTCACCCCAAACCTTAAAAATCCACGCTGCCCTGTGTGGGCGAGATCGGCGTCACCTTGATATCACTTCTCCATTGCGTCTATATTCTCCGTCCATCGCAGTCTTCCTGTGCCTGACAACGTTTGCGTGCTCTTTGCAGCAGCCCTCGACAACTCCACGAGCCAACACCATCGGCCATGGGACACTTGACAACTTTGGCCACGTGCCAGGTATGCTCTGCTGCGGTTCCCTTGCTCTGGCGTCGAGGCTGACCGTCCCTCAGCTCAACCAATGGGCTCTCGATTTCGAGGGCAACTTGGAGAGGATCCTCGAGTCAATCCGGCAAGCCAAGGCTGCCGGTGCTTCTCTCCGCGTCGGCCCCGAGCTGGAGATCACTGGTATGCTCGTGCTCCCTCTATCCTGCTGCAAATCGTTGCCTGACGCCGGCCAGGTTATGGCTGTCTCGACCATTTTCTTGAGTCCGACATCTTCCTGCACTCGTGGGAGATGATCGCCAAGATCCTCTCCGACAAGTCTTGCTACGACATCATCCTCGATATCGGCGCACCTGTCATCCACCGCAACGTGCGCTACAATGCTCGCGTCATCTGCTTCAATGGTCAGATTCTGCTCATCAGGCCGAAGCTGTGGCTTGCCAACGACGGCAACTACCGCGAGATGCGTTACTTCACGCCTTGGAGCAGGCCATACCACGTCGAGGAGTACTACCTCCCGAGGCTTATCCAAAACATCGTTGGTAAGGTCAAGGTCCCCATCGGCGATGCCGTCATCTCCACTCGCGATACGTGTTTGGGCGCCGAGACCTGTGAGGAACTCTTCACCCCCGCCGCCCCGCATGCTGCCATGGGTCTCAATGGTGTCGAGATTTTCACCAATTCTTCCGGTAGCCACCACGAGCTGCGGAAGCTGAATACCCGCATCTCTCTCATTCTCGAGGCAACCCGCAAGTCGGGTGGCATTTACCTGTATTCTAACCAGCAGGGTTGTGATGGCGACCGTCTGTACTACGATGGATCAGCCATGATCATCATCAATGGCGAAATCGTTGGCCAGGCGTCTCAATTCAGCTTGAACGATGTTGAGGTTGTTACCGCAACCGTCGATCTAGAGGAAGTGAGGGCCTTCCGTTGTGCCCCAAGCCGCGGGCTCCAGGCCGTGCAAGCGAACGCCTATCAGAGAATCGAGGTAGACTTCAGCCTCTCCGTTGAGGGTGGTGCACTGGATGCCAAGTTGAGACCTTCCAAGTCCTTCAAGCCTTATGTCCACGAGCCCGAGGCCGAAATCGCCTACGGGCCCGCATGCTGGCTGTGGGACTATGTGCGGAGAAGCCGACAGGGAGGGTTTCTGATCCCTTTGTCAGGTGGCATTGACTCCTGCGCTACCTCCGTCATTGTGTTCTCCATGTGTAGGCTCGTTGTTGAGGCGATAGAGAGGGGCGATGAGCAAGTCGTTCAGGATGTCAGGGCCGTTTGTGGAGAGCCTGAAGGATCTACGTGGCTGCCATCGACGCCGCAAGAATTCTGCGGCAGGATCTTCCATACTTGCTACATGGGCAGCGTGAACTCGTCTGCTGAGACTCGCAACCGCGCAAAGGACCTCGCCAAGGACATTGGCGCCTACCATACCGATTTGGACATCGATAGTGTTGCGACAGCTCTGAAAACCCTCTTCACCACTGTCACGGGCTTTGTACCGCAGTTCAGGGTCCACGGAGGAAGCAACACGGAAAACCTGGCTCTACAAAACATCCAGGCCAGGATCCGCATGGTCATTGCGTACCTGTTCGCTCAACTGCTCCCCGTGGTTCGTGGTCGCAAAGCTCCTGGAAGTTTGCTCGTCCTTGGTTCTGCCAATGTCGATGAATCTTTGAGAGGCTATCTTACCAAGTACGACTGCAGCAGTGCTGATATCAACCCTATCGGAGGAATCTCGAAGACGGATCTCAAGGCATTCATCAAATGGGCAGGAAGCCAGTTCAACCTTCCGATATTGGAGGACTTCATCAACGCCACGCCTACTGCAGAACTTGAACCTATCACCAAGGATTATGTCCAATCTGACGAGGCCGACATGGGAATGACTTGTATGTTCCACTCTGTTGTTTTTAGCCCGGAACAGTCTTTAGCTAATTATGAACTAGATGATGAACTCTCGGTGTTCGGAAGGCTGCGCAAAGTAAGCAGACGATTTCATGTGTCCTGACCGTAGACTGACAAGTTGCAGGTTCACAAGCTTGGACCCTATGGAATGTTTGAGAGGCTACTGCACGATTGGAGCGATCGCATGAGCCCAAGGCAGGTTTACGAGAAGGTGCGGAGGTTTTACTGGTCAGTAATCCCCACCTATTTGTCGTAAGCTCTCACTGACTTGCCTTCCTACAGGTTCTACGCGATCAACCGCCACAAAATGACCACCATCACCCCTGCATACCATGCCGAAGCCTACTCTCCCGATGACAACAGGTATGTATATCCAACAAGTTAATGGGTTCCGGACTGATTTGGTATGCGAAGGTTCGATCTGCGTCCGTTCTTGTATCCCGTATTTAGTAAGTGTTCTCAGAAAAAAGTCGATGATATTCGTCACTGACTTCCATACCCAGGCTGGCCGTACAAAAAGATCGAAGAGATGTTGAAGAAGCACGAAGACGGAGAAGCAAAGAAAGAGATCAAGGGAGAATAGCGGGTTGTCAAGTATTTTGATGCTTCTTCATAGGCAAAAATAGACTCAGCATCCGGTGTAGAGCCTTGGGGCTCTTGGATCGGTTGATCAATGGCTGAACGTTTGCAAAGACATTTGTCACCAATTATGCATCAAAGCTGCTCTTCTCCACATGCCAAGACCAGGTTCGCAAAATTCTACCTTTTTTCTTTGTGCTTCTGCCTCCTGCTGTGTACACCTAAAACCGGCGCGCGCGCGCGTGTGCGTGTGGTGTGCCGACGTAGCACAGAGCGAAACCCCCCGCTCCAACAATTGCACATTGCTCCCCATGCATGAAGTAACTACCCGCTAGGCGCTGGCTATCCTTCTTCTGGACCAAGTCTCGCGCGGGACTTTGTTGAGACCCTGTATGCAGTAACACGATGCTCGTGTTGGCCTTGTACTGTGCGTTGGCGTCTCGATCTCTTCATGGAAGTGTAAAAAAAAATTAAATTTGTGTGGTTGTACTCCTTGCGTAACAACCGATCAGTATCTGTTGAGGCTCCTCTCTGACCAACGCCGCCTCCAGGACTTCCTCTGCAAGGGACCTCTAGAAGGACTCGTCATGGTGGGTGAGGGGGAAAAGAAAAGGAGCAAGATGTCTTGTATCATCATAACGGAGAACTCTGGCACGAGGAGTACGGATAGGTGCCCCCCATTCACCATGCGCACGGACTATCTATTGGAGCTGCAGCCGCATGTCTGCCCTGAACGCTTCAAGATCTCTGCGAATTGAATCGAGCCATGTCACCGCCATAGGGTTCCTTTTTGGAAATGCATCCAAAGCCAATCGTTGACAGCCACGTCGGCCTGATCAGGGGATACTTCATGGGCAGCAGCATTTTGGTTGCTTGAACTTCTTTTTCTTAAGCCAAAAAAAAAGCTGAAGATAACCGATATTTTTTTGCATGTGTTTTGTGGGTGACCTAAAATGCCTCAATGGCATTTATAATAAATTTCACTGACATCCAGCAAATCTTAATGAAGTGTCACGTCCGTTCATGCTCAGAACCACCACGTGATGTATATAACAAGGCCTTATGTTGGAAGATTTGCCGATTTCCTCGTGGTATCAGATCCAGTACTTACTATGCGGCATGATGCTGATCCTTTCGTTCTCGTGTCTTGATAATTGTTGCTCTTCCCTTTGATTAATTTGGACGAGACCGGGCCGGTCAGCTCCTGAATACTCTGGACACCTTCATCACTTTATCCAAAACAACTACACGTGAGCGGAAACAACTCAAGTGGAACAGTGAGTTCGCCAATGCGAATCAGTCTTGCTATTGAAAACAGTAATCTCGTCCAGATCCTCCAAATATTCGACTGGAGATGAGCCAAGTAGGGTATCTAATTCGTACGTCGCCGTCCTCGAAAATGCCGTCGACCCAGAAAAAACGGGAGTCCCAGTACGCCGCGCCAGCATGTGCATGTTCCGCCAATGCTCCATCATAAGAGAAAACGCCAGTAAAATCAAATGCTCATGCAAGGTTCAAGACGACACCGCGTCTACCACTTCTACCGTAGAAGCACCCATCGCCTCAAGAAGATCCATTAACCAGTGAAACGCCTTCGCCGCTTGTAGAACTTTCCGCTCGTGGTGATAGATCGTCCGTCTTCAATGCCTTCACAGCCCTATCTACCTCCTCAGAAGCAACCTGCTGCCACTTCTCTCTCGTATTCTGATCTGCAAGGCTGGTGGCATCACCAACCTTCTCATACATCCTCCTCGATATGTTCATATTGATATCCGTGTATTCGTCTTTGCTGACTTCACTCTTCAAGTAAAGCGGCTTCAAAGCAGCTTTCACCATGCGCTGAATCTCGGCTTTGGTGGAATATGACATGTTGGCCCGAGTAGGCGATGCATCCTTGGAGCGAGGAGGGCTCGCAAGAACAGACTGCTGTGAACCCCGTCGCTTCCGAGGTACCCTCTCGCCAGTGTTCTCGCTGTACTCGTGTACGAACCGGTTATCCTCGGCAGGCGAGTATGGCGCAAATCGTGGCGCCGAAGGGAAGATTGGTGTAATAGTCGAAGATAGCAAGGGAGACGATGGCCGCGCTAGCGTCAGGGGCGGCGGGGTCATGGCGCGAGGGGTTATTACTCCCGAGCCGAGAGGCGAGCCAACAGGTGAAGACATTTGAGGAGGTGACGACGGCTCAGCCCCACGGTTCGGTGCGTTCTGACGTCTTGTGGGCGCAGGATCAGCTGCTGGCGTAGAAGTCTCGACCTCTTTCAAGAGCGACTGCAGGAAATTGGATCCCGAATTGTCCGCAGCGCCCTTGGAGCCAGGGCGACCAGGCGCGGATGCAGCCGCAGAGGCGGTGACAGCAGAGGTCGATGCGCCGCCGCGTGCTGCAGATGACGATTCGCCGTTATTGGCAGAGCCCGGCAGCGCCGTCGTGGTGGCACGGCGGGTGCAAGGGCGCTTGAGAGCTCGTTCCGGTTCAGGCTGGGGCTCGCTCGGGGATCCGGACGGAGAATGCCGCTTTCTCCTGTTGGCTGGGATAGCGACTTCCCTGGCCTTCTCAAATGCATTCCAAGCACGAAGTTCATCCTGTGACTCGGGTGCTGGGGGGTCGGGCCGTACACGTCCAGGTGCCAAGAGAGCAGCAGCATGTTGCCGGAACCTAGCGGCATTGCCTTGGCGTTCTGCTGCCCGAACTCTTGCTTGATAGGCATCAATCTCCCGGCGTTGAGCTTCAATGCGTGCTTGGTTGGAAAGGTCATCGTCGAAGGGAAAGTCAAGATCAATGCCTGTCCGACGGTTGACCTCTTGCCAGACGCGGGCCCAGGAATCGGCCCTCCTCCTGTTGGAGCGAATTGCGCGTTCCCGCTGCGTCAGCCGGGAGGTGACAGCGGAGCGGTTGTGCTGCCGTTCGCGTTCCCGTTCACCCAGCGCGGACGGGTTTTCCATGCAATGCTGGCAGTACCAGTCGCCTGCAGGCACTTCGTCAAGACCGGCGCAGAAGACATGGCAAGGGCGGTCACAGAAGTCGCACAGCATCAGCTGTTCTTCGTCTCCGAAATCGTCGCATACCATGCAGGGCTCGTACGAAGGCTCGAGCAGGTCCTCGTCGACGATCATGGTCGGGTCCAGCTCAGCGACTTGCTGCTTGTCTTCGACTTCATATGAAGAAACAACTCGACCTGCCCCGCGCAACGTTAGTCGCAAAGCTTTCGGCAGAGAAGACATCGAGGCTGACACAAGAACACTGGAAAGACCCACGGACATGAACTGCGAAAGTGAATAGATTGACTTGTAGGTCACCGTCGGTCGAACCAGTTCGTTGTCCTGCCAGACTGGCTGGTGTGTTCCCACAGCACTTGTCCACTTACCTCCTATTTTAGCCAGCAGCTGAACCTCGTTGAAGCTTGCGCGGCAAATGGGGCAGCTGTTTGCGCGCTCCACCCATGGCTTCAGACATTCGTTGTGCAAGTTGTGTCCGCATGGTAGGAGGTGCGCGATAGCTTCGTCTTCCGGCGGGGACTCGTCGTCGGATGTGGCGGGTTGTGGCGGCGTGTCTTGCTGGAGGGTAGCTTCGGTGCTCAGGTGCGTAGCTTGAAGCGAGCCGTCTGCGACATCCGGAGCTTGTTCCCCGGTCGGTGGCGGCTCGGAGAGGTCAGAGAGCAGGTCGCCGAGACAGACAATGCACGTCTCGGCCATGGGAGCAAGAGAGATGTGGGAGAGAGCAGGTGTGAGAAAAGCAGCGTGCGAGCATCAAGGTCGGCGGCTTTGTCTGGAGGTTTAAATGGAAGAGGTCGAGAGGACTGAGCCGGCGCAGCGGGGATTATGAATGACGCTAAGACGGCCCTAGCCTCATTAGGCGGGCGCGACGGCCAGTCAGAACACGTGCAGTTGGGCGAGAGTCCAATGCCAGGTTGCACAAGGAGCTGCCTGCAACATGTCTATCGCGCTTGTGACTGCTGGGGAGGGGTGGGAGAGGAAGGAGCGAAACCTGACAATCACAAGCGCACCTGCAAGAACGGCACTCCGACGACAATGACGCCCTTCCACGTCCTCACGGTGCATGGCTGTGTTCCAGCTGCCTAAGTTTTACCGCCTTGCAGCCTTACCACCCTGGTCTGCTGGTTTGCGCGCCGAGCGTCATTTAGCGCCCCGGCCATTTCGAGGAGCGATCCGACATTACTATTGCGGCCATGGCTCCAATACGATCGTCGCCAGTGCGAATCTCCTTGGCGGTTCCAAGGCCCTGCGTCTGCCAGCCGATTTTACGGCCACAACCGGGCACGAGAGTGGAAAGGGGAAAACTCAGGTGCAGTGCAGCCGTCAAAAAGTCCTTCGTCGATGGCGGAAGCACAGCAAGCCGTTCTTAGCACGTCCTAAAGTTTCGGTGGCAGGGTTGTTCTTCCATTCTTTGTATTCGTCCCGATCCGTTTGAGATTCGGTCGTAATTTTGGGGTTCTATCGACTTGGTTGTCGCCGCATGCCGTGTGATGACCGGAACCCTAGACAAATAGAAAAAACCCAGACACCGTGTCGTAATTTTTCGCAAACCCAGTCCTCTAAACCTCAGCAATCTCCCTCAGACGGCGGATCGTCGACCTCGTGGCGGCGGCGGCGGGAGTACTGGTCCGTCAGTCAGTTTTTGTAATCTTCAACATCCCCTGCACTCATGTCCCGGTCCGTCCAGTGCAGGGTGGTGTCCGCCTAGACTTACGCGACGGTGTAGGCACCACCAGCGATGGTCTTCTTGCATGCGCTGCAGTTCCAGATGCCGACGGAGTGACGCTTGACGGTGGTCTTGCCGCAGAAGGTGCAGGTGTAACGGGCGTGCTGGGTGATTTCCATCTGCAATGCTGTCAGCTCCGGGTCCATGGCTCGAGAAGTGCGATTGCGCGCTTACCTTCTTCACCTGCTTACGCAGGGAAGCACCGTAGCGGGTGCCGTACTGGACTTAATTCAGCATTTGGGGTACCTGCGTTCGAGAACGGAGGAACTGACCTTGCCGGTGATGCCGACCTCTGCGACAGAATTAGCGGCTGCAAAAATCAGGAAGGATTAAGGAATGGACATACTCTTGGTACGCTTGGTCATCTTGTCGGATGGTGTGTGAGGGTTGTGAGGTCGAGGGTGTGGTCTGCAAGTCGTCCTTGACGAGAGATTTTGGCGAGGTGCGCATTTCGCAAGCCCCGGTGTGGCCGCCAAGCCGTCGCGAGCCGCTAGCCCCCATTTGGGACTAGCGCACCTCAGTCAGCACCTGGCCTCTGTGCTCGCAGGTATCCTTCCAGCATGCCGGAACCGACATGCATCTTGCGATGGCTCGTCGTATCCGTCTCTCCACTCTCAGGAACGGAACCCGATCGCAATCGTCTTTTTCTGGCCCTTTTGCATTGCTCGCGAGGATGGAATGTCGTAATGTTGCTCCTATGACGTTGCCGGCCGTCGCCATGGAGCTCCGGGCCCCGTTCTTTTGGGAGCTTGCCGCGCCTGCTTTTCACACAGCGTACGACTGCTACGCTGCATACACACCGAATCGATAGGACGCCGACTCTGGACCCCTCATTGCGTGCTCTTGATAGCTATCTCTCGCGTGACCACTCGTAATTCGCCTTCAGCACCGGCTCAAGTAATCCGCTTCGGTGCGCTTCTCCGAGGTCACAGACCAGGTCGCCGTGGCGAGCTCACTTCTTTGGTCGCTCCGAACGCCTTCTGCATACAATCCACCTGCTTCCCACCACAATTGACCTGTGTTCGCCTCAGAATGTCCAACGCTTCTCGACAGTACGAGCTGGTGCTCCTCGGAGCCACGGGCTACACCGGCAAGCTCACCGCCGAGCACATCACCACCAGCCTGCCCACTGATCTGAAGTGGGCAATTGCTGGACGCAACGAGAAGAAGCTCGCCAATGTGGCCGAAGGCTTGAAGAAACTGAACTCCGACAGGCCTCAACCTGGTAGCCTCCCAATTGACTCCGTCCGTTCCGTACCCATCTAACGTAACCGTGAAGATATCAAGGTGCTTGAGCTGAAGGGCGAGGAGCTTGACAATCTTGTGCAGAGCACTCGTCTCGTCATCAGCACTGTCGGCCCGTTCATGAAGTATGGTACCCCGGTAGTTGAGGCATGTGCTAAGCATGGCACCCACTATCTCGACTGGTGAGTCCCCCAGACGTTAACTACCATGGACGTTCCGCTAAGTACGTCAGCACGGGCGAGGTTCCCTGGGTTCTCGAAATGATTAACAAGTATCACGACGTGGCAAAGGCCAACGGAGCAATCGTAAGTTCTTCGGTATTGATACAGTCCAAGCAGACGGTTAACTTGATCTGCAGATGATCCCGCAGTCCGGCGTGGACAGTGTTCCGGCCGACCTGATCGCCTACGTCGCGGCCACGCACATCCGCCAGACTTTGGGCCTGGGCACAGCTGAGGTTCTGGATGCTGCCGAGCTGAATGCCAAACCCTCGGGCGGCACGCTTCTGACCGGCTTGTCTCTGTTCGACCACTACAGCTTGGCGCAGATTGGGAAGGCCTTGTCGCCTTTTGCCCTCTCACCCGTCCAGCCTCAGTCACGCACATCCCCCGGGGGTCTTGTATCCAAGATTTTGGGCGTGCGCCAGGACAAGGACCTTGGGTACCTTACCGATTGGGTCGGAGCCAAGGTTGATGGTGCCATTGTGGAGCGCAGCTGGGGCTTGCTGGACGGCGGCAAACTCTATGGCCCCAAGTTCTCATTCAGCGAGCACATGCCCACCAAGAGCGCTCTGAGTGGCGCTCTGGTACATTTTGGCATGGTGTTCAGCATGATGTTCCTCGCGATCCCCCCTGTCAGATGGATTGCGAAGAAGCTTATCTATCAACCTGGCGATGGCCCAGAGATGGAGTAAGTAGACCGGCGGCTAGTTGTCATTGTGCGAGCTAACAAGCATCAGATCGACCAAGAACGACTACCTGTATCACAAGGCGATAGCCACCGCAGACAGTTCCAAGGGGGAGCGTGCTGTCGTCGAGTTCAGGTTCAATGGCTCGATGTATTACTTTACCGGTCTGGCGCTTGCCGAAGCAGCCATGGTGATTCTGCGCGGAGGCGAGACAGAGGCGAAGAAGCTCGGCGGAGGCATCCTGACGCCCGCCACGCTGGGCGGCGAGTATGTGGAAAGGCTCAGGAAAGCCAACACGGAGATCCGCGTCCAGTTGCAGTAGAGGTTGGCTGCTTTGTTCCAGTAGTGCTATCTGGATGGGAAACAGGAGGTGAAGCACACTTCACAGCACGGTAGCGAACTGGATGCGTAGGCGCAATGCTCGGAATAAAAGTTTACTCATTCATTCATCCGCTCCTTACAGCTTTGCCTTCAACTTGCCCTCGTCCTTCACCATCTTCTCCAAAGCCTCGATGCCCGCCTTCGCGACCTGCTCATCTTGGGCGGGTGTGCCAGTGCTGCAACCAATCGCACCCAAGATTTCTCCGTTCGGACCCTTGACCGGGACGCCTCCGCCGATTGTGGTGAACTTTCCGCCGTTCGAGTTGTTGATACCGAAGGCGACGCCGCCGGGCCACACGGCGTCCTTGTAGGCCGATGTGGGCACGCGATGGCCAGATGCAGTGAAGGCCTTGCTGATAGCGATGTCGATGGAGGTGAGCTTTGCGCCGTCCATGCGAGAGAACTGGAGGAGGTGGAGGCCGGAATCGACGACGGCAATGTTCATGGGCACGCCGATTTCTTTGGCCTTGGCCTCGCAGGCGCGCGCGGCGGCCTGGGCGGCGCTGAGGCTCAGGGTGGGAACGGACAGCGTGACGGGCATGGCGATTGCGACCGGAGGAGAGGAGGGTGGCGTTGGGCTTGAGAGATGTGTGCAGACGACATGATCATGATGCGTTGGAGGAGCTATCACGGTGCGGGACGGGAGCTTCGCCCGAGCTCTCCCGAGTGACGTCTCCGTGTCTCGCTCATTTCGGGCGCCGTCGCGACAACCCCGCTAGTTATTCCAGCACCCGATCACAATGTCTTATCTATCGCTCACAGATACACATTATTGCGCACGAAGACAACCGTCTTATTCCCATTGCCAGCATCAGCTCCCCAGGACACTCTCCATTAGCCCGAGACCTCACGCGCAAGCTCTGGCCACGACTCGGTCGATCACAAGCCTCCTCCGCAGGATTCGCCTTCTTATTTCTCATCAACCCAGCGAAGTACGCGCTCAAAAATAGCCACGCCATCCTGCTCCCTCTCCATCTTCTTTGAGATTTCCGACAGTTGCTCAGCAGAGAACATTTGCGTGTACGCGGGCGCATCCGCCAATGCCGCTTGCGCCAGCTTTGCGTTCATCTCTGGGTGGCCCTGAAACGTCAAGATTCTGTTGTCGGGAGACTTGAAGATCTGCCTGTTCGCCGCCAGCGGCACGAATCCTGCAGCGTTCTCGGCAAGCTCGCGTCTGTGGAACTCGTGGACGTTCTGCCATGAATCAGCTCCCTGCACGGCGTCGCGGCATCGCTAAACCTACCACCTGAGCCTTTCCTTTGGCGAAGTCGAAGAACTCCGAGCCTTCTTCGGTCAGGTCCAATGTAGTAACGCCGAGCTGACTCGATTAGCGTGGACGCTGACAGTACGTTCTGACGCTCACGGGCTTACTTCAGGTCCCTTTTCCATCATAGTCAACTTGCCTCCGAGCGCGACGTTGATTGCTTGATGGCCCCAGCATATTCCAACAAGTTTGACATCCGAAGACGCAACAACAGTCCTAATAAACTCTAACTCTTGAAGCACCCATGGATCAGGCGCGTTGATGTCAGCGGTCCCTCCGCTTAGCACCACGAGATCGTATTTTTCGACGTCAGGGTAGCTCTGGCTGTCTATCGGATCGTAGAAGTCAATGACCGACTCTGGCCTGACCGCTGTGATGGTCGTGATATACGAGTCCCTCGTCTCAGGTTTGTGCTGAAGCATGTTGATCAGCACCGCGATGCGGAGCTTCGAATCAGCTTTGTGTGGCATGTTGAAAAAGACCCCTCGAAGTGTTGTCAATAAAACCTCGTTCGGACGGGACAGCTTTTGTGTCCCTCAACTGGAATGGTTTGGCAAGCCGTGAGTCCTCGGCAGTGGATACTAACAGGCAAGCAGGTCATGGCGTCATGCGGAGGTCTTATCGGCGCCCCCGCTGAGGAGCAAAAGTGGGAGAACTCCACCAGATGATCAGCAATAACTTACTAACGGCACTACATTCATTACCACACCGCGTGACAACCATAGGAGCATATTTCGACCTTCACTTACGGATTACATTCTTACATTGTAGCTTTTAGAACGAACGAAAAGAGTGTTTCCTTCATAATAGCGCGTATCGATGTCAAACGGCAAGGAAAATAACCATTTGGCATACACGGCTGTCCTTATGGCTTCTAAAAGGGCTGCGGACAGGTGGTCCTCATTCAGGAAAACACTGGTGTAGGACAACTCGCTAAAAAGTCCTTCCGTAAGTTCTCTATGGTTTATTTCCTTTTTTTGTCTGCCTCATCGAATCTCAATATACCAATGGTCACGGTCTGCAAGAATACGTCAACTTCCACAGCCATAAAATTGAGAATTGGCATTATTGGAACTCCACAATCTTCATTGCGTGTTTATCATTTCACTAAGCATGGATTCTACTAACAAAAAGAGCAGTACAATCGAGAAGCGCCGTGAAATACATCCCTAACGTACCAAACAACAGGGCCTAAGAAAAAGTGCCTCTGCAAAAACACCCGGAAACCCACGCAAAGCCATCCTGATCTCCTCACGTACACCTTTCACTTCTTGCTCTGACTCCGGAACGTCTCTGCATCCTCGGTACAGCTCCTCGCCATCTGCAACTGCTCGTCCGTACGGCAGACCAGCACCCTGTGCCTCGAGTCCGCCGCCCCCACATCCGTCACGACGCTCTCCGACCCACCGGCGCCCTCATTCTTCTCGCCATCCAGCGCGAAGCCCAGGCACCTCGCGCCCTTCACAATCCGCTCCCTCAGCCTCGCGCCCTTCTCGCCGATGCCGCCGGCGAAGACGAGCGCGTCGACGTCGCCCTCGAGCTTGAGGTAGTACGAGCCGACGTAGCCGAGCACGCGGTCGGCGAAGATGTCGAACGCCAGCCGGCACTCGGGCGCGTCGCTCGCAGAGATCTCGCCAAAGTCGGTGGTGCCCGTCAGCGCGGCCCAGCCGCTCCGCTTGTTGAGAATCTCCTCGGCCTGCGTGATGTGCATCTCCTTGGTGCTGCTGCGGCTCGGCATGCCCGCCTCGTGCGTGTAGTGGAACACGAGCGACGGGTCGATGCTGCCGCTGCGCGTCGCGCCGGGGAGCCCCGCGAGCGGCGTCAGCCCCATGGTCGTGTCCCAGGATTGCCCGTGCTTGATGACGCAGGCCGAGGCGCCGCTGCCGAGGTGGAGCGCGATGATGTTGAGGGAGCTGAGCGGCTTGGAGAGGTGCGAGGCCACGACGCGCGAGATGAAGTGGTAGGATATGCCGTGGAAGCCGTACTTGCGGAGTTTGTTGTGCTTGGCGATGCCTTGGTCGATGGGGTAGGTGCGGATGTGCTGGTGGGGGGTCAGGGAGGTGAGGCCTGGCCGGGGGTGGTGGTGATGGAGGGGGGGCTTACCTCGGGGATGGTGGAGTGGAAGGCGGAGTCGAAGTATGCAACGTTCGTGGAGGCTGGGAGCTCCTTGCCCACGGTCCGGATGATGGTGAGGGCTCCGGCATTGTGCCTGGTCATTATGGTCAACACTGGGGTGCCTCACGGTAGGGCCGGGAGATGGGGGACGCGAAAGAGGAAAACGGGACATCAGGAGTCAAGAAAAGTGACTTACAGGGGGGCCAGATCGGACAGTTTCTCAATATGATGGTATATGTTGTCGTCAATGACTTGAGCTTTGGGATAGTCACCGCCATGGACCACGCGATGGCAGACAAACTCAACATCTTCCCTACGCTTCAGCTCGGGAAGACCTTCGTCCTTCAGCAGATGCTCGATAATGTACTTGAAGGCCTCTTCCTGGGACTTTCCACCTCCGAGCTCTTTGTTCTTTATTTTTTGGTCGCCGCGCTCGTATGTCAACTTGGCTGGGGGTGCAGTGAGTCCAGAGATGGAAACCTCGGCAAGCTGCTTCAATTCGTCCGGATTGCCGTTGGAGGCGTAAACAGACACCTTGACCGAGGAAGAGCCCGCATTTGCGGAGAGGATGATTTTGGTCATGGCAGGCAGATTGGGTGAATTGCAGTCGTCGGGGCCCTTTGCGGTAGTCAGAAGGCACAGAGCAGCGATGGTGGGGGGAGTGTGCTGACCAGAGGCTGGTAGGCTGGTTGGTAATGAGCTTCGCCGCAGGGAGTGGGGCCCAATCGTCGACGGCTCCGCGGAAGCGACGCGGGGCAACAGATGCGAAGGCACGCAGGGACAAATAATGCACAGCCAGAAGCAATAATAATGCAACCGAAGACTGAGCAGCAGGCGTCGGGCGACACGCAGGCTCTCCAAGCCCCCGTCTTATACTGGCCGCTCGCGCTCACCCCACGTCTCATGCCTGGCGGAGGAGCGAAGCTGGGCGAGCCATGGCAGGGCAGGGCAGGGCAGGGCTAGATGGATCCAGCCTACGGAACTCGCCAACCCGGCAAGCCGGCTGCGCTGTTCCCCGTCCCCCGCCGTCCCCCGTTCCCCGAGCTCGACGTCAGCAGCGCCTGGACTGCCATCATCCCCGCCATTCTGCGGCTCCTCCACTCAGCCCTACGCCCGCGGCCCAGCTGGCTGACTTGCGGGCCCGCAAATATGTCAAGCTTCATGCTGCTGCCAGGATACTCGTCCACGCCACCCCGGCTTGCTTGCGCTGCCTCTCTGTTTCCTCACGCCAACCACAGCTGTTTCCCTAATCGGGTGAGCCGACATACATGATGATGCCGTCATATGTGGTCATAGCTCCTCAATGCTCCTCATACGAGTACACGCTCGAACTTCACGTCGCTGTCCACTGACTCACCATTTTTATTCTGCGCTTCCTCTTCTTCGTTGCAATCCGCACTGGCTGCGCTGCATCTCGTCAGCCCATCACAATGCCTGGAGAAGTCATTGACCGCCCCAACCCAGAGCCTCTTCCCTCACACCTTCCCGACCATGTCATCGACTTGGCCGTCAAGCTCGACAAGACCGCTCTCCCTGAGCTTGACAATGCTCAGCTCCATGCCTTTCGCCGCGCGGCTGCCTATATTGCTGCAGGTACTTCCACATTTCCCATGAAAATATATCGGGTGGAAACTGTCCTGACTTGCCTTTGTAGCCATGATCTTCCTTCGGGACAACGCCCTGCTTGAACGAGACCTGACCTTTGACGACATCAAGCCACGCTTACTGGGCCACTGGGGCACTTGCCCCGGGCTCATTCTCGTCTACTCCCACCTGAACTATCTGATCAAGAAGCATCATCTCGACATGATCTACGTTGTTGGTCCCGGTCATGGCGCTCCTGCCCTCCTGGCCGCTCTCTGGTTGGAGGGCTCTATGGGTAGGTTCTACCCGGAATACGCCCGCACGAAGCAGGGCCTTCACAACTTGATAACCAGATTCTCCACTCCCGGCGGTCCACCAAGCCATATAAACGCCGAAACTCCAGGCGCTATCCATGAGGGAGGCGAACTCGGCTATGCGCTCGGCGTGTCCTTTGGCGCCGTCATGGACAAGCCCGACTTGATTGTACCATGCATTGTTGGCGATGGCGAGGCCGAGTCCGGCCCCACTGCAGCCGCATGGCACGGCTACAAGTATATTGATCCTGCCGAGTCTGGTGCTGTGCTCCCCATCGTCCATGTCAACGGTTTCAAGATATCCGAACGCACCATTTATGGTTGCATGGATGACAAAGAACTCGTGGCTCTCTTCGCTGGCTATGGCTACCAACCACGCATTGTCAAGGACCTCAACGACATCGATGCCGACTTGGGTAACTCTATGGATTGGGCTCTCTCTGAAATCAGGAGAATCCAAACTGCCGCTCGCTCGGGCAATCCAATCTCGAAGCCTCGGTGGCCGGTTCTTATCCTGCGGACACCCAAGGGCTGGTCTGGGCCAAAGAAGGTTGATGGTGAAATTGTCGAAGGGTCTTTCCGCGCCCATCAAGTTCCACTTGCCAAGGCAAAGAGTGACCCTGAGCACTTGAAACAGCTACAGCAGTGGCTCGAAAGCTACAAACCTGGAGAGCTCTTCTGCACCGACGGCACCCCCAATGACACGGTACTGGAGATGATCCCAGAGAAAGACCACAAGAAGCTCGGGCAAGTCAAGGAAACCTACAAGCCCTACGAAGGCGTCAATTTGCCAGACTGGAAGAAGTTTGCCGCTGAGAAAGGTGGAGAAGCAAGTTGCATGAAGGCCATCGGCGAGTTGCTTGACGAATCTCTGGTTCAAAACCCCAAGACCCTGCGAATATTCTCACCAGATGAGCTTGAGAGCAACAAGCTTAACGAAGTCTTCAAAAACACTGGCAGAAACTTTCAATGGGACGAATTCTCCCGCTTCCAGGGCGGACGTGTCGTGGAAATCCTATCAGAGCACTGTTGTCAAGCGTTCATGCAGGGATACACTCTAACAGGACGAGTCGCCTTGTTCCCATCCTACGAAAGCTTCCTCGGTATTGTCCACACAATGATGGTTCAATACGCAAAATTCATAAAGATGGTGAGTCATTGAGCTAAGAAAAGGCCTTTAGTATGCCCCACACTAACCGCCCAAGTAGGCCAGAGAGTGCCGCTGGAGGGGAGATGTCGCCTCCATCAACTACATTGAGACGTCCACGTGGACAAGGCAAGAGCACAATGGGTTTTCTCACCAAAACCCATCGTTCATCGGAGCCGTGCTGAACTTGAAGCCTGCGGCAGCTCGAGTCTATCTCCCCCCGGACGCCAACTGCTTTCTGTCCACTCTTGACCACTGCCTCCGTTCCAAGAACTATGTGAACTTGATGGTCGGCTCCAAGCAGCCTACGCCCGTCTTCCTCGACCCGGAAGAAGCTGAAGCCCATTGTCGTGCTGGCGCCGGCGTGTTCAAGTTTTGCAGCACAGACTCTGGCCGCGATCCTGATGTCGTGCTCGTCGGTGTCGGTGTTGAGCTCACTTTCGAAGTCGTGAAAGCCGCAGAGCTTCTCCGCGAGATCGCGCCCACGCTCCGCGTTCGTGTCGTCAATGTGACTGACCTCATGGTCTTGAGTCTGGATGGCTCGCACCCGCACAGTTTCGGCTCGCAAGCCTTCAACGCGCTCTTCACGTCGAACCGACCCATCCATTTCAACTATCATGGCTACCGCAATGAGCTTGCGGCCTTGCTCTTCGGCCGGCCGCAAATCGACCGCGTGACGATTGAGGCGTATCGCGAGGAGGGCACCACAACAACACCGTTCGACATGATGCTCGCCAACAACGTCTCTCGGTATCACGTTGCGCTCAGAGCGCTCGAAGGCGCAGAGCAATGCAACAGGGACGTGCGGCTAGATTTTGTGCGGCTACACACGGACATTCAGCATCGCATCGTGAAAGCCCGGCAATATATCTATGAGGACGGTCAGGATCCGCAAGGGACTTACGACCTGCCATCGTTTGAAGGCTTCACCAAGGATGCGGGCAGCGGTGGCGGTGTACTCACCGAGGGATAGATATTGGCTCAGCATCAACGGCTGGAAGATGACGATCCTGACATGACCTAGCGATGATGTGCGAAGATGTCTTTGGCTTCGGTTCTCTATCATTTTCCCTTTTTCCCCCTTATGATCGAGACGGTTCTTTTGTAGACCCGTAGATTATAATGCCTAGCACTCTTATTGGATACATACGCGCTTCGCAGTCTTGGGACCCGAGCAGACGGTCGGTTGCCCTGGCTCTGACATATGGACCTGCATGCATTGGCATCCATCCCCACAGTTTTTGCTGCTGCCGTGGCATGTTTCAAACGCACAGCCCCGCGCCTCGCCTTACCTTAACCCTCCTGCAGATTGCATGTAGATACGATGACGTTTGTTTGAAGAAAATCAATGGAAAACGGAAACTCCCATTCATTCGTGATTCATCACTCCTTTTCTCCTTCTTCTTTCCGCTCATTTTCGCTGACCCCCCTGATGGCTATCTGCCAAAATTAAACACATCGCTAACGTGATGATGTGGCCCCCAAAGGAAAAGGAAATAAGACGGTAGAGAAAAAGATAAATAGAATGCTGAAGTTCAATGAGATACATTTTCCTCCACTGGCTCTCTCCACTGCTGCAAAGCTCTCCATCGCCAAAGATAGCAGCAGCAAAAACGCGGGGGCCGTGTTTGCTCGCTTATGTGTTACTGCGTAGGAGAAGCCGAAAGTTTAACTTATTAGTTTCTTTGGTGCGAGGCGATGCGAGGCGATGCGAGCGAGCGAGCGAGGAGAGGGAGGGGAGGGAGCGAGAGAGCACGGGGAACGCCTTTCGCGTATCTTGCATCATCATCGTCGTCATCATCAGGCCCCGGCGGTGCTGGGCTACGTATCGTGGCTGTCTTTCCCGAAAGGAAAAGAAAGAAGAAGCATCTTGTCGGGTGCGGCGCACGGGATACGAGGTCGAGGCTGTGTTGCGTGTGTGTGTGTGTGTGTGTGCCCATCTCTCTTTACCGCGGGGTCGGTGAAGGCGAAAGCGGTGTGTGTTGAGTATACGACGACGGAGTTAGGGCTGAGCGAGGGAAATTGGTTGCCTGTTCTGTGCCTGTCTACAGGGGCGGCACTTTCGTAGCAGGGATGCAACAGTTGCGGTTCCGCGGTTCCGGGTGACCATTTAAGAGTATTTTGGTATAATTCGTCGTTCGCTGTTCTTACTCTACTGCTACATGACGCTAAGAGATATGACAGCGCGTGCCGTTGCTCTAATTAAAAAAAAAATTCCGAGATCACAACAATGCCATGACATCATCAACCGTCTGCCGTAGTTTGCGCTTGCGCCGGCGCAACCGTTCTCTGCTTCTCCCGTCGGGTGCGCCTACGCCGCGTCTCAGCACTGTCCTGCCGTCAATTACGCCGAGACGTTCTGCGGGCGTGTCTGGTTCGGATGGCGGATCCGGTGCGACTGGTGGTTCCGGTTGCGAAGGCGGAACAACGGGCGGTGGACTCGCGCTGGTACTACCGCTCCGAGTGCCCATCTTCAATCCGAGAAGAATGAAGGCCCCGACAATTAAGATGACAAGCAGAAGCATCGCTTTCCGCTTGACTGTCCGCTTTTGGTAGTTCGTTGCTACCGTGAGCTCTTTGTCCGCAGCTTTGACGTCCGTGGTCATGCGTTCTACGTTGTAGTCTATGCGATCCAGCATGCTGCCTTGATCAATGATCATGGTTTGTAACTCTTGGAATATCGAGGCAAGGTCGATGATGCCCTTTGCAATCTCGTCGATCTCCCGTTCACGCTGCGCAATGATTGCCTCATTGGCGTCTTTACGGACATGGGAACGGACTTGAGCGGTTTGTTGGAGAGTGGCGCGGGACAGAGAAGTATCGTCGTAGGATTCCTGAAGGGAAGGATCGGTGTATGGGTTCTGAGGGCCGGGTGAATTGGTACGTGAGGGTGAGGATAGGCCGCCGAGGGTGCGAAGTTCTTCAAGAATGGTCAGTCATGTCCTTGCAATCAAAAGGAGTGGAGTACACACTCCTCAAGTAGGCCGACTGCTTTTTGCGGAAAGCTGCGCTGGAGTCGCCGACACGCGAGGCCAAGGAGACTTTGAGGTTCCGTGCCATAACCTCCTCGCCCTTGCTAGTGCCGCCCTCGCGCTGAGCGCTCTCGCGCAGCATGGCATCGACACGCTTGATCGCATTCTGGCAGCTCTGGTAGCCCCGGGTTATCTCTTGCGTAAGGCGCTCTATCTCGCGCTCCTCGCGCTTCTTGACGTCGTCATCGTCGAATCCCGGCAGTACGTGCTTCTGGTGTAGCTGATCGAGGCGCTTCGTCTGCCCGGATATGTCCTGCAGCTTTTCCGTGACCTCGTCCTGAATGTCCAGCCAGCGCGGCGGCAGCACGTCCATCTCGATGACGGCATCGCCGTCGTTCGGATCGTCGTAGGCGGACATGAGCCCGCGGCGCTCGTCGTTAAGGGCGGCATTGTCGGCGAAGCCATTCGAGGGGCCGCCATAGAGTGGCTTCCGCTTGGCAGGGTGGTGCGAGTACGACTGGCGGTAGGAGATGAAGCTGGAGCTTGGGTCAGCACAAAAGGGCCGGGGAGCGGGCTGCGGGTTGCGGGCGGGACGGACAGGTTGGTGCGGTCGCGCCACATGGCTTGGGCGGTGGGGGAGGCGTGAGGGACTGAATCGTCAGCGCGTCCAGCGCATCGCTGAGCCCGGGGGGTGGGAGTCTGGGTAGGGCACTGGGGCTTTCGGGGCGGGAGCTGCTTCACATGCCGGCTGGTGGTGGTCGCAGCGCGCTGTCTGGGCTGTCGTGGCTGCTGCTCCGGGGCGGCAACGTAATTTGCTAGGGCTCAGCGGCGCGCCATTCGCCGGGGGCAGCGCAGGGCTGGCGGCCAAGCGTGCGTGCTGGTCCCGCCTGCTGGCCCGGGGCGCGCGCCCCAGCAAGAGACACCAAGCAGCAATCCTCATCCTGATCGTCTCCTCAGCCGCAACAACACGCCGACTGCTATAACAGCTGTCCGTTCGCCTCGCAGCCCCGCCCGCACCGACTCCCACCGCTCTCCCACCCGCACGCTTTCTCAGTCCCCTCTCCTGCAACCCCCCACCCCACCACCGCAGCACAACAACAATGGTGCGTCGCTACTGATACCCCGCCTGTGCGAAACATTGTTCGGTCCCAACGCCCGCTGACTCCACGCTCGACCAGGCCGACTCTCTTACCGAGGAGCAAGTTTCCGAGTTCAAGGAGGCCTTCTCCCTCTTTGTAAGTCTCTCGTCTCCTGTCCTGCACCGCGCGGCTGCCCTGCCTGCCTGCCCGGTCTCCTGGCTGTTGTCAGCCTGTCGAACCCCCTACTAATATGCTTTTCTCCACTGCAGGACAAGGACGGTGATGGTATGTACCCTGTGCGCTCATTTCCCGCGCCCTGCGCGCTCTCGTGCCCTCGCCGACGCGTTTGGCTGCCGGCGTGGGCTGCCGACCGCTTCTTGCCAGCCTTGCCCCACCTGCTGTTTTCACGACTCACGACATTGCACGCGAACAATTGGCACTGCGACCGCGGAACGCGCAACGGCTGACCGGACGCGATGCAGGACAAATCACCACCAAGGAGCTCGGCACCGTCATGCGCTCGCTGGGCCAGAACCCCAGCGAGTCCGAGCTGCAGGACATGATCAACGAGGTCGACGCCGACAACAACGGCACCATTGACTTCCCCGGTACGATTCTCCCCCCCTCTCCCACTGACGACGGCTCGCGAAGAAGACGGCGCTGACGAGGAAACGCAGAGTTCCTGACGATGATGGCCCGCAAGATGAAGGACACCGACTCGGAAGAGGAGATCCGCGAGGCATTCAAGGTCTTCGACCGCGACAACAACGGCTTCATCTCCGCCGCCGAGCTCCGTCACGTCATGACTTCGATCGGTGAGAAGCTGACCGACGACGAGGTTGACGAGATGATCCGCGAGGCGGACCAGGACGGCGATGGCAGGATCGACTGTAAACATCCCTTTCCCCGCCGCGCAAGGCTGGCGATTGAACCGTGCGGCTGACATTGCACGTGCAGACAACGAGTTTGTGCAGCTTATGATGCAGAAGTAAGCGCGGCCGCCGGGCTGGCGCCATGTTTCGAGAATGAACGACGACTTGATGCTCTTTGGTACGGCGGCGGCAGGGGATCGACCGGCGTGCAGCTGAACCGGTCTTAGCGGAGCAGCGGTCCGCGTCGAATTTCCCGGTTTCTTTTGGGCCACGTTCCCATCAGACATTCTTCAATCCCATCACTCCTCGCACGATTGGTCGTTTCGATTCTCTTTCTTGCATGTGATTTTTCGCGATTGAGTGCTTGGCTCGGGACTCCTGGTCAGCGCTTTCTGCTTTGCTCAGTGGGAATTCACAGTAGATGGATTTTTGATATCACCAGGTAGCAGCATACAGTCTTCGTCTCTGGCGTGCCCCTTGGTCTCTAGTACACGCGAAGGCTTGTTGGCAACGTTTGCCAAGGCACCCTGCGTTTTTACTAGCGAGCCCTGCGCGTGGCGTTTGAGCTTCCGTTAATGCCTCGGCACCTTGGGAAGGATTCACCGTCCGCCTTGGCCGTTCAAGAATCAATCCGCAGACGACAGCCCAGCCTTGATTACTGACAGGGGATCGATTGTCTCTACTGTTTCACATATTTCCAGCTTTATCACGGTTTCCAGGAGTGACGTTCTCTACCAATGCTGCTTTGTTCTCATGGACGCTCGCGACCTGAAGTTGCTCGATCCGGACATTTCTACGAGAACGGGCAGACAAAGACATCAATGGCATTTGTTCAACTGACCTCGCAATATGCATCGCGAATCCACCACGGCTGCAGTCGTCCGGCTCTCTCCATTCGCGCAGCAGCCCCAAGTCGGTTTTTGTCATGGAGCACCATACCAGCGTACCCCGGTTTCGCGACTTTGACGGCCTGACATGGCGCGAGTGGAAAGAAAAATGCCAACCCCAGTGGATTGCCTTCCAGAACTCAGTCAACGACAATAATCGCAGCCGAGTGCGTCGGCTGGCAATGAACCACTGGTGCACATTCAAGGACTATAAATGGGTCGAAGAGAACCTACCAAAGCTGACCGAGCTGGACCTAAGCGACTTACAGGATACCATGTTCTGCGATGATGACTTCTTCGATGGCTCCCATCCCACTACCGACATTCAGGGAAACCCATCGACGATAACCAAGGACCTCGAGACGTACGAACAGTTGCGCAGCCTCAAGGCGCTGTGGGGCCGTCTCGAGAAACTTTGGGTCAGGCACTGGGGCTGCGACCGGCTGCACAACTGGAAGCACAGGTCCGACGACTACGACAAGACCGACGCCGATGCGGAAATCCGCAGCCGTCGCAAGGCGGAGGCGGCCGACTTGGACGTCACGTCAGTGATCGCGGAGTGCAGCAAGCTCCGGACACTTGCCATCAGGGGGCCCTCGCTCAGTCCGGCGCTGAGCAGACTGTGGCGTCCGCGTCGAGCGTGCGCAGAGGACGACGGAGGCTCGCACGCGCATTTCTGCACAATCGTAAAGGGACTCGAGGACAACGCACCGGACTCTCTGCGGGCGATTGAGTTCTACCAGGCTGAGTTTGCGCCGCGCATGGTTGGGATGTTGCGGGAGCGGACGAACATCAGAAGGGTCTCTGTCTCTTTTGGAGATGTGCTTCGTCGGTTTGCCTCGGGGCGGGAAGCGGATGTTCGTAGAGACGATGCGGGCGAGGATGAGGTCGAAAACGTGGTGCTTTCAGGAAGCCAGTCAACTGCTCGTGATAACGCCTTGTGCGAGTACGAGAAATCAACCGAAGGAGTTGAGAAAGGGCGATTTCACGAGTCACTCGCTGTGGAGCTGTTTCCACCGCAGAGGACAGTCAGACAACTACAGAACGGAGAGACCAGGGATTATCTTCACCAATGGGCAAATAGTCAACTACCAGCAGAGAGACAACCTGGGCCTGACTACGTCTTGAACGACAAAAGTGCACTGGTGGCGGAATACCTGCTGACCAACAGACATGAGAGCCCAGTCCCCGGCTTGAACCACTTCCTGATCCAGTTGGCCGACGCTTTCAATCACTGCGACAGCCTCTCTTGCAACGATCAAGAATTCATGAACGAGATCCCCGTCAGCCCTTTCTCCTTCATCAGCTCAGGCCCGCATCTTTCACAGTCCTCCCTCACCGGCATCTTCGGAGACGCGAAAGACGACCGATCCATCCAAGCATTCCGCCTCCTCCACCAGCGCTTCGGCTGGGCACCGCTCTGGGACGTCGATCCCCTCTTCGACGCCCACAACTTCCCATGGAACGTAGGCATCGAGCTCCCAACACTTGAGGGGGAAGACCAAACGCAAACCATCGCCCGCCGCCTCGTCGCCCCCATCCTCGGCGCCCTCCACGCACTGTCCCACGCCGGCATCCCCGTCCGCCTCCTCGTCGGCAACCGGCCTCGCTCCTGTTTCCCCAACGCAGGCCTGTACTGGGGCGCCACCGTCGTGGGACATCCCGCCGACCGTGACTACGCCTCATGGCTCACCATCCCCGTCGACGATGCCGACCTCGTCCGCCGTGACGACGGCTCGTCGCGGCGTACTACTACTCCCTCGGCTACTGCCACGGTGGCAGAGACTCAGCCGCTGCGAAAGGAAGAAGAGGGGAAGGAGAAGGAGAAGAAGGGCCGGCAGCTCGCCCTCGATGCAGCCGCCGGCGCCGATTCCGTCGACACATCTACCACGACGTCGATGATGACGACGGCCGCCGCCACTGCCGCCGCCGATCCCAACACCATCGCCGCGTGTGCGGACGAGCTGGTGATCCGCTACCAAGACTGGACAGGACCAGTAGCGGAGGAAGAAGGAGAGGAGGAAGGAGAAGAGAAAGAAAAAGAAGAAGAACACGGCCTAACCCCAACCCCAACCCCGGCCTCAGCCCCAGCCCCAGCCCCAACCCCAACCCCAACACCAGCCGCCTCCTCCACCCCCGCCAACCCAAACCCAAACCCAAACCCAGGCCCCGACCACCGCAGCGCCATCTTCCTCGCCCGCGAGGCCCGCGGCTGGCAGGCGTGGTGGCGGCGGGCGGCGCTGCGCTTCACGCGGCTGCGCCGGCTGCGCGTGCGCATGCCCCGCTGCTTCGACGCGTACGACAGCCCGAGCTTGGCGGCGCTGTTGCTGTTGCTGGTGCCATTGCCGCCGAAGCGGCGGGGCTCGGGACGGCGGGGCTCGGGACGGCGGGACTCGGGACGGCGGGACTCGGGACGGTGGAGGGAGGGGCAGCGGGGAGGTGGGCAGCAGGGAGATGGGGGGAGGTGGGGGAGGTGGGGGGTTGTGTTTGGGAGGGGGGAGGTGGTCGGGGCGGGGGATGGGGAGGGAGATGGGAGGGCGGTTGAGAGGGGGGAGGGTGGGGTGGAGTTTATCGTGAGGGAGTGGGCGAGGAGGGGTGGGGCGAGGGATGTGGTGTTTGAGGAGGGGCCGGAGGAAGAGGGGGAGGAGGTGAGGAGGAGTAGCGACGGGGTTGTGGCGGAGGAGGAGGCCGCCGTGGCAGGGTGGTGGAGGGAGATGAGGGTGAGGCAGGGGAGGAGGTTGTGGAGGGAGTTTGTGAGGGTTGCAGAGGAGTTGGGTTTGCTGGATGAACGCATCTCGTCGACAGTGGTGGGTCGGGGCGAGACGACGTCGACTACGCAAGTCAAAGCGACTCCAGGCGACGACGACGACGACGACGACGACTACGACGACGAAGGGTTGGACCAGCTGCTGTTTGGTGAATCCTTTGCGGTTTCTAATGGCCAGTTACAAGTGCCGGAAACGCAGCCTCCTCGTGTTCTTACTCCCATCACGCCAGAGAAGACCCCGACACCTCCGCCAGAGCAGATGCCGTCTTCTACGCCAGCACCGACCCCGCCACCTCCGTTAGAAGCACCGGAGATCTCGCTTGTATCGGCAGAGGTGAAGCAGAGCGAAGATGTGGCGGAGCTGAAGCCGTCGTCCAATCCAAAAAGACCTCGAAAGAGAGGCGCCACTCCGAAGAAGCAATCCAATGCCGGCAGCAAGCGGACGAGATTGAGTAAGGATCAAGAGCCTGAGATAATGGAAGGGTCGTCTCCTCCGCCGCCCAAGAAGGCAAAGACTAGGAAGAAGTCGAGATGGGAGAGGGAGTTGGAGTTGCTCCAAAGTTGAAATCGGGCTCTGGCGGGAGGAGTGTTGCATGGCGAAATTCTATCACGCTCAGATTCGTTTGGTTCTCTTTTTCAAACCATTATACACCGTCTTTTCTAACCCGAGACGATTCCACATTGAGATGAAATACCACATGTTGATCCCACGGGCAGTTTCTCCATATACCCCCAAATCACCATAAAAGCCAACCCCCAACCACCAACCTTCCCCTACCGTCTAAGGGAGGGGAGGGGGAAAAAGACAAAGCCCACAAGGCACCCAGCCAGCTCACCCCCCCAACGCCTCAAACGAAAACCCAGCCCCGATCTCATCCCCCTCCTCCACCACAAACACATGGCACCCCGTATAACTCGCCCACCCACTAACCTCGACCCTCACCCCCTTGACCACTTCCCGTCCCCCCTCTTCCCCCCCACCCCCACCCGCCGTACCAACCTCGACCTCGACCTCCTCCACCGCCCTCCCCACGAACCCCCCTTCCCCCCCACCACCAAACCCATTCGACACGAGACTATGATACGCCCACCCCTCGCCGACGCGCCGCTCCCCCCTCGCCACCGCCAGCGCCACCCGCGCCTGCACCCCGCTCCCCGTCGGGCTGCGGTCGACCTGGCCGTCGCCGAAGACGCACAGGCCCGTCTCCGCGCCCGCGCAGCCGTCCAAGACGCGACCCGCGCCGGGTTCGGTCACGAAGACCGAGTACACCGTCGACTGCTGCAGTTCGGCGGGAACGCCCGGGTCGAGGTGCGACTGCAGCGTGCGGCGGAGCGCGGGGTCGGCGTTGAAGGCGCGTTTGAGGGATGTGGCGGCGCGGCGGAGGGCGGGGATCTGGGATGGAGAAGTGGCGGTGAGGGCGGTGGCGGGGAAGCCGAGGGCGGGGGCGGGGACGATGAGGGAGAAGGCGCCGCCGTAGGAGAGGGCGGCGGAGGCGATGCGGGTGGTGTGGGCGGGGAGTTGGGGCCAGCGGAGGGAGGGGGGGATGGGGATGCAGGGGGGCGGGGAGTGGGGGCGGAGGGCGAAGCTGGGGACGGAGAGGTAGGTTATGCGGGGGCGGGAGGGGTCGGTGCGGAAGGTGGTGGGGGTGGAGGGGGAGGAGGAGGAGGAAGAGGAAGAGGTTTGGACGGCGGGCACGGTGACGCGGACGAGGCCGCAGGGGACGTGGAGGCGCAGCTCGAGGGTGCGGGTGGCGGGGTCGAAGGGCAGGTCGGGGCGGCGGGGGAAGATGGAGGGGTCGTCGCAGTCGACGAGCAGGCGGGCGAGGGCGATGGTGGCGTGGCCGCACATGGTGCTGTAGCCCTCGTGGGTCAGGAAGAGGGCGCCCATGTGGGCGGCGCCGGCGTCGACCAGCTCGGTGGACGGGCGCAGCACGGCGCCGTACATGTCGGGGTGGCCGCGCGGCTCGAACATGAGGCTGCGGCGGATGTGGTCGTGCTCGGCGAGCGCCGTGGCTCGCTGCTCGAGCAGGGTGCCGCTGGGCGGAATCAGTTTGGCTGGCGAGGCTGCGGACGACGGGCGGAGCCGTACGTGATGTCTGGGAAGCCCGAGTACACGATCCTGGCCGGCTCTCCGGTCGTGTGCATGTCAATCGTCTTGATCTCTCGCGCCACTGATGGGCGGATGAAGGACGGGACGGCCATGGTGCAAGTTGTGATCTAGGCGTGGTAGGTGTATATGAGTAGGTAGTATGGGGAGGTGTGCATGTCGGTTCCTCCAAGTCAACTAGCAAATGACGGGTTTATATGCTGGCTGGCATCGCGCGCCCTATGCAGTACATGCATGCATGAACGGGCGAATCAGGAACCTAGATGTCAATGTGGCTCTGCAACCTATACGACTTTCATTCGAGTTGGAGGCGAAAGCCATATCTTTAGGCAGAGCTCCGGTATGGGAAGAACGATAGAACAGGGACGTGCTCGGTCCATCGAATTTAAAAATGCCGCCCGGCGATTCTCCGGCATCGCTTGTCTAAATGCCAATTCTCTATCCATGCCACTCGTTGGGGAATCATTACTGCTGCTGATCAAAATCCATATACCTCTCCATGAGGTTGAAGTCCTGGGGCACTTTCTCTGGAGAATGGCCCCGCTCAAAACGCCTCCGCTAACCCAACCGACTTCCCATCGCGTCCTCTATCTGCCGCTGCCTTCAGACTGCTTCATAATTCTCCTAAACGCCTTGTTCGGGACGATGCGGCCTCCCTCCAGCACGTCGTCGCCCTCCACCGGCGCGCCGTCGCCCACGGCCAGCTTGATGAAGAAATCGCCCAGCATCGCCGTGGGCGAGAGGTAGCCGCTGGGCAGGGCGCGGAAGAGCGGGCCGACCACGGCGGACATGTAGTCCCTCACGGGCATGCGGCCCTTCTGCGCGGCGATGACCTCGGCGTGCCCGGCGCTGTCGACGGCGGCGGGGCGCACCGCGTACGGCGCGAGCGACGGGTGTCCCGCCGCGGGGAGCCCGAGCAGCTGGAGCTCGGTGGCGCCCTTGATGCGGCCGAAGATGGGGGTGAAGAAGCCGGGCGAATGGGTTGCGCCCTCGCCTGCTGGCACGTCAGTGTACGGCTTATACAGAGCTAGCCCGGCCACCACCACACGGTCGTCGTCCGGCTGGGAGTCTGAGAGGCGCACGCACCCGAGACGTAGACGAACTTGAACGGGTCGTGCAGGCCGGAAAAGGCCTTGGCCGCGGCGACCGGGTAGTCCTGGGTGATTTTGATGTACTCTCTGCGAACTGCATCAGCACTCACACTCATGCATGGCGGGCGGTGGCATCGGCGGCACGGGAACGCACTCCTTGCCAACCTCGAATTGGCTGACGCCCTGGGCCCAGATGCAGGCCTCGGCGCCGTCCAGCTGCTTCAGCAGCTCGGGCGGGTAGTTTTCGTAGTCCTTGTGCTGGATGACGGTCACGTTGGGCGCGCCCTCGGCCATGGGCACCGGTTTCCGGCTGAGGATGGAGAGGCGCGAGATGGGTCCGCCTGCCTTCATGTTGGCCAGGATCTGCGCGAGCGCTCCCGAGCCAACTAGGCCCGTCGCGCCGGTGAGGATGACATGCATTTTCGATGTGCAGATACGGGAGCTGTCGGTCGGTTTGCAGTGTGTATAATAAGGGACTGCTTCACTTTATGGCACGTCGTCGTTGTCGTCCGTCGTCCGTCGTCGTCGTCTCGACCGGGGTTAACGCCGCCCCCACGACGACCGGACAAATCTTCACGGCTTGACCAAATCATCTTCGTTTCGCAGAGCTGTTGGATCCTTTGGAGCGCCACCAACCCGAAACTTCTCACGTCAGCCCGCCCCTCCCTGCCGTATCCGGCATCATAAGCTGCTCGCTGCTCTCGACCAATCTGGACCCTTATTCTTGGCTTCAGCTGTATTGGGGCTACGCGCTGTTCGCTTATCTAAATTCTCGGCACAGGGTCAGCAGTAGCAGCGGCGGCGGCGGCGGCTGCTGCGGAGGCGGCGGCGGCAGAGGAGCATGCAAGGCGAAGGAGGAAGATGCGGCGGCGAGGTAGTAGGTGACGTCCGTTGTCAGGACATGGTGGAAGTCAGTGTTAGAGAAGTCAGCTGGATTCATCAACTGGTAATGTACACATCTGCGGCCTTGCCCGTTGTCAAGAAACGAGCCATTGCTGCGATGCATTGGCAAGATGGAGGGAAGCTACATGTCAAAGTTGGTGTTGCTCCATCATGATGCAGATGACCATGACTAGTCATCGGATACGATTCATGAAGAGCCTGATATCCACGGCAGCCGCTGAACCGAACATGCAACGGCTAATCTACACCGTCCATCATCGACCTCGGCCTTTCCCCATACCGTACCCACATTCGACAATGCGCCCCGCATTCTCACACGGCCGCCCAAGGATCGCTCGCACGCAGAAGCCAAGGCCACCCCACGACCATGGACGAGACATACGATGCGGTCTGACTGCCACGCACTCGCACCGACGCCCGTGCAGACGTTGACGTCGTTTGTCGCCAAATTCCTGTTTTTTTAACTTCCTCTGTGCTCTTTTTGGGGTCGTGTTGCCCAGGCCGAGACCGCCTCGCCGCTGCTCCCGGACTTCCCGCAATTGCTGTCTACCACTAAGTGCTAGTACCACTACTTGCCTCTTGCCGCCTTACTTCGGAAAGCTCGGGGCGCACCGCACAAAGGCAGAGGGGCCGTCTGCTGCGTGGGGGAGCCATTGAGGCAGCAATCGAGTCGAGAATGGTAGGTCGAGCGAACCAGAAGGCATTGAAGATAAAGGCTCTTCTGTGCAGGCTTATTGTCACTAGAAGAGGCGTGGGGATCCCGCCAAGCAGGCCCGGGGAATTCGCATTAAAGACGACACGAAAATGTCTCAGCACATCACCGCAATACCATCTGAGATCGAGAACAAGACGAAAAGCATGATGATGAGCCGGCCACACCGACGGCTCCAACGCTAGCACCCTCACCAGCAAGCCTTGCGGGATCCGCCCAGCTATCCAGCCTCACGCAAGCGCACGCACAAACACAACATGAAATCGCGCAACGCCGAAAAATTCCACCATTGCAAAACGTAAACCGAGGCTACGAGAGAGAGAGAGAGAGAGGAAGAAAGAGAGAAAACAAAAAGTGGAAAGAAAGAAAAAACAAACTCAAAGAATCAGGACAAAGGAAAAAGCACCATACCAAAAACCAACAAGCCCCCCCCCCCCCCCCCCCCCCCCGTTGTCCAGTAGGTACCTACCGGCCTTGCAGCACGCCATCGGTGCCATTTTCTTCTCGAATGTCGCCAGAAGCCGGCACACCGGTAAAGGAACACGCAACAATGTGGATCCCTTATGCAAGCGGGGGGTGGAAGGGGGGTGGGGGGCTTGCACCTGCGCTTGCACCTGCGCTTGCACCTGCGCCTGCGCCTGCGCGCGCGCGTGTCGTCCCAAGGCGGGGAAAGGGGGTGGTGGTGATGATGGTGCAGCGGACGGCGCGCCGCGCGAGGCGCCCCAAGCCCGCCAGCCCGCCGGCGTTTGGGGTACCAGAGCCAGCCAGCCAGCCAGCCAGCCAGCCAGCCAGACGGACGGACAGACAGACAGACAGCAGCGCATGCCTACACTAGTTAGCTCCACCCCTCCTTCAATCCCCCCCCCCCCCAGCCCCTGTCACCTCCCTCCGCCGTCAGGGGGGTGGGAGTGGGAGCCCGGCGACCAGGAAACACTAGACGCGGCGCGCTGCAGACACGCGCGCTGGCGCAGACGCGCAGCGAAGCAGCTCCTCTTGCTGCTCCTCCTTCCCCGCTATGCCATGTCCGTTCCTTGGGTGGCCTTGCAGCAGCTCTGCAGCGGAAGCGCGCGCGGGCAATGCGCGCAGAGAGGGACCACCCCTCCCCCCTCCAGGGAACGGACGGTGGGGGACCTAGGGAGGGGAGGGGTTCAACACGTCACAGTGCTGTAGCGCAACAAAAAAAAAACAATGCAGAATCTCATGGGGGCCGGGGATGGGCGGATCGCTGTTGCGAGCGGGAAAAGAAAATTAAAAAAAAAAGAAGACGTGATGCATAAGTTGACGTCTGTTGTTGTCAGAGAATGAAAGAAAGAGAGAGGGAAAAAAATGCACTCTGCCAATCCCCCCCTCCTCCCATAAAATGTATGTATGGTGTATGTATGCACCCACCCACCTCCCCACCTCCCCTCCGACCGGCCCGTCGGCCGGCCGCCTGGGGTCTGATCAGCGCGATGCCGATTGTTGTAGCTGTGTATGTACGTACCACTACTACCGCCCCGTTGTCGGACACATGCACTTCATGTGTGTGAGACAAGAGGAGAAAAGTGAACTCTCCCCGTGATATTTTTTTTTAAACTGGAGCATCGCGCGGGTCGTGCGGCTGCTGCGGCCATTGCGGCCCCTGCGACCCCTGCGGCTCCTGCGACTATCGAGATATTGTATTTGTGATCGATCCTTTTGCTGGCGACATACGCCGTGACCGGTGGATTCTATCAAATGATAGGAATCCAAAAAATAGAGGCAGGTGACGCTTTGCTGGCATCGACTGTTTTGGTTATGGCGTGTAGTAGAAGACGATCTGGCGGAGACTTCAGAATCATGTGCCGCCATGATCAACATTAGATGGGCGACCAATTGGAGGCGGCAAGGCTAGCCAGGCGCAAGAATGTGACACTCGATAGCAATTGAAAGTTGCAGATTTGGATGAAACGGTGAAGCATTTGTTTCCAAGCGCCCGGTATCATCTGGTACCGACGCTGTCTCCGAGTAACCCGCCAAAAAAGCAAAAGGTTAGGGAGAGTGTGAGGTATCTAAAACTATGTAGTAATAATGTGGAACCCTTTTTTTCTTTTCCATCTGCCAGCACGTTGAACCGGGGCAAAACGCCAGCGTTGCCCAATCCTGCTTGCGCCTTCGTCTACGCTGAAACCCTGAGAGATGAACCAACAGCCACATGGGCTGGAACCAGGAGATTATATTAAAGACGAACACCTGAAATGTGATGATGCTGATGATATGACCGCCATCTATAAAAAAAACAAACAATGCCACGCTTTTTTGATACGAAAAGAAAATGTCCGGAAATGAAAGTGGAGCAACTCGTGCTACCAAGTCGATGACTCGACGACCACCCATCCGCTTCCCCGTCTGCAGGCCGCAATCACCCTAAGCGACCGGCCTGGCGCGACGCAGATCAAGAATAGGTGGGTCGCATTGTTGATGCCGTGCTACTGGGCGGTGCTTGCATCGCACTGAAGGCAAACAATTGTTTCAGGCTTCCCTGACTCGGCGACGTCGCGTCAGGGACCTTCTTCTGAAACAGTTCCATCTCACCCTCAGCGAGCCCGGTCGACATCTTGCAACTCGGCCCGCTTTTGACTGACCATTGAGTCAGACTCGAAGGGGCAGTCGTGGGGTGCGCGGCCGAAAAGGGGTTGACGAGGTCGACGGAACGGGTGCCGTAAGAGGACCCGTGAGGGTTCCGTCTGGGCAGAGGCCGACTTGCGGGCGTGTACGGGATCGACGTGCTGGTGGAGCTGGTCGGCGTATGCGACAGTGATGGCGCTGTACTTGTTGTCGACGCCACTGTTGATGTGGAGGACCGCTTGGACCTCTGCGCCGTAACGTCTGTCGACGAGAATATTCTCAAGTAACGAGTTGCTTCCGACTCCTTTGGCTTCTCCTGGGCCCACTCGGGGGTATCGTCGTCCGAGACATCAGAGTAACCGTACGAGAGGCGTTTTGAGGGAATGGCAGTGGGCGAGCGGGGAGGAACAATGTCGCGGGAAGGGGAGAAGTCCTCGCCCGAGTAGAGCGAGTATGGCGTCGGGGGAGGCGAAGGCTCAAAGGTGATGGTCTTGGTGTTGTCCTTCTTGCGGCAGCTGCTCAGTGTTAGCGCGATGGACGGCCACGGGTAGATCTTGGACGAGACTAACCTCTCGGAGCAGTAGAGTATCGAGTTGTTCGGGACAATGATTTGCTTCTCGCACACAGTGCTACGGGAATTCGAGTCAGCATTGCGTCACGGGCGCCAAGGGCGGGACGGGAGCGGCAGCTTACCAGAAGTTCAAGAAGCTGGCGGCCATGGGGTCGTCCTCGGGCTCTTCGTCCTTGCGCGGGGCGACCTGGGGGACCTTGGACTGCGACTTGCTGTGACGCTTGAGCAAGGCAGGTCTCGAGACGCGCGGGTGGGACTGCGAGGCCCTTTTAGAGTGCGAGGGATTGCGATGTTGCGGGTGTTGGGTCGCCATGTGGGCGGTGTGTGGTGTGCTTATGGCTCAGGACTCTTGCAGGACCGGTCGTATTGGTCGAGCAGCTAGGTGTCGCGTGCACCGCTGTTGCAAAAAGTAGAACAGGCAGAGCTGTTGCGGGCTGGGCGTCGGGCAGTGACACAAAGATAGAGGCGGGCCACAGATAGGGATATCTTTGGGCGGCTTTGTTTGCTTATCGCGGATGCGAGCGCAATGACGCTAGCCGGAGCCAGGGACGGACGCCTGCGGCCAATGTCAGTATTATTGCCCGGGCACCAGCGCGGCTGCCAGCCACTGCGGCCGTGGCGGCCACGGCGGCCACGGCGGCTGGCGGCGCTGCTGCTGCTCGCAACGGGAGGCTTACTGCGTGCTGGCTGCTGTCACGGCGGCGAAGTACCACGGGTGCTGCGATGCGTGTCGATCCGGACTTCAGCAGCGGTCGCTAAGCGGCTCCACCGAGGGGCACTGTGCGCGCGGCTAGAAGCGGGTAGTGCGGCGTGCGATTGCGGCGCGCCTGGTGAGTCGTCCAGCACGGTGCTCGGCTGGGCGTCGAAGGGCGGGAGATGCGAAGGCGGTGGCTGAGGGCTGGGAGCTGATGGCTGTGCCGTGTGAGAGTCGTGATGGCGCGAGGGGGGCGCTTCTCATATACTCTCCGAGGTAACCGGTCAACGCGCGGACCGGCGCTGGACAAAGGTCGAGAGCGATATTCCTCACCAAGCACATCATCCCGCCGAGTCGCCCGCTACAGATCCACTAGCAGTCACCCCACGCTTAGAGCGGATTCTCCACATCGCAGGCCCAAAACCTCTTTCACCGGACCATGCCAGCCTGTCAGCGCTCCGAGTCCCAGACAGCTGCCAGCGCTGCATGGCGGACATCCCGTCCCGCTGCCGCCCCCCCCCCCCCCTGGCCCCCCGTCGTCCAGTGGGCTGCTTCAGACGCGCATGCCGCGAATCACGCCTGCCTAGGCCCTGAGCACCCACCCGGATCGTCGCCGCCGTCCTCTCCGCGCCCTGCACCGGGAGAACATGCGCCGTCCGCATCCACCCACATGATAGGACACCACCTCGAGCGCTGTGATCCCACCGTGTGTGCGTGCACCGCCCTTCGGCTCCGGCCCACCGATGTGCGCGCTCTAGAACTTCCGCAACGTCGCGCGCGCGAACAGGCAGTTTAGCCGACCGTGCGTGCCCGCAAGCCTGTTATTCGCAGCCAGGCTTCCGCTCGAGCGGCTTCCGCGGCGGAGTGGGTACGCCTGTGAAGAGACGCTCGATCTGGAGTTTCACTTATGTCAGGGATGGAGGGGTCCGCCGACCTGACCGGTTGCTGCGGGGTGCGTGTTCCAGGAACAACCTTCTGGGAACCGTGGTGTCCGCTGCAGGAATTATTCTGCTGCCTGCACGCCTGCAGCGGCAGAGCTCTCATGCGCCCCCGGCACCTGATTGCGAGAGCGGCCCGATTCGAATTTTCAAAGGCCGTGGGTCGAACCGCCAGGGACACGTGCGGATGACTCCGCAAGACACGTCCCGGTGAACCCTCCTGCTGCTGGGCCGTTGTTCGAGAACGGTCACCACAGCTCACGGCAGCTCTCATTAGGTCGGCACGACGTCAGCCCCACGATCAAGTCGTCAGCGCCGGAAACCGAGCACATTGGCCCGTTCAATCGCCCTACGGCTTCTGCTGCTATTTTTTCCGCCAGGCCCGCCTTCTAGACGCATGCTCGGACCCGCTTCCGCAGCCCGCCAGGCTCAATGACGACGCTCACAAAGGCTACCACCGCCTCCAACGCATTGTCGGCGTCATTGGGCAGCGGATGGACCGGAGTCCCCAGCTCTGGATACCTGCACGATTCGGATAGGCGTCGACTTTGGGTAGAACGGCCCGTTCTGGTCGTCGCCAGGTGGCGGTGCAAAGTCGATGTCCCTAACGCTCAACCGGTGCCGCCCTGAAACCGTCATCATAAGCTAATCGTCCGGGGGTGGAGCCAATGTGGTTCGCCGTAGGTGGCTGGTGTGCAAGGAGGACGTACGACAAGCCACATCAAATGCCTCAAAGGTCTGCTCGTTACGAATCGTGGCAGCGATCAGAATCTGCAGCGATGGCTGGTGCCGCAACAAGTCAGCAAGTGTGGACACCAGAGCCGGGATGACGGATTTGTCGTAAGTCTGCATGTGTCGACGTAAGTTAGTAATGTGCTCTCACAATCGTGGCTCTGGTTCCGGCTTACGACGTCCGCCCCAATGACAACGTCATATTCATCTTTTGAGCCCTCGTAGTAAAGGCTCTCTTCGAGGGTCCAGCTCCGACCCCACCTCAGCACTATTGAGTCCGTGCCCCCTTGAGCATCGAGACCGTTGAGAAACAGGTTCGTTTTGATGCTATCCACAACACCCTCGTCTCCATCGGTTGCTGTGGCCTTCGTGGCTTGCAGGTGCTTCGTGCACAGGATGGAAAGCAGACCGGTGCCAGCTCCTAATTCGAGCACTCTCTTGCCTCGGACCCACTGGCGGCCGGTCTCACTGGCCAGATAGGCGCCTAGGTGCAGCGCAGCCTCCCACGTGCGAAGTCCAGTGGTTCCGGAAGAAGAGATGACAGCGCGAGACTCAAGGAGGGTGACTGCACAGTCATTGCCAAAGCTGTAAGTCACGTACGACTTTGCCTGGGCGGATGCCATTTCAGACGGAAGGTTGGAGCCTAGGAGAAGAGACAGAGAGGACATGAGATCGTCTGATAATTCCTGCACGGCCGGTAAAGCACATGAATTAGTACGTACGAGACATCCAAGAACGGTCTACGAAGAACAAGTGTCTACTGCAATTCTGACGCATCGCGGAGAAAGATGCGTTGGGAGCGAGCTGGGCGCAACAGCTGTCTATTGGTCTCTGCATGTGCACCGGCCCAGTGTCGTACGGCACCATGGTATCCGTGAGCGCGCGCGCGGTTGCTCGGAACCATTGCGCTGGACCGACGGGATGATTGTTGTTGAGGGAACATGATGGAAAGGGGCATTATTGCTCGCCAGTGCACTTCGCCTTGTGGTGCGCAGCACGGCGAGATTGAAGGAAAAGATAAAGGGAGAAAAGGGAGACTGGAGGTTGGACGTGGCGGAAAGGGGGAGAACTGGGCTTGCATACATCCTCCTCGGGATTGTCGACAGCTTTCTCAATGGTGGAAATGACCCGCTTGAGAACGCGCATGTGGTACCTTTCCGGCGGCGGGAACTGAATAGAGTCCCTGTCGAACATTTCCGCGAAGAGCCATGCCTGGACGTCGGGCCTCTTGAGGAGCTGCGCCTCGGGCCAGCGCAATTGCGCCAGATCGAGGAGCTGGAAATATTGGGCGCGAAAGACGTCCAAGGCCTGCATCTCACCTGGAGCGAGTTTCATGGCGGCGAGCGTGCCGGACCGGGTGAGCGTGCAGGTGCAGGCGGGCCATGGCAGCAGCAGTCGGAATGTTTGAAGTTCGCGCGGTGCGGCGTTTAGCGAGTCTTGGCGCGACGCCGCACACCACGATGCTCAGTTTTGATCTTTTGCGAATCTTCGCATCACCGACGACGACCGGCAACTTGCTGCGACAACCCACACACATCCCCAGGATCACGCCGCAGGACCTTTGAGCCCCTCTCAGTACGTCGACCTACACCACCTGCTCCTGCATTTCCCCCCGCCTTGCGCATCTTCCAGTGCCGGTCTGACCTTCAGCACAGCCCGTCCCGGTCCCCTCGATCCTTTCGTCAAGATGTCCGACTCGCAAGTTACTCTGCGCACGCGCAAGTTCATCCGCAACCCTCTCCTCGGCCGCAAGCAGATGGTTGTGTAAGTTTCCGATGAACGCCGACCGAATCCGCCACAGCACGTCTAACAGCGTCCTCCAGGGATGTCCTCCACCCCAACCGCCCCAACGTCTCCAAGGATGAGCTCCGCGAGAAGCTTGCTCAGCTCTACAAGGCCAGCAAGGACCAGGTCAACTGCTTCGGCTTCAGGACCCAGTACGGTGGCGGCAAGAGCACCGGCTTCGCTCTCATCTACGACTCCAACGAGTCCATGAAGAAGTTCGAGCCCCACTACAGGCTGGTCCGCGTCGGCATGGCCAGCAAGATCGAGAAGGCCAGCAGGCAGCAGCGTACGTACAGCCGGGTTGGGCGGGCGCGCGCACGGCGTCGTCCCGGCCGGATTGCAGAAGGACACATGCTGACGGATATCGGCGTACAGGCAAGCAGCGCAAGAACAGGTCCAAGGAGTTCCGGGGTACTGCCAAGACCAAGGGCGCCAAGAAGGACAAGAAATAAGCGGATCGCGGTTGACGGGGTCGTGGGCGAAAACGGATTATTTGCATCACGGTCATGGCGGGACGATGGCTGCAAGAGGCTTCGTGTACATGGCTACACGTTTGAACCTCGCGCGGCTTGGGAAAAAACTAGGCGTTTGCTTTGTCTGCTGACCCAACATGGCATAGCATACCAATGGATTCTCATTCACGGTTACGAATCTTATCCATGCCCCCGGCCTTGAATCAATGTGCGGTTTCGCCACATCGAACCTCCAGTGTTGGAAGATATTGCAGGATCAGGATGACAGGGTTTCAGACAAGCAAAGCCCAGTATTTGCATATTCGTCGCATGCTCCAGCTGTTTTTGCACGACTCCACCGTTTGATTGCGCAGCAGGACTCCTATCAATGAGCCCAGCATTCTGGCCGTTTTGCCCGCCAATCGGCGTCCTGATTGTACAAACATGTACTCCCTATGAGCAATCAATACCCTTTTTTTTTTCATTCTCGCGCATGCAAATCAGGGGGCGATCTAAGAATTCATGAATGAGTCGGCGCGTATTGACTATGGGGTTTGGATCCATTATCCGGGTATTTGTGCATGCCATATTGGCTATTTGAGGCTCCGGTAATCGTGAAACGTGAACAGATAGTGGACCAACCATGATGGCAAGTGTTCGAACTCCGTATGAGGCCCTGACTGTGCCACAGTAGCAGTTGTACTCTCACCCTCGAACCTACTCGCTGCCCAGAAGCATCAAGCGTTTCTAGCCCGCGACTTGACACCCCCTGCGCTAGCCTTGCGCTGTCTGAATTGAGATCATCTCCGCCTTCTACTTATCGCTCGCTTTGGGTGCCCAACAATGGGTCTTTAAATAGAAATCGTGAAATCAATAGGGCGGAGCGGACATAGTCAAGGGATTTGCGCAATTGTCGCAGATAGCCGGCACGCCGTCTGACCATCCTTCCAAGCTTGCAGCACTGCAAGACTTAGGGACTTGGGCTGTATGGCGGGCTATGGCCCAGTCATGATTCAGCATCAACAATCTGCAGCTGGAGCATCACGAAAGCACCTACCATGCAAGAGGGTGTCAAAGCTTCTAGTACAGGTATGAAGACGAAATTCTGGACAGGGACCCACGGTGAAGAAGTCGGGTGTCTTGCGCATACCTGTGCATATCGTTTAGAAGAGTCAGCGATGATCTCTTGTGGATGCACCGACGCAATCGCATGGGTGCTGCGTTGGACTGGTTGCAGAGATGGGCAGGCAGGCACCCTCGGATTGCGGATAGACGGGCAGCGCCACGCTAGGGCGAGCCGGCACCCAAACAGACGTCACCTCTCCAGCCCCATTCCCAAGGCTCTCTCGCTCAACATCGCAGCTCTGCAGATCGCGCACTCTCTCCACAACCCGCCTGCACCGCGCCCACGCGTCTGCCCGAACGTCGCGATCTAGTGCGCCTGAAGACTCTCCAGCTTTTCCGTCTGCCCAGCCCCGCGCAGCGATCCGCCATGTGGGACGACGAGGATAACAACCCGTACGGCTCGTTTGAGCGCCACGATGCCTCGCCCTCGCAAGTCGGCCATTTTGGCTCCCCCGGCGGATGTACGCCAACTCTTCTGCCCCCGCGATGCCTGTTCCTGTTGTCCTAACGCGATGCTCCAGTTCGCCCGATGACCCCGCCGTCTGAGGCGTCGTCCCCGCCCTTCGGCTCGCCAGAATACATTACCCACCGTAGAGACCTCAGCGATGTTGAGTACGACGACGAACCCCAGGAGCCTCAGCGCATCGAGCCAAAGAAGGGCGGTTACGACAGCCGCATTGAGCAAATCCTCTATGAGAACCCGCAGTTGCCTATTCTTATCACCGATGCTGGCAAGAGTGCGGAAGGCGGGGGCAAATACATTGTCTACGCCATTAGGACCGGAGTAGGTGCGCCTGCATCCGCGCATGCTCGCGTAATACTGAAGTCAGCTGTGTAGGATCTAGAGGTCCGCCGGAGGTACTCTGAGTTCGCGTCTCTGCGCAACGTGCTCGTCAACCTACACCCAACCCTTGTTATCCCTCCAATTCCGGAAAAGCACACCACTGCCGACTATGTAGCGAAGCCGATGAAGGCGAAAGAGGATGTTGGGATTATAGAGCTGCGCAAGCGTATGCTCGCTGTTTTCCTTAACCGGTGCAGGAGGATGCAGGAAGTCCGCGAAGATGGTGTCTGGTGGAGATTTCTGGACCCCAACGTCAGCTGGGTATGCGGACTTGATGAGCTCTGAAACTTCTTGTGTACTGCTACTGACTATGGATAGAGCGAGGTCCTCCACTCTCACCCGGTAGCATCGCTCCCATCGAACAAGCTCAAGGCACCCCCGCTCGACGCCGCCAACCCGACCCCGGGCCACCACTACCTTCCTATACCATCAGCTTCGGCAAAGCTCAGGTCTAGCAGCGGGAGTGCCTCGTCGGGAACGCCGAATTCGCCGCCCCTACACCAGTCGCAGCCTTCTACTGCGGCGCACACGATACCAGGACCGCAGATTTTTGGCCGTTTTCCTCCCACGTCACAAAACCTGTCTGAAGAAGAGCTCGACCCCTACTTTGTCAATTTCGAAGCTTCCTCTAAGGAATTGGAGGCACTTCTGCAAGGAAGTATGGAGAAAGTGAATCGCCGGGCACTCGCTCATCTCAACTCGTGGGGAAGCGATATGGCGGAATTAGGAGCACGATACAACGCCTTCGCATTGAATGAACAGTCACGTACGCTGTCGCAGGCCATTGAGAAGATGGGCCAGGCTGTCGACTCGACCTATATCCAGACTGGTGAACTGTCGTCTGCGTTGAGTGCAGGCTTTGCGGAGCCAATGAGGGAGAGTGCCCAGTTTGCCGGCATCGTCCGCGACGTACTTAGATACCGCATCCTCAAGCGCGTGCAAGAAGAGATGACTAAGGAGGAGCTGGACAGGAAGAGGCATCTGCTTCAGTCACTGGAGCAGAGCGAGGCTGAAGCTAAAAGGATAGAACAGTACCTCAACCAGACCGGGGGCCCGCCGCCGAGGAGATCCAACTCTGCTGCATCCCAGCGTAGCAACAGCGATCCCCCGCGCCCTGAAGAAGACGCAGCATCTATTGACTCCGACTTCCCGCCTACTCATGGCGAATCCCACTCGCCCCCGTCAGCCGCACAAGGCCAGCCTCATCGGTCTGAGCCATCATCTCCGGTGCACAAGAAGACGCCCAGCGGAAACTTTGTAACGTCGAAGATCTTCGGTCGGGTCAGCCATGCTTTCCACGGTATCGTGGATGTCGACCCGGAAAGAACACGTAGGGACCAGATTGGCAAGACGAGGGAGAGCATTACTCAGGTGATGACAGTGATCCAAGCCCTTTTTAACTGCCGGCTAACCCTCACGTAGCTTGAACAAGCATTGGAAGTTGCGGAGAAGGACGTCAAGGATGCCAGCGTAGGCGTGTTGAAGGATCTCAAGAGATTCCAGTCTGAGAAGGAAGAGGACTTGAGGCGTTATATGGTGAGGTCCTTTCTCGGAAGCTGCGCTCTACGCAATACTAACAGAGTCAGATCGCCTTCGCTAAGTGCCACATTGAATGGGCAAAGAGGAACCAAGCCTCGTGGGAAGAGGCCAAGGCGGAGATTCAAAATATTCAGGCAGCTCCTACGGAGTGATTGTGACGATACCAGCTTTGCTTTTGAGGATGCGTGGGCGTTTTATTGTACGGTATGCAGTAGTAGAAAGTAATGGGTAATGCCATTTCGCGCATGCAGAAGAAAGAGCCACTGCTTCCACACAAGCATCCATCGAACGTACTACTTACTACTCTACACCGAGAAAAGCCCTGACCCGCCGAGTAGACCTTCCAACCGCTTAGCAATCCCCGTACTTACTCCGCAGACATACCGCCCTGCTCGACCCTACCTCTTTCAAGCCCGCTCACCAACCTCTCGCGCAGAGACCTGATGCCCACCACCCTTGCCATTGCCCTCGTCCCGGCCCATGACCTGGTGCCGATTCTCCTCGTCATCCAGAATCTCAACCGTGCCATACGGGGTACTCCTCCTACCACCACCACGAGGCCTCTCCGCCGCACCCGCACCCGCACCCGCACCAACCAGCGCCGTCTCCCCATCCCCGTCCCCATCCCCATCCCGCCCGTCCCGCCCGCTCTCCCCCCGCCACCGCGGCACAACCCTCTCACGCCTCGCGTCCACCCACCGACGCCAAGGCGCATACAACACGACGGCCATGACGCCACAAACGACAAACGACGCGCACACGGCGCCGCCGACGATCTCTCCCGCGTCGCCCGCCCGCGCCACGCCCTCCCAGAAGCGACCCTCGGGGTTGCCGACCCCGACCGCCAGCGCCAGCGCCAGCAGCTGCAGCGTGCCGACGCCGAGCGCGACGGCGACGGTGAGGCCGGTCAGGGCGACGCCGTAGTAGAGGGTGGCGATGCGGTCGTTTTCGTTTTCGTTGTTGTTGGCGGACGTGTAGAGCGCGAGCATGAGGGCGCCGTCGGCCGTGTCGAGCAGGCACATGCCGGCGGTGAAGAGGAGCGGGAAGACGAGGATGAGCCAGAGGGAGGCGCCGCGGGCGGCCTGGATGGAGGAGATGCCGAGGAGGGCGATTTCCGAGGAGGTGTCGAAGCCGAGGCCGAAGAGGAGGCCGAGGGGGTACATTTTCCAGGGGCTGTTGTGGTGGTCGAGGGTGGTGGGGGTCAGGTTGTGGGTTTGCTTTGTTTTGTTTGCGTTGGGGTGTGGGGAGGGGAGTGTTGGTGGTGGTGGTGGTGGGAGAGGAGAGCGGTAGGGAGGGAGGGAGGGAGGATGACGCACCGGTCGATCATTCTGAACATGCCCTTGAAGACGTTGAAGAGGCATCCGGCTCCCTGGATCTTGAAGTCCTCTTCTACCTCATCGCTGGGGTGGGTGGCGATCAGCGCGTTCAGCTGCTTTATCATTCGGTACAGGATGTAGGCGTTCATGATGCCCAGCAGGATCAGAAAGGCGGCCGACACGGAGGTGCCGATGATGCCGCCGACGTGGGAGAACCTGTCGAACTTGTCGGAGACGGCGGAGGCCGTGGCGGCGACGACGATGGAGGTGACTATGACGATCCTGGAAAGATGGGGTTAGGACGTGTGTGTCTGGAGAGAGAGGGGGGCAAACGAGGTGAGATATACGTTGAGTGCCCCAGGGAGAAGAACATGCCAACCGTCACCGGCCTCTGGCCTGCAGCAATGAGACGACGGGTCATGAGGTCGATGGCCTATGTGCTCGCTTTAGTACTCAGATCTATCCTCCAGCATGGGGCAGACGAACAGAAATATGGTCTGCATCCAAGGCATGACGCAGGCCAAGAGTGTAGGAGAGAATGGCCGTGGAAATGAGCGCCCTAGCATGAGCGTCAGACAAGTTTCATCTCTCTCCTCTGATAGATGGCAGTACTGACGGATGAAAATGCTGCAGTTCCAAGGTCAGCATCTGTTACTGGTGGTTTTCTTTCTATCCTTTTGTTATCTTGCGGGATGTGAGGTGCTGCTTACGAGAACGATGCCGACAGCCACCCAGGCGGCGGCGTTGACCATGGCTATCACAATGATTATGGCAAGTGCAGAGAAGGGTAGCCGACGCAGGTATGGCACGCGGCCATGGTACATTTCAGCCTTCTTCGATACATTTCCCAGAAACGTAACCTTGTCCTCGGCTACAACTCTGTTCCCGGCGGAAGGCATGTTTTGGGGCAGGTCAGCCATCACGTCCGACGGAAGAGAAAGTGAGTGAGGACCAGATGAGCCAGCGAGCGGGCGGGCAGGAAAAAGAAGAGGCGAGAGCACTCTGTGCCGTCGGCAGTGACCGATGGCGGGTGGAGTCTTTTTTTTGTCTGCTATCACTGGCTGGAAACATGCTCATCCCAGCGCTTGGGCCAAGGTGGGGTAAGGAAGCCGCTAACGACCTCTTATCAGTCCCATCCTGGTTAAAGCCAGGTAATATATGGATGTCACGGGGAGTTCATATTGGTCCTTCTGCATTCTTCTCTGGCCGTACCTGTCGCTACTGCCATTTACTAAAGCACAAACTAGCGTTCGTTCCTCCGAATCCAAACGAATTCGACAAAGCAACCGCGATTTCCCGTTTCTGTGCCTCCTTTGGAACGTAGTTGCAGTCAAACTCTTCAGGTGGATCCCCGGCCGTTTCCAAATTCAGCGTTGGCGGAAGAATTCCCTGCGAGCATGGTCAGTCAATGAGCCTTTTCTCCCTGGGACCAGACGTACGTGGTGAATGGCAAGAATCGTGAAAATTGCCTCGACAGACCCGGCAGCGCCGAGGAGATGGCCTATGGCCCCCTTCGTGCTGCTGACGTTGATATCTGCCGCTTTTGGCCGACCTTGCTCCCCCAAGAGAAGAGATTTTATGGCGAGGTTCTCCGCCGCATCGCCCAGAACCGTCGATGTTGCATGTGCATTTACATAATCAACGGCGCTCGGCGGTAGCTTCGCATGCTTCAAAGCTCGCTTCATTGCTAGAAGCGGACCGCTTCCGTCCTCTCGAGGAGCAGTCATGTGATGGGCATCCGCCGAAAGACCGTATCCTTTCAGCTCTGCATAGATTCTAGCTCTCCGAGCTTGCGCGTGCTCGAGTTCCTGTTGACGTATTAGCGCGATGCATACTCCAAAAGACTGCCTATGCTAACGAACCTCGAGAACAAGCACACCGGCACCCTCGCCAATCACGAAGCCAGCCCTGTCTTTGTCGAATGGTCTAGAGGCAAGATGAGGCGCGTCGTTCCAATCCGTCGCAAGGCTCCTGGCACGAGCAAAACCTGCAATGGCTAGAGGGTGAATGCAGGACTCTGCGCCGCCAGCGACCATGACATCTGCATCACCATACGAAATGAAGCGAGCTGCATCCCCAATTGCATGGGCGCCAGTGGTGCAAGCTGTTGTTGCTGCGTGGTTCGGGCCCTTCAGCCCAAAGCGCATAGAGATGTGGCCTGCAGCGAGATTGATGAGGAGGCGAGGCACAAATAACGGCGAGACTTTTCGGTAGCCGCCTTTCTCATACGCGATGGATGTCTCATATACATCGTCGAAGCTTCCGATGCCGGAGCCGATGTAGACACCCTATTCATGTCAGCCAGACGTCTTTACGTCAGCGCAAGCAGAGACGGACGGTAGCCTCCAGGTCTTCCTCTTTCTTCGGGTGCCACGCAGCATCCTCGAGCGCCTCTTGCGAGGCGGCCATGGCGTACTGGGCAAAGAGAGCCATTTTGCGCTCATCCTGCATGGGTCAGCAAAGATGTCGTGCACTTGGCGGCTGGTGTGTCTTACACCGGGTTGAAGCCATTCTTTCGCCATCCACCCTCCGTCTTCCTTGGGCCCGGATGGGACGAGGGCGGCAACCTGGCTTGGTAGCGCAGCAAATTGAGGGCTACGGTCCCTGACCGAGACCACGCCACAGTGGCCGTCGATGAGGCGCGACCATGTTCTGCGGATGCCTGCGGGGCCATGTGTCAGCCCACGAGCGGAGCGACCACGTGGGTAAAGCTCTCACCAACGCCCAGCGGCGTGACCGCACCTAGACCGGTGACTACCACTCTTCGCATGGCATGGTTTTGATGATCGGTTGATGCTCTAGAAACGGGAAAGTTGACGCGGTTGGAAATCAAAGACGGTCCGAGGCGCGTGGACCATCGGCAACAACTTTTCTCGCTTGCGCCCACACTCCACACCAGAACAGAAGCTGCAAACGTGGCGGGCTCATCGTCCCCCATCATGGAAGCCTTTTAGGGCGCCACGCTCCGGTCTTTCCTCACTTGCGCATTCTGTGTGTTCTCAGGTTTCATGCTATTCCACAGCCTCCTGTATTTCCGGTAACGAACTCGACCAGGATTTTGGGATGGAAAACTTACGTGGTAGCTACTTCAGTGCACGCCTTGCGCACGTATTTTCTATGTAGTCACCGACATGCCTCACAAACCGAGAATCCTTGAGTCTCCTACTCAAAGCGAGTCTGTCCGTTGTGTTCCAATTTATCTGGCTCTTAGGATCTCAACAATGTGGCCCAGGCATTGGCCGACTGATGAGTGCCATCAAGGTGCTCACTACGGACTCCCCTCAGGTGGACATGACTCTGAATCACGATGACGGTGCCCCCCCAAAAGCCGCAGGAACCAGCCGCAGGTTTCCTAGTCTGTTCGAGCCGTTCCCCAGGGCTCTGATTGGCTTGGTCATCGCACTTGCTGAAACCGTGCTGTTGATTTCAGGGTCTCTGGCCACACAACCATCAAGGTATTCAAGATGGCCAGGTCGACCTTATATTGCCCCAACCCATGCAAGTAAGAATATTTCAGCTTCTTCACCTTTATTCGGCTCCTTCAGCGTGCCCGTCTTCAGTCTTTCCATTCCTTACCAACAACATGGACAGCCCAACAAGAGAGAACAGCATCTTTGTTCACGATGTGATCATAATAGGCGCTGGCCCCTGCGGCCTCGCAGTTGCTGCTCGTCTATGCGAGCACACTCCCTCTGCAATCTTCACTGACGAGGAGCACCAGCGCTACCATTGGATTCGGAAGCACGGCGCAAGCATGAGCATCAAGAACTGGAAGAACGGCCAGGTCACGCAGGCTGCTCCCCGACTCGGGCGACGATACTCCACCTTGGTGCTTGATGGGTCCGGCGACCAATGGCTGAGCCGGTGGAACAGGTTGTTCAAAACCTTCGAGATCACAAACTTGCGCAGTCCCATGTTCTGGCATGTCGACCCCTGCGACAGAGATGGATTGCTGGCATACACTTACGAACAGCGCCGGGAGAATGAGCTCATCGAGATCAGAGAGTGCGTGGGCAAGGAGGTTAGCAAACACCTCAGGAAGAAGAGGACCAAGTCTCGCAAGTATGACCGTCAGATCACAGCGCAAAACACACATGCTAATGCCCCTCAGAGCCCACTCCGAAGTCGAAGTTGATGAACGTGATCGCAAAGACTACTTCAGACCTTCGCGCCTTCTATTTGCCGAGCACTGCGAATGCATAGCCGATCGGTACGGCCTTCGCGATGGTCTGATCAAGCAGGAGCAAGTCCAGGATATTGAGTACGGCTGCGTTCGCGACGTCTCAGACGTGGACAAGATTTTCACGCTTCGCACGAACAATGGGGCGTACCATGCCAGGACAGTCGTTCTTGCAGTGGGGCCTGCCAATGCCCCGAGCCTCCCGAACATCGACCCTAAGCAGGGCTGCCCGCAGATGTGCCACGCCATGCAGATCCAGCAGTTCCCCGACCCTATTGTCTCAGCCAAGTTGAAGGCCAAGAAAGAGACCAATGTGTTGGTCGTTGGTGGGGGCCTGACCTCCGCTCAGGTTTCAGACATGGCGGTTCGAAAGGGTGTCACAAAAGTGTGGCATTTGATGCGAAGTGGATGCAAGGTTAAGCCGTTCGACGTGGACTTGGCCTGGATGGGAAAGTTCAGGAACATTGAACAAGCAATCTTCTGGTCTGCAGACACAGATGAGGGTCAGTTGCCTTTCCACGGTCGGATTCGTGGCCCTTGATACTAACTTTTGATCCAGAACGTCTTGAGCAGATCAAAGCGGCTCGCGGAGGAGGCAGCATCACGCCGCCGTTCCACAAGATTCTCAAACAGCACATGGCTCGCGGGCGTGTCGCGCTTCACACACATACAGTGATCAAGAGCAAGTCGTATGATGCTTCGACTCAGACATGGATGGTCAATACGGACCCTCCGATTCCTGAACTCCCACCGATCGACTACATTTACTTCTCCACAGGCATCCAGACAGACTTCCAAACCCTACCCTGCCTTCAGTCGATGAACAGGGACTATCCTATCCACGGGCATGGAGGATTACCGTGCCTGAATGATGACCTCATGTGGAAGGATGACGTGCCGCTGTTCGTCACTGGCAGGTTGGCTGGCCTGCGACTCGGCCCGGCTGCAGGCAACCTTGGGGGAGCTCGCACCGGAGCAGAGAGGATTGCCTGGAGTATTGAGGATGTGCTGGCGAAGAGTCGTGAGGTTGTGGAGGAGAATGATGAGGATTTCGACTATGTCACCGCGCGAGGCAACCGGTACACCAGCTTGAGCGCTGTGGACATCGACGAGTAGCTGATCGGAATCGGGGATCTCTGCACAACAAAAATTCAGGCGGACTGGAGCTTCAGACAGGACGCTTTAAATAGCTGGTAAAACAACCAATTTTTGCAATCATTGTTGTGCTTTGGTTGAAAGCCAATGCGGCTACCATAATGGTGAAGTCATTGATCGTAGACGGTGGCCCAAGCTTTCCCAATCCACGAGTCGGGGCCATCAAAAAGTAAGCGGCGCGCGCTCTACGCCTGTACATACATCCCACCTGCAGCCTGCCCGCCACTCCACACTCTCGTCTTTTTCGTCTTCCCTTCAAACCACCCGCCAATGGCTTCCTCATTCGCCTGCAGGGCCTGCAAACGGGCCCTGCAACACCACGCCTCCAGCTTCAGTCAGGTAAAGAAAGAAAAAAACCCATAACCACCATCCATTGCTCCAAGAACGCCCCGTCCTAAACAACAGCCTCCTACCTCACAGGCAACCACTCGCCGAAGCACCGCACCCGTCTCCTCATCCCCCCTCCTCCGCCGCCGCGACTTCTCCTCCGCCCCGCGCGCCACCGCCGCCGCGCAGCAGCAGCAGCCGCCGCCCACCTTCCCCGCCGAACCCGCCGCCGCATCGCCCAAACCCGCGCCCGAAACCGACGACGAACCAATCCGCGCACAGCAGGCGCAGCGCGCGACGCCGGGCGACGCGTACGCCAGCGCGTCGGCGGGCGGGCCGTCGCACGCGGACATGAGCCGGGCCATCGCGCAGGGCTTGCGCCGGCGCGCCGGCGGCAGCACCGAGACGTACGTCGCGTACGGCGGGACGGAGATGCTGTTCCGCGCGTGCGCGCGGCAGGCCGAGTACCGCGTCGACAAGGACGCCGAGGGCGAGGCGCCCAAGACGGCGAAGGGGGAGGATTTGGGTGTGGGTGTGGGCGGGAGTTGGTGGTATGAAGGTGAGTTAGTGAGCGAGGATGGATGGATGGGGAATTGTGATTTGCTCTGCTCTGCTCTGTTCTGCTCTGCTTTGCTCTACCCTCCCTTTTGGGAAAATTGGTTGGGTGAGAGGGGGCGGAGGGAGCGGGAGGGTGGATTGAGGAGATGAATGAGTGCTGATGCGTAGTCCGGGTTTTTCGCAGGATTGGGTCTTACGCCGACTTTCAACACTTGGGCGCAGATAACGTTCCTCCACATGTATGCGTTGACGACGCGGATCAGGCAGTTCCCGAAGGAGCACGCGCCGGCGTGGCATCAGCACCTGCTCGATCACTTCTTCTACGAGGCGGAGAACAAGATGGTCATACATCACAACATGCAGGCGCGAGGCATCCGCAACAGGTACTTGCAGGACCTGTTCATCCAGTGGCGCGGCGTCATGGCGGCGTATGACGAGGCTCTGGTGAAGGGAGACGCCATGATGGCGGCGGCGCTATGGAGGAATATCTGGAAAGCGGACGAGATCAACCCTTCTGGACTCGCTACTGTGGTGAGCTACCTGCGGAGGGAGATCCAGAGGCTGGAGAACATCAGCGACGAGGACTTCACTTCTGGCCAGGTGAGCTTTGGCGGCCCCGAGCTGGAAGAAGCGCTCGTGGCGAAAGAGAGCCCTAAGATGTCGGAGCCGTTTACGTCTACGGAGGTGGAACACAAGGAGGAGCCGAAGAACTGAAAAATTGACGGATCGATGCTTGTGGAACGACTTCTCATATAATGGGTCGATAATTGGAATCTGTACAATAGCTCTTGTATCATGGATGTACTGGACATCGCGTCATGGGAAACGGCGAAAAAACTTGAGGAATACTAAATATTCGAAACTTCTCCTCTCAACTATTGGCGCAACGGTTCAAGGATGCTTCATGAGCTCTCGCTTGTGGCATTTCAGAGACGGTGTTTCACTACATTCGTTCCGTGCTACAGCTCCTTCCGTACGTAAGGTATGATGCAACATGAAGCGATGCACGGATGGGGAAGGGGTTGACTGAGCCGAGGCGCCCGCGCTCAGACGGCCAAGCGCGTCAGCTTCACGTTCACGCCGCATTGCGCGTCTTCTTATAGCCGCGGTGGGGGCTGCATTTCATATCTTCTTCAAAAGCCGCTTATTCCGCCCCCTTCGACCTCGAGTTTGCCCCGCCTTCAACCTCCGCCAATTCTACCTCGCCCACAATGTCGACGCTCCCGGAGCTCCAATACACGCCCGTCGAGGCCATTCCCTCGACCGTCAACCTCCTCCGCACCACCTTCAGCACCCAGAAGACCCGCGATGTCGAGTACAGATTGAAGCAGCTGCGCAAGCTGTATTGGGGGTAAGTGCACCCTCCACCTCCGCGACTTCCGCGCCCTTTGCTAACGCGCGCCCGGGCTGCAGGCTGAAGGACAACGAGCAGCTTATCCTTGAGGCCTGCAAGAGTGACCTGAACAAGTCCTCCTTCGAGACGTACCTGGCCGAGTACGGCTGGGTCCTGAACGACATCGTTTTCGTCCAGAACAACCTGCCGAAATGGGTCAAGGACGAGAAGGCGCCGGACATCCCTCTCGCGAACAAGCTCCTTTCGCCGCACATCAGAAAGGAGCCATTGGGCACCGTCCTGGTCATCGGGTGAGCTCCTTGAATACATTATTTCCCCGCGGCGGCTACGGCAGGATGCTGATGCGGGGTCAGCGCCTACAACTTCCCCATCCAGCTTTCCCTCGGGCCCGTCATTGGCGCCATCGCCGCCGGCTGCACCGTCGTGCTCAAGCCCAGCGAGAATGCTCCCGCCGCCGCTGCCGTCATGGAGAAGGTGATGCGCGAGTCGCTCGACTCCACCGCCTACACCACAGTCCAGGGAGGCGTTGCCGAGACGACGGCCCTGCTCGACCAAAAGTGGGATAAGATCTTCTACACGGGTGGCGTGGGCGTGGGCACCATCATCGCGAAGAAGGCGGCCGAGACGCTCACGCCCGTGACGCTGGAGCTGGGCGGCAAGAACCCGGCCATTGTCACCAAGAATGCCGATCCCAGGCTGGCCGCGCGCCGGTTGCTTTGGGCGAAGCTCCACAATGCCGGCCAGGTCTGCGTCAGCCAGAACTACATCATGGTCGACCAGGAGATCCTGCCGGCGCTGCTTGCCGAGCTGCGGACGGCGTATGACGAGTTCTTCCCGCAAGGCGCGCGCAAGAGCCCGGACTACAGCCATATCGTGAACGAGAGGCAATTCAAGAGGCTGAGGAAGATGCTCGACGAGAGCAGTGGCAAGATCCTGATGGGCGGCACTATGGATGAGTCTGACTTGTTCTTTGAGCCCACCGTTGTGCAGGTCGAGAGCCAGAACGACATCTTGATTTCCGAGGAGAGTTTCGGTCCTTTGATTCCCGTTCTACCAGTCAAGGACCTCGATGAGGCCATTAAGATTGCCAACGAGGTCCATGACACCCCGCTGGGTGTTTATCCTTTCGGTACTAAGAAGGAGACGGAGAGAGGTAAGTAAATGATCGCCTCGCCCGAGTGGACAATTCTGAGACAGGCAAAAACAGTCCTCAACGAGACCCGTTCCGGTGGTGCCTCAGTCAACGAGTAGGTTTTTCTATTTTTCTTTCCCAAAAAAGCTGTCCTTCTTGAACTGACATGCTGCTCTAGCGGTTTCTTCCACGCGTCGATCCCCACCCTCGCGTTCGGCGGTGTCGGCACCAGCGGGCAGGGCGCCTACCGTGGCCGCGCCTCGTTCGACTCCTTCACTCATCGCCGGTCCGTGACGACTACTCCCGGCTGGATGGAGTCCCTCCTCGCCGTCCGCTACCCGCCGTACACGGCTGCGAAGCAGAAGCAGTACAAGCAGATGAGCGAGCTCAAGCCCAACTTCGACCGCAACGGAAACGCGAAGACCAACTGGCTCCTCGCCCTCGCGGGCCTGGGCGCGAAAGGTAAGGGCGGAGGCCTCATGAGGTGGCTGATTGTGCTTCTTGGTAAGTGGACCTGTTTTGGCTGATGTCAATGTTGTTTTTCCTCTACAGGATAAGACTTCCGTGAGCTGACACCGAGTGTTTTTCTCACTGTGAACAGTGGCCGTTGGTATCAAGCAGTACCGTGAAAGGGCGCTCCTGTAAGGCTGTGTGAGTGAATGTGATGGGACACTCGCTGGGTATTATTCTTTTGGTGGTAGGTATTGTCGTTTCGATATCCCCATTGCGATACTGTGTAAAAAGAAATTGTACGTGGGAATGGTCGAGGATCACAGGATGGACTGTATGTATGTACATGAGACTAAGTGAAAAAAAAAAAAGATTATTCCTATAAGGCCGGAAAGCTATGTGTATAGGGCCTCTACGGGCAACACTTGGACGAATTTTGTGCTCAAAGTACTGGCCGTCTGTTAGCATCATCACATATGTAAATGCCTGCCAGCAAGGGGGTGCTGATGCCATGGCGTGTAATTCAATATTAAGGAAAGTTGCTAGAGTTTCTCAGCCTTAATTGGTTCAGTCTTGCATCATTTACTATCCTCGCAGAATGAGAGATAGACAATCAGCTTGGAGAGCGGCCAGCATGTTAAATCCTCCCGGCTGGCTAGCAAAGACAAGTCGCTCTGTCCACCACGACCACGAAACCCGAAAGTGAAGGCTTTCGCTTCCAAACATCATCGGCGAAAATGTGCGGCAGAGAAGTGTTTGAGCCACATTCTCTACGACGTTTTTATTTTATTTCATTTTATCGAGCCTCCATCCTGGTGCTGGGTTTTCCCGCCCTATCAGAAACCCCCGTGCTTGCTGCATTAATCAGCTTCAACGCAGACAGAACTCACTTGATCGGACCCCGTGTAGGGTCTGTTGTTAACAGCGTGCTTTTAAATGGGGGAGATGGCTGGACTGTGTATATTCGTGAGCCAATTCCACTATGCAGCAAGGTGGAGAGTGACAAGGACTCGATGGATACTTCGGCCGTTCGTGGTTTCTGTTTACTGCGTCTTTTACAGCTCACATAACCTGTAGTTTAAGGTGGTGAGCAGAGAATCAGAGGCCTGCGGCACCTTCGTGTAACGAACGTTGGCCGCCAGATTGCCCTGTTGTTCGCTTTCATCATAAACGACTGTTGGTGTTCATCATCATCACCATCATCATCATCATCATTTTGAGACCACGAACAAGCTCCAATACCACATTTTGGTCCGGCTCGCTGGAAGCCGATACGCCCGGAAAATCAGGTCATGCTCAGTCCAAGTTGATCTCAGAACTTTGCGGATTTTCCAAATGCCAACCTCGATGGTCAGAGGAGCAGATCAAGGCGCGCTGAGGATGAGCCGTATTTAAGGCAACGAAACAACCCATAATGCTGCTGATGGCCCACGGCGCGGAGTTGACGCCGGATATATGTTCGGTCATGTGTCGTGCTGAGCCACCGGCTGCGCGCGGATGAGCTGGTGCTTGTGCTCTCGACTCGCTCAGGCGGTAATTGGGGATCAGGGACCTTTATAACGTGTTCCATTCTTCACTTTTCTCCCTCTGACAATAAGGACTTAGAGCCTTGTGCTCACAAGGACAGATGGGCGAACTATTCCACACACTGGACTATTCTCACTGGCGTTTGTGGGAGCCGGCCGGAGCTTGCAATTGTCTGCATTCAACTGGTTGTACCTTTTGATGGGAATGAGGGAGCATGGTTCTGCCACACGTGTTGATTGTGTACTTCACCATTAGTCCTTGTTGGTGTATTGCAGCATCGAAGATCCGGCTGCGAGGAGGCCGGAGCTTAGATTTGTTGTACCGTTGCGGCTTCCCAAGTCGATATCGTCGCACTCTCTTCTTTAGTTTTTGAACCCAGAATCTTCTCTTGCCATTGAAAATTCGGTTCTCTTTGGAAACCCAGTACATATACTTGTTAAAGAAGTAAGTGCCAAATTGCTCACATGGCCCCCTTCACGGTTCCAGATATGACAAGCTTCGTAGCATATCAAGTGGCAAGGTCACTGGCAGCCCATCCTCTTTTGCAGCCACTGATGTCCCCATGTTATTTCTTTTTGTTTAACAGTCTACTTCTGCTTTACAACCCCGATTCCACTGGCACTGAGTCCGCTAGTAAATGTATCATGGCATATATCCATATGAGCAGTGTTGGTCAATGTGAGATACGTAGTCTCGGAGGAAGTAGCTATTTTGTATTGCTATTGAACGCCATCATCATATAACAATGCTGACCATCACAGTCGTTTCGAACGAGGTCACGAGAACCGAGTGCCTACTTGACCAACCAGAATCGCGAACGGCCTCTTCTCCCATATGTGAGAAAGGATTGACCCAGACTAACATGTTTGACTTGAATTGGCGGAAAAAGGATGAAGGTAACAGAGTGTAGAGTCCAGTCTCGGAGTGAGAGCAACTCGCTTTATTTATATCAAGAAACCATCCGTCCTAATTAGGCTTGTCAACCAGCGGAACGTGGATCGAAAAGACCATCACCCGCTGCCTACTGACCCAGAAAAATCCATGGGCTCGTGCTTCAATGTTTGCTTTAGCCGTACCCTTTGATCTCCTTCGTACTTTCAAGGACCACTGTCTACACCACTCTGGAAGCCAGATAGCGCACGCACTCAACGAGCACGCTGAAAGATTAGGATACCCTCCTGACCAAATACTTGCTCTTGCGCGGCTATCTCGTCTGGCAGGTCATCGTACTTTCGCAGTTCTCTCAGACCAACTCGCAAGTCGCAACCGCGGAGCATTCAAGTCGCATAGTTATCGATTGCCATTTTTCTCTGCCAACGCCATTCCTCTTCATGTCTAGGAGATGCTGCATTTCAGCAACAGTAAGATTGGAGCATTACCAATGCACTGCAAAGAGCCACAGCAGGTGGCACTGGCGTTATATAAAACGCGCCCCAAGGAGCCAAGGTGAAATGACTTTAGTTGCCCGTAGACTTTGTTTCTTTAGACACGAAAAGCAAAGTGAGAGCGTTAGCTTCATGTCTCTCTCAAAGGAGTGGATGAGTGGTTGCCAAAGGATATATGTGTGTGCAATGAAAAGGCACGGACGGATCATAGACTCGTGAAGAACACGAGACACGGGGTGTGCTTTACAAGTCCGCGAACACTTCGTTTTTGCGATTGGACATTGCAGAATGTCAACACTTTAATACCTCGACTTCCACTCAGTAAGGTTCCTATGCAAATCGGCTGTAAAAAAAGCCTAGGGCGCAAAAGATTGGATTATTTCAGAAACGCACAAAGCGATTTCGCCAAAAACGCTGCCAAGACGTGTGGACGCAAGCTAAAGGAAGGTTGGACCAGGAAATGAGATGTGCATTACGATGCAGGAATCTTCTAGAGCACCATGATAGGCCAACGAGCGAAGCTGCTTTGAAGCAAACAAAAGCTTCAAGCAAAATCGAAACAAGCCGGCAAACCCATGAGCGCCAACCGACTCAAGAAAATGAAATGATTATAGGTACCTTAGAGTACGTACGAGCCGAGGTATATCAACAACAAGAGAGACTGCCAACAGAAAGTGGACTAGGAGAGGCGTGGAGGAGATGTTACACACGCAGTAAAAAAGGAAAAAAAGACGGGCTACAAACCAAGAAATGCAGAAGACCTCCCATCCCCAACAAGACATTCCTTCTGTCAGTCCGACTGCCATTGCCATTAAAACCTAGAGAACCCCCACCACACTTCATCATCATTCCGATATCAAAATGGCAACTGGGTTGCTCATGCTCGCGGGCAGGTATCCACTGAATCGCTTCGACGACTGGCACTCTTCTTCCACCTTTTATTCTAACTGCACGCCGTTAGGTCGAGTCGCCTCTTCCGACCTGTGAGGTATCAAATTCTAAGCCGACTCAGGAAGACGCCGCTGGCTGCGGCTGCTCCTTGTGACCGCCTCCAGTGAACTTGTCCTTGATCTTTCCCCAGAAGCTACGCCTCTTGGCCTTCTTGTCAGACCCAGAGGAGGCAGGGGTGCCAGGCGCGGACTTGTCCTTCTCCGACTTGGCCGGAGTGGCCGGGGGCTTCTGGTCGGCCTCCGTGGCTTCCGAAGTTGCAGGCGCGGTAGTGGTCTCGGCGCCGGTAGTGACGGTGGGTTCAGTCTGCTCAGTGGTAGTGGGAGGAGCAGACTCGGCATCGGCCCCCGAGGTCGCGGGCGCAGTGGTGGTCTCGGTGCCAGTGGTGACCGTGGGCTCGGTCTGCTCAGTGGTGGTAGGAGCGGCAGGGTCGCCCAGGGGGCTGACATCGCGGCTCACCTCGGTCCGCGCAGGCTTGTCGGCAGGAGCATTGAGGTCGCCAGGAACCTCATTCACCTTTGCGTCGGATCCCGGAGGCACGGTGAGCGAGGTTTCGGGGACCGAGGGCTCGCTGGACGACTTGAGAGGCTCATCCGGAGACAGCGCCTTGGGGCTGAGATCGTTTTCGGCCTCGGTCGTAGCAGCAGGAGCCGTGGCAGACAGAGCGGCGCTCTCGGTGGGCGCAACATCGGCGATTTCGTCCGTAGGCTGGATCTCTTGCTTCAGCTCACTCTCCATGGCAGACTTGGCCTCGACCGCCTCGGGGTTGAGGGCAGCTTCAGGGCTCGCATCAGCCTGGGCGATGGACTCCTTGACGACGTCAGGGACAGCACTGGTGGAAGCAGCTCCGTTGGCTTCGCTCTCAGGGACCTTCTGAAGAAGCTCCTCTTCCATCTCAGCCTTGTCGGCCACGGCCTCAGGGTTCGCGGCAGCCTCAGGGCTCTGTCCAGACTGCTCAATGGAGCTGAAAACCGCAGCAGGCACATCCTTCTCCTCAGCAGTCTGACCCGTGGCGTTCGACTCAGCGACCTTCTTCAGAAGCTCATCCTCAACCTCAGCCTTGTCGGCCACAGCCTCAGGGTTCGCGGCCGCCTCAGGGCTAGCGTGAGCATCCTCGATGGAATCGCTGACAACCTTGGGCACTTCTTCGGGAGACGACTCGGTTGTGGTGGCAGCGCCAATAGCCTCAGAGGCCTTGTCCTTTGCCATGACGGCAGCGCCAAGTGCGATGGTACCGGCAGTCGCAACACCACCAGCGACAGCGCCAGCAACATTGGCCACGGGCGAGTTTTCAGAAGTAGCCGGCTGCTCGGGAACCTTCTCAAGAAGCTCCTGCTCCGTCTCGGCCTTCTCGTCGACAGCAACGGGGTTTGCGGAGGCCTCGGGAGCAGCTCCAGCCTCAGCCTGGCTCTCCGAAACGACATCGGGAACGCTGCGCGGCTCCTTGGGAACCTGACCGGCGAGAGCAGCGGTGGTGCTCTCAGGGTGCGCGGACTGGACGGTCACACCAGGATCGGCGTCGGTCGCGCTCGGGCCAGATCCAATGGGAAGGCTGGACTCGGGGATGGTGGTGGAGGTGATGCCGGGGATGTCAAACATGGCGGCGCCACGCTCGGCCTCAGGAGTGACGACGGGGCCAAGCTGCGGCGGAAGCGACTCGCCCTTCTCATACGACTCCTTGTCCAGCGTGACGTTGCTGTGGATGTTGTTTGCGGAGATGGACTCGGGCTCGGGGACTTTCTCGCCAGGCGCCAGGGTGATGGGGTTGCCGGCAGTGTTGGAGGCAGGCAGCGGGGTCACGCCAAAGGCCTGCTCCTTCTCCTCGTCCTGGGCCTTGAGCTCCTCATCGTCCTGGACGGTCGACTCGACGGTGTTGGAGTGGAGGGTGCCGGGCTCAGGGACCTTCTCGCCGGGGGCGAGCTTTATGGGATTCGCATCGCCATTGGAGGCAGGAATGGGGTTCACGGAAAAGGACTGCAGCTCGTTGGCGGGGGTCTCGATGAAGGCGCCGGGGACGTCCTCGGCCCTGGGAGTCTCTTTGGGCTCGTCGGCGGCAAGCTGGGCGGTGGTGGAATCGGGGGCGGCGGAAGACATGATGTGAGCGGATGGGGGGGAGGAAATGTCGGCGGGGAGGAGGACGTTGTTGTAGATGCCGTGGCCGTCGTCTTCCTGAGGGGCCTGTGTGCTGGTGGTCCAATTGCCGTCGACGACAAACTATGGGTGGAGCGGTAAGCGGTGTGTGCGTTGACCAGGTGACGAAATCCGGTTTGCAGGCAGCGGGGATTTGGAGCGCGCACGGCACGGTGAGACTCGGGCGCACCGGGTGGGACCTCACCTTATAAAGCACCTTGTCGTCATTCACGGGCAGCTGGACCGTCTTCTCGAAACGACCATCCTTGTGGTCCAGCTGCACGGTCTTGGCCCAGTCGTCGAAGGTGCCGGTGACATAGACGTCGCTGGCGGGACCCTCCCTAACGCGGAGATCAGCTGCTTGGGCGCGCGAAACGAAGCAATTTCGCGTACCATTTGAACGTGTAGGAGCCCATTGTGGGCGGGCGCGCGCGGCGGGGTCGGTCGGACCGGAAGGGCTGCGAGGGATGCGCTGAGCTGGCTGCGGGCGAGGCGGCAGGAATGACGGTCAATCGCGCAGCACGGCTGGGCTGGCGGTCGGCGCTGCGCTGAATCGCGGCGCGGCGGAGCTGTTCGCGCTGGCAGGCGCTACCGGTAGCACGGCGAGCTGGCGGCGCGTGCAGGCAGGTCAATCCGATGGGCGCGGTGCGTGTGTGTCGGGGGAGTGTGACTGTGTGAGCAGCAGCAAGACAATGTTGAAGAAGCTGTGCTGTGACGCAGCAGCCTGTCGAGGTGCTCTCTGGTTTCTGATTGAGCTCCAAGCGACCGCCTGCCAGCCTCCCCGAGTCCCCAGCCCTCTCGTCCCAACACCATCCGGCGCCGGCCACGCTTCCGCCCTGCGCGCTTCCGCCCTGCGCGCCCACTCTTCTCACATGCCGTTGCACAACCTTCTTATCAGCGAGCGACTCGCCGTGTCTCCACGCAAACAGCGCCGTTGCACCAGCCCTCTCGATCGGCGCCGCCCATCATCTGACGCCTGTCAAACACGTCGCCGTCTTCCCCACAAGCCCAGCGCCGGCTCCATCGCCAGCAGACTTGTCACCGTCCGCTCTTGCTCGCCGCTCTCCGTGCGCCATTACTCGCGTGGCGTCGTGGCGCAGCCGCTCCAACATGGCCCCAACCCGACCAGATCCTGCCCACGCCGCTCACCAGAATAGCAGCAATCGCCGCCTCGTGCCATCGCCCGCTTGTCTGCAGACTGCCTGACCTGGGCCATGCATCCTGTTGTGGCAGCAAGTTCCTTGGTTGGCACCAAGCCTCACGGTTTAGTCCACCGCTGCCGCTCGAGCCGGCATTTCCAGTTTGCAGCCTCGATGCCGCGAGAGCCTTTCTGCATGCAACGGCACGCCAATTTCTGCGCCTCGGACCCGATGAGGGCATCGGCGGCGTCGCTAATCGGCGTCAGCTGCGATCAAGGCGGGTGCAGTTTACGGTTGGTGACTCAGCTTGCTGCTGACGCTCAACAAACGTCCGCCCTCGGCGCCGCTTCAGATGTCTCTTGCGCGACACGTCGAATCCTCTTCTGCCGTTTCAGGACATGATTCGAGCTCCCCAGCTTTGCTCTTAACCGTTTGCGGCCGACAGTGGCTAGAAGGGTCCTCCTCATATTGAACAGCCCCCAACTCTTCTCCTACCGTTGGATCTACGCCGATCCGTACCCGCAGGCCCCACATAGCCTTGCGCATAGGTCCAACACGTTTGCGTGCCTCGCCTCTGAATATAGATAGAAATCTGGCCGCGGGAATCGGACCCATTCTGCCCTTTCTGTAGTGTGCAAAGAAGGCCAACAGCAACAGATCGTTGCGACCTAGCGAGAAGGCAACGTCGGAAAAACAACTGTTTAGCCCGTTCGGGATCGAACCAACGCTGCCTCTACCAAACTTCACTGTTCCCTGCAGTGAGATGTGTTTCAGCTTACTGTCAGCCTGTTTCCCGCCCTCCACGCTGTGGCAATGCCGTGGGGCCCCCGGATTATAAGCAGACCGTTTCTTTTCCACTTGGATGCTCACTCGCCAAGGCATCAACCTGCACTAACTCATCGTTCCGTCTATTCCTTCGCAACCGTCGAGCTAGACTGCCTCAGGAAGCCTTTCCAGAGTCACTAAGTGAATCGCTCGAAATGACGACAGCCGCTGGTTCCTGGGGGGAGACGCGCAGAAAAGAGACTAGGATGGCACCGGGAGCTGAGGACGATATTGCCGTTTCAACTGCCAGAGGAGATATTAGAGGTATGCATTGGAGTTTTCATATGCACTGCACCCCAGTTCAACATACGTGCCAACCCGGTTCCCAGTCCCGCAAGCAGCCCTGACTCGCGCATATTCTTTTCACCCACTTCCATTGTAACCTTTTCCTTCACCGCTGTCTGATTTGGCAAACGAACAAGCTGACTGTTTACCACAGGCGCACGCTACCCACACGTTTTGAATCACATCAGCATCTACACAATCCCTTCAATCGACGAGGTGCTCGATCTTTACCACGATTTCCAATCTTCCAGCGACCATGATTTGGACCTGGAGCCAAGCCATCCCGACGGCTGCAGATCCGACCCGTCACTACCGCGCCGAGCACAGCATAAGGGAGACAATGATTCTATACTCGCATCCATCGCTCGCGCGTACGCGGGTACGAATGGGCCTGAAGTGATCGGCCCAGGATCTCAACTTTACAATACCCGCAATGCATATCCTTCGAGCTCAGGCGACTCTGAGAGTCTCACAATTTGCCGCAAGGACTCTTGGGAGTCGGCGCCATCGGTGACGGACAGCGATGATTCCGTATATCTTTCGACCATTTTCGAGGAGCCAGAGCCTCCGGAGTTGGGCGTGGACGTCGATATTGTCAAGCCTACCTTCAGGACGAGAAGGCGGAGAGACATTCTGATGGCACGAGACTGCAAAATAAAGGGCGACAGAGCGGGTTTGTCTGACAAGCGCATCTGAGAGAGTCTCGCTTCCTCTGCACCAGGGTTTCTCTCTCGTCCAATTTTACGAACATGTGGCGTCTGGTATTTGGGTCGAACCAACCGATGGTTGATTCATCTGTTTGTATATCTTCTGTATATCTTTCATTGACTAGATTCGTCAAAACAATCGGAGCAATCCGAAATGATAAGAAAAACTCACATCCGCTTCCTGCTCTACCGATTTCATGTCTGCGTGTCTTGTGAGCCGAAGGCTATCTGCGCATCTCGGTCATCTCAACTTTCGGTGGCCATGAAGGGCTCTCCTTAGTCAGTGCCCTTGGAATTGGGTATGATGCTCGCGGTCGCTCAGGAAACAGGATTGCACTAACTGCTAGACAATCAAGTTCACGTGCCCCGCCGCTTCCTCGACTACCCGAGCGCAACCGCGTCCCTTCCTTCCCTCTACGCATCCACGAAAACCCCTCGATGACACCACCCATATCATCCAGCGCCCATCCCACAACTGATCTCTGCCACCAGGTCAGTGCGATATTTAGTGGAGCTAGCTCGCTGGCAACGTCTACCAGTTGGCCGTCGGCTTGCCGCACTGCGACCGTCTTGAGTCCGAAACATGCACGATCCGACGTGCCCAAGTCGGTCGCACGCCACCGTCATCTCACCCAGCCATGCCAATTGGAGGATTGGAGCTGAAAGCTGCATCCTGGGGCGATAGACAATATGGTGCTCGCGCTTTTACCAACGATTTAGGCCCGAAACTCCGCGTTGTGGAGCTGCTCAGCCACACACTGCTTGTCAACCTCAACTCTTCGGGTAGCGATTTTCATCTCATTGACAGCTCCGAGTGCTTTCGAAAGAGACAATTGCACGGCCGGAATGGTCTTCATCTCATACTAATTTCCAATCGACAAATCGTTTCTTACCCCAACGCGATATGTGCAGCCTTGGCGGATACGGCTTATCTCAAATGCGGCCTTCATCTTTATCGATATCCGATCGGGCTTCTCGACCTACTTGCTGGGTCTATACATGGTATCCGAATACATGTTACTACAGCGGTGGAGAGGTTGATTTCCTCTCTTTCTTTGCTTTTTCTTTTTCTTTTTTCCCTTCAGTCCCCCGAGATCCATAAGTCGACCTCTTCTTCCTTTTCCCGAACATGCCCAGGCTCACCAGGGAGTAGTAACGAAATCAGCCTGGTATCAATTCCACAGCGAACAACATCCATCGCCGTCGTCGCCTGGAGGCCTCGAATGCAAAATCATCGACAAAGAAAGATTTCAATCGACATGATTTGGCCGGACATGGACGCAATCTGGTGAGAAATCGCACACCATCTGCTCGTCGATCTGCCCACGCCACATCTGGCTTTGTGCCAACCTCAGCCTTGGTGGATACAGTTTCAGGCACACCGGGATATCCCATGTTCTATAAGGCCCTGCATTAACACGTCGGGGCGCAGAAGGAGCAAATCGGAATTGGTTCCGCGAGTGCACCCGGTAGACGTGGCATGGCAGAATTGAGCCAGTGGCTCTAAAAAAAAAACAATATGCATGGCGGCTGTCAGTGGGATCAGCAGTCCTTCTCGGCTAGCGGATCTGCCTGTACGCCATTGCTAGCCATGGACCAGTTCTCTCAGGGGCCAATAGGGGCGGCAGGGGAAGCAGGGTCGAGGCTCTAAATCAACAAAGAGCGGCTTCCGCTCCTACGTCGGTCAAGCCATAGCGCAAACCCTCGAAAGTTTACGACCTCGCGACAGTTCAATGTTCTTTGATGCGATTAGTGGTGTTCCATTGGCTTACGTCATCCAGGAGAAGGCGGTGACGCTCCTTACACGAACGGCCCCCTCCTTAAATCACACACTGCACAAGCAACCATCATCTCGTGCTGAGGACCATGAATTTTGATGCCTCGGACCTCCACTGGGAGAGACTTTACCAGGAAACCATTACCAAGTCCGGCTCTGTGAGCATGCCCGGCCCTTTGCGCCAGCCACGGCTTTGCTAACCTGCACTCCGAAGCGTCCGGGATGTGATGTTTGTTACCGGCTGAGCTGGGTGCTCAGGTGTCCTCGCGGGACGTCAGTGCACCTGAATCTCGGCGAGTTCACAACCGTCATCCAGCCATCCGCATGTCCCGCCCATGCTGCCCTCATCCGCCGAGACCGTTGGCCTGGCAAGGCGCAAATCCAGGATGTCCATGTCTGGAGGGGCCCGGAAGGCTCGAGCGCCCAGCTGGTCGGAATCAGCCCCCACGGCGACCAGATAGTCTCCGAATACCGGCTGGATCTACTCGAAGGCCGCGTGCAGGCCGCAGCAAGGAGCCCGGACCATGCTCCCGGGAAGAAGTACAGCATTGGCGACAAAGACTGGATTGACTCGGCATTGTTTCAGAGATGGATGAGGAGATGTCATCAAGAGCACGGTGATAGGTGCAATTTTATTGACTCCAAACTACCTTCCACCAGCCCTCGCTGGCTCGTTGACACACAGCGCCGATGTTTGGTCGAAGCCGAGCCGGGACAGCCTTACGTCGCGCTGAGCTACGTATGGGGCGCTGCTAATCAGTACAAGACGCTTCGGGAAGACCTCGAGCAGCTGCAACAGGAAGGCTACCTTGATGATGCCGGAGTTGCAATCCCTCGGACCATCCGAGATGCAATTGGGCTGGTGCCGCTGATAGGCGGGAGATACCTATGGGTCGACTCGCTCTGCATCCTGCAGGAAGACGGGGACGAGCTCTGGGACCAAATCCACGGCATGGCCTCCATATACGCAAATGCCACGGTAACCATCGTGGCGGCGCAGGGAGAAACTGCAGACTTTGGCCTGCGCGGAATCAAGGGCGTCTCGAAACCACGCAGCCTTTCGGATGAGGTGCACGCCCTCTGCGATGGCACCCAGATCTTGAGCTACGGAGACGGGTGGTTTTCCCAGCTCGTGCCGACAAAGTACGCCCATCGCGCGTGGACCTTCCAGGAATACCTCTTCTCCCGAAGAAAGATCATGTTCAAGGACGACTCGGTGTACTGGAAATGCGAAGCGGCCACCTGGGAAGAAGACATCGCGCAGATCCACTACCCGAGACTCGAGCTCGGCTTGGGATCGGCGTCGAGCATGGGCACGATGCTGCTGCCGCGCAAGCACAAGCTCCTGCAGCCAATACCCAGCCTGGCCGACTACGCCCGGCTGGTGTACGCGTTCAACACGAAGGAGCTCACGTATCCGGAAGACCTGCCCTACTCGTTCGCCGGCATGGCGACGATGCTGAGCCGCAGCTTCGCGGGCGGCATCATCTGCGGGCTGCCGGCCATGTTCTTCGACGTGGCGCTGCTCTGGGGGTCGCACGAGGCGTGCATGAAGCGGCGGGTGCCGCTGGCGGCGCAGGACGAGGCGGTCGACATCCTGCCGAGCTGGAGCTGGATGGGGTGGCAGGGGCGCATCGACGCCGAGGCGTGGCGCAGCGGCAACGACTGCCTGCTGCAGGCGCTGGGCGAGAGCCAGACGCACACGGTGCCGACGGTCGTGTGGTTCGTGCGCGAGAGCGTCGAGACGGACCTGATCAAGGTGGAGAGCACGTGGTGCAAGCACCGCACCGCCATCGAGGAGTACGGCGCCAAAGACACGGTGCCGCCGGGCTGGACGCGCCACCGCATCCCGCTGCGCGACCTCGTCCGCGGCGACTACGACCTGCTCAACCACCCGGACGGCCGCCCCTGGGCCTACCGCCACGCCTCGGCCCGCAAGCCCGACATCGACGAGTTCGCCCTGCACGACAACTACGCCTACCCCGTCCCGCTGGCCGATCATCAGGGCGCCGCCGGCCCCGCCGCCGCCCCCGCCGCCGCCGCCGCCGAGGAGCTGCAGCTCGTCGCCCCCAAGATCTTCACCCCGCTGCTGTCCGCCTGCACCGAGCGCACCTGGCTCTACCTCGGCCGCCGCGGGCCCGACCGCTCCGTCCAGGACGTCGAGACGCACGCCTGGCGCCGCATCCCCGGCCCTTTTTCCGTCGTCGACGCCGACGGCGAGTGGGTCGGCATCCTGCAGTCCAACTTCGAGGGCATCTGCGACATCGAGCCGCGGGGCCAGCGCATCGAGCTGGTGGCGCTGTCGAGGGGCTGGTGCTGGGAGGACGTCGAAGACGACGACGATGACGATGACAACGGCGGCGGCGATGGCGAAGGGGATGATGTCGTCGGCGGTGGGGGCAGCAGGAGCAGGAGCAACACGGGCATGAGCAGGAGCAGCAGCCGGGCGCGGATGCACGCCGCCAAGCGGAAGCCGATCGAGGAGTGGGACTACGAGAAGCGGCCGAGGAGCGGCGAGGAAAAGTACGAGTGGTACAACGTGCTGTGGATCGAGCGGCGGAAGGGGACGGCGTACCGGAAGAGCGTGGGGAGGGTGGAGCGGAGCGCGTGGGAGAGGCAGAGGAAGGACTCGACGTTTTTGAAGCTGGCATGATGTGATATAGTCTAGACGGCCGCCGTGCGGGGGGTGGATGATGCTCTGGGTCTGCAGGTTGCAGGGTGGATGAATGGATGGATGGTGTAAACGGCGCAATATGCAGGATATCAACTTGGACTTTATGAGATGTTTTCTTCTTCCTTCCCCTTTCCCTTTCCACCCTCGTAGATGCCGAGCGTTTGCAAAGTGTTGTGTTCGAACACGTCTCTTCGTGATGGTGGATGTCAAGGGGTGGGTCAACTGTGGCTTGCGACTAGGCTGCTTCGGGCTTTGTTGCCTGCGGGCTGCCTGGCATGGCCTAGGGAAGGATCCCGAGAAAGAGCAACTTATATAAACCAACCAACCAACCACACACACCCTTTTCCTCCTCCTCCTCCCTCACTCTCCCCCATCCCACCATGGACCGACTCCCCCCCGAAATCCTATCCCTGATCGTATCCTTCCTCGCCGACGATCCACCAGAAACCACATCCCCATCCCCATCCCCATCCCCATATTCCCCATCCAACCACTCCGCCCTCGCCCCCTACGCCCCCCTCTCCCGCCCCTGGCAAGCCGCCGTCGAGGCCGTCACCTTCCGCCGCCTGCGCGTGCAGAGCACCGAGCTCGCCGCCTTCGCCGCGCGCCTCGGCGGCAACAACAGTACAGACGCAGACGCGCGCCACGCGCACGCGCACCGCCACCGCCGCGCCGCCCTCGCCGAGCTCCGCTACGAAGTCCTCCTGCCTGGATACTCGACCGACCGCGCCGCCAAGTTCGAGCGGCGGCGGGAGCGCGAGGCGAATGCCGAGGTTTTTGGGGAGGCGGTGAGGGGGTTGTTTGGGGTGTTGGGGGGGTGGGAGAGGGAAGCGGAGGATCGGGATCGGGATCGGGAGGAGGGTCAGGAGAGGGATGGGGGGAGGGGGCGGGGAAGGGGTTGGAGTGGTGGTGCTGGTGGCAGAGGGATCGCGTTGCATCTGGGGGCGTATGCGGTGGCGGATGTGGAGAGGCCGAGGGCGTTGGACGGGTGGCGGGACCTCGGGGCGCGGCGGTACGGGAAGTCGGTGTTGAGGTTGCCGGGGGAGATGATGATGATGATGCTGGCGGGGGGTGGTGGTGACGGTGGTGTCGACGTGCCGGAGGTCCGGCGCATCGTCGCGTTTTGCACGCCTGGGGAGACTACTTGCACGAGGAAGTTGAGGGCGGCGTCGGTGGCTTGGATCGCGGCGCGGATGCCGAATCTGGAGAGGGTGGAGTGGGATTTGGATGACTGCGCGTTCGCGGAGGATGAGGTCAGGCATAGGTATCGGAAAGGTGGGTTCTTTCTTTCTTTCTTTCTTTTTCTTTTCTTTCGGCGGCAATGCAAATTTGTCGTGGAAAGATGGCGGAAGGGGGGAGAGAGAGAGGAGAGAATGAGAAAGACAGAGTCTGACACCACCACGCAGACTTCGCAGACGCCCTCTCGACAATCAGCAACAACCACCTAACATCATTCAACCTCCGCCTCCGCCTCGAAGACCCGCAGAACGACGCCTTCCGCATGCCCAGCGGCACCGACCCGGCCGCCGCCGCCGCCGACCCGGGCGTCGACGAGCTCAGCACCGCCCTCCACACCTTCCTCTCCACCGCCTCCAACCTCCTCTCCTTCAAACTCGCCCTGGCCCTCTCCCCCGCCATCTTCGGCCCCTCCCCCCACAACCAACCCCCCACCACCACCACCAACCCAAAATTCCCCCACCTCCACCACGCCTCCATCGCAACCGGCCGCACCACCCCCTCCGGCCACTGGCTCTACACCCGCGACCCCGACCCCGCCGCCGCCACCAACGCCGACGACGACGAACTAGCAGCGGCGGCGGCGGCGGACCCGCGCACGGCCTACAGCGACTACTCGTCCTCGGCCGACATGACGTCGTGGTCGTCGGACGTAAACGCCGGCCTCGTCGACCCGGACGACTCGGAGTGGGCCGAGACGTACCACGCGTGGCACGACGGCGTGGCGACGGGGCGGCGGCCGCGGCGGCGGTTCCGGTCGAGGGTGGACGCGGGGTTGTTGGAGGGGTTTTTGGGGCGCGCGGCGGGGGCCGTGATGGTTAGGACTGAGTATATGCCGCGGTTGAGGGGGTTGGTGGTGCAGGTGGGGGAGGAGGTGGAGGGTTGGGGTGGGCACGAGGGGGTGGAGAGGCAGGTTTATTGGGCGTGTTTTGATGATGGTGGTGGTGGCGGTGGCGGTGGCGGGAAGAGGAGGGTGGAGGTCGTCACGTTGCCCGGGGCTGGGAACGAGCATCCGGGGTGGAGGCCATCGGAGGGGTTGAGGGAGATGTGGGAGGAGTGGGTGGGCGAGGAGGGGAAGGTGGAGGTTTCTCTTTGCGAGGACAATTACTGAAGTGGGAGAAGAAGAAGAAGGCTTGGCTGCCTAAATTATTTGGAGGGGGATGGGGGTGTGTTACTTCCTCTTTTCTGGGCTTTATAATCGAATGGTCCGGATTCTTTTTACATGAGTTTGAGAGCCGTGTTTTTCTGATCCAGAGCTGGGACAGACTCATCTGATTTGCTCCGATATCAGCTTCAGAGCTCTTTCCCCATCTTCCCGATAACACCCCTGGATCACACGCCAAGTAACATATACCGATGAGAACCGGAAGGTTGCGCGTTTAGAGCCCCAGTCTTCGTTCTCCACTTAAATGAAGAGGAAGCTGAGGCAGTGATACAAAGAAACAGTCTCTTTCGTATCCTCTGTGGAATTAAAAAAAAATAGAATAAATGAATTAGAACGCCTCCCATTGCGATTTTACATCCCCTCAATCCATGATGGTAACGACATTAGTCCTCTTCAAATCGATCGGATCGTTGCATCATTTTTTTTCTTCCCTTCCCTGAAACCAAGAGTGCTCATAAAATCGGCAGCCGCGGCCCCACTTTCGGCCTGCGGAACCGAAAATCAACCATTCTTCTTCTTCTCCTTCTCCTTCTCCAGCCAACACTGTCCTGGTGTTTCAACGCCCTCCTCTTTTTTCTCCGCTCTCTCTCTCCATTTCACACCTCCGACTCCCTCACCCCACCCAACACCACCTTCCCACCACCCTTCTCCAAATCCTCCGCCTCCTCAACCCCCACCTTCTCCTCCTCCACCTCATCCATACTCCTCCTTGTCGTCGTCCTCGCCGCCCCCTCCTCCATCCTCCCCAGCACACCACCTCCCCTCCCCGCCGCCGCCGTCTTCTTCCCCTCCAACCTCGCCCTATCCCTCTCCATCTCCCCAATCAACCGACTCCTCTCCCTAATCCTCCCGCCATACCTATAAAACACAAACGGAATCGGCGCGATGCACAGCTCCAACACGCCCAGCAGCGTCCCCGCCCACTGCGGGCCCAACGCGGCATACAGCGCCGGCCCCGCGAGCGGCAGCGTCCCGCCGACGGCGGAGCGCAGCACGCTGTTGCCCGCGATGGCCGACGCCGCGAAGACGCCGTAGCAGCCGGCGAGGTAGCTGGTGGCGTAGATGAAGACGGCGCAGTTGCCCGCGCCGAAGGGCACGCCCGCGGCGACGGCGGCGAAGGCGCTCGTCGGCGGCCGGCACGTCCACGCGAACCACAGCTCGCCCAGGGGGATGAGCAGCGCGGCGACGCAGACGACGGCGACGGAGGCTTCCGGGGGGCGGGCGCCGGTGAGCGGGTCGGGCGGGTGCGCGTTGATGATGTAGCGGCGGAGGAGGGGCTCGGAGAAGATGGTGAGGAGGCCGCCGAGGCCGATGCCGACGTAGGCGAGGCCGGTGGCGCCGGGGGTCCAGCCGCGGAGGTCGGTGAAGATGATGGGGTAGGCGACGAAGCAGAGGTAGAGGATGGCGTAGACGATGGCGATGTAGAGGTTCCAGAATATGCTGGGGGTTGGTTGGCTGGTGAGAAGGGCGTGGTGTGGGGGAGAAGAGGGAGAGAGAGAGGGGGGGGAGGAAGGAGAGAGAGAGAGAGAATGCTGAAATGCGGCTTGGACTTACCAGATGGGCTCGGTCACGGCCATCACGAACGGCCGGGATAGGTTCGTCTTGAGCAGCGGCCAGAAGGCGGTCTTGTCGTCGTACCGGCACCACCACCGCGGGTTGCCCGTCTCCTCCCTCGTCCTGGCGGCGCGGTTGCGGAGGAGGGTTGGGGCGTATGTCTCCCTGACGAAGAGCATGAGGACTAAGCTTGCGCCGGAGCAGCACATGACGACCCAGTTGGTCCAGCGCCAACCGAGGTACTGGAACACGAAACCACCCATGACGGGCCCTTGCAGTCGAGAGTGTCAGTCTACATGGTGGATCTGACCATGGTGGTCGTGGCTGGCCTTACCTATCACGGGACCGTTCATGGGCCCAATGCTCCAGATGCTGAAGGCCAATGCGCGGTATTCATCCGAGACGATATCGCCAACCGTCCCAGGCGCATTGCTGATCATGGCCGAGCCAGCCAGGGCTCCGAAGAACCTCGTGAGCAAGACGGCTTCGAGGTTGCGGGCCAAGGCGCACGGGATGACGAGGATGGTGAACATGACCAGGCTGATGAGGTAGATGGGCCGGCGGCCGTACATTTCTGAAAGCGGGGCAAGGATGACGGAGCCAATGGCAAGGCCGAGGAGGTAGGTGGTGATTCCGAGGACGAGGAGCGTCTTGTTCGTGATGCCGAACGATTCCATCATACCTGGAATGCCGGCCGAGTATGAGGTGGAATACATTACGCTGCCACGGTCAGCTGGCCGAACGGAAAGGGCATGCTTTGGGACTGATGATGTGATACACGGTTCAACGAATACAGACGACATGCATACCGTGTGGTAGTCCTTGGCGACTAACAAGATAGCGAGGCGCATCACTTACACAGAAGTGGTAGAGAAAGACACGATGGCAATGATGCAGGATCGATACCATAGCGACCACTCTTTGGGATTCCCCTCGTCTCCATTTGGATCCCAGTCGACCTCGAAAGCCGGGTCAGAGGTCGCATTGGTTGCAATGGAAACGCCTGTTCTCATACGACTCAGGGCGCCTTCACTTTTGACGCTGGTTCTCGAGACGGTGGCCCTCAGGCCAAGGTCGCCGCCGATTTGGGTGATTTGCAAGGATTCGCGGCGGCGGGCAGAAGCGTCGTCGGACGAAACTGAGGAATCGGACGAGATTGACGAAGCGCGGTGTGGTATGTCCTCGGTGAGCTCCTTTTCCAGACCGGAGTCTGAAGCCAACGACTTTGAAGTTTCCCGTGCCATGACTGCTCCAGACGTGGGAAGCAACCAAGAAACGGGGTCGCAGAGTTTCGGGCCTGGGGCATGGAGGGGTTGCTGCGGGGCAGGGATTGGGGAGATTGGGGAGATTATAAATCGGGCCAAGTGATCGGTGAAGAAAGTGCACGCTACTGGGATGATGGAATGGGCGTTGGGCGGTGATAAGGATTCGGGTGCAGATGCTTAAGACCGTGGCGAAACAGCGAAAACAGCGAAGTGCGGGACGGGATCGTCATCAATCACTGGGGCTCGGCGGCATGGTGCGTGCAGGGGAGGCCTTTTGCAGGTACTAGGACGACTCGACGGACCCGGCCTGAGTAGTGGTGGCGTGGTCCAGAGACATATAGTGGAGGAACGAAGGAGAGTGGATGAATAGGGCATCTGGTGGGAGTCATGGAGCACGGTGAAGCATGCACGGGGAGGAAACGCCATTGCCAGCAAGGCGGATACCCAGGCCGTTTCCGTACTACACCCCCCTGCACCAGGCAGACAAAACATTTGGGGAGGGCGACGCGGCCTCAGTTGATGGAAAATGGGGTCAGGCGACTGGGTTGGTGGGCGCGGCTGATTTCCGCGCGGGAGTGAGGGAATATCAGGACCGGACCGGGGTCAAGATGGATGTGGCGTCGGCAGGATGGTCGCACTGCCGGGGAGGACTGCTGTGCGTGCGGGTGCACACGCGGGGCCAGAACAACGGCGGTCGCGGGCGAGGTCGGCGTCCGGGGGCGGCGTGCATCGCGCTGCGAATCCGGGGCGCGAGATGCAGACGCCGCCTTCCTGTGGAGAGGCGAGGGAGGGCAGGCGTGCAGGCTCCCGCATGCGTGCCGCTTAGCCGGTGGTGGTGGAGGTGCAGGGTGGGCTGGGCAGTGAGCTTAGCCCGGCTTTGGCTGCGATACCGGCCCGCACCCCGGCCACCTCTTTATCAATTGCGAGACACTCCCCTCCAGAGCCGCATCTTAATCCGAGCCTCCACCTCAACAACTACTGCTGCAACGCTCTGCCTCAGTGGCCACCCAGCACACCACCCCGCAGCTCCCCAACTCCTTTCGTCCGGCGCGCCAACTACCAGGCGCACCAACTACCATGCGCACCTTCCCAGCATGCGGTGAACACGCTGTACTCCGGTCTCTTGCCGTCTCGACTGCTCGACTGCTCCACCCTGCCCAGCATTCCCCCGCTTACCGTTCCTGGAAATATTATCAGACTGATCCGCAACCCATGTCTGACGCCCGCCCTCCCGGCCAACACCCTCCTGGGTCCTGACTCTCTCTCTCTCTCTTGGCGCTAGCCGGTTTAGGCAGTTGGTCACGAGAGGGCTACGTTTCATGCCAACATCCTGAGCGGGATACCGGCCGCACTGTCTCAAAAAAAGAAATACTCATGCATCATTGTCCTTTACCAAGAAGGGAAAAAAAGACTAAAACGGTATACAAAAAAGGTGGGCTACCCATATCCTTACACCCTCAGCTTTTCCAACAAGAATTCTCCCTTAAAAAAAAAACCACTCTCTCTAAACCCTCCCGCACCTCTCCCCTCAGTGCTTGAACTGATCCTCCGTCACGCCCTTGCCCATGGCAGCCGTCGAGCTCACGCCGCCGCTCACCATCTTCAGCATGTTGTCGACGTAGTTGGCGCCGCTCCACTTCTGGTGCGTGACGACGTCGACCTTGTTCTCCATCTCGGGCTCCTGGATCATCTCGCCGTACGCGGCCATGCCCTTCTTGGCAAAGGCCTTGCTGAACGTGTCGGCGATCAGCGCCGTCTGGTGCAGCCCCGCGAGCGTGATGAACTGCCAGCAGTAGCCCAGCGCCGCCAGCCGCTTGATGTACGTCTCCTGCTCGTCGCGCGGCATCGCCGCCTTCCAGTTGAACGAGGGCGAGAGGTTGTACGCGAGCCTGTCGGGCGGTCTTTGCGTCAGCAGTCTGTGTCTGTCTGGGAAGCGAGGAAGAACGAACGAAAGAACGAAAGAAAAGAGACTCACTTCTGCTCCGGCCACACGGCGTGCACGCCGTCGGCAAACTCCTTGGCCTGCTTGTAATCCGGCAGCTTGCTCTCCATCCAGATGAGGTCGGCGTACGGCGCGTACGCCACGGCGCGGTTGACGGCGCACTGGGTGCCGCCCTGGTAGCGGTAGTAGCCCTCGCGCGTGCGGGCCGCGTCCCAGTCGAAGAAGATGTCGACGCCGGTGATGCCCTTTGCGATGGCGCGCTGCTCGACGATGCTCTTGCCCTTGCTCTGCCGCGCGAAGGCGTCGACCAGCTCCTGCTTGTTGACGTGCACGCCCGCCTTGATGGTGTCGGCGACGGCCTCGTGGAACAGCTTCAGCCCGGCCTGGGCCGTCCACTGGTCCTCGATGGCCTGCAGCTGCTCGCCCGTCTTGCCCGCCTCCTCGGCCGCCCGCATCAGGTCGCCCAGCGGCTGCAGCGCCGCGTTGGTGCACCCGAGGATGAAGCCGTGGTCGCGCGGGTCGATGGTCGACGTGATGAGCGTCGCCGCTTCCGAGTCGGTGCGCGCGATGGCGAGGAGGTCCGAGCCTGCGGAGCGCCTTGCGTGTGAGTTTTTTTTGGCGTGCTCTCAATCATTCTCCAATATCTGACTCACCCATGATGTCTGCCTGCGCGCGGATGGCGACGAGGCGGTTGATGTGCTCGCTGATGGGCACGAGCACCTTGCCGGCCATGTGGCCGCACTTCTTGGTGCCGGGCGCCTGGTCCTCGATGTGGATGCCGGCGGCGCCCTTTTCGACGAACATCTTGGTCAGCTTCATGATGGCCGTCAGGCCGCCGTGGCCCGTGTCGGCGTCGGCGATGATGGGGCGCAGGTAGTCGACGTTGGCCAATTGGCCGCGCTTGTCCTTGGGCGTCGAGAGGCGCTCCTCGCGCTGTTTCCGGTCGTGGAAGAGCTGGGCGAACCAGAGGTGCTGGACCTTGTTGGGGACCGTGGTCTGGCGAGCGTCGCGGTCAGTCGACTACTACTACTAACTTGCAGCTGCTGACGTACCATGGGGTAGTCGGCAAGATCGGGGCCGGGCTCGTCCGACGACGAGGCGGTCGACGAGCATTGCCAGCCCGAGACGTAGACGGTGTCGATGTACTTGGCCATCTGCGAGACCATGACGGGGTCCAAGCAGCCGTAGGTGAAGCTAGCATCCTTGTTCTGTGGCGCGGCGGGTGGTCAGTCACGGCGGCACTTTTTTAGTGGGGCTTCCGTCAGAGCATGTGAAAATGGCATTCTTCCCGCGTACCTTGTACCTGCCCTCGACGGTCCTCCACAGCTTCTTGGACTGTTCGTTGCTGGGGTACTGGATCTTGAGGTTGCCGCGCTTGGTGGCAATCTGCTCGGCGGTGAAGGGGCGCCTGGTGTACCTCCACCGCGAGTCGGACCACCACTGCTGGATGGCCTGGACCTCCTGCTGGAAAGCCTGCTCCTCGGCGTCGATGGAGGGCATCTGGGGCAGCATGGTGCCGGTAGCCATGGTGGATCAGGCGTCAAGTCGTTGATTGATTTAGTGATGGAGACGAAAGGGCACGGGCGAGGGCGGAGAGAGGTGTTTTGGAGGGGAGGACAGCGGCACACGACAGGTATGACTTCACGGCAAGAAGACGGCGGGGGCTAGGGTGGCATATAAACGTCTTGGAGGCGTTGCGCAGCGCAGAGCAGGCCGAGCCATGGTCTGGTTCGGGTAGGGTCGGGTGAGAGGACTGGCAGCGCAGTGAACCATTAGACCGAGGCGAATTCTGGGGGAAGGCGCCTGATGGAGCAATGCGTAGTGCTTGGGGCGAAACAAGCGCCTTTGGCCCGAGGCCTGGGCGGCGGCGGCTGCGGGCTGCGATCCCTGCCAGGCATGTGGAGGGGTGTGCGGTCTGGGGGAACGGGGGAGAGAGCATGACGTTGCGCAGCCTCCGCCGCTCCAGACATGTGAAAGCAGAAGGGCGCCGCAGCCTCTCTTCTAAAAGGCGCGCTGCCCGCCCAAGCTCTGCGTCCGAGACCTGCCCACCGTGGATGCTGTCCTGCCTCCCGCACCCCCCTCCCCCCCCCTTTGCGGCAGCCACGTGTCGCAGCTGGTCGCGGCGCTGGGCTCATCAGGTTCGTGGGGTTTGCTCGCAGGTGGCAGCGCTCCAGCGGAAACTAACACACCTCGGCTATCCGGATCCCCGTCGATGCGCTAAGCCGACTGCGGCCCCCCGTCCCCCAACTGTCAACCGAGCAACCCTGATTTGACTCATGTCTGATCTCCGTTGATGCTTGCGTGCTGCCTGCGACATGATGTTGTTGCAGAGAAGACTCGCGGGCCATGTGCCTGCAGCATGCCGTCAGCCAGCCTCCAGACGCCCCCACCGAGATGCAGCCCGCTTCCCAATTGCGCACCTTTCCCAGCACTGCGGGCACGATAGATTGAGACAACATGCACGTGTATGTATGCCGACTATTACGGGAAGACGATGCGCCTGACGCATCTCACCTTAAAACTAACAACAGTCTATCGAATTTCACGAACAGTATTACAATGGTTCCGTCTCTCCTTCTATAAATCGTTATAATCAAAGAATTTCATCGGCAGAAGCGAATGAAACCGGGGTATCTTCTCTTTCCCACCCGACCATGTCCAATTTCCAGACCCCGCCCCGTTGCCAAAAGATCCCCCACTCTAATTCCAGAGCCTCATCCGGCAAACCCCACAGCCCCAAACTCCCGCAGATGCAGGGGTAAAAATAGAAAGAAGAAATAGAAAGAAAAAAGGAAGAAAAAGGAATAAACCAAACCAAACCAAACCCAACATCCCCACCACTCTCCCAGGAAGCAATATCCCTAGTCCCCTCTTCTCGCAACAACCCTCACCCACCCACCTACCCAACCCGCACCAACCCCTCGACCTCCCCCCTCCACTCCCCCGCCCCCGCCCTCTTCTCCACACTCTTGACCAACCCCCTCCTCAACCACCTCTCCCAATCCCACGCCTCACCACCACCATCACCACCACCATCACCCCCCCTATCATCCCCCCCATCCCTCCTCCTGCTGGTAACCCACATCCCCCCCACCGCCCCCTTCACCCGCCCGAACCGTCCCCTTGGCACCTCGCGCGCGAACCCCACCGCGTCCCCGCACTTGACCATCTCGCGCTTGCGGAACGGGTTGCCCGCCGCGAGCGCCTCGAACGGGCTCTCGCCGAGGACGACGCAGACGAGCGAGACGCCGAGCGCGTAGACGTCCGACGCGGGCGACGGCGACGATAGTAGTGCCGGCCGGGAGCAGAGCTCGGGCGCGAGGAAGTCCCATGTGCCGCCGGCGAGGTGGGCGGGCGGGGCGGTTGCGGGGGCGGTTGCGGAGGGGGTTGCGGTCGAAGAAGAAGGAGAAGGCGAAAGTGGCGGCGATGATGAGGAGGAGGATGGTGGTGCGGAATCAAAGGGCGACGACGGAAAAGGCCGGATGGGGATGGCGGCGCTGAAGTCGGTGTACAGCGGCTCGAAGTCCATGATCGAGACGACCTCGTCATCGTCATCGTCATCGTCGACTTCATCTCCGTTCTCTTTCCCAACACCACCATTCCCCTCGTTCCAGCTGCTGTCACGACGACGCCGGCAGCGCACCAGCATCGACGGCCGCCCCAACGACGCCGCCGCATCCGCACCCGCACCCGCACCCGCCCTCTCCGCCTGGAACGGCACCAACCGCCGCCTGATCATCGCCTCCGCCGTGCCCTCCCCCCTCGGCCGCAGCAAAATGTTCGACGGCTTCACGTCCGCGTGCACCACGCCCGCCTCCTCGTGCAGCCACTGCAAGCCCGCCAGCAGCCGCGTCGCCAGCCGCGGCAACAGCTCGGCGACGAGCCTCGCCCGCGCCGCCTCTCCCTTTGCATCATTGACGACAACAACGCCGCGGCCGCCGCTGATACTACCGCTGCTGCTGAAAGACGACGACGGCCGCAGCGACGCCAGGTCCTGCAGGTCCCCGCGGATGAGGTCGTCGAGCGTCAGGGGCAGCGCTTGCATCAGGAGGCTGCCGCTGCGGGGGTCGAGGCCGAGGAAGGGGACCATGAAGTCCGTGGGGGCCGCCGGGCGTGTTTCGGATCGATCTTTGATGTCGCTGCTGCCGCCGCCGCTGCTGCTGCTGCGGCTGTTTCTGTTGGCCGACGCGGCGACGATGTGCGTGAGCATGCGCGCCTCGGAGCGGATGACGCTGAAGGCGGCGCGGGCGGCGGGTGCTTTGATGGCCCAGATCGCCGGGGGTGGAGGGGCGGCAGTGGTGGTAGGAGTGGTAGTAGTAGTGTTGGTAGATGGGGGAGGAGGAGGAGAGGATGAAGAAGACGGGCGGTTGTTGCCGGTGGTGGTGGGTTCGGTGGCGGCGGTGCTGCTGGAGAATTGCGTCATGTATGAATCCGTCGACGAGACCGAGTTCGATTGGCCGCGCCGCCGGATGGGCGTCGGCGGAGGGGTCCATGGTGGTGCGGCCGCCGGTGTTTCTTTCGATGCCATGTATTGCTGTGCGTTGCTTGTCGGTGACTGTCTTCCGGCCGTGTTCGGGGTCGCCAGGTAGACGGAGCTCCAGAGCCCGGTGCCGATGGGTGCCTCGTGCATGATGGTGTAGGGGGTCGAGTTCTCCCACACTCCGTCTGGGGAGGTGTAGAGATATGATGAGGGAGGGGCCATGGCGGGGGTGGACGCGGCGGGGAGGATGGTGTTGGCAATGGTCATGGAGGTATTTATGGTGGGTGACAGGGCGGGTAAACTATGTTTGTGACCGCGGGCGCAGGATGCGGTGTGGTCGCTCCGGATTGGCAGAGTGGTGAAGCGGGGGCTTGTGGGTGTGGCCGGCGGAGTCACGGTGGAGTCGCCGTGACCACTGGAGAGCGCCATTTTCGGTGGAGGCGAAGATCCGTAGGTGCTCAAAAGCAGGTTTGATGGATCTTGAGCACGGCGGTCCCGGGTGACAGCAGTGGGTAGCAATGCAGCGGGTTGTTCGCGCAGGGGACTCGCAGAAGGCGAGTCTCTCACAGGATCAGTAGGTGGGAGGAGTTGCAAGCGGCTAGGTCCATGATGGTACATGTGTGTGCGTCCAGAGGCGACTGTTCCAGGACCAGGTGACGGTGTGACGGGCCCGGCGAGTTGTTGAGGCGGGCTGCGCGGGAAGGTCTTGGGTAAATGCACCCTTTGCAGCGGGTGGAATGCGAGCAGAGCAGCGCGCCAGAAGCCAGATCTGCCCTGTCACTCTGGTCGAGAAAATTTTCAGAGGGTCGCGCCAAAATGCCGGCGAAATGTGCAGATTGCCGACGTTGGAGCTGGGCTTCTACGCGGCTATCACAGCGGCGTGCTGCGGTGGTCGTGCAGCTAGACTATATAGCGGCGGCCGCCATGACGGAAGGACGCAGTAGCAGCAGCGGATCACACGTCAGACGACATTCAACGCAGCCGGACGGCCAGACCTGACGAGCACCAGCGCGGCGCGGCGAGGGAGAGGGCGGGAAAGAATAGGTAGGGCTTGGAGCCTGCTCGCGGAAATTTTGGGGCGAGATACGCCAGATAAACGGGCTCGTCGGCAGCGCCCCTTCCTATCTCTGGTATCGCCTCGACTCCAGACTCGACCAGAAGAAGGATCAAAAAGGCAGATGCAGATCCGCGGCCGCGCACGCCCAGCCCAGCCCTGGCACCTGGCTCCACGCCCGCTCTGCTGCCCGCCAGTCGCCGACCGCGTGCCCGCCGCCATTGGCTTAAATCGCTCCGTCCGACCCCTTCCTGCTACACGCAACCACGTCGTCGTCTCACCACTTGCTTGCGGCCGCCGCCTTCCCCGCACCGCGTGCATCGACGATGCCCCCCGATGGCGAGGGCGAGAGTCAGCGCTCCGCCGCGGTCCCCGGCATCGCCAGCCCTCTCCCGACCGAGTCGCGGAGATTTGAGGAAAAAAGCCTTTAATGACGTCTATCGTGACTTGCTTGGCACGCGGTGCCCCCCATTTCGGCAAGTCGCTATTTGACAGGTCCACAGATGGTCGTCTTGCCAGCCGCATCGAGCTGTGATTGGCATGGGCCAGCGGGCGGACCTGCGCCGCCGCAAAACTCCGCCCTTCATCAGCTCTCCACCCTCCGCCCCCCCCGTCCCCAACCGCTGGCGCCCACGCCGCATGCAGGTACAGCTAGTGCCGTCACCATCCATCACGCCTCTCGCGCCCAGCCCTCCCCAGCCCTCCCCAGCCCTCCCCTGCACTCGATAACCGTGCCGATAAGCTGCGTTGATCATCACGGCACTGTGTCTGGACGGGAGAAGGCTCTGTATTATTTTCGGTAGATGATATTCAGCCGACCTTGAGCCTAACTGCTTTGCCTTTTATCCAATACAAAGCGCCCGTTACCCTGCGATGAAAAGCCCCCCTAGCTGGTCGCCTCCCATACAGGATGGCGGCTTGTAGAATTCCCTAAAGTACCCAAGTAGACTCGTGCCAGTGCCCTAAAGGGCAAGAGTGAGAAGAGAGAGGTGTAAAGCTATTTGATCGTAGTAGAGGTTATGCGCAAGGCCCATGTGCATGCAGCAACGAGAATCGGAACCTGGGCTGGGTATTCCAGGACTAGTGAAAACGAAGAAAGCCAAAAAGCCGCCACTCGCGCGTACACGGTGGCCCTGTTTTGAATAAATAAAAAAAGACGACCAAGGAAATGTAGAGGCAGTGACACACAAAGCAAAACGAAACTCAAAGGGAAAAAACACCGCCTAGATGCGTGGTGATATCGCGTTTGTACAAAACAGGAAAAGCAGTCCGTTAAAAGAAAACCTCCACGCTTGAATTATCGTCATCCATCATCATACTCGTCAGCTCGGGCCGCGATTAAAGGGTGGGCTCTTTCTCATGCCCCCCCAGAAACTCCCCGCTGCCCGCTGCACGAGTCGATGATTTGATCTTCAGTTCAATGGTCGTAGCCGGCACCTCTCTGCCACGGGCTGGCGTTGTTCTGTGTTCTGAACCTGTCGCCGCCCGGGCCATTGGGTGATGCGTACGACGGCGGCGGGCCTGTCCTGTTGTCTCCGTTGGCCGGGAACATGGGTACCGATGGGTCCACGGGGCTGCGCGGAGCACCATAGTAGCCCGCCTCAGCGCCCTTCGGCTGGTTGTGCGATCCCGACGAAAACGACTCCTCGTCGTCGTCGTCGATGCCGGTGCGCTTGTACGGCCCCGTCTTTCCTTCGCCACGCGCAGTCGCTCCCAACGCATCGAGCTCCGTCGTGAGTTGCGTCTGAGACTTGATAAACGAACCCCTGTCGTCGCGCATGGGCTGGTAACGGGTGTCGGGGTTCTTGGAGGTAAGTGCGAAATACGACGACGCAAGGACCATGATGAGCAGAACGAGCGCGAACACGGCGTTGTAGACGAAAAAGATCACGCCCATGACACCAGTAACGAGTCCCTGTTGGAATATTAGCGTTGCGATCTTCAGGGCGAAATTACGTTATGCCTTAGCTTACCGGTTGGTTGAAAATGCCCGTGAAAACCAGGAGGAAAATGGCACTAAGGAAGTTGAGCGCCGAGATGGCAATGTTGAACGCGTTCGTCTTCTTGTCCATGTACGGGCGCAGAATGCTGACCGCAATAAGCATACCCGCCTCGAGGAGAACCAGTGCGATCGCCTGAGTAGTTCCGCTTCCCTGTCCCAGGGCAATGAACATGCCCTTGACCAGAGTGAAGGACAGGACAGGCACGATAAAGTAGTAGGCCGTGGCCTTGAACTGGACGTAAAGGAAGCCCCACTTGTTCAGCGAGACCGGGTCCGAGTACAGGATGTAGGCCGGGTTCTTGTGCATCGAGATGGATCTTTGCGCAATGCGAATGACCTTGGAAGAGGCCCACCCGAGAATGCAAACCATCGTGACGATCGTAAAGATGGCGAGAACGATTTCCGCAGCCGAGTCCTTCATTGTAAGTTCCCAGAAGCAGAGCACAACCATTTGAGGGAAACCGATCAGGACCTGTTACGACGTTAGCGGGCGGGTCAGCACAAGCGCTAAACATGATCACTTACGATGCGGAAGAGGATTCCCTTCAGGACGGTCAACCAACCGTTCCTGAACTCCTGGAACTTCGTGCCAGACATCTTTCCATTCTTGGCCAGAAGCTCGAGGAATCCCTTGAAGAGGGCCACGCCCAAGACGACGACGATGACGAAGATGATGAAGAAGGCATATCCAGTCAGGAAGATGTTGGTGAGCTCGATGTTGGCGCGGAAACCAACTCTCTCAATGCCATGAACCGTAACGGTGCTAGTGGTCTCGGCCTGATTGACCTCGTTGTTGCTTCGCCCGATCAAAGCGCGCTTGGCAAACCTCTTGGCAACATCAAGCGAACGCTTCTGCACATCGACGGAAGTAGTCGCCAGACTCGAAAGCACGGTCGAGGGGGTTCCTCCGGTCGCGCGCTGGTACCAGGTGGCCATCTCCTGCAGGAAGCGAACGTGAATGATACCCATGCTCCATTGGAAGTTCTGCGTCCACGAGGCGACAATAGGGGGGAGCTCCACAGCAGTCATGCCGATGTAAGCTTGGGCCTGGAAATAGCCGAAAAGCGAGAGCGCGTTCGAAGCGACATGGGCAGCAGTGTTGGAGTGTCCGAGTCCGGATGTGATGGCCGAGGCCGCGAGACCAGAACCGGCAATGACAGCAGTGACCCAACCGACACCCTTCTGGTAGACGGTCTTTCCGTTGGACAGTTCGGCCTCGACGCAGGCAAGCGGGCGGCCGGTATCAGTGTCGTTGATGTAAATCTGGACCTTACCGTCGAGATCGGGGACAGTGTAGGCAATGTCTGCGAACGTCAGCACTCTGTTGGACGGCCGACACGGGCGACGCGGCTCTCCACAACTGCCAGATACTTACTGGGGACGTTTTCGATGGCGTCGGCCTCAAGGGGCAGGTTCGACTTGATGTTGATCTGGCCAGTGTTCATGGGGCAGAGACCCTTCAAATCGGCGCTGTCACAGGGATCCAACGTCTTTTGCAGCGCACGGAAACCATAGGCGAAGACCTCCAAGTCGGCGGTGACATTTCCAGAGATATCCGAGACTCCGACAATGTTGAAGGAAAGGGTGGCGTTGTCGGGGGTGAAGACGACGTTGAAGAGGGTTGCGGAGAAGCTGGAGTTGGCCATGCACGGGTTGAGCGACTTGGACTCAATGAGGCGCTCGGCGGAAGCGGTGGGCAGCAGCGCGGCCAGCGCTGACAGGGCGCCGGCGAACAGCGAGGATCTCATGTTGCAGAGAGGGCGGAGCGGGAGCAGGTGGGTGGTCGCGAGGGAGCAGAGGCGGTGATGCGCCGCCTCCTGGAGCGGGTACTCGGGCGAGTACAATTAAAGCGGATGCGCCAAACCAGCAGCGGTCGATCCGGAGAATGCGGGAGGGCGTGGGTGGCTTGGGGGGTGAGCGAGAGATGGGGTCGGGGAAGCAGGTCAAGTGAGCGGTGGCTGGGCAGCGGGCGCGGTTGGCTGAGGCGTGCGTGGAATGATGCGCGAAGCAGGTGTAGGTTGCTGCGACGATGACAAGGCCGACCTCCCAAAACCGGGAAGAAGAAAGGGCGGGCTGGGCGAAGGCAAGTGACGCTTTCGATCGAGCCTAGCGCGAGTAACGACCGTGGGAGAGAAGGTTGCGCAGGTGACGCTGCTCGCTCGCGGCGCCGGGGAGTTGAAGACGAGGAGGAGACGAGCACTGGGCAAAGGAAATCGTGGTGGTTGGTGGTGAATGAGCGGACGGGGTCTGGCGAGTGCGCGGCCTGGGACGCTCCTGAGGGCGTCGGGCGGGACGTATTGGGGCTGAGCAGGCGTGTCTGACACTCCGGGCAGCGGAAGAGTGAGGAATGCGCCAGCGACGGGTGCGCCCTAGACGGTCAGGGGCCTGCTCTGGCGTGCTCTGCCGCGCGCGGTTTTTCGTATTACCGTAATTAAACACAAGCTGGTACACGACACGCGGCGCTAGCGGTCTTTCGCAGCGATCTTCTTGTGGGGTTTGGAGGATGGCCCAACTGCCCCTTCGCCGCCGTCGCAGCTGCCCGCCCGGCCGTTACAGGAGCGGCGCTGGCCTTGGGCGCGCGCGCGTTCCAGCACCCTCTCTTCCTTGCGCGCGAGAGATTGCCATCGGCGCCCGCGGCCAGCGGCGCGCAACATAGCCACAGCCCTGCGCACCCTGCAGGCACGGCGCACAACCCGCCCGGTTCTCCGCACCCAATTCCCTCCCAAGCCCGCCCAGGGCGACTCTGCCGCGCTGCCGTCTTGTCCCCCTCTGGTCCTCCGCGACCCCTCCTCTCGTACCCGTACTTCGTACCGCCTGCCGCCCGCCGCGAGCGCGTCTCCGGCTGCCAGCACGCGCTGCGCGGCTGCGCGCGTCGTCGTGCGGCAACGCGCGCCGCCTCCCACGGGCTTGGAGGCCCAGCAGCCAAGGCCCAGCAGCCAAGGCCCCCATCCGTGCGTCATCGCCGTCGCCACCCCGATTGCGCTCTGCAGTTACGAGACGCCCTGCACCCGCCATCCCAGCCGTACCATCACTTCTATATTTGTCCCCCGCCAGCTGGCTGCCTCTTGAAAGGCGCGCTGCAGCCAGCCCATCACCATCACCAACATCATCATCGCTGCTTGATCATCCCGCAGCGATCGCCCTGCGCCGGGGTTGCCCTTCTCCGCCTGGTGCCAGACGCCAGCAATCCTGCCGCGACCGCATCGGGCCCGCCAGCCCACCGGCCTCAGACCCAGTCTGCTGATCAGCGGAGTCGGTCGTTGGGCCAGCCCTTGTCTGATTGCGTACCACGCAAATCATGGCACAACAACCCACCCACCGCCGCGGGCTCACGATGATGAAGTAGGGACCGCCTTCCCTTCGAACCGTTTTGGCCCAGCACTGCCTGGCTTGAACTTTCTTTCTGAGCAACACCTGCATTCCCGGGCCCCGACTGGCCCGCGTCGTCGCGCCGCACCGGCGCCATCCTGCAGTTCGGCCGCACGCACCCCAGCCAATCGCTGGAATTATTGAGGCTCTTTATTGCAAAAGTGGCTCCCCAGAGCGCACCAATCGTTGCGCGTGGCGGCTAGCGACGAAGATGAGACGCTGACCAGATTCTGCGTGCGGCTTGGCGACGTGAAGAAAGTTCCCCGTCAATGCGGTTCCCTTTTAGAAGCGAGCATTTGCCGCTCGCTGTGCCTCATGCCCAAACCCTATTTGCGGGAGGACAAAACGCTCTGACATTCCGCCGCTGATGCCGAGCGGCCGTCGCGACGGTCGAACTCTGCGCGTTTGGTGGTATAGCTGCCTCGGTCCCTTTTTCATTTCGATGACCTCTAGTGAGCTTCCCGGCACCTTCTGTCGCCGAACCCCCTCCCCGCCGTTACCGAGGGGAACAGATACGTGGGACTAACGTCTGGAATCCAGATACTATTTTGGGACGAGCTAGTTATGTATCAGAATTCGGCTCGGGCTAGGCGCAAATGGAGCCGCCTCGCTGCGAAGCTACACACCACTGCTGGCATTTCATCACGGCACTTACCACTAACGGTGGGGTTGGTCGCGCGCTAGGCCCGTATGCTAGAGGGAACAATATTCAGAATCCGTTGAAGGGGGCTCGTCAGCGCGGGCTCAGCCTCCCGCACGAGATTGGCTCATAAAGAATGCGACGGCTGAGCCACCATCATTGACATTTGAACCGCTGGCCCGGGCGTCGGCTTCCAGAAGCATTTACAGAATCGACATACGCGGCCAGGCAGAATTTTCAAGCCGCCTCGCAAACGACGCCGTGAAGGCACAAGGCGCACTCGTGTTCCCGACATTATTCAATGGCTTACTGCATTTTCTATCGCTAACGCCAGGCCGCCGGCATCCGCCAGAGCATCTGGCTCTCATTAAAGGACGAAGAGACGTCTGCATACCCGAACTCCTTACTCCCTTTTTTCCCGTGCCGTCGATTCAAGCAAAACATCTCTTTCCACATGACATTGGTGGGGAGAACGCGCGTCTCAGTGCTTGAATCTCTTGGCTTGGTGAGGCTGGCTACCGTAGCCTCTTCTGCCCTCCTGCTTCCTGTCCCTCATGCTGGAGCCGAGCTGAATATCGACCCGCGGAGGGGCAGTGAAGCCGAAACTGCGTGCCACCTTCTTCAGGTCCAGCTTCTCCACCGAGTAGATGCTGCGCAGACTGTGACTGGCATAGGCGTTGAGGTACGATCGGAACGCCTCCTTGGCAGACTTGTTGAGATAGTAGTTGCTGGAAATCAGCTTCTCGAGCTGGCTCTGGATGTTGAGCAGCTTCTTCTCGGGGAAGTCGAATTCGGTGAGCTCAACCCTCGCTTCCCGGAGCACCTTGATGAAGCCCACTTCCGACGGGTTCAGGACCAGGAGACAACGTCCGCTCTTGCCTGCTCTCGCCGTACGTCCGGCGCGATGAATGAAGCTCCGTGCATCATCAGGGGGGTCCAGCTGGATGACCCAGTCCACGGCAGGGATATCAAGGCCACGAGCTGCCACGTCGGTCGCGATCAGACAGCCAGCTTGGCTGTTGGCGAACTCGAAGAAGGTGGCCGTGCGTTTTTGCTGCTTCATCTTTCCCGAAAGACCCAGTACAGGCAGGTCAATGTAGTTGAGCAGACTCGTGAGGTATTCGACTGTAGACAATCAGCATAACGAAGAATCACGAGCGGAGTCGGAAGGGCTTACCAGATGCACATGAGCTCGTGAAAACGATGACCTTCTTCTTCTGGTGCTTCTTCAAAAACGTGAAAAGCAATCTGAACCGGAGGTCCGAGTCGCACACGACGAAGCCCAAGTCCAAGCCGTCAGCGGTAGCATGCTCCTTGTAGTGGTCCACTGAGATGAAGAGCGGGCCGGGCTTGAGCGAGATTCTGGCAAGGTCCTCGACCTTGGTGGTTTGGGTTGCAGAGAACAGCGCTAAAGAATGTCAGCATTACAAGCTAACAGGAATACCTTTTTGGCTTACCGGTTTGACGCGTTTGGGGGTTACCCAGGATCTTCGCTATCTGGCGCATTTCATCTTCAAATCCAGTTTCCAAAATTCTATCGGCTTCATCCAGGACAAGTGTACGCAGGTTCTTGAACACAAAACCGGGGGTATTTTGCAGGTGGTCGAGAAGTCTACCAGGGGTGGCTGGAATAAAGTCAGTCAATCGAGCGTAACACTTGGAGAAAACACGAATGGAAACTCAAGGTGAACGCGCGTGTCTGAGAATAGACATAGAAGAGGGCCAGCTTACCAATAAGAAGGTTTACGCCCTTCTCGAGCTTGAACTGCTCAGCCTTACGGTTGGCACCGCCCATAACTATTGGAAAGTCAGGTTACCATTATTCAATCACCCCCTCAACAGAGACAAACCTATGCCAAAAGTCTGTGTATGATGCTCCATGAGCTCGCGCGCGACGCCGAATATTTGCAATGCCAGCTCTCTGGTGGGGCTAATGACAATTGCGCCAGTGCCGTTACGGGGCTTGAAGCGGAGGCTGTGTAGCATCTCGACGACGGGAATGAGGAAGGCCAGAGTCTAGAGTACAGTGAGCTTCTGAGAACTAGTCAAGCTCTGCAGCATTTTGCATACCTTGCCGGATCCAGTTTTCGCCTGTGTCGAAGTCAGTAGAGCTCTGCGCAGCACAATTCAGAGATTACTTACCGCACCAAGGAGATCCTTGCCGGCCAGAAGAGGTGGAATACCCTTGGACTGAATCTCGGTCATGTTGTCAAAGCCCATTTCCTTAATAGCCTGTTGGGTCTTCTCCGACAGATTCAGGTCCGCAAACTTCTTCGGCTCTGCTCCGTCCACAGCGGGTAGCGATAGCTGGGATTCAAAAGCCTGGGTAGCTGCATTGTCCAGCTCTGCATCGCCCTCGTTGTCGCTATCGTCTGCCGGAGACTTGTCGTCCTCATCGTTGCCATCCTCCGGCTCGCTCTCCTCGGGAGCAACGTCTTCGACGGCAACGTCTTCGACGGGGACGTCGCTCTCCTCATCGGTTTCGGGAGCCTTCCTCTTCGTCGCCTTCTCGGACTTCTTGGTGGATTTTTTCGACGACTTCTTGGGCGCGGGCGCGACTTCGGTCACGGTAGTTTCGGTCTCTTCAACCTCGGGCGCCTTCTTGCTGCCCTTGCGCTTGCGCTTCTTGGAATCGGCAATGTCTATGGGCGACATGTCTGCGGTACGAGCCTGTGGCGTTCGGAGCGGTGCTAGGCGTGGGCGGTCTTCTGGCGCAGCGTGCAGTTGCGCTTGAACGCGGAGGTAAGTTTTCTGCGGCCATGTAGAAAATCCATCGGCAAGTCGGCGTTTGCTGAGGCGCTTGGCCGGAAATGTCATAGTGCAGACGGGGGATCCCTGTACATTCCGGCAGTGATGATCTAACGTCTCCGGCTTCATGTCAAAGTCACCACTCCATCCCCCGCATGTCTTCACCTGTTTTTGGCGACACGGGCACTGCTCGCTCAAGCGTGCCGTTTTCCCAGCTTGTGGTTGTTCTGGCAGTTGCAAGCGCCATTTCACTCTTCCAAAACATCACACCTAAAGTCGTTGCCGCCAGCTACTCCATCTGCGCCACGCTATGGCTCTTCAGACTCGTATCCCGCGACGCAACTGCAATCGTCGACAGCTTTACCTTGGTCGTTCTCTCAGAATTCGGCGATTTGTCTCTGATTACGAAAGTCTTTGAGCTCACATCTGGATATGTTATCACCACTCTCGCTGCCATATTCTCGGCTTTTTTGATTGTCACGGTTTTGAGATCGGCACTGCTTTTCAGGAGCAGCGACAGCGAACACGGCATCCAAGCCGAATTCCAGGCTCCTGGAAAATGTTACAGACCGCTTCTATTTCCATGCCGTACTACACACACTCGAATGTTCCCCAAGAAGCATTCCTTCGCATACTCGTATCTTCTTGTCGGTGTCCCGGTTGGCCCAGAGGAAAACGATCACCTAAACACGTCCATGATATCAGTTGATGCCGAGTCTTCATCTGGTGCATCGAGAACAAAAGGATGGTTTCATATCCGGGGATCAGACTACCTCGAGCGTGGTGGTGAGAACGTGAGCCTTAAAGCAAAGCTGACGCAATACTTACAGTCTCAGGTATGCACGTACATCTTCGTCAACCAGACGCAAGCTAACAGGTACAGGGAATCTCCGACGGAGAATGGCATCATGCCTACCTTGTGACGGCAGCAAAATTCCTTGGATATTCCTTCAACCCTGTTTCCTTCTGGTACATCTACTCCGCGAGTCATCAGCTCGTCATGATGATTTTGGAAGTAAACAACACCTTTGGTGAGAGGCGCATGTACCTCCTCAAAGGCTCGAGTCATGATGTTGGCGATTTGTGTGACGAAAATGGCACGACTGGACACGCCAAACAAGCTACAAAGTTCACGGACGCTTGGGTCAAGGACTTCCACGTGTCTCCATTCAATTCTCGAAAGGGATCCTATTCCTTGACTGCCGTTGATCCGTTCAATACGGTGCAAGGAGTTTCCCCTCGTATTGACAACAACATTGTTCTTCGATCATCCAAACAGCACCCAAAACTTGTAGCGCGGGTATTCTCAGACGGTGCACCACAAGACCCTAACAGGTTATCTATACGGCAAGCGTTGTACTTCATTGGCAACTGGTGGTGGGTGGGCCTGGTCACGTTCCCAAGAATCGTAAAGGAAGCGTACAAGCTTTACTTTTGGCGAAGCCTTGAGGTGTTCTTTCGCCCGGAAGTCGTGCCTACAAGTATCGGCCGGGATTCCACGACCATCGAAAGGTAGGTCCATCCTATCGTCTCTAGAAGGCTGTTCATTAACCCGGTCTTTTTAGGCATCTAGAATCTTTCTTCCGTCGGTACCTTGATTACCTTGTCAGCCGGACAGACCAATCTGTTCGGGTTTCCTACACACCCGCGCCGGGGCTTGGTGAGCCCCACGAGTTTTTCTCGTCCAGTGCAAAGGAAGATCAATCTTCCAAGTCTTTGGAAATCAATGTAACCAGCCCGGCCTTCTATAGCCGGTTTGTGCACTACTATCACACATCCGAGGCTTTGGACCGCGAATCTCTCTTTGCCGATGAGAAGAACAAGACTGCATGGATATCAAACCCGCAGGCACTAAAGCTACTGCCCCTGAACCGTCCGAGATACGTCGAGCCACCGCAGCTCAAATTCTCGCGAGCAAGGAGCGCTATTGGTTGGCACCTTCTCCGCAGACTGCGCTGTCCGCCAGCAGCACCAAGCTATCCAGCCTCCGTACAAGGTTCTGATCCGGCTTTCGTCCGCGAAGACATCAGGCCGAAAGGGTTTGCAACGTGCGATGAATACGTCATGCGGAACTGCCACGATGCCTGGCTGTATAAGCGCTGTCTACTCAAGCTCTTCCTGGCGCAGAGGTTCGGGCTGGGGTTTACCGAGATGGTCGACTTGCTCGACCTCATTGTCAGGGTCTGCCTAATCGTGGGCGTTCTCAGTGTAGTATCAAGTGATCTGCAGGCACGTGGCGCGGAGGATGCAGGATCGGCGGTGCCAAAGATTCTCGGACTCAACACCGTTCACGCTTGGAGCCTGATCAAAGAAGCAATCTGAAATTGTGGCCTTGGAACTTTCTAGATTATTGATAGAACGCCTTAATTAGACTATCGTTTCCCTACCGGTCACTTCGGGTGATGGCTTTGATCTATAGTAGCCCCGGTGCGTGCCCGCTTCAATTAAACGTGCTTGGGCCACCCACATACCATATGCAAGGCAGACTTCAATCGTTTCGGTTCGGCTGAGCTTGTCTCCTTGATACAAACCGCACTGCCGACGAGCGGCTCAAAGCTTCGCATTGATCACGCTGCCGCCGTCCAAAGCGATGGTCGCCCCGTTGACAAAACTGCCAGCCTTGCTGGACAGGAAGAGGCAGGCGCCTGCAACGTCCTCGGGGCTGCCAATGCGGTGCAGTGGGATCCCCGACTCGATCACGTCCTTGTACTGCTTCAGGGTCGCCGCCATCATCTTCGACTCGAACGGTCCACAGGCAAGCGTGTTGGAACTGTCTCTCGCACCGTGAGCTCCCACGCACAGTACACTACGGGCAGGAAAAAACAAAAAAAAAAAAGGAGCTTACGTGATATTCCTCTTGCCGAGATGGCTCGCCAGCACGCGGCTCAGGTGGTGCAAGCCGGCCTTGCTGCTGGAATAAGCAAACGTCTCGAGGGCGGGCACGCGCAGGCCGTCGACGGAGCCGATGTTGATGATGCGGGCGGGCTCGGCGCCGGGGCCGTCGCCCTGGGCGGCCTTCTCCAGCAGCGGCGTCACCAGCTGGGTGATGGTGAAGACGCGGTGCAGGTTGAGGGTGAGGACGCGCACCCAGGCGGAGTCGGGGTACTCCGCGTAGGGCGCGCCCCAGTTGGAGCCCGAGTTGTTGACCAGCACGTGCAGGCGGTCCTCGCGGCGGGCCAGCTCGGCCGCCAGCCGCCGGCACTCGTCCTCGCTGTAGAAGTCGGCGGGGATGGCGTGCGCGCTGCCGCCGCTGCCGCTGGCCTGGCCCGCCCGGTTGAGCTCCGCGACGGCCGCGTCGCACGCCGCCGCGTCGCGCGACGAGATGTAGACTTTGGCGCCGTTGGTGACGAAGCCCTCGGAGATCATGCGCCCGATGCCTTTGGCGCCGCCGGTGACGAGGACGACTTTGCCCTGCGCGTTGCTGGGGTTAGCTCTCTCGCTCGTGGGCGGGCTTGCAATGATGCGTGCGGCAGTTGTCGTCGTACCTTGACGCTGAAGAGGTTGTTGACGTCCATTGCGGCGGTAGGTAATTGGTTCAGCTCGCTGGTGTTGAAAGGCAAGACTGGAGCATGGCGGCAGGTCGTTGGTTCAAGTAGTACGCTTTCCCCAGCGAGCTTCCCGCGTCCGTAGGTAATCTGGGGAAACGTACGTAGTAGGCCAATGCCGAGGCAGTCGGCGGCACCGATACGGAGGGGGATCGCCCTCTCTCGAGCTGTGCCACGGGCGGCTTTGCCGCGGGGCGGGCGCCGACGTCTCGGCCTCTCTTTTGGCCTTCCCCAAGCTTTCAAGAAGAGAAGCTCTGCAAACTTTCCCTCGCCCAATAATCCCACCCTCTGCAACGCCATCCGCCCGCTCCCGCAACGCCGCCGACCATGGACGAATTGCAGGCCAGACACCGCAAGGAGCAGCGCGATCTGCAGGCCCGCATCACCCAGAAGAAAAAGGCCGCCACCAAAAAGACCCGCAAAGGCGTCAACGACGAATGCGCGAGGCTCGAGCAGGAACTGAAGGAGCGGCAGGCGCGCGAGCTGGCGGAGCTCGCCGGCAATGCAGGCGACGGCGGCGATGCCGACCCCGAAGCTGCTGAGTCGAACCTGATCGAAGACGGAGGCCACAACGACGACGGCGACGACGACGACGACCTCGCAGGCGCCGCCGAAAAGCTTTCGATATCGTCGAGCCAACAGCAGCCCGCCACCTCGAATGGTGTCGAACAAACGCAGGGGCCGAAGCGCAAGGGCAATCGCCAAAAGGCTCGGCTGGCCCGTCGTGCGGCAGAGCAGGACGCCCTGGTCGCCGAGGCCGCTGCGGAGGCGCAATCCATGCCGGACCTGCGCAAGGCCGAGCGCACTGCTTTGGTCGAGCAGTTTGAAAAGCTCGGGCTGAAAGAACAAGTCATTCGCGCCGATGGGCACTGTCTGTATAGCGCCATTGCCGACGGGATGACTGCCCAGGACCTCGATTTGAAGCCGCGGGTAGCACCGACCATAATTGGACAAGAAAACGGAGAGACAGACGGCAAGAAGGAAAGCTACAGAACAGTGCGAAAGGCGGCGGCAGATTGGATCGCGTCGCATCCGGACGACTTCGTGCCTTTCATGGAAGAGCCACTGGATTCCTACGTAGTCAAGGTCCGAGATTCTGGGGAGTGGGGTGGGCACATGGAGCTGTTGGCGCTGGCAAGAACGTACGGCGTTAACATCAAGGTGCTTCACTCGGATGGTAGGGTTGACACCATTGAGCCTGGTGCCGAGGGCCAGGCTCCGGCAAATGGAGAAGAGAAGGAACTATGGCTGGCGTACTACAAGCACGGCTTCGGATTGGGAGAGCACTACAACTCCTTGAGGAAAGGAACTTGATTTTTCTAAATCTACAGCACTCTACAGAACGGCATCTCCTCCGCGAGGGGAATAAAGGTTGACCGGAGGAGCCCGTTCTGAGACATGGGGCGCGTTGGTAGGGAGCAACGCTTATGCAGCAGCTTGGTGTCGCCAGATGCTCACGAAATCGGTGCCCTTTCCGATTTCATGGCTCTGCTCGGGATGGAAATGCACGAGGCGAACCAGCCCATTCTTGTTCCTCGGAATCACGCCATCCTCGCCTCGCTCCTCGATAACGTGGCCGTCGTCACCGTACTCCAACTCTTCCCCGGGACGACTGAGGTGCTGCTCGTACACTCTCGGCTGGCAGCCAAACGGTGGGCCTCCTGTGGATGGCTCCTTGTACGTCGGAAACTCGATACAGACGAGCCCGGCGTGTGGATCGTGGGAGAGAAGTTGCGACATGCGCAGCGACCACGCTGGACGAAGCTGAGGCGGAAGAGCAGAGAGGAACTATAGTTCAGTGTTAGACATACCACGCCAAAGAAGCGGGACAGAAACAGGGCCGACGAATGCGGGGCATACCGTATAATCATAAATCAAGTCGAACTCGGCGCCGCCAGTCTCCCTGATCCAATCGTCTTTGAAGAAGTCGCCGAGCACAAAGTTGACAGAGCCGCGTCCGATCTCATTGTCAATCGTCTCGTACTTGTGGAAGTCCTTGTCCTCGACGTCCCGCGCCCACTTCTTGGCCTGCTCGATGGCATGGGAGCTCACCTCCAGCCCCCACGCGTCGTAGCCGTACGAGGCCAGCAGCACGACGTCATAGCCCTTGCCGCAGCCGGGCACCAGCGCCCGCTTCCGTCGCTTGGTCCGGTCGTCGACGGGCGCGGGCACCAGCGGGCGCTCGTCCTGCTTGACGTCCTTGGAGCGGTTGGAGAAGACGTGCGTCGTCAGCAGCTCGTGCAGGGCCGGGTTGGGGAAGCCCTTGTCCCACGGCAGAAAGTCGCCTTCCTTCCACAGGTCGTCCCAGCGCGGGCCCTGGTCCTTGGGCTCGGTGCTGCCGAAGTGGGTGCGCAGGCGCTCGCGGGCCTCGGTGGGATGCTTGGGGTGCTTGTTGAATTGGCCGGGCGGAGGGCTGGCGCGGCCGGAGGGTTCGGAGTGCATTGCTTTAGAGGACGGACTAGCTGTTGGGCGGCGGTGTGGGGTTGGTTGGTGGGCGGTAAGTTTCCGGGCGGCTTGTTTGCAGTGCGGTAGACTGGGTACTAGTTGACGTGGAGTGTTGCAGGTCGGGTGCGGTGGGCGTGCGGGTTATTTGAGGTCTGGAGGAGGCTGGCTTGCTTGTTGAGTGCGGCGAAACACAGCAGCGGTTCACAAGGTTGCTGGCTGCCAGATTGACTCTAGGATCTGGAGCATGACGCCAATGACGAAGGCGGTCCACAAGGTACCCGCTGGCACGGCCGGAGCTAAGCGAGTGCTTGGCCATGCTTGACCGCGGCGGCGCAATCAAGTGACCCGTCTGCTGGGCTCGGTCTTCGCGCTTTTCGGGGCGGATAACCGGCATCGCCTGCCTCTTTCCGCGCCCCAGCATCTGCGCCAGGCGGGGGAGGATGGGCTTTATCGTCATGGCGCGCCGCCCGATAAACCCAGCGCCCGCCCGGCCGCTCGCAGGGCTGGAGTCGCGCCCCTTCCCTCCCGGTCGTCCTTATCCGACCCGTGTTCGTGCGCGTCGGAAGGTGGTAATCGCGGTGGAGCAGAAGCATTCTAGGTAGAGCTGCTCGGTACATTCCCGTCCCGCAACTCGGCCCCGTGCGGCCGACAGCTACAAAAAATCGTGAGCCGCAGGGGAAGCCTTGCCACCGCTGTTTTTTCTATTTTCTCAATTTTCTCAAGTGGCGCGGCAGCACGCTGCTTCCTCGAACTCTGCCTTCAGTTGACCCTCGGCAGCGCCTGCTCCTTGCCGACCCACTCGTCTCGCAGCCCCGGCTACTCCTCAACCCCATTAGGAAGGAGCCGAGGCAACTTCTTCACCAAGCAGCCACGCCCAACAGACTGAGTCGCAGCTTGGCTAGTTAACAATGTCGGACGAAGAGAAGGATGTTGGCTTCGAGGTCAAGCCCTCGTCAGCAAGCCATGCCCAGGAACCAGCAGAAGACCGGCCCAAGACCGGCACCAGCAGTGTGTCATCCGATGACGACGAGATACACCACCACCAAGATGCGCCGAACAGTGACAATGGTCCTCAACTCCACCCGATATCATCTCGCGCGTCGGCGCCGCTCTCCCGAATGCCTACCGTCATCCCCCGGCGCGAGCGGCGCGGGCTGCTCGCACACCTGTGCCTGATTCCAGAGGTGTCGAATCCCTACGAATACAGCCGCAAGATCAAATGGACCCTCACCTTCTTCGTCGCCCTGGCCGCCATGGCCGCGCCCACGGGTTCGGCCATCATCCTGCCCGCCCTCAACGACATTGCCTCCGATCTCGGCACCACCGCCACCATCGCCAACATGAGCGTTGCCTTCTACATGCTGGCCATGGCCATCTTCCCGCTGTGGTGGAGCTCCTTCTCCGAGACGCTGGGCCGCCGCACCATCTACCTCAGTTCCTTCGTCCTCTTCATCCTCTGGGGCATCCTCTCCGCCGTCGCCAGCAACATCTCCATGCTGATTGTCATGCGTGTGCTGAGTGGCGGCGCCTCGGCCAGCGTGCAGGCCGTCGGCGGCGGCACCATCGCCGACATCTGGGAAGTGAAGGAGCGCGGCCGTGCCATGGGCATCTTCTACCTGGGCCCCCTCTGCGGCCCCCTGATTGCTCCCATCGTCGGCGGTGCCCTTGCAGAGGGGCTTGGTTGGAGGAGCACTCAGTGGTTCCTCGTCATCTACGGCGCCGTCGTCTGGCTCTGCATATGCTTTTTCCTCCCGGAGACGCTGCGCCGCACGAAGAACGTGGTGGCCGAAGCCGAGAAGGAAGCAGCGAAGGCGACCGCAGCAACACGCACCAACGACGACCCTCTCGCGGGAAGCAACACGACCGAGGAGGTCGAAGCCGCCGCCGCCGGCCTGGAGAAGCCCGCCGCCAACACCGCCCAGCAGCCGTCGCCGCCACTGCAGCGCGTCTCGACACGGCAGAGCGTGCAGCGCACGACGACCAAATGGCTGCTCGTCCTCCGCCGCTGCTTCCTCGACCCGCTCCGCATCATCCTCTACCTCCGCTTCCCCGCCATCTTCCTCGTCGTCTCGTACGCCACCATCGCCTTCGCCTGCCTGTACGTCCTCAACATCAGCATCGAAACCACCTTCTCGCACCGCCCCTACGCCTTCTCCACCATCATCGTCGGCCTCCTCTACATCCCCAACTCGCTCGGCTACATGTTCACCTCCCTCTTCGGCGGCCGCTGGCTCGACAGCATCATGCGCCGCGAGGCCGCCCGCGCCAACCGCGTCGACCCCGCCACCGGCCGCCTGCAGTTCCGCCCCGAGGACCGCATGCGCGAGAACGCCTGGCTCGGCGCCGCGCTGTTCCCCGCCGCGCTCGTGTGGTACGGCTGGACGGCCGAGGAAGGCGTCTTTTGGCTGTGCCCCATGGTGGCGAATTTCTTCTTCGGCGTCGGCAGCATGCTCATCTTCGCCATGGCGACGACCATGCTGACGGAGTTTATGCCCAAGAAGGCGAGCAACGGCATCGCGCTGAACAACTTTGTCCGCAACATCTTCAGCTGCGTCGGCAGCGTCGTCGCGCAGCCGCTCATCGCGGCGATTGGGAATGGGTGGCTGTTTACTGGCTTGGCGGTTATTTCGTTTGTGTGGGGCTGCGCGTGTATTTGGGCGATGAAGCGGTTTGGTGAGAGGATGAGGAAGGGGATGGATGGGCATAAGGCGTTTGCGTGAGAGGGGAGAGATGGAAAGAGAGAGAGAGAGAGAGAGAGAGAGAGAGGAGGATTCGGTATTAATTTTTTTTTTAGTTTGGGGGGTTAAATGAAGCGGCATGTGACAAGATGATGATGGGATTTTGGGAAGGATAGGAAACGGTTGGGAAAAATCGAAACGATAGATCATCATGACCGACCGCTCCGCTGTCTGATGGGATGTTACGGAAAGGATACGAGACGACACTACAGGCGGACATAATGAGCAGCAACAAATGGAAAATTGTGCGACGAATTAATGCTATACGCCCAAGGTTCGTGATAGGTTTGAGAGGGGGCGCAAATGAGATGGTGTGACGGACACCATGTAGACGGCTGTGCTCTTCTGTCTCATCAGCTCCCGGTGACAAAGGACGGAACCGTCCAACCGATATATGGGTTCGATCGGTGCAAGGCTTCTTGGACCGACCTCGCCCAGCCTCGCCCCCGCTCCGCAAGCGACCACGCGCGGGTGCCTAACAGACGGTCGTGCGCTTCCGCTCTCCGAGCCGACGGCGGAATCGCACATGAAGAGCTCTTTAACGCCCTCGGTGACACGAATGCGTTTCAATGCTATAGTATCACATAGGGGCGATTGATATGTGAGCTGCGCATGCTGGCCTCCTCCATTCGAGCGGTGCCATTGAGGAAAGCGAACAATGTCCCGTCAGAGGTCACTTGCCTCTCCCAGATGAACCAAGACTCGGAATCCTCTGGAGTAGACGCGAGACATCCAGCGGTCCTGGTGGGTACGCCTCCCCACGTTCGATTGGTCAACACAAACAGAATCAATCCATATAAGACACTTCAGATTGGTGAGGCGAAGACGTCGAAGGACGTTCTCGCAATTTGATGTGACCGTAACAAGACGTCTACGGCCCGGCTCGCAACGCATGTTTCTGTGCAACGACGAATCACCACTTCGGTCCGCCCATGTGTATGAGACAGCTTCGGAGGGGGGTACTTCCTCGAGATCATTGCGGACAAGTGTGCAATGGACCCGGTTCGGCTATCCGCTATAGTGTCTGGGTATAAAACCGCCAGATGAATTTCTCTGTCCTGCTGGATTGGAGCGTAGGCGTACATGCGTAGTGATTGGACGGTCGAGTCCGATACTCCTGAACGGTAGAGGTATCGTCGAGTCCATGGCAGGTGATTGAGTGGCAGACAGGCCGGACATAAATGAGATTACAGCCACAGGACTCGTAAATGGGGCCGCGGTTCTGGAGTGTAAAGGATACCGGGTAAGATTGACATAAGTTTTGGAAGAAGCAGCGACGCTGGGACTGCATTGTTATTATTTTTGAATTTCAAAACGCGACAAGGCCAACAGAAGTTATCGCCCACAACTGGGTGGCAGTAAAGGGTGCAAATTCCATCAGGTATAGGAGGAAGATGCGTTTCGAAACCGTGCTCAGGGATTTCAGGCCCCCAGAAACGGTGGGTGGTGTTCATGTGGTGTGTATGGTGTGTAGTGTGAGAGTAGTAAAGGCGAAACTGCGTCATTTGCGCATCCGTGAAGAGTAAGGCTGAGGGGAAGGCAGCCGGAAGGCTGAGGACTTGACCGTGGTGTACTACGTGAGAAAAACTGCCACTAAGATCCTGGTAGCTGATCCCGGTTGTCAACCCAACTGCCGCTGCGGAGACGCATGGTCACTGCACTGTCTTGCGGAGAGGGAAAAGCATCAGTGTCAGAAATAGGCTTCATATACGTCACTTCAACCAACGAGAGAAAGATCGAGAGCTAATGTTGCACGTAATGCGAATGTAGGCCGGTAGATAGCTCAGTCATCTGATTAGGGTATGAAAGCACCCACCAGATCGCTACCTCCTCGCCCCTCATGCCACTCATTCAGTGCATCCAACATGATCGAAATTCTGCATCTATAGCATCAGCGAAGTAATCATTGTGCGCAGGGAACTCCAGCTTTAGAAACGGCAACTGCGCATTTGCATTTCGATAAGAACAGTGGGGGAATTGCCAATGACCCCCCAGTTTGATGTCGCAACGGATCGAATGGGTGAACAAGAACCACGAATAGAGCTCACTAGGAGTGATTACCTGCAGTAGTCATCGGCCTATGATCGCACGACGTGACATCCCAAAATTCCATCCATGCTGTCAAGCCGTGCCCTTCACTTCAAAGCAGCCAGCGTCCTGGGAATCCTTGAACAGCGGATATCATGAGACAACTCGAAGCTTATAGATGAGTGACGATGTGTAGACAGGACGGCCCCAATATCGGGACAACGGCCACATAAGAGCTGAAGCTGCTTAAAATTGCAAAGATAAGAATAGATAAAAAGTAGACAGACAGGCTGAGGGGGGTATCAATCAACTCTCAAACACCAACAAAATCCAGCGTCATCAGTCAAACGCGCGCGCTGAGAGAAACCGAAAAAAAAAGAAGAAAAGAATGATAAAGACAGGCGTGCTGTGCTGTGCTGCGCTGTGTGCTGTGCTACAGCAACCCACCGGCGCGCCTCCGCAAACCCCAAAGGCATACAGATCGCGCCGTCGCCTATGCATCGTATTACCCAAATACCTGACCAACCCCAGTACCAACCAACATCCTCAGACTTATTGGCGCCAAAATCTCCATCCACAGGAAACGTCAAAGAAGAAGAAAGGAGGAAAGAAAAAGATAACGAAAATAGAACGATGGTATATTGCCAAGTCCGTTAGCTCCGGCGCCCGGCGTCGTCGTTGTCGAATTGCTGCTGCGCCTTTTCGCAATTTCTTGTCAGGAAAAAGAAAAAAGGAAACTCGTTGGATAGGTAGTAGGTATGCCTTTAGTGGCTAGGCCGTCGCCGGCTCGTTGGTTGCCGAGCCGGCACTTTACTCCTTGGAGCCATTCGCGCAAGACCCCATCTCGCTTCTTCAGCAGCCCCCCCAAAGGGTCCCCTCCATTCGGCAAAGTTCAGGAGAAAGCGAACGGCGAAAAAAAAAAAAAAGAACTGGCTGGACCCAGCCGCACGTCGGGCGGCTTGGTCGGGCGGGCCAGGGGAAGAGTCCAAGAGATAGACACTACTGTGATGCGCGCACGCACCCTAGTCCAGGAAGACATGAGGGGCGAGAGGAACCACGAGGGAAAAAATAGCAGGGTCCAGCCTTGTTGGGCGATAGTCTTTGAGGGGCAGGAGCGATTGTTTCGCCTTCTTGTCAAAGTGCATGCGCACCCCCGCTAGTGCATCAGAAATTAGACGTCGACAATGACGCGTATTGGTGGCGTGCGATTCGCGAAGCCCTTGGTTTCAGATCCCGCAGCCAAGGCGGTGGTGAAGAAAAATGAATAAAAATAGCGATCGTTGAACAGTAGTGTGTCCTTGGAAAAAAGAGGGGCAAGTCGTTTGGTTTCAAGTTGCTTGCTCGAAAAAAGGAAAAAAGGAAGCTACGAGGTTGGGTTGAATTTGGGTATTCGTCGGTCGAACTGTTGTGAGACCACGTCCATGTCCTTCTTTGGCCAGATTAGGGTTCGTCATCCAAGTTTTTGGCGCAGTTCCGACGAGAACCGGAATGGCAGCCGAGTGGACGGCGGATAGAAGCGCGCTGTCCTGCCATGCAGCGGGTGCAACGTCTGGTTTCTTGCTCCAAGGGCAGTGGTCATGTAACACCAGCGGGAATGGGAACCATGCTGCATATGCATCGTCATCTACGCGGGATGGAAAAGTCAAAGTTCGAATTGTCCAAGGCGTGTTTGCAGGGATGCATCTGCAGTTCGGAAATGGCCTTCATGTGCAGCCCGGGATGGACATGTCAGTTGTCGTCTCCTAATAACCCGATGCTCCGGTGGGATCGATGGCCGTCCTGTGGTAGGTGATGCTGCTGCGAGTTGCGCGCCTGGCTGTCCGTTTCAGGACAGCCTTGGTGGCGAGACGCCCTGCCGGCGCTAAAACAGCCCTGCGGACGATTGTTTGACTGCATGCTCCATTTTCGTTGCTTACTTGTTTCGCTAGCCGCTTCATGTCGTCGCATCCCGCGAGTTCTTCCTGGTCCATGGCATCGGCATCTCGTGAATGGCCGAGGTGATGGACTTGGATCGGATGCTCCAGGCGCGCATCGAACCGACAGCTGTCGTATCGCTCATCATGGAATCCGCGACGGAATAACGCAGTTTGGCCTCATCAGCGACGGTGCAAGTGTCATCCACCGCCACCGACTCGTCATCATCGACACCATCTTCAGGAATGGCGTGCAGATCCGAGCGGGGGGACAGGGGTCCGCTGTGGAGGCGTCCCACTGCCAGCTCATGAGGCTCGCAGTGCAGGTTTACCATGCCAGCGTGATCGGCCAAAAGATCGCGAAGCCGGCCTGCAACGCTGAAGGCCGACGGACGCGCTTCGGGAACAGGCTGGACCATGTCCTTGACGAGCCCGAGCATCGGCTTCACGGCTCTAAAGTGTATTTCTTCGTGCTCCATGGCGGCGGCCTCGAGGTGCTGCATCCAGCTGTAAAGTTTGTCGAGGTTGCTGTGAAAAGACGAGTCACTGCGCGAGCCGCTCTTGGCAGGTGTTTTGTGCTTGGTGGTCCGGTGTTTGACGAAACTCGATGGCTTCTTCTCGATCATGAATGTCAAGATGTCGAGGAACACGCAGCCCAGGGAGAATACATCTGCAACTTCGCTGGACGCAAGTGCAGTGTTCGGTTCTGAAGGGGCTTTGTTGTAACTAAGATCGAAAGCGGACAAACTGGCGTTCGCAAAGTGGTGTATCCTTCTTGCTGTCTTGGTACTGGCTTGGGACCCGTGGGATGACGCGTTGCTGTCCATGGAGGCTCTGCGATTTTTGCTTTTGGTCGGGCTGGACACGGGTGCGAGAAGGTTTGCTAGACTCTGTTCGTGAGCTTCCGGGGGAGCATAGTTGTAGATCTCTTCGGGCGTTATCTTTTTGTCCCGCTGCAGTGACTTGAGCGAACCAATGTCACTGAAGGCTACGCTGCCGTGGTCGTCAATCAGAATGTTGGATGGCAATATGGCCCCGTGAGTGACGTCGTGGCCATGCATTGTAGCCACGGCATCAGCGAGGCAATGCATCCAATTCAAGAGAAGAGCGCGACGTTCGGGCAGGGACAGTCTCATGTACAGGGGCGGTGTTCTGTGGTCAATGAAGGATCTGAGGGTATGCTGTCCGACGAAGGAGGAGACGACAAAACCATGTCCCTTGGCCGTGTAGGAGGCCCAGACCGGAGCAATATGGGCGTGATGGATTTCCTGAGCGGCGGCGATGTCCTTCAAAAACCCATCCTTCTCTAGCTCAGCGTCCTCGCCGAAAGAAATGCGTCTACGAACGAAGACATGGTCTGGCTTCTGGGGGAAGTGGATGCGCGGCCAGTGCTGCAAGACAGCGGCGGGGGGCAGCTTGTAGACGTGCTCGATGGGGATGACTTCGTTCGGGCCATAGTCGACGTGAGCACCGCGGCTAAGGGTGCGGAGTAGGAAGGTGAACTGGGTCTGGTAGAATTTCCGGTTGAGCTGGTCGTCCTTTTTGCGAGAGAGAGCGAGGCGCTCGACGTTGTCCAGGGAAATAGGCAGGTCCTCGTCGTCCCAAGAATCGTCGATGACCCCAAAGATCTGGTCGGGGGCGCCGACTTCGCACAGGATCAAGAACAGTCGCCTCGCCTTCTCCATGATCCATTCCAGGTAGGTGTCGTCGGTGAGGCCATCGCCAAAGGCCAGAGGCTGGGTGAGCAGGTCACGTTCGTCCTTGCGCAGGCGAGAAGCCACGAAGTCGGCAGTGACTTTGGCATCAATGCGCTCTTGGGTCCACCACAGCTGCTGCAGAGGGGCGTGGGGAGTGACCAGCGAGTGGCCGGCGTAGCTGCGAGGGTCAATGGGGGCGTAGGGTTAGGTGAGGGGGGAAACTGACCCGTAGATGTAGGCATTGAGGGCGATTGAGTTCTGGGTGACCACATTGGTGACGCTTTTGGAGCCCATTGTCCTGGGGAAGGGTGTGGGGTTGCGGCGGTACTCGGGGCTGGGCGTGGGCGTGGGCTCGAAGGGGATTTAATCGAGCATGGCTGTATGGAGACATGATGGGGGCGGCGAGGCGGCAGGGATGCTGGAGTTTATCTGCGTGTGTTGCGCAGCGGGGGTCCGGGAGTCATTGGCGGGCAGGGAGCAAATTGGCGTTGTCGGGGTGCCAATGACGGCGTGGGAGGCCGGGGCTATAGGCGCCTGCAAGCCGGGCCCACCGAGCCTCAGCTGCCCGCCGTTGATGGCGCACTTGATAAGCCGGCCGCCCCCGTGCTGTCACACCGTGTCGCGTGCTGCCATGGCGCCCTGGCTGTGCCGCGGCAGCTGCTCGGGCGCGCTGCTGGAGACGAAGCGGCGTGCAGCGGTGCGAGGAAGCATCGCTGAAGAGTGCAAGAGTCAGCGGCCGTTTGCAGCCAAGGCGCCGTTGAGGGCTGGCGGGCCCAAGAAACAATGGGTAAGGCGCGCGTGGGCCCTGACAGCGACGGCACTCGGGCATGGATGCCACATGGCGGCGCGCTGGAGCCACGGCCATGCCTGTCTGTCGATCGCGCGCCGCCGCACTCGGTGTTTGCAGGCGAAGGCTGATCCTCATCACTCGCGCGCTGCTGGCGACGAAGCGGCGGGCGTCACGGCGTGGGGCAGCCTGGATCCTTCTGCGCCAGCCAGCCAGCCTTATCGCACCCGGGCGACACCGACCGCCTCGCCGCCAGCCCAGCCCGCAACGCTCCGGCTGCCACTTGGATGGCTACCGGTGAGACGTTGCGCAACCGGCCGACCGCGCGCAATTTGGAATGCGCTTGCCTCCCGCGCCGCCGCGGACCAGCCCATAGCACTGCCGTCTTCGGCTAGCCGCCCTTCTTGGCCGCCCCGGATCTGACTCTCTGCTTCTCGTAACAGCTGCCCGGACCTGCTGATCCCACGACTCGCTGCTCTATTGATGTAATGCTGCGGGGAGAGAGCGGCGGTCACACGGAGCAGCTGTGTGGTGGGTCTGTGCTATTTTCACTTCTTTGATTTCTCTCCCGCCCTCTGGATTAGTATTGTCTCGACGACGGCGCTGCTTCTGCCTGATCGGCTTCGGCCCAGCCCTATCTCGACTGCTGTACACGCCGACTCAAGTCACTCGCCATGTGACTATCTGAAACAAGCCTCACTCAGCCTTCCAATTTTGGCTCTGTCCTGCAGCCCAGCCAACACTATCTCCCTCTGCCGCCTTCTTCATTTGGTGGCGCCGAATCGCCTCCGATAAGCTTGGTATCGGTAAGTTCCTCGTCCCATCTTGGCGCCCTGAGGAACACCTCAGACCCTTTCATTCCTGAACCCCAACTTATTGATGAGCTTGTGCCGCTCGCAATTCTGGTCACTCTCGGGTAGGTTATACATTGGCGCGCGTCCTCTGCTGCCGTGCTTCTGTCTTTGCACTACATGCCACAGCTTCCGCGACCATCCGACCTGCCTACTGGCCGTCTTTGAGCCTGACTTTCTCCCGTCTCTGATGACATTGATGACGGTGACGAACACAATGTGGTGGCGCAGGGAGAAGCAGTCGCTGCGCACAGTGACATGATATGCAGTACTCTCCCAATCTTTATTTGTAAAGATATTGCCTTCTCCTCTTCGTGAAGCATAACTGTACCTGCTAGAATCCAGTATTGTCGCAAGAATTCATGATACGCAATGAATGTTGGGGACGGCAAAAAAGGTCCAAAGGTCCAACGTGGTGCAGAAGACTTTGAGCACAACCCGTCAACAGTTCACGTTTGCTTCTCCTGATATCTTTTCGCGTGATTCATTGCGCTTCGTTCTACTTTGTTAGCTCTCATAGCAGACCATCTTTGAGTTGTGCACGTAAAAATGGAATATCTAGCCCACGCTTGACCTACCTTCCCCACATCATGCAGCTTCCTCCCACGGCCGACTTCATCACCAACCAACGCCTTCGCCTCCCTCGACATTCCACGTTCTACATTGTCGGCCCGCCACTTTTTATTCTGAGAAAGGGAGAGAGAGAGAGATTGACTAATGGTTTTCGGCTTGCGTTGGGGCGGTCTTGGACTCGGTGGTAGCGGGGGAACGGGGCGCTTCGGCTGTGCGCAGCGCTGGGCTGGTTGGTGTGACGGCTGAGGCGGGGGCGATGGGGGATTGGAGTTTCTTTCGTGGTGGTGGTGAGGAGGCGGAGGAGGGGATTGTAGCGACAAATGACGGCGATGGTGATCAGGGCGGAAACGGCGTCCGTTAGGCGCGGCTGTGAGTCCGCTATCAAGTGTATAGTACTTCGCGCAGCAGATCTTTCTTTTATTCTACTGAGGACCACGTCTTCTCCGAGTGCTTGGGAATAGCTGTGAAGATAATACTGCTGTGTTCAGTGGCCACATCACCATCGATACGGAAAATGCACTGAGTCCCTTCTCATCAAGTGATGATGGTTATTGGATTTTCCGGCTATACTGGCGGGTATAAAAATTACAACATCACGAGGCCGCTGTTGATCTTGCTGACGGCATTACTATAGATGCCAACCATTGAGGAGACACTGAAGCGGCCAGGATCAAAACCCCAGCGCCACAGTGTGCAACTTCGCCATTGTGGCGGCGGCTACCAGCCAGCACATCATACGCGCAGGCTCACACGCATCAAGAAGAGCCTGAAGCGGGACCGCACCGGAATAGGCAGCATTGGAAGACCGCGCCTACGTCAGCACGAAAGGCGGCACTCCGCCATTCTCCAGGCAAAATACGCAAATGGAGCAGAGCAACTGCCACTATCGGCTTTCTTTATTCCCGTTTAACCTCGGAGCCGCAGATTCGCTGGCACGCCGACGTATGTCAGCCGCCCCGCCGCGGCGCATGAGTGGGTCACGTCAGCCTCTGGCCTTGATCTCCTTCAATCCGGCAGTTGCTGGCTGGCCTCTCCCGAAGGCGACGGCGCAACCAAGATTGAACGTTTGGAAAAAGAAAAAAAAAATCCAGAAGCGTTCAAGACCGTTCTAGCACCGGGATCGGGCGTGGCGTAGCCGAGCACGCGGCGGCGGGGAGGGGGGGACTGGTCCCAAACTTTCCCCTCCCAATGCCATGACAGATTGATTGACGGCATAAGCAGTGAAAGAGTAAGTGGGATATTTGGAATGCTCATGTTATCAACATCCCGAATTCCGGCGCGTCACGACGACGGGGCGTATGCAGTCCCACACACATACACCAGGCACGTGTTGGGTTTTCTGTTCCGTCAATCAGAACGCCCTCATCCGTATCTGCAGCACGGATATGTTTCCCTCACACCCACAGCCGGAAGAGAGGAAGGAAAAAAAGGAAAGGAAATAATACACCAGCCAACGCCTCGCCTTCTGTCCCAGGAATAAATGATCAGCTACCAGCATGCTTCTCCTAGAATTTTCTGTGTCCAACAAAACCGCCGACTGAAGGAAGAGGAACGGGTTGGAAAAACAGATCGGGAAAGATAGTCCCCGGATTATTATGCAAAAAAGAATGCTTTAAACTCATACGCCTTGGTGCACCGTCACAGGCTCTTGTTGATACGACATATCCGAGACCACGGAGAGGCGATCCTCGTCGTCACGCATAAACGGATTCATCGGCGCCTCGGACATGACCGAGATGCCGTCATCCGACGGGTCCGCGAACGGATTGTGCTGCGGCGACTCGTGATGGTCGTTCGCAAGTCGGATGCTTCCAGCACAGTCAGCCACCCCACGATAGTTAGCGGTGCGCATACTCGAGTCCCGGGAAATGGGCGGCACGCTGCGCGGGCGGTAGGGCGGCGGCGGCTCCTCGTGGAACTCGCCGTCCAGCATGAAGCCGGCGGGCCGCTGCGGGGGACCGCTGCTGCGGACCGAGTTTGTGCGGATGGAGAGCGCCTCGGACGTGTCGATGCCGGTGAAGTAGGAAGAGTTGTTCGCGGGGTTCATGGCGGACACGATGACGGGCGGCGGTGCTGGGACTGGCGTCACTGCTCTTGGAGGTGTCGCCGCCGCCGCCGCCGCTGCTGTTTGCGGCGGGGAGGGCTCGCGGATCATCGGAGGCGGAGAAGATCCCACAGGGATGACGGCAACGGGCGGAGGGTGGTAGTCGTCGTCGCCGCTACTGCCGGGACGAAGCTTCATCTCTTCTTGGGCCAGCGTAGGTTGTGCGTTCCTCTGCCTCCGGCGACGCATGACAACGAAGGCGGCGAAGGCGAGCAACGAGACGACCAGGATGGGGATTATGACGCCGGCTAAGATGAGTCCCAGAGGCGTGCCGCCGCCGGAGTTGGCTTGGTTGTTATCTGGATTGGGATCTGATGGCATTGTTACTCCTCCATTGTTCTCATTAAAACCTGAAGTGCTCGACGGCCAGGCGGCGCCGTTCGGTAGTCCATCCACAGCAGAAGAAGTGGCACAAGACGTACTCGCTGCAGAACTCGCATTGTTTGCTACAGGATCCGAAGCCGTCGTTGAGGTTGGTGCGCCATGTGTGGCTGAGGAAGCCGCGTTTGGGCCGGATCCAACTTCGCTCGGGCGACTGACGGCAACACTGGTTGACTGCGTGATCTCGATCGAAGTCGACTGAACTGAAGATGGCGCGGGAGTAGTTTTGGCGGTTGTGGCAGTGGTCAGAAAGTCGGGGGGTCTCTTGGTGTTCAGGCCGAACGGCATGCCAGTGCTGTCAAGGGTGAGGTGGGTGCCCATGATGGTGACAACGGCTGGCAAGGATGTGACTTCTTCCCAGGCGTCCGCAACAGACTCTCGATATTCGTCGTCGTGGTCGTCGTGGTCGTCGTCGTCGTCCGGGTCGCGGCGGATCTTCTCAAAGACGGGCACGGGCATGGTTGGTGATTATAAGACAGGATAGGCCAGCAGGACGGGGATGCGTCATCTGAGGGCTGAGCTGAGCGTCAGCGAGGCTATACATAATGAGCTCCATGGCCGGTCTGCAGTGGTCGGACGAAGCACCCCAGGCAGAGCGGGGCCGAAGGGCCGAAGGGCGGAGTGACGGAGTGGGAGAAGTACCAGGACAGGGCGTTGCTTATCGATAGCCGGCACGCTCAGACCACCTGGCTGCCTGGTGCGGACGTGCGCTTGCCGTGTGCTCGGCTCTCGCGTCGCGCTTTCTCGCTTTCTCGCTCAGCTCCCACGGTGGTTTTCAGTCGCGAAGGTCGCCAGAGAGACGTGAGAAGGAGCGGGCGCTGCGCTGGGTGTTTAAAGCTGTCAGCACAGGGCGGCCCTGGGCAGCCCAGCGCAGCCCAGCGCTCAGCTACACAGAAGCGGATCCTCAAAGCCCGTCCCGGCGTGCGCGCGGGGGCTGTGCCGGCGAATCAGCCCGCGCCGCGCCCCGCCCGACCTCTTATTTTTGGCTTTGCCCGCAGTCTAATGCACCACTGCCGCCTGGCCTATCCGTCACAGGCTCTCACAGGCCGACTTCTTCCTTCGAAACACCTACCGGTCTGCAGTCAGCAAATCATCGCCGCCACTCTTTCCTAGCTCGTGCTCGTCGCCCGTCTCTGTGCTCCATGTATGACGCCATCGCCAGGCCCGCCATTGCCGCATCTCCCTCTTCAACCCCCATGTCCGTCGTACGAACCTGCACGCCCTCGCTGCGCCTGCAGCACAAAACCTCGAACCCGCCAGCGTCCATTGTCACGACCATGGCGCTGATGCCTTCACTCGCCGCCAAGGGCTTGTCCTCGGCTGCGCCCTACAACCATCGTGCCGCTCAACCCGTAGTCGGCAGAGGTATACATGTCACCCGCCCAGGCACTCTCGTATTGCCGACATAGCCTCCCGTTGTTTGTGGGTGCATGGTTCTGGCCTTGCGGGACCAGCCCGCCGCTGGGCCCTAAAAAAGCCTCCCATCCACCTTCTTCCCAAAAGAACAGCCGCTGACCTGAAGCTCCCGTTTTGGACTGACTCTCCGCCAAGCTCGAATCGCGACACGCTGTCAAACATGGCAAACCGCTAGGTACTTCAGTCTCCGCGCCGTGCCAACACGCTTTCATGGCCCCGAACCAGCGTGTTGGCATGTCGGTACCCTTCTATAAACAGACATGATCCCGGTTCTTCGTCTATGGGCCGAAACCCGGCAGTCTGCGCGAACACTTATGCACCTGCGGCATCCGAGCTTTTGCCAGTCAAGGATGCCACTTCCCACCCGGTCGGTAGTGAACTCACCCAACTGATACACAGCCACCTCAATCTACCTCAGCCCCCACCCAGTAGAGCCCAACTTGCACAACACCTTCCTTTCTTAAAGGGCCATTGCTATGCCAAACATATAGGGTCGTGTCGCAGATGGACCATGAATACATCCATGCAAATTATCTGGGAGGGAGCAGTGCCCAGTTCTTGGCGCTGACCACATCGGAGCAGTGGGCCTTGTATTAGCACATCCGACGCACCACGGTCACGCTCCATTCTTTGTGTCTTGGTCTCTTTCGAGAGATGCTGCAAGCACCCAAGCAGCCCGACAATCGCGGCTGTACATTTTGTGTGGTAGCATGAGCAGAGAGGGCAGCCAGCATTGTGGTCGCGCTTTCTCTCAACAATTTGCAGTGCACTTTCCTTGTGCACTTTCCTCGTGATCTTCCTTTGTTTCGAGACGAACACCATCTTCGAGATGCAGTGCTCAACCAATTGCACTCTGCCCGAAGCGGAGCTTCATTGTTTCAAGCCATGGTAAAGATACTCTGGCCGCCCATGATTCGGAACAGGGCCCGTCCTTTCGCCGGGCTCTCGTTGATGGTAGGACGGTTAAGGCTGTCTCACGTCATCATCTGGGCTCTCTTAGCAGCAGTGTTCTTTTGCATCGCAGGTATGAGCCGCTCGCTGCATATATCATGTAGCTTTGCTAACGTATTCTGATCAAAAGGCCACGAGAAGGCCCTACCATCAGCATTTAACGATGCCTCCGAACTCCTGGAACTCGGCGACGACGGCACGCCATCCGTTCCTCTGCACCTCCAGCCAAAGGAACCCATCCGCATCGCCAAGGCCAACCGCTTCGACAACCGTTATGAGTTTCAGCGCCACCTCGGCCGAAGCCGCGAGGGAGGAAGTACCAATACCGCCCTCTACAGAGACATGCACACGGGCGCCCAGGTGGTGGTGAAGTCGTACCACCACCACCATGGCGGACTGCAGCGGATGTCGCCGCCCTGGATAGACTTCTTCTGCCACGAGCTGAGCACCTGGCCGACAGAGATAGCCGCCACGCTGCTTCTGGCCGGCCTCGAGGGAGAGGAAGGACAACAAGAAGAAGAAGCAAGCAGACGACGCGACAACCTCACGCGCCACCAGCAGGGCCGCCACGGCAAAATAAGCGGCCTCGTCCCAGCACGCGACTACTTCGTCGCCCTCGAGCCCGCCTTCTCTCCGTTCCCTTTGTCCCCGCCCGGGACTCCGGCCTCGCTCCTTTCCACGATGGCGCGGCTGCTCCGCCCCCTCTTCCCGTCTTGGACCACGCCGCGCTGGACGCTCGTCACGACGGCCGCCGCCGCCGGCACCCCCCTCGTCGACTACTTCGCCGCTACCACGTCATTCTCGTCCTCCTCCTCGTCGTCGTCGTCCTCTCCACCCGCTCCGTCCGAATCCGGCGACAGCAACGTCAGCGACACCGCCAGCAGCGGAAACCACTCCTCCACATCCTCCTCCTCCACATCATCACCACCACCACCACAACAACAACCGCCGCCCTCCCCCTCCGCCGCCGACGCCCTCCATCGCCCCGCCTTCATCCACCTGCTCGCCTCGCTGGCCTCGATGCACAAGCGGGGCTACTGCCACAACGACGTCCGCCCTCGCAGCATCTCCGTCGTCCGTCATCATCACGGCCGTCGCGACCGTGATGGGGATGGTGGCGGAAACGGCGAGGGGAGAAGAGAAGGAGGAGGAGGAGAAGAAGAAGAAGAAGAAGAAGAAGAAGAAGAAGAAGAAGAAGAAGAAGAAGAGGAAGGGGACGAAGAGGACGAGGAAGGGGACGAGGAGGAGCAGGAGGACGAGGAGCAGCTGCGATGGGTCTTCACCAGCCTTGGGCGGGTCAGCGGGAATGGCGTCGTCGGCGACCGCCGCCGGCCAATTTTTCTTCGGCGGTTTGGGTGGGCGGTGGACGAGGATGATGGCGATGGTGACTGCCGGATGAGGGATGTGAAGGGGGCGTTGAGGAGTTATTTGTGGGTTTTGCGGATGGCGAGCGACGGCGGCGGCGGCGGCGACGGCGGCGGCGGTGAGGGGGGGAAAGAGGCGTCGTCGTTGTTTGATGGCGAGTTTTATGCCGAGCGCGCGTCGTGGAGTCGGTTGTACTGGGATCTTGTGAGGGAGCCGGTGCGGGCGGAGAGGGCGATGGGGTGGTTGATGGGTGGGGAGGAAGAGGAGAAGTATCGGGTCGATGCTGACTATGGTGGTGGTGGAGGCGGTGGTGGAGGTGATGATGCCCGCGAGGTTGGGGATAGGCGGTGGTGGTGGTGGCGGCGGAGGGAGAGGAAAGGGGAGAGGCTGCGGCTGGCGGTGGAGAGGGAGTTGATGTGGGATCAGAGTTGGGAGGGGTGAAGGTGGCGGTGGAGGCTGGGGGGATCGTGGTAGGCTGTTTGCGGTTGGGAAGGTGGGGGGAGGTGATGAGCGTAGCTGTTTTGGTGAAGGTGTTTTAGTTTTCTTAGACGGTCATGAAGTGAGTATTCCTTGATGGCTGTGAGTTTCGGCGTGACTTTTTTTTGGGGGGTGGAAAGAAGTACTAGGTGAATTTGTTGTGTTGGACAATCGCAAAACGGGGTGAAGTTAGCTTTCGAGATAAACTCAGCATAGGTAAAAATCCGAGTGACGTCGAAGCAGATTACTATAGTTTGGTGGGGTGGGTGTGGGGGTAAGAAGCATTGGCGGGAGGCGGAGGTGGTGGTGGGCATGGAAAAGTCGCGGCCGGAGTGGACAACTGGAACGGCGCGTGCAAATCCTGTGCTGCACCGCCAACGCGAAGCGCAGCCGCAGAGGAAGTCGCAAAACCCAATCACATCGCCCCATCGCCTCTCCTTCTCTTCTGACAACGCACATCTCTCCACGTATCCTCTCACCTCGAGACGCAGCCAGTCCAAAAGATGAACCGTCGCATGGTGCGTTTTCCCCTGCCGCAAACCACGCATGTTGGGGGCCCCGCGATGAGGGGCACACGCGACGCATCGCATGGCTAATGCCGACGAAACACAGCTTTCGCGCGAAGACGAAGCCTCGGCTGGCGAGGAGGTGCAGGTGCGGCGCGAGGACCAGGACAAGATCAATCGGTTCAGCCGGCTGCACCAGCGCGAGAAGGTGCTGGAGGAGGAGCTGAAGGCGAAACAGGTACGTCACTCACACGGCGGGGAGCGTTTCTCTCTCTCTTTTTTTTTTTTAACAGCGAAAAATGTGTAATTTCTTTTTCATTTTTTTGCGGTTGACTGACCAGTTTCACAGAAGGACAAGGAAGATTTGGAGGAAGTGTCGAATGAGCTGGAGCTCGTGGATGAGGAGGACAAGGTGCCGTATGTGCTGTTCTTGTTTCCCCCCTACGTTTCTCCCGAGGGCTCACGCATCACGTGATTTTGGGCGCACTGCAGGTACAAGGTCGGAGATTCGTTCATGGCGCTGCCGCAGCCGGAGGTGCTGGAGCTGCTGACGGACTCGACTGAGAGGATCGACAAGGATGTCACCAAGCTGGAAGAGCAGCTGAGCGGGGTGCGCGACGAGATGGAGGAGCTCAAGGTCGCCCTGTACGCGCGCTTCGGCCGCAGCATCAACCTCGAGACGTAGAAAACGTCGACCGAGTCAACGGTCGGGTTTGACCTTCCACTCCCGTCTCTGGGCGGGGAAGTTCGAGGAATGCAAAAGATGATTCAAGAATAATAATGGTCTCGCTTCTCCGATGTCGGGCTCGTAACTTAGGCGACGCTTCAGCCTCATCGTTATTGAACAGCCAGGCCCGCACAACATCAACATGGGCTGCCGCAGTCAACGCGAGACTGCAGACAGGCGCGAAGCGCGGGGAACAAGGCACCCCCGCTCCGGCTCCGGCTATTACTCAGCGCAGCCTGGAGCGCGGTGTTTGGTTAGCTGCCGTCATAGCCGACGCCCGCAATCGGCGCCCCCCAGCCGCTGCTTCCTCATGCAGCCAGGAGCGCGTGTCATCAGGACGACACCCATTCGTGTGCTGAGCGCGATCGCCCGCCCTGCCGCAGCTGTGGGCCTTGTGCCGTGCCAGACGAGGCCGCTACATGCACCGAGCCGCCGCCTCTCAAAGCCTCGACTCACCAGAGCTCCGCTGCTGCATGCGTCTGGCCGTCTGCACGCCTCTCTATCTCCCGCCGGCTCGCTCTCCGCCTACCCGAGGTGCTGGATGATCGCTTCATAGGTTGACCGCCAGTCGCTGTCCTTCAGACTCCCCGTCACTGGCCACGCCAAATATCACGCAAACCGCGTGCTGCTGCTCCGATGTCGAAGCTCTACGCCGCCCAGCTCCCTAGTTTCATGTCTCCCTTCCACCCGTCCTCCTCGCCTGCCATACTCTGAGACCGTGACTTCTTTTCCTTCGTCATCCTCTCGGGCGTTTGCTGCTTTCCCATATTCTTGATGCCTGCTTCTAGAGCCTCTTCTTCTCGGAGCCCACAAACGATCCACCGCCCCAGATGTCGCGCCCTGCTGCAACCCCCCATCATCTTCCCAACCACGATGCCGACAACGGCATTGCCGCCGCCCACACCGGCCCCCCGCACCGTACGTGTTGTCGTCTTGCCGACTTGGTGAAACCGCGCGAGATATATACTGAGCACACGCACGCCAGTCCACATCCTTCCATACGCCCCGCCAGGACAGATGGAAGTCGACGCCCACGATGTGAAAGAGCAACTCGATGTCGATGACATGGACCATAAATCCGGCGCCTCGTCGCCAGCGGACGATGACACGAGCGAGAGCGGCGACGCAGCTGAGAGGAGGATCGTTTCGTTCGGCAAGAACGATCCAGAAGATCCGACTCAGTGGCCTGGGGTAAGTCTGGTTGCGGATCCGAGCTTGTAGTTCGTCCATGCCTGCTTTCTTTTTTCTTCCTTTCCGGCGAACCGACAGAGGAGCTGGCATGGCTTCTGTGGTGATTACAACGGGAGAAAGGTGTCTGGGGGCGGTGGCTGTTGGTTCCTTGATGTGCATCTTGTGTCCCTGCAAAGATCAACCTGCACGAGGCTGTGAAGTCAAGGCTGCTCTATGCCGTGCCGGCGTCGGTGTGAAATATTGTCAAGTGCATGTTTTTTTTTGGGGGGATAAACAACGCTCATCGAGATGCCGCCATAATCCAAATCCCTTGTAGAGCAGTATAGGGAAAAAAAAAAAAGAGATGGCGGAACCTCTCCCTCCCTTAGTCCCCTTTCAGCAAGGAAAAATTAACAACAACAACTAATGAGCGAAAAAAAAACCCCCCCACAGAAAAAGAAATGCGTCCCCCTCCTCTCCACCATCTCCTGCGTCATGAACAGCACCATCTCGTCCTCACTCGCGGCCGGCGCCATCGACGACATCTCGGCGTACTTCCACGTCACCAACCAGGCACAGCTCGTCCTGCCCACGTCCATCTTCATCGTCGGCTACGTCGTCGGGCCCCTCATCTTCGGCCCGCTGAGCGAGTGGTACGGCCGGAAGCCCGTCATGGTCGTCGCCTTCGCCATGTTCACCGTCTTCTCCATGGCGTGCGCCCTGGCCGACTCGTTCGCCGCGCTGGTGGTGTTCCGGCTGCTGGTGGGGATCCCGGGCAGCTGTGCGATTAGCGTTACGGGTGGGTGAGTGAAGGTTTTTTTGTCTCTTTTTCTTTTTGTCTCTTTTTTTTGTTTTGTTTTGCGCCGGTCTGTCTGTCTCTTATGCGGCTTTCCGATATTTTATATATCGAGTGCATGGTTCCTAAACGGGGCGGGGGGCACCATCACATTTACTTGAACGAAATGATGAACAAAAACGAAGTGGGATGGGAGACGGGCAGACGGGCAGTTCAAAGAAAAAAAAAAGACGGGAGCTCTTGACTGACCATCTGTGACCTGATTCGGGCACTTGAACGACAATACAGCATCATCGCCGACGTCTACAACGACCCCACCTCCCGCGGCCGCGCCATGGCGCTGTTCATGGCCACGACGACCTTCGGCCCGCTGATCGGCCCCATCGCCTCGGGCTTCATCTCGACCGTCAGCTGGCGCTGGGCCTTCTGGCTGGGCCTGATTATCGCGGGCGCGGCCTGGGTGCCGCTGCTCGCCACGCCCGAGACGTACGGGCCCGTCATCCTCGAGAGGCGCGCGCGGCGGATGCGCAAGGAGGCGGCCGCGAACGGTGGCGACCAGAACGTCTTCGCGCCCATGGAGCTGGAGCCGAGGGACTGGAGGCACGTGGCGACGGTGGTGCTGACCCGGCCGATTCGCATGATGCTGTTTGAGTGGATCGTGCTGTTCTCGTGCCTGTACCTCTCGTTTGTGTATGCCGTGTTTTACATGTTCTTTCAGGCGTATCCGATCATGTTTGGAGGTGGGTGTCTTTTTTTCTTCTTCTCTCTTACTCCCTCCTCCAGCCCGTATCGACTCCCACAAGCTGACGCAAACCGTGGCAGACACATACGGTTTCACTCCCGGCGAAGTCGGGCTCACCTTCCTCCCAAGTGAGTATATAAGCTCCCCATGCATCCTCCCCCCCTATCTTCCAACACTGACACGAAAAAAAAGTCGGCATCGGCGCCGTCATCGCCTCAGGCATCTACCTCTGGTACGACACCTTCCTCGCGCGCGCGCGCAGACGCAACGCGGCGTGGACGCGCAGCGAGGAGGCGCGGCGGCTGCCGCTGGCGTGCGCGGCGGGGCCCTTCATCGTCGTCTCGCTCTTCTGGGCGGGCTGGACGGCGGCGACGGGCGCGACGCACTGGGCGGTGCCCGTGTGCGCGGGCGTGCCGTTCGGCGTCGGCTACCTGCTGTGCTTCATGGCCATCTTGAACTATCTCGTCGGTGAGTGAGTGATCAGTGAGCGAGTCGAGCGATATATATATATATATATATATCCGCCCCGCCCCTCTCTCCCCTCCTCCCTCCCTCCCCCCTTTTATTTCCCACCCATTTCTAACCACCTTCATTTTCCCCCCTCCCCCCTCCCGGGGAGACGGCCATATATTACACCAAAATACAGACGCGTACTCCACCTTCGCCGCGTCCGCCATGGCCGCCGCCGGCACCTCGCGCAGCGTCTTCGGCGCCGCGCTGCCGTTCGCCGCGCGCCCCATGTACGCCGCGCTCGGCGTGGCCTGGGCGTGCAGCCTGCTCGGCTTCGTCACCCTCGCCCTGTGCGCCATCCCGTTTGCGTTTTGGCGGTTCGGGGACGCGATTCGTGCGCGGAGCGGGTTTTGTGCAAGTGGGGAGTTGGGGAAGGAGGGGGGAGGGGAGGATGGGGACGGGGATGGGGATGGGGAGGGGGAGAAGGGGACGGTGTGATTGAGCTGGGGGTATGTAGAGAGAGAGAGAGAGAGAGGGCTGGGAGAGGGAGAGGGCGAGAGAGAGATATGGAGGCTTTTGAGGCCGACTGAGGCTAGCTGAGGGGGAGAGTGAGGGAGATTGGTGCGAGATGGCATATATGGGTTAGACTGGTGTGACGTGAGATGTGGCTTGGGACTTGAGCAATGGCGAGACGACAACGCATGGCCAGTAAAGCATTGCTCGGGGCAGAGTTGTAGGGAACTCGGTCGCTTGGGGGGTTGATAGGGAGCGGACGGAAAGCAAGAGACGAGAAGGGTAAGAGCTCCAATTTGCATGATACGGGCGCAGGGTTGATTCACTTCGTCGACAGCAGTCAAGCCGGCGGGCGATAGAGTACAGGTAGATTGAGACAAGGCAATCATCATCACGTGGGATGTTCCAGAGGTCAAGGCATCGGATCGTGGCTAACCGAAGAGGGATGGTCGACGCGAGCGGAGGCGGCACAAGGCTCAGCCCGCGCCCCGTTCGAGGCCGGGGTCGTGGTGCGGAGAAGGGCGATAGGCAAGTGCGTGCTGATAAGGACGTACGTCGTATCTCTCCTCAATCTCGCCGGCTCCCGAGCTGGGCTAGGCGGCAGGGCGCCCCGCGGCGCAGGGAGCTGTATGCAGCATAAGTGCGGTCGCACAACCAGAGGCGGCATGCGCATGCGATGAAGCTTGACAGAGCTTGGCTCCGGCAATGGCCAAAGCTATGTACCTCTCATCCGCTGCTTATCGTCAGCCCTGTGCGCCCACTGTTCCGCGCGTCTCGAGCGGAAGCTAGACAAGGGGCGGGCGTCTGATAGCGGCGGCGGGCTGCACAAGGGTGGGGAGGTGCCACAGCTGCTGGCCCTACTTAAAGTAGGTATAGCAAGCATGCGCCGAGCCCGGCTGCATCGCACTCCTCAGCTGTCTTTCCTGACGTCGACGCAACGCAATGGCCGACCCAATGCCGGACAAGGAACGCCGGGCCTCGTCGGTGGCCGTGGCCGAGGGGCTGGCCAGCAACGAAGACGCGGCCGTGTTGGGTAAGCAAGCGCGTGCAGCCAGAGGGTTTATAAGTGTCTGCTAATTAACGCGGGGGGACGCAGCAAGCCTGGGCTACAAGCAGGAGCTGCGGCGCAACTTCACGCTCATCGAGGTGTTCGGCATTGCCTTTTCCATCATGGGGCTGCTGCCGTCGATTGCCAGCACGCTGGCGTACAGCATCCCGGCGGGGCCGGCCGGGCTGGTGTGGGGCTGGTTCCTGGCGTCCATGTTCATCTTTGTGGTCGGGCTGGCCATGGCCGACCTGGGCAGCGCCATGCCGACGTCGGGCGGGCTGTACTGGTGGACGCACTACTTTGCGTCGCCGTCGACGCGCAACGCGCTCAGCTTCCTGGTCGGGTACAGCAACACGCTGGGGCTGGTGGGCGGGCTGTGCTCCATCGACTACGGCTTCTCGCTGATGCTGCTGTCGGTCGTGGTCATCGCGCGCGACGGCAACTGGCAGCCGTCCAACGGCGTCATCTACGCCGTCTTCCTGGGCTGCGTGCTGTGCCACGGCGTGCTGGCGTCGACGCTGTCCAAGATCATGGGCAAGCTGCAGACCGTCTTCGTCGCCGCCAACTTCGTGCTGATCCTGGCCACCATCATCGCCCTGCCCATCGGCCGCGCCGGCCAGCGCAACGACGCCCACTACATCTTCGCCGAGACGGCCAACCTGACGACGTGGCCGACGGGCTGGGCCTTCATGCTGGCCTGGCTGTCGCCCATCTGGACCATCGGCGCCTTCGACTCGTGCGTGCACATGAGCGAGGAGGCGGCCAACGCGACCAAGGCGGTGCCCTACGGCATCCTCATGTCCATCGGCAGCTGCTGGCTGTTCGGCTGGGTCATCTGCATCGTGCTGGCCGCCTGCATGAGCCCGGACCTGGACTCGCTGGTCAACTCGCCCTTTGGCCAGCCCATGGCGCAGATCTACTACGACGCGCTGGGCAAGAAGGGCGCGCTGGGCTTCATGACGCTCATGTTCGTGGTGCAGTTCCTCATGGGCCTGTCCATCACCGTGGCCGCGTCGCGCCAGTCGTGGGCGTTTTCGCGCGACGGCGCCCTGCCCTTCTCGGCCTTCTTCCGCCCTATCAGCAAGAAGTTTGGCTACATCCCGCTGCGCGCCGTCTGGGGCTGTGTCTTCCTGGCCGCGCTGCTGGGCCTGCTCACCCTCATCGGCGCCGCCGCCGCCTCGGCCGTCTTCTCGCTGGCCGTGGCGGCCAACAACCTCGCGTGGGGCACCCCCATCTTCTGCCGCCTGGTGTGGGGCCAGAAGAAGTTCAAGCCCGGGCCCTTCTACACCGGCCGCCTGAGCGCGCCGCTGGGCTGGCTGGCCATTGTGTTCCTGGTCTTTGGCATCTTCCTGTCCATGTTCCCCACCGGCGGCCCCAACCCGACCTCGGACGAGATGAACTACACGGTCGTGGTGAACAGCATCGTCTGGCTGGGCAGTCTGGCCTACTATTTCCTCGACGCGCGCAAGTGGTGAGTTTTTGGTTCAGTGCTGCTGTTTGGACGACACGGCTAACCCCCACTGCAGGTTCACCGGCCCGAAGATGACGCTCGACGCGGATGCGCTGTCGGAGACGCAGCAGGAGGCGCTGAGGGAGGAGGGGCTGGAGGTCGAAGGCGTTGAGGCCGGGAGCAACAAGGCCGGGGATGAGGAGAGCGGTCCCACCCAGCATCAAGACTGAACCGAAACAGTGAACGAAGCGAGCTGCTAGCCTACCTAGAGAAATGCATCGAAGAGTGCACTACTGCAGTGGCGAGGCCGCACCCCTCCCCCAACAACGTGCTCCTTACCCCGCGCACGGCAGGGATCGGCGCAGCGACGCCACAGGCTGATGCATACGTTGCTCCGTCTCAGCCTTAGCGGCCAACCTCACCTCTTCTGTAAATAGACCTCAACCCTGCGTCCTGCGCTGCCTCATGCCCGCATGGCACATCCACAGCCCTGTCCTCCCCCACCATGTCGTCGAAGCGCGAGCGGTATCTGTTCCGGCCGCTTTACCGCGGCGTCGTGAAGCCGGTGGGCATGTGCCTGCTGGCCCCTCTGGTTGTCATGTACCTTGCCTACTACGCCTGCCGCAAGTGCGGCTCCTACTCCCACAGGACCCCGTTGGACTCCCGCTCGCACCTGGACTCGCAGCGCGAGTTCGAGCAGCTGTGCGAGAAGCTGGACCGGGACTACACCCCGCCTCCGCTGCTGGCCAACCGCCGTCCCCGCGCGCTCACCATCTGCGAGGGCGTTGTCGCTAACACGGCCGACGTCGAAGAGAAACAGAGCGGCGCCCCGCCAGCGAACCCGCAGCACCAGTCCCTCTTCTTCACCCGGCTGCCGCCCGAGCTCCGCCTGCGCATCTACCACTACGTCCTCGGCGGCAACGTCATCCACCTGCTCCTCAAGCCCGGCCGCGTCGGCCACGTCGTCTGCACCGGCGACCCCAGCGTCGTGCGCGCCCCGGGCGACCCGGACCGCCGCTGCATCGCCGCCCACGCCGCCTCGCGCGAGATCCTGTACCAGCGACGCCACTACCCGCCGTGGAACCACCAACCCGGGTGCAGCTGCTGCTCCGCCTTCGCCCTCGACGACCCCTCCTACCGCATCTACAGCACCCACCACCGCGCCCACGACGGGCCCATCCCCAAGGTCCCCGATTGCATGGGCCCCTCGCCCTTCGTCGTCGCGCCCCCCGGCCGCCCCCACCACCGCCTTCACTGCCCCCGGCACCACCCGCCCTCCCTCCACAACCACCTCCTCCCCTCCATCCTCCTCCCCGGCTTCCCCTTCGACCCGGACCACCTCCCCGAGTCCGAGCCCGACCACCCCCCCAAGTCCAAGTCCAAGTTCAAGTTCAAGTCCAACCACCCCCCCAAATCCGACTACCACGACTTCCCCAACCACTACCACGACCCCCCCAACCTCTACCCCAGCAACCCCCCAAACCCAACCCCATCTTCTCACAGCCTCGGCCTCCTCCCCCTCCTCCTCACCTGCCGCGCCGCCTACCGCGAATCCGTCGCCACCCTCTACGCCGCCAACCTCTTCGACGCCAACCACCCGCAGACGCTCGTCCTCTTCGCCCGCGCCACCCCACCCCGCCGCCTCGCCAGCGTGCGCGCCCTGCAGCTCCGCTGGAGCTGGCGCCTGCGCGAGCGGCCCGGGTTGAGGGCGCCGGGGCCCATACCGGCGGCGCCGGGGCAGCAGCAGCGGGGAAGCGGGTGGTGGGGGGAGTGGTGGGGGGGTTGTTCTTCTTCTCCTCCTCCTTCTTCTTTGGTGGAGGCGGATAGAGCGGATGGGGTGGAGGCCGGGGCCGGAACTGGAACCGGAGCTGGAGCCGGATTGCGGATGATGACGGGGTTGCAGGCGCTGTATTTGAGCTTGGAGCTGGAGGGGACGTGGGACGGGACGGCGCAGCAGCAGCAGACGGCGCAGCAGACGGCGTCCGTGCGTGTGCAGCCCGGCGAGGAGTATAGGGTCGAGGAGGAGCAGCTGTTGCGTCCGATCGCGAGGAACGTGAGGGGGCTGAGGAAGCTCGAGCTCACGGTCGAGGTGGAGGGGTCGAATGGGAGGGTGAAGAAGGCGATGCATCGGCCGTCGCGCGTGAGGGAGACGCTGGCCGAGATCGTGTGTGCTCCGCGTGGTGGGGGGATGAGGTGAGGGAAAGGGGGGGTTTTTTTTGACTTGAGGGGGAGAAGGGTTTGTCTGTCTTTTTTGCTCTTTTCCCTTTGTCTTGGGCGCCATGTATGCATGCATGTACGCGGGTGGGTTGGTCATGACTGAAGATTGAAACGGCTCTGCTTCTTTTCTTTCTCCGTTCGTCTCTCTATCTATTAACTTTCGGCGTGGAAGCTGCTTGCAGGATTACCCTGGGTGTTACCGTGTTAGGGAGTAGCGGATAAAAAATTTGGCTTTTCAGATTGGCTCCGACCCTTGTGTGGATATATTGACGTATGTCTTCCGCAACCAGCTTGCTCTGCTTTGAAAATATGTCTTGCTGGCGGGCCCACCTTTCGACAACCGATTTGATGTCTTGTTCCGGTTGGCTCGTGGCAAAATTGTGAACATTTATCTGTCGAGAGTTTCGGATTCCATTCACTGTCTATACTTTGAACTTCCGGACAAACGAATAGTTCTTTCCTACGAATTTCTCCATTAAACTTTTAAGTTCTTCATCACTCTATACCGAATATCTAAAAGGCTGTGGTGAAGCATGTAAAGAGGATCATAGTAAATTCCGTCTAGAATTACGTCCTCTTCCCTCTAGATGCTGTCTATGTAGAGCTATAGCCGTAAGACACTTTATTTAAGAAATCTTTTCTTATATAAAAGTTACCGTCCTTCACACTATTCAAAAAACAGAGGGTTATTAAATGCCTAGCAGCCAACAACCCCGCCTCTATGTCTCAACGATAATTTGATGACGAAATCAGGATAAGAACGGCAATCTAAAGCAAGAAGCTATGGGGGCGCGCTCATTAGTGCATCCATCTCCAAACTTGATACCAAGGGATATTCAAGGCAATTGTTGAGGCAGTTGCATTATGGAGCATGCTATTAGCGCAACTTTACTCTGTGGCCACGTTTCCCTTAAATATTAGAAGCCGACCGGTAAGCAGTCTCAACGGCGGCGTCCGACTCGCCCAAGACGGCCTCAACGCGCTCCTTGACGACCTTGGCTTCCTTGACATTGCTCAAGCGGCCAAGTATCCCCTTGGATGAACGCTACTGACAGAGCCAGCGGTGGGAAGAAATTGCCATTCCTCTCCCTTTCCCTGTTTCTCACCCTCTTTCCGTTGTTCCCCTTCTTCCCCCCTCATTCTCCTCCCCATCGTCATCCTCAACCACCTTTTCCGACTCAACCTCGGGAGTCGAAAATAACTAGCTAAGTATCAACCTATCGACAGGAGGCAGCACATCAACTGAAGACGAGGATTCGCGCGTCATAGGCAAGGTGGCGCCCGAGAGAAGACGATGTCCTCATGGTTGGCCATCGTGAGCGGATATAGCGTTCGGGATGAAGCAGAGAGATCGATGGGCAAGAAGGGCCGCGCGGGCGCAGAGGTGAAGACGCCGAGCAATTATCGTGCTAGTGCTGAAAGAAGCTCCCGACCTGTGCTGGCTGGGTGGTAAGAAGAGCGTGGGCGTAGTCGGCGACATGTGGGTTTTTGATGCGGCGAGGAAGACGGCATGTTTGCGTCTATGTAACTGATGCACATTGCATGGGCGACTGTGTGCCTCATGTTTCCGCACCACCGAACTAAGGCGTACCACAACCCAAGTCCAACCGATTTCGCAACCAGAGAAATAAGACCTGGTTTGCGGTCGCGACGATTTTGCGCGAGACGTAGAAATTCAAGCGCGCAAGCGAACTGCCAGGAAATCCTGGACCGCACCCTTAGCTGCAGCGCAACACTGCTTCGTCGCAACACCAGAGCCCCACAGACCCGATCGATAGATTGTTCATGAGTCATTGATGGTAGGTTGCAATGCTTCACAGACCCCGGTAAAGGTTTATGCAGTCTCGTTTGTACATTTCGCCCGGGCGGCTGCATGCGCTCCGCTTCCTTCCAAACCCATTTTCTGCCACAACCCGACCCAGGCTCACCTCTGCCCACTTACACCGAGAAAAGCATCAATTCCTATTTTTCTCATTCGCGGCGTCGCACGCCATGTACGCATGGCACTCCACCAGCTCAACGAAAAGATTAGGTCGAACGAGCCGGCCGCGCGTTGCTGCACCACTTGAACACCTCACCTCCAAATTGCGACAGTCCGATCGACATCAGGTGCCAAATTACGCGTCTCTATGCAGGCTTAAAGAAGAGCACGGCTCTTGTGTGCATGGAAGCTCAGCTACAACACGCTTTTCAATCGCTGTGATTGAGGAAAACCAGGTTAGAACACTTTACATTTGCAAGCGACACAAATCCTTCTCAGCTCGAAAAGTCCTACAACATACCAGCCATTGGCGCAGCCTCACCTCGACTACGGCTCACGCTCACCCCCACGTGTTCTATCTGACCCCGTATACCGTTATGGTAAGCGTTCCGTCTTCCGCGCCATCCTCACTAGTGGCCTGGTAAGTGGTAACGCTCGTGGTACGCAGGACCACTTAGACTCGGAACAAACACGCTCCCGCGCCTCTTTAAGAGCCTTATCAACTGGCTACACGACCCGACCATCGCCCCCCAGAGGCAACTCTCTCGTAGGGAAACCCTCGCAAAGTTCAATTTGGAGGATACGCCGGCGCACACACACATATTCGAGGCCGTGTTGTTCCTGGCCTCCACAGCTTCGGGTGACGGCAACGACAAGCTCGGCACCTTCGACCCTCGCGCAAGGAAGACTCTAGCAGCCTCGACAGCCTTCGCCATGTCGTCAACGCCATCGACGCCACGCTAGCCGTTGTCGAGAAAGATCTTAAGGCATACTTTAAGAATACACTGGACAGCATGGAGGAGTTGCTCGGGAATCTCGGAAAAGCCATCGCCAGAGCAGTCATAAGGGACGGTGCTTAACGGCTGAAGACTTTCATCAATTCTGTCAGACAGGTACCTGCCTACACAGAAGTGGCGACCGGGTCGGACGAGGATTGCCTGACCATGTTTAAGCAAATAATCAGTTGGGGCTGCTATGGCAGATTTTGAAAGGAGATGGCCGTCGTTAGAGACGTTACGTCTCGATCTAGTGCCGTAGTGCGCCATAGCCTATGATATAGGCGCAAGGTACTCGATCCTGGCCGATGAAGGTAACGGCGCCGCGTGCTTGGAGACGAAAATCACTGATGATGTGAGCTTTCTAGATATTATGCAATCATAGTCGCAATTCCAACAGCTAGGTATGTTCCTAGCTAAGTGTATGTGTTCTTGGCGGCGATATAAAGAAGCGATGCCAAGCGTTCGGCATTAACGTACGAAACCAGCATACTGCTTAGCTCCTTAGATTCTCGAACGCATAGCTAAGATTAGAGAACCTTAAACTAGAGGTATCATACTAGTTTCGACGGTCTTTCAAGAGTATCTATAAAAGGTTATATATGCTCAAGAGATAGGACCATATCCTCTATTATGGTACGTAATCGCAACCTCCGTTGCCAAATGGGTCGAGCGAGCCTCCTAATCTGGGACTTTATAAACCGGTGTGAAGAGTGAAAATTCTATAGATCCTTTCAGGCAGCTGATATTGTATGCTACCGCGCGCGGCGCACGTGGTAACCCTAAACGCCGCCTCTAAGACTTACACACCACGTCATCACTGTGCGCAGTGAAGTCTGCCAACCTCTACAAAACCGCGACAACTTAGCGCGCTGGCTCCAGCTGGCTACATTTCCTAATACCTTTCGAACTACACACAGCACGTCTTACAAAGTTGACGACCTTAACGACTGACGGTGCAGCTTGGTGCGAACCCCACACCACGAGTCGGCAGCAACCTACAACCCTAATGACGCCTTTGCACCGACAGCTCGCTAGAGTGAACGGCTAAGCCCTCGTTGCTTCCGAGGCTATCAAACACCACCTGGTAGTTCTTGTGGTAGCATCGCGCTGTCGCTCACAGTATCAGCGCTTGACCACGACAACGAGGTACGTTTGCGCATTCTCGCAAGACACGTCCGCGCCGTCGCGCAACGCAATAGCAGCTGGCTCACTTACAAGACCATATACAGCTCCTTTCAGGTTGCTCACGAGCCCATTGCAGCGCGCGCGTGCAGATGATCTCGACACCACCGGCATCACTCACCACAGCATTAGCACACATAAACACTTCCAGCTCACACAACACCACATCATTTCCAGCACCACAACAGCGCTCCAGCGGCCCAGCAAGCCCACAAACCACAAGATGGCGATCAAACCCAGCACCGCCATCCCCCTCACCATCGCCGGCATCTTGTTCTGCCTGACCCTCATCTGCCTGGGCTTCATCGCCTACCGCACCGTCACCCAAATCCTCCACCAGCGGCACAACAGCACGGCGACCAGCACCGCAACCAGCACGGCGACCAGCACCACGACCAGCACGGCGACCAGCACGGCGACCCGCCCCTCACCGACAAACGCCCCCCCAGCAGACGGGCGACAGAAGAAGGACAACAAGAAAGAGAAGGAGAGAAAGCAGCGAAGAGGAATCCCTCCCCTCCCCTCCACCCGTTTCAGCCGCCACCGCCTGTGAGGACATGGAAGCAGCCACGGACGACGTCGGTGACGACATGGAGCTCCAATGGAGTCCAAGAGCTGCCGCGCAGCCTCTCCCCGCCGCCGCCGCACGAAGACTGAGTCTGTCGGAGCGCCTGCGACGGAGTGACTGCTCGCGCCATCTGAGATTACTCCCCTCCTCTTCGTCCCTTCCGCCATGACGTTCGCCGGACATGGCTGATGGCAAAACTCACGACGGTGCTGAAAAGGGGAGGGGAGGGAGGGAAGGGGGTGCAAAATGTGGTTTTCTGTTTTCTTTTTTACCTGGGCGATTGACGGGGGGCGGTGCTTTGCTTCGTCGCGCGCGCTCTCTCTCTCTCTCCATATTGATTGACATGCGCCAGTGACACCGAGAATTCTGGCGGAAAGTGCATGGACTGCGTTCAACAGCTCATGGATTCAAGGGCAAATAGTCAACGTGGTCTTTGGAGTCCTGGACGGACGTGGTTGGGCCTCACAATGCTTACTCTTTTGAGTACCTCGAGTACGGGAACAATAGGAGCGAACGATCATGAAAGGAGTCCAAAGAAACAGCTATTAGACTTACACAAAGGGGGTAAAAGAGTACATAAAGAATTCACTATACCTATCTACTCGAATGCATTGTCTCACATTCGTTGTCAATCAGACAACAGCAGCTCGCAAGCAACTCTCGAGCGTGGCCCCAGCAGCCGCTTGGCAGTCAGCGCTCGCCCAGCCATAGGGAGGTGGCGCTGTCATCTACCTACGTAGCCGACATGAGTGGAGCAGACCCAAGATCGGTGGCGTCGTGGTTTGCTCGAGTGCAATACCTAATCCAGCACCCGCGAGATCCCACCAGCGCCACAGACGAGGAGTGTGCTCGTATCGATCATGTTCTGTGCAAGCGAGCTGTTCGTGAACCTCTTGACCCCTCCGAAAAAGGCCATGTGGCAAGGAAACGGGTAAGTCGGCCACGTTGTTGGGGGACTCGCCTACCTTTTTCTCAGGAGTGGGTCGGATCAATCTCGCAGTACGCGATACGGCCGCTCTCGTCCACCAGCGTGCACCCGTGCTCCTCGCCAACCCTCTTGGGGGACGCCGATTCTTTATGAACGGCAATCAGACGTGAAGAAAAGGGTGCATTGGCGCAGTATCGGGAGACTTGGCACGAGGAGTAGGTTTGGCAAGGAGGCAGCAGAGTTTCACTTGAATGGAAAGACAAGCTTCTGTGCACGACTGGGCGCGCTATTTCCGCGGGAGGCAGGGCGAGGTGGGGAAGGTTGTTTCTGCTGGTGGCGGGCTTCGCCGGCGGTAAGCATCGATAGGTTAGTAGGCGCTGGCCATCGGATGCCGCCTTGCGATAGATCCGAATGTTCGGAGGCAAGCCCGGCGTCGGCCGAGCGTCTGAAACACGGTCGGAGCGACGTGGCGGGGGAGGTGTGCAGAAAGCAGATTTAGTGCATGTTCATGTGTGCAGATTGCCGGACGAGGTGGTAAGAATGAAGGAGAGGGGATGGGATGGGAACAGCGGCATCCCTAACCGGTCGAGCGAGGATGGCTGGGGCTGATCAGTGTTCTTGACTGACTTTCACACCACCTCCACGTGGACGTGCTGAGGGCTTCGGCAATCGTGCCGTCGGTTACAAGGCTGGCACGGAGTGGGAAGCTTGGCAGGCTCTACTCGGTACGTGGTGTAGACGTCGCTAATGTTGCAATATCGTTGGAGTTGTTTGGCTCGGAAGCACCCGAGAAGCTGAGACACAGCGCCCGCAAGCGATCCGCGTGGGCGATCGAAAAGGGCTTGGCCTGACGAAGCGAGAGTGCACCTAATTTTAAACCTGGCTGCCAATTCATGCAGCTGCGGTCCAGCCCAGATCCAGCCATGTCCCCGTTGCCTTGTGTATCTGCCTTATCACGGAGGGGTACCTGGGCAGGGTGGAGAGAAGGTGGGGAGATTCACCCTCTGCAGGACTCCCAGCTGGGCAAGAAGCAGTGCCGATGAGACAGGTCGAGGAGCGGGCGGTGTGCGAAGGCCATCTGCATCCGCTTCTGGCATGGCACTTTAATATTCTTGTCGAGAGCTGAGCGGTGTGGTGTGGCCGGCCAGTGCGGCGGCTAGACGTTGCCAATCGGTGGGGGGCGCTCCGCTTGTTAGCGTCGGCAGCGCGGAGGCGACCATCGTCGCCACGCACAGTACTCGCATGCTGAGCAGAGTCGAGTTGAGCAGGGCAGCACGGCGCAGCAAGGTCGGACGTCTGAAGATGCAGCGTGGTTCGCGGCGGGGCGCGAAGGAGGGTGGTTACCGTGGGACGGGAAATTGCAGCATCGACATCCAGCGATGACAGCATGCCGGCAGAACGGGACGTTGCTCGGGAGGCTCAACCACGGCTCCAGTCTTCTGCAAGTCAACTGGAGGGATGAGCGATGCTCAGCGGAGCATGCGGCACCGCCCGCTACGCACGTATCCACTCGCCTACGAGGGCGACGATTGCATTGGTGGAGCGAGGACAACGTCCAAAAGCAGTGCGCGCGTTGGCAGTAGGCAGCCAAGACGCGCCTTTTTGCGTCTCATTTGGCAAAGGCGCGGAAGCGATGGCGATCAGACCGAGAGGCGGTGCGGGAGCCAGCGTCGAGCGGAGACGGCAATAATATCATCACTGCACTACTGTGTAGGCGGGCGCAGCGGGCGTGGCGGACTTGGGGCGGAGAGGGCGGGGCGTTTCGGAAGACGAGCGTGCGCGCGGGTCCACCGCCCGCTTCCTCTTCCAGCGGCGGCGCCCGTACCGCCGTCGCATGTAAACACGGCCGCCGACAGCAGCAGAGACGGCGCTCTGCGGTGCAGCGGTGCAGCGGTGCAGCGGCGGGAAGGCCGGGCGGGATGCGGCGGCTGTTCTGGGCGGGCGGCAGGCGTGAGCGGCGCTGTCAGGCGGATAGAGTTGTTTCGCATCAAGGCTTGTCGCGCGGTGGGCGTGGCTTGGGGCGTGGAGAGCAGCTGGAGCAGCTGGAGCAGCTGGAGGCGGCCGGAGCAGCGCTGGATCGACGCAGGGGGGCCGGCCAGGAACGGAAGTTTTCTCGGCGGCGCGTTTCATGGTGCACGCGTGCTTGGGGCGGGCGGTCTGGCCGGGGGCTGGCGGCGCGCAGCGAAGACGTCTGCGGGCGGCGGCAGCGGGCGACTGGGCCAGCGGAGGCCGCTGCTAGCGGACGGCGCGGGCGGTGCTTGGGGCGTGGTGTTTTGTCGGGCGGCGAGAAGACCAAGCTCGTGGCTTGGGCGGGGGCTTGAGTCGCGGCGTGTGAGTGGTTGGCTGGGTCGCGGGCGCAGGAACAGGTGCGGCGGTTTCAGGGCAGCGCCCGCACGGGAAGCGATAGGCTGCCGCTGCGCATCCATGGCCGCGGCGCCGCCAGCGTGCCAGCGCTGTCGTCGCCCGGCCACGCGCTGCGCTGCTTCCAGAAGCCGCATGGCGTGAGGGCGCTCTAGGCGCACGGTCGGGAGACGGTGGTACGACCAGGGGAGTCCATGAAACCCGCTGCCAGCTGCTGTGGCGCGGCGGCTCTGCAATGCGTCAAGGCGCGCGGTATTGGCCGGCTGATTGGCTGTGGGTGCTCCGGCCAGAGCCTGCGCCCATAAACATCCACGCTCGCCCTCCTTTCGCCGCTCCTGGTCGCCCTTCTCCAGACCCGGTGCCTCGTTTTTCTCTTCGTTTCTGAAACTTCTGCCCACTCCGCACGCTCGTTGCTGCCCTCATCGCCTTCCTTCGCGCCACCACACGCCGGCCGCTGGTGACCCTCTTGGCTCCCTCACTTCCATACCACCGCCCCTGGCCTTGACATCACTCGACGATCGCAATCCCCGTCCAGATCATATCTCACTACCGGTCCCCGCCGAGTCGACCACCCGCCGACTCCCCCGACAGCCCACCCTCACCTGACGACGCGCGACTTCCTCCATCCTCCAAGCCGCCACCTGTTTCTGGACAATAGCATTGTTATGAATCACAATAGACATAGATAGCCAGTGTTTCACGGCCGCCATTCGCTCTTCAGCTGCTCACTTCCACCCTCACTGCCTCTGCTCTACCAACCAAACGCCCGGTGCGTTCTGATCATCGCTCTCGTTCCCCGGACCAAGGGCCTTGGGAGCTCGACAACCCCGACTGCGACCACTCTCGACGCGTAGCCACGAGTCCCGGGTTCCTTTGTCCGCTTCAAACCAACCCGCATTGCCTGGAGCCATGCCCTCCTGGACCGAATCCCTCGCCAAGCGCGGCCTCTCCGTCGACCTCGACAAGGACCCCTTTGCCTTTTCCCATGGCCTCACCGGCGTTGACCAGACGGGCAACTTCCTCTGGGTCGACACCCTGCTGGGCTGCTTCCTGGGCATCATTTGCCTCACCCTGATCCTCCGCTTCTGCCACATGTACAATGCTCACATGCGACATGTCTCGACCATGGGCACCGCCCACAGGCAGGTCTACTGGCGCCACAACCAGACCAACCTGGTTCCCTGGCTCAAGAAGCACGTCATCTATGCCCCGCTTTGGAAGAAGCGCCACAACGAGGAGATCCGCCTGTCTTCGGCCATCAGCATTGGCACCCTGCCCTCGCGCTTCCACATGATGTTGCTTGTCACCTACTGCGCCAGCAACATTGCCTACTGCCTCTGCCTGCCCTGGTCCCGCACCGAGTCTGCCTCGGTCGTGGCCGCTCTGCGTGGCCGCTCCGGCACCCTCGCCGCCCTCAACCTCATCCCCACCGTCTTGTTCGCCCTCCGCAACAACCCCTTCATCTGGATGCTCCACGTGAGCTACGACACCTTCAACCTGTTCCACCGTTGGGCCGCCCGCATCGTCATCATCGAGACCGTTGTGCACACGCTGTGCTGGATGATCAACACCTACAACGCTGGCAAATGGGACGGCGTCGCTCAGCTGCTTCGTGAAGAGCCCTCGTATGCCTGGGGAATGGTCGGCACCGCCGCCTTCGTCTTCCTCTTCATCCAGGCCTGGTCGCCCCTGCGCCACGCCTTCTACGAGACCTTCCTCAACTTCCACCGCATCGGCGTTGCCCTGGCCATTGCGGGCGCCTGGGTGCACATTGACCTCCACGCCCTCCCCCAGCTTCCCTGGATGAAGCTGTGCCTTGCCATGTGGATCTGCGAGTGGCTTTTCCGCGCGTGGAAGTGCGCCAAGCACAACGTGAGCATGCGCCGTGGCATGTCCAAGGTCACCATCGAGGCTCTGCCCAACGACGCCTGCCGCGTGACCATCGACCTTGTGCGCCACTGGTACCACCGCCCCGGCTCGCACGTCCACCTGTACGTGCCCTCTCTCGCCGGTTGGTCTTCGCATCCCTTCTCCGTTGCCTGGGCCAGCACCCACCACCAGTCCATGCCCACCTCGGTCGAGGACGAGAAGCTCGGCCTGCCCACGACCAACCCCGCCCACGACCTCACCAGGCCCAACCAGAAGATGCGCAGCATCTCGCTCGTCTGCCGTGCTCGCGAAGGCTTCACCCGCAAGATGTTCGACCGCGCCAAGGCCCAGCCCATGGGCATCCTCACCACCTACGGCATGGTCGAGGGCCCCTACGGCGGCCACGAGTCGCTCGACAGCTACGGCACCTGCATCCTCTTCGCCGCCGGCGTCGGCATCACCCACCAGACCTCGTTCGTGCGCCATCTCGTCGCCGGCTACCACGGCGGCACCGTTGCGGCCCGCAAGGTGGTGCTGGTGTGGAGCATCCCCAACACCGAGTGCCTGGAGTGGGTGCGCCCCTGGATGGACGAGATCCTGCGCATGCCCGGCCGCCGCGAGGTGCTCAAGATCCTCCTCTTCATCACCCGCCCCAAGAACCACGCCGAAATCAACAGCACCTCGGGCTCCGTCCAGATGTTTCCCGGCCGCTGCGACGTCCAGACCATCATCGACCGCGAGATCTCCGAGCGCATCGGCGCCGTCGCCGTCACCGTGTGCGGTGCCGGTGCCTTCTCCGACGGCGTGCGGACAGCGGTGCGCTCGAGAGTGGACGAGGGCAGCATAGACTTCATCGAGGAGGCGTTCACGTACTAAGAACAGAGCTGGAAGAGAAAGAATAAGAAAGAAAAATAACTTCTTGCCAGCCCGCTGATGAGGAATGACGATTTGATGTTTCCTGATTTTGCAAAAGAAAAAGCGTGGAGGCAGCACTTCTACGAGTACGTGCGCGTGCACCGGGGACGATACTGCCCGCTCGATGGCGGATGTGGATAATTGGAAGAAACCTCTTGTTGTTGGAATTAGAGGGTCGCCTTGGGGAAAGGAAACAAAAACCAACTTTGTTGCTGAGACAGTCTGTAAATAACTTTTTTTCTTCTCTTGCAATTCTCCTGCACGTCTTCTTTTCACTTCTTGTTGAGAACCCGGTGGTTGCAAGCACGTCTCTGCTTTGGACCTCCAGTTCTCAATCCCCATTCTCCAATACCTTTTCCCTGGATACCTGTTTATTACACCAGCTTCCCACCTTGTATTGCATGGCGCGGCGTTACAGCATTCTCTGTTTTTTCTTGCGTTGTCATTTCCTTTTTTTCTGTTTCTGTTTTTCCAAAGCGTAGCATACCCATTCGAGCACAGCACCATAGGTGCTTCTGAGCAAGTCAGAGAGAGATGCCTTCTAGAGGCGGAAGTAAGGGTTTTTCTTCCACCCTTCGCCTAGAAAAGGCTACAAAGAATCAAGATTCTAGCAATCAGTTGCTCTACAAAGAAAACGGCTTTTCCATGTGAGATATTCAGTGTTTGTTCCCCAACGAACCAACGTCAAGTGAAGCTTGTTGTCTGACCTCTCCCCACACACAAAAGTCCTAGCCACACGACGGGAGTTTTGCCGCGGCAGGGCAGGTCGTTAAGGCGTTCCATGCACGGCACGCCGCTCAGTAATCGTTTGCATGATTGGCGGGGGCACGAGCACATCTACATGAGGCAAAAGGTCTGCCAACGAGAAATTAAACCTGGGCCTTGCGCGGCTATCGGCCGTGAAGATCACCAGAACGACCGTCGGAGCGCGCGGAGCCTTGCGACGAATAGCGAGGCGCTCACAGCCGTATCAGTGGATCACCAGGTTTCACCCGCCTGCGTTTACCAATTGCTGTTGCTCGATTGGCCACGTTGAGGGGGGGGGGGGGGGGGGGGG